AGAAAGCAAAACGAAATGGAGATTTTTTTTGAGGAAGAGAAACAGATATCTTGCGTATAGAAATACTCCTGAGAGAAATACTTGGCATATCTCACTAGGATTCGCATTTCGAGTGAATGTGCATAGTGAAATATGAGAAAGTTGCCATGGAATTGGATTGTTGAGTACAAGATATCATATCAAATGCCACGAATAGGCCTAAAAGCGAAGAGGAAATGTAGCTGAAAGCAATATTGAGTTAAATTGGATTACAAAATAACATTATAAGATTCTCCTGACGAAAATCCATTCGTCAAGTTCATTGCACAAACCTTTCACGAGCTTCACGAAATTTTCAATCGCTTTTGCACTCTCTGGGGAAAAGCGGAGTCGTAAATTTTACTCGTATATGGCTATTGACTCTAACAATTGCCCCGTGCAATCGCAGAAAAGAATTCATTCCATGCGGTCAATGGAATTTCTATGCTTTCATCCTTCGAGGTCAGAAGGTGTGAAAGAGCAATACGAAGCAATTCGAATGAAGGATTGTTCTATAAAACACTTTTCAGCTATTCAGGACAATTTTGCACTGTAAAATTGTATTTTCTGGGAACAACATTCTTCAAGCTCTTGAAAATTTCTCTGCACACTTTGCCTCTCCTTGCGTCAATGCTCCAAATCTTCAATCTTACAACCAGGAGTATAAACTTGAACTTTATGGCTTTCCAGAGTCAATTTTCTACCTTTCGCCCATTTATATTTTGTGTAGTATCTCCAGCAATAATCTGGAGAGAACGGTGAAATCCTTCATTCTATTCACCGTGCGGATCTGCATATTCCCCTAAGAGGGTGGTTGACTCAACAGTAGCAGAACTTGTAGCAGAATGAGCCAGAGAGTGCGAGAGAGGCAAAAAACGTGCTCAGAATTACTGACTTCGATTATCGTCTTGCAAGTGGAATTTATTGAGCAAGTTGTGCTGTTTGAATTTGTGAAAGCCAAAATTAGATTTTTACCATCAAACCATGGCGAATTTTCCTTCTTTCAACCCTCCGTGAGCGTTTTCTGGCTTCGCCATTTATCATTTGCCATTTTGTGTGTGCGCCAAAGCTGTGTGAAATTCGCGGCCCGACTTGACTCATCAATTCAAATATTCATCATTAGGCAGATGTTTGTACCTTTTGGCGGACGCCAACATAAGTTCCCCATTTTATTCGCCCATATAATTGGCCAATTTCGGCCCGCGCCCAGATTTGCCTGATGTCGTACAAAAGACTGATGTTCATCCATTAAATTCATTTCCTATGCCATTTGCACGTTGAAATGTAATTAATTTAAGTAATTAACTTGTGAATTTCGGCAAGATTTAATTGAAATTCTTCACTCATGATCCCACAAAGAGGAAATCCGCCTTCACTTCACTCTCATTACTTGCTAATGTTTCTTGATCTCTCTCAGAGAATTTGCGGAAATGAGAAATTCTTCGGATGATATTCATGAAAAGGCTCAATGTGCCATAAGAAATGTGTTGGCGAATTCACATAATCGAAGATTTGATGGCACAAAAGAGGGTTAATCAACGTCATTCGGGATCACTGAAGGAGTCCTCAATCAGCTCAACTCGAGAGTGTCATCTGGATGACCATAAATTACTCTCTGCACTCCTTGGGAATTTTATTCTTCCCACTTATGACCATTCATCAGAGTCGCACAGTTCAATTACGGTCAAGCATTGTGGCCCAGCACGATGCTTCACATCCATCGCAGACGCTCGCTCACCCCCAAACAACCCCTCTTGCGTCACTCCGTCAATTGGAATCCGTGCAAGTGCACCAAACAGAGATGTGGAATGTGCCGTGAATGGTCACTTCATTGTTGTCATCGTGAAATCTCATCAGCTTAAGTTGTATGTGGGCAATCTGAGCTATCGCGCCCAACTTTGCCCTTCAGACTCTGCGGTGAGTAATTAAGGACTCCACATGGTTGGCTTAATGTTTGATGTTGAATTAACAATCACTTCTAGTCCCTTTGCGCTTTCGGCCATTTCAACACAAATTTTTAGCTTTCACCCCTCGCAAATGAGGATTTATCGTGCTCTTTCCCTCTCTATAGCTCACCCTTGCGTGGTTTTTCCCCCGATTTTCACCGTTTGTGGTCAGGTTCAAGGGCCTTATTTGCCGACAGAGAATTTTCTTCATGGTTTCAAGATGTTACGCGAATAGCACTCCAATTATTGTTAATCTCAAATGTTCCCCTCAATCCCGGAAAACAGGACGACAATCCAGAGAACGTTTTAATTGTGCCATCACAAGTCCTGTGTATCATCACGCCCACACATTTGCGCTTCGAATCTCCACGGTGGGCACACAATTTCTCTCCTGAATTCAATTTGTCGATTTGTGTGGCAGTGGAAAAATCCGAATAGAAAAATTTGCAAAAGTAATTAAAGTGCAAGCAAAACAGGAACTGTTGAATTTGATCAGCGGGTGAGATTTTACTGTGGATTCGTACGACCAGAGCAAATTGATAGTCGAGCCAGTGCAGGTTTCATAGTCGCACGGATGCAAGAATCCATCTATTAATTTTCTTGCAGGGTCGTGCCGAATGGGCACAAGTTGTACATACACTTCGACATCAGCTATGCAAAGTGCCATGAAGAGCAAACGATGAAGGCAAATTGGAAAATGAAGCCGATAATTAGGAAGTGCACTCAACTACTCAACTCCATGACTTTCCAATCAACCCCACCGCCTTTTTCTCATAAATTTAATTTAACCAGCAAATTCGAAGTTCTGCCAAGTGAATTTCCATCAACTTGAGGTTCTTCTGATTGACTGTAATTATATCAGTAAATTCACCTGGCAATTTGCAGTCTTGCAGAAAAATTCAGTGCATAAATAAAAACTAATGAAACATCATTTATCCTGAAATTTAAATTCCTTGTTAAATCGTGCTTTCTTATCTCTTATAGCACAAAAGCAAACTCCAAAAGCTTAATTTCCTGCTATTTTATAGCGTTAACTGAATGAATGATGCACACTTAATTTTCTCTTTTAAATCTGACTTTATTAAATGCAGAACAAAAATAAAATCCTCGAATTGTCTTTGATTAAAATTTCCTCTAAAGACCTGAGTTTAGAAATCAGAGAAAAATCATATTTAATCTTTGTAATTCCACTTCCGACATTACACGTTTCAGGAGTTAGGAAACAACAAAGACTCAATTGCTTTCTATTTGAATTCGTATTGTTAGCCTGTAAGGAAGTTTGATGACTAAAAGCACTCAAATAGTGACAATACATTGTCAACAAAAAGTTAATAACAACGTGTCAAGGAATAATTTCGAATTCCTAATAGCTTTCCAGACCTGGAAAAGTTGAATAGTGAATTCATGACAGAATGAGACACGCTGACAGTGAAGGCAATTTGAAATTTGTCCCCGGCGATTAGGCCAAATTATTTTATTTAGAATGTCATCAAACTTTTCTCATCACTTTTGTGTGTATACACATGAATGTACATACGCATATATTATGTATTTCTTTGAGAGCAAAACTTTTCTTGCTTTTGTGCTGTGCTCAATGGTAATTTTCACTGTTTGTTATTGCTTTTCGTGTGTTGTTCTTTTTCCCATTTCCACTCGATTTTGTGATTGTTTCGGAGCCGTATTTCCACGATATCCTCTCCATCCCTCCCGCAAAGCGCCCACAAATGCGAATCCAAACGGTGTTTCACACTGATAATGCTGCCTTTAATCTGTGCACTTCTTCACAAAATACAATAACAGCAGACGAGGGGATTTTATATTGTGAGGGAAAATCACAGTATGAAAATTCAGTCTCAAGAAAACCACCCTCGAGTCAGGCCTCGAAGAGTTTAATTGTGTGAATAAATGCCTCCCTTATCTGTACAATTTAAGCAACTTTGCTGCGCAATGCATAAAATTACAATGTAAATGGGATTTCAGGGGGAGGAAGACGGCCACATGACGCTCATAAATCAGAGATTAATCACACTTGTCCATGCCAAAGACGCTGCACTTGCCGCTGCCAGAAAGCAATTACCAAAAATGTGAGGAATGCAGTTGCAGCCGCGCAAAAAAGCCTGCATGAATTTCTCTAGGTGGAAATTTGTCCGCTAATGTCTTCAGAAAGTGATAAAAGTCAACAAATTCGCTTTACTCGCCTTTCCTTCTCGCCATTTGATTTATGGAGAGTGGCGTAAAAAATATGCTGCAGAAAAGCACTCAAAGAGCAAACTTCCGGCTGCGAAAGAGAGCAAAGTGTTCGTGAAGAGAAGCGCATAAAAAGGGAAAAAGCTTGTGGAATGGCATAATTTAGAGATGAGTGTGAATTTTATCATCTGCCAGGAGAAATTGACGAGTTTCGCAAATTAGAGCAATGATTTCTGAATCACTTTTGAACTTAATTTCTCTCCACTCTGTTTATAATGTTACCAAAATCTTTGGAGAAATCCAATTTCCACAGCAATAAATTGTGGAATGCTCCATTTAAAAAATAGTAACATTTCAAAATTGAATTATAATTTGATTGAGCGCCCCAGAAATGGCAAATGCAAACATGCTGAAGACGATGTATCACGAAAGGCTGAAGATGTTGTGTGTCTTTAGGCCACACGATGTGACTTGAATCGAAATGTGCGCCACCCTTTCGTGTCCCCCGCCCTTTGTCTACCCATTTTGCGCCCACACTCGCGATAAAGGTTCGTGGAAGAGTCGCAAGAGGACAAATTGATTGCTGAGAGGATTCTGGACGTCAAATCACTGATCAATTCTGTCAGCGAATTAACTCTTCAGCGGAGAAAAACAATGCGCCGCGATTGGAATTCCGATGAGGCGAGGGAAAAGTGGCTTATCAATATTTGATTACTCTCCAAACCACAAAGATAAATATTTTGATACTATGAACTGGTCAAGATACCAATATTTCAATTTGCTGATGTGGAAATAATTAAATATTCGATATTTTTCTGTATTAAAATGTCTAACTCTTTACATACTTAAAATTGCGTGAAATTTTGACAAAAATTGCATTAAGTTGGGTCGAAAGTAATCCTAATATAAGAAAACTTGTAAAACATGACTTCATGACTATAAGAATTTATCAAAATGTGACGAATATGTGAATAATTCTTCTTTATAATATCAGATAATTCATTATTCATCTCAGTTTTACCCTTCAAATTTCCTCAAACTTGTACGTTGTATTGATTTGCCTTCGAATCAGCCAAAGAGATATGATGAAATGTCTTTTCTCACTTGAATTCTCATTTCATGGATGGAAAAATCGTTTTAATCTCCTTATTATGATCCTACAAAAATATCTCCAAGAATATTTCATTCCTTAACCGCTAAAAAAATCTTTAAAATGTTAAACACTGAGAAGAATTTCCAATTGAAAAGCACGATTCTCGCGAATGGGCATGGAATCCAGTAAAAAGACAAATCTATTCAAGAGTACATATCTTATTATTCATATATTATGTAATTAAGAGAACTGAATTTACTGAAAAGTGTCCATTGTGAAAATCATCATTTCTCAATCATCTGTTATTCGACAGTCGAATCTCTGGTTCAAATCTACATTTTCAAATTCACAAATTTCCTAACACTTGTTAAAATGATTCAAAATTTGCGTCCTTCTCTCTCGATCAAAGATCATTTCATTGGAAACCCGCCACACGGACAAGTTATGCGGAATAGTAAACCTAATTTTATATATTTCTTTAAAGTATCTCTTACGCTGAAACTGAAGAAAAATCAGATTTTGCTTTACCGTCGACTTGGCCGGTCTCTCCCGCGCGTCTCCCCTTAATTCTCCTCAATCGATGGTGTGTGCCAAGTCAGGCGTTCCTCATAGAACTGGATGACAATATGAGGACATCTCACATTCGCTTGTTTGGAAGGAACTAGATCGGCCTCGTCTGTGTCCTTCCACTTCATCAAGAACATAAGCTCGCCGGAAGTGTCCGTGGCTCCTGGTGGATTAGAAAGCACACTATTAGCACACCATCCACTAAGATCCTCATCCTCCGGAAGACTCACCGAGAATCCTATCGGGCTCCAACCCTTTGTCGAATCCCTGCAGATTCGAGCTCTTCTTCACGTCCTTCTTCTTGGCGGCCGGCTGTTTTGTTTCGGTCGCTGGTGGAGTGGAGGTTTTTCGTTTTTTGCTTTCTGATTCCTTCCGTCCCGCTGCAAGAGATGAGATAAGTGGTCCAAAAGTGAATGCGAAGCTCGCGAGTCGAATAAAATCAATACAACGATTACAGCGCCATCTCGACTATTTGTTTGCATAAAAAGTCCCGCAGCATCTCCACCCTATTGGCGCCCCCAGAGACCCACAAAATGCCGCCAAGACGCTCTAATGCACTCTCTGACACCACTCGCCACCCCCTTGATGGCACACAATCCACCGGAGGTGACAAAATACGCACCAGACGCGTGTTTATCCGCCATACATACCTTCCTTCTCCCTCTTTTGCCTTTGTTCCTCAAACGCCTGAATCAGGTCTGGGCAGTCGAGATTCTCTTCTGGCTCCCAAGTGTTGTCGTCCGAGGAGTATCCCTTCCATTTCAGGTAGTACTCCACCTTCACGCCGGGCGCGAGCATGGCGGAAAAAGAGACGCATTAGCCGGGGAGTTGGGGCATCGGAACTGTCATGGACTCACCTTTCCACCGCGCACTCGGCGGTCCAACACCTTCTCCACCGAGTATTCCTCCGTCTCCTGCGGTTCCGGAGAGTCCCCTTTCTTGCTCATCTTCCACTGCGGTGCCTGAAACGGCGAAAATACGCGTGAAAAACACCAACAACCAAGGCGCCTCCGCAAGTGTAAGGTTATGAGGCATTTTCACCAAATTACACCAATCCCCCACACTTTCGCTCACCTCTGGCGAACTAATTGCAATATCCGTTTAAGTCACAACACAATTGGCGTGTTTTTGCACAGAGAGCGTCCTTTAAACCGCGGAAAAACTCTTATTTTTTAGTCCGGTCGCCCTTGGCGTCTTTGCGTCGATGGAATTTACAGTGTGAACATAGCCGTGGGATGAGCTTATGGCCGCAGCCAACTTCAGTCTGACGGTGATTTTAAAATTTCTCCCGCCCTAAACACAAATGATAGTGAGAATTTGTTTATTGGTAATCTCTGGGCTTTATCTGCTGTGATAAGCGCGACACGTGGGACCAATGCATGTGGTGAGGTTCTTAAGCACCAGAGAATAGATGGCACGTTCCGATGGGAGCATCTCAAAAGCCAGATTGTGCATCTGATACGGATCTGATAAAAGATCATAGGCCTCAGCAAAGTGCTGTGAGTCGCGGAATTCACAGTACAGAAAGTCCTTTGCAGAGTCCAGCCGTCTCACGCAGGCATAAGTGTTGTTCTTAGAGTCTTGGCAATGGCAAGCAGCATCTTCTGTGCATCCCTGAAACCACAAAAAAACATTCAAGTCAATAGAGTTCAGAGAAAACTTTGAAATGTTCACAACTCACGTAAAGCAAAGCACTGTCGCGTCTCTTGCAGGACGGAGAGTGAGATTTGGCATCTGCCTCTCCCCAATACTCAACCAGGAATTGTCTGCTGAAGCTCTGCTGTTCTTCATTTGCCATGAAATCTCTCCGGAAAGATCTGCCATCGAGATTGGCGGGCAGAGGAATTTGAGCCCACTCCAGCATGGTCGGCATGAGATCCAAGAGTAGCACTGGCTGCTGCACGACAGTCTTTGCTGCAATTCCTGGTCCACGGACAACCAAAGGCACGCGAATGTCCGTCTCGTAAGCTTGTCGCTTGTCATATGCCTGAGCAAATTGTCCCACGTGATAACCATTGTCCGACGTGAAGACAATGAAGGTCTGATCTAGTAATTCGCCTTCCTTCAGGATTTTATAGATCCTTTCCACGAGTTCGTCAACTGCCAACAGCGATTTCCAGCGCTTTCGCGTGATTTCATCTAGCTCCGGAAGGACTTCATCGGGCAACCGCGAAGGCTGCATCGTGAGTAGCCAATGCTTGTCCAGACTCCCCGAAGGTTCATTGAAGTTGGGCGTTCTCTTAGCGCGTATTTCAGGGAATTGATTCTCATGCCGTTGAGCAGCTGTCGCAGGAGCGTGAGGAGCTGGTGGCGCGACCATGAGGAAGAACGGCTTGCTCTGGTCGTATTGCTGCAAAAATTCAGCCGATCTCTGCGCTAGGATGTCCGTAAGATATTCGGCTTCATACCGAACCGCCTTTCCGTTCTCCGTGAGAGTGTAGTTGTAATAGACAGAGTTTCCGTGAAGTCCGTGCCAGTGATTCCAGCCAAGAGGCACTTCTGTAGTTTTGTAGTCGTTCAAGTACTTTCCAGCGAAGAAAGTTTCATATCCTCCGGCCTGAAGCTTCATCGGTAGCGTGTTTTTCTCCATAACGTCCCTCCAGAAGCGCCCATAACAACCTCCGGACATTGAGTTATTGATCGTGGCGTGATTGTGAGCATACCTTCCGGTCAAAATCGAAGCCCTCGATGGACAGCAAATTGGCGAGGAGGTGAAAGCATTGATGAAAGTAGCGCCTTCCTTAGCCAAGCACTCCTGGACGCTCTTCATGGGCATCTGCAAAGAGTGAGTTGATGAAAACAGTCTTCTTTTGTTCAGATTTCTACTCACCATGCCATTGAGAACCACATCCTGATCATCAGTGACAATCAGGACAACATTGGGAAGCTTTGCGCAACTTACAAGTGTCCCAAAAACCCAGAAAAGCACACAAATTTGCATCAAATTCACTTTTTCCATGGTTCAAGAGCGCAATTTGCGCTGAAACTGCTGAAATTATTAGCTGAGTCGAAGGTCAAGAGATAAATTGCGTCTCCACACCGCCGGCATAACAAAATTTCTTCGGTCACTCTCGACTATCCGCTCCTTTATTGATTTTCCAACATTTGCACTCGCAACAAATTCTACCCGGAACTGTGATGGGATTTCCTATAGTTTCGGCGCCGGTGGCATTATTTCAAAACCCTGCAATTCCTGGGCAATGCGAACCCCGACGAGGAACAGCGCGTAACTCTTCACAATCGCCCTGGAAGTGCAGAAAAGTACGTGAAAGGGACGCAAGAAAATTTCTGTGCGCGTGTGACACTCCCAAAATGAGGGTTTTCTAGGTTAGGCCAGAGAATACTATGTAGAATGCTATTCCCAAGTTGAATGTGCAATCTTACCAGTGGAATTCATTGTAGTAGATGCCTTTAATCGCATTCAGTATGTTATTACCGCCTTTTTGCACCATTTCTGTGTAAATTTGCCACTTTTCTGCAGCCAAAAACCAAAACAAATCTCCAGAACACCAGCGCCGCTGTTATGCTAGAAGTTGCATGCCCAGTCGCCAGATGAAGTCTTGGCGCTGCTAGCGAATAAGTGGAATTTCCTTTATCAAAGAATTTTCTGATGTTTTCTGGATTTCCCTTCTTAAAGAATAGCAAATCTAGATTGTAATGGAAAGAAAATGTGGAATAAAGTTGATTGTATTCCTTTTTCTCAATTATTTGTGAAATTCATTCAGTTACCCCTATTCGCCACTCGGCGTGCTGATGGTATTCAATTTTCCCACCAAAAAAACATCTTATGAATGGAAAATAGTGAATAAATAAGAATTACAATCTCAAAAGTGATATTTATTTAGTATAAAAGTGCTGCAAAATAAATATTAGTCTCTGAATTTCCTTCTAACGAAGCGAGGCATTGGCATCATGTAAATAATCATGTTGATTATCGCCAAACCAATAGGAAATGCGATTGAAAGCGCGAGATCTACGCTCTCCTGCGGATCAGCTTTCCCCAGGCGCTCGTGGAGGAAGTCAAAGGGCGCCACACAGACAGTCTGAGGCCCGGCCGTGCAACTAACGGGACGAGATAGGAAGAAGGTGTTATGAAGCAAGAGAGATGCGTATCTCGTGTGGGTTCCTCGAGAGTTGTCCTGCAGCCATGGCAGGAGGCCTTTGTAGGATCTCACAGTGCCGCTGGCCAGAGAGAGGCTAATGCAGAGCAAATAAGACACGGCGATGGCTGTGTTGATCCGCGACTTTACGAAGAGATGGAAGAAGATGCAGAGCTGCTCAGCCAAAACGAAACTGGTCCACAGTGCGATCAAGAGATACAGAAAGGCACTTCCAATCGGGCGAGAAGGATTGAGGAGAATTGGGTAAATGACACAAGAGGCTATCGCGGCTGAGATGAAGGAGAATGGAAGTGAGACAGAGTCATAAGCAATAAGTAACGAGGCGCCTGAATAGAGTCCTTCGGAGTGCTCTTGGACGAATCTCTTCCTCCAGGTTGGAACTGCTCAGAAAATTTAACTGTTAGACAATAAACCTTCTAAGGTGATAATTAAGTCACTCACAAGTCGTGATGGTCGTCAGAATCCCGGAACCGTACGCCTACAAGAGCGAAACAGTGTGAGAATCGTGCGCTTAATTGCAGAAGACGCGACTTACCAAGCCCAAGACGTTGAGCACCATGCCGCTCTTGCTAAAGAAGCCTCTCTGGTCGTCCTTGAGGTTGGTGTAGAAGAGCCACAGCGTGCACATGGCCAGAGGCAGTGCGAAGAGCCTCAGGAAGAGATTCTTCATGCCAGCGTAGCCGCAGGAGAACGTCGAAGCCAGCAGGCGCCTGAAAGGTCAAGATCGTCATGTACTTCTTATGTGGGCAGAAGGTCGCAGTGATCTTACAGGTAAATCGTTCCGAAGACTTTCATCTCGTTGGGCTTCCCATAGGCCAAGGGCACCTTACCCGCTGTCATGGGATTGATGGGCGCCTCAGGAATCGGAGTCTCTCGGGCGAAGCGATCGACTAGCGCCTCAATCTGCTGACTGGACTCCAAAAAGCGATCCCGACTTCTGCAGATAAGGAAAAATCCAACACAAGCAAGATAAGTGATTTGTCAGGGCATTTCGACTGGGTGGGATGGACACTAAATTGCTGATGCGACTAAAGAATTCCACTTCTTTTTATTAAAATGTCTTGGCGCTCCAGGAGAGCGTCCTACAAAGCATCTTAGTGCAGGCCCGTGTTCTGCCGCAGGAACAGCAGGGGAATCATCTCGTCCCTGGGCAGGTTCTGGATCTTCTCCGACACGTAAATACTGTCTGGACTGAGCGCATGACGGCTCCTGGACGACGTGGCGGGAATGTTGAGCACGCGGCGCGCCAGCTTCTTCAGGCTGGGGCACTGATTGAAGTCCTTCCAAAAGGACAACACGTCCATGGGCTCCGTGAGGCGGATGTCCATGTACGTCTTGATCTCCGTCTCGATGGGCTCCTCGGACACGGAGTTGTCCATGAACTCCATGAAGTTCAGCAGCGAAGACCTAGAGGAGCCGGGAATGGGATCACTGAGATTCATCTTCATGGATTTGCTGGCGGACGCAGAATCGTCAGCCGGAGCGCCCATGACGGCCTCCAGCTCCTGCTTCACCACGTCCAAGATGTCATTCTTCTCATCCTCGTGCATAAAGCGCATGTTTTTGAAGTTGGGATCGAGAAAGAGGGCGATCTTGTGGTACTGCGACACGGCGAAGTGTTTCTTCACCAATTCGCTGGCGCTGGTCTTCATGCGCCCCACGAGGTCGCTGTTCTTAGGTAGGATCCGACTGCTCTGCTGGAACTTCTTGTTCCACAAGTACACCTCATTGAGTGTGGTGTTGCACTCGGAACGCAGGCTCTCCAGGCACTGCTGGAAGGGCTCCATGAAGTCGAGTACTTGAATGATGGTCTCCAGCTTCTCGTGGAAAAACTCCAAGAAGACGTCCTCCTCGCTGTCGTTCGTCTCCGAGAAGTTGGAGATTGCCTTCAGCAGACGGAAGTACTTGTGCCATCGCGTCGGGTGGCTGCCCTCGAGGATTTCGCGGAAGCTCACGGCACCCTGCTGCATCAAGTGGCGCGAGAAGTCGTCGATGGACTTGAGGAATGTGGGGAACTCACTGAGCAGGTCATCCAGCACCTTGATCAGCATCTCACACATACAGTTCATCACAGAGGCGTTGGGGAATGCTTCGTGGATCACGGTGTCCTCCATCCGGATCACCATCTTCAGGCCATCGAACTGGACGGAGTCGAGGTACTCGCTCAGGATCTCGTGCACGAACACCCGCACTTGCTGACCACTTGGCTGAGGCATCATGCGCGAGCCGAGGTTGTAGCGCGTGAGGATGAAGTTCTCGTCGATGAAAAACGCCTCCACGGTGAGACACATCTCACTCTGGTGACGCCACAAGTCCAGGCACACGCAGATCTCATTGCCCATGAGGACAGTCTTGATCTCTTCCTTCATACGCGCCATAACATCCTGCAGATGGTTTCCCGCCAGATCGCCGGGCAGCGTGAGAATGCTCTCTATGCTCTGGTGCCCATACTCCGCGCCGATGTTGAGCAGGATTTGGGCGAACTCGTGGAAGCCGGGCTGTTGAAAGAAGGCCAGCGGCAACAAATCCCTGGCGGCGAACTTGATTTGCGCCGTGGCGAAGTGTGCCAAGTCCACTGGCGGAATGATCTTGGACTCACCGCGGAGGCCCGAGTTGGCCAGGAAGTGAGGCATCAGCGACACCAAGGCGGACGTCATGGCTTGCTGTCGGTTAGCGTGCTCCACCTCGGTGGACGAGGACTTGGGCGAGTACTTGAAGGAGGACTGGAGGCCGTGCGGCGGAGACTTCGATGGAGCCCTCATGTTGCATCGGTGCCGCACAAGGCTGGCCGTGCCGGTCTTCTTCTTGTACGACAGCACCACGCCGCAATGCATGCAGCGGATGAAGTCCTGCCGGATGCTGTTGTAATAGATGATCTTGAACTGCTTCCACATGTGGTTCTTGTACTTTGTGGGGTCGCGCGCCGTGATGCTGGGATCATTGGCGCGGATCAGGGCCTCCAGCTCGTGCTTCTGAAGCTTGAACGTGAGATCGCCCTTGGTGTCAAGCTCCTCCATGCTGATATCGGGCTCCGGGAAGGAGCCATCGTTGTAGCCGAAGATGGGCTCCTGCTTGATCGTGATATCGTCCATCATGTTGCCCTCCAAAGCGTCCATCTCGCGCTCCTCGTCCTTGATGTCCGGCCCAGGATCGGCGGGCAGGGGCGCCGCCGAGGTGGAGGGCCGATGCATGTTGGTCTCGCCAGGTGTCTCGCGGCAGCGACCCTCGCACTTGTGGCGCAGAAGGCTGGCTGTGCCGGTCTTGCTCTTGTACGCCAGCACATTGTCGCAGTCCAGGCACTTGACGAAGTTCTGTCGGACGCCACGGTACACAATCGGCCTGAAGTACTTCCAGACGTGACTCTTGATATTCTCCGGCATCACAATGTCGATCTCATCGCTCGCCTCGCGCAGCTTTTGCTCGAGTTCCGCTCGTGACAGCAGAACCGCCTGGCATGACGGTGTGCATCCGTACTCTTGCTTCATTGTCTTCGCCACTCACACAATCACCCGTGGCTGGACGGTGGATCGCGCTGGCGGACGCGAAATGGCTGTCCACTGCGAAGAGGAAAACTGGTCTGTACAGGGTGCCTTTGTCCGTGGGCACACGGAGGGTGTGCTGGCGTCCACTCACCTCTGTTGTCCTTCCCGGAATCCAGGTACGCTGCCTCGTCTGGAACAACACCCACGGGGCCGAGGTCTTCCAAGGAGAAAATAATCCACACAGTCTGTCTCACTCTACCAGACGGCGCGTGCAACGCAAGTACCAGTCGTACTCACTGCCAGACAACCACTGACTCTCTGGGCCTCTCCACATCGTCCGCAAGCCAGTGTCGCCACTCACACAAGCCCTCGTACGTGTCTCGCAATCGATGAACGACCGAGAATTCTCCTCCACAGTTCACGGCCCAACACACCCGAACAAAACTCCGCACGAACACATGAAGACCCGATCCCATGCCAGCCGCTGGCCGGAGCGAGACGGCGAGCACCGACACACCGACGAGGCGAGCATGCGTGTATTGGAGCATGTCACGTATTCACCACTTGCGTGACTCACGTAATTCCACCGTTTTTTTCCTTTCTTCTCTCGTCGCGCCTCTCTTCCCCCCCGCCGACGAGGCAAGCAGCGTTTCCAGCCAGAGCGAGCTGGAGGATCCGAGCCATGGACCTCGCAACCGCGGAGGTGACACCGAGAGTCATGAAAAACAGAGAGGAATTGGCGCGTTCGTCACGATTTACTCGTGGTCGCGGCGAGCGCCTCAAGGGGCAAAGCAGAAAACTACTAGGGTACATATTTTTCCAACAGTTCGTTACAGTGGCTCGCAAATAAATAGAGACATCACTTCTAAACTTAAAGATATCAATGCCTTTGAGACCTTTGATCCATCTGATATTTTATGTTAATCTTGTAATTAATTTATTATCCTATATAGTTTGAAGTTCTCAGCTTAACTCAATAATAAACACGACCTAAATTACCGATTATCGTTAAGAATTAAGGACTTCAAATTTAAAAGGATTAGACGGTATGTCGAGTATATTTATGGAAACTCGAACGACTTAAGCTCAAATAAATCTAGGATTGAAATTAAATATTGTAAATCTTACCTGCGATCTACGGTTGATAGGCATAAGTAGTACATCAAGGGATTCTCCAGCTGCGGACAAGGAAAACCGATCCCGTGGAAATATTCAAGCATAGCTCTGGTTCCTCCTGAATAGACGACTCCTCCCAAGCAAAGAAAAAGAGCTCTGAAAGCAACAGCACCTGATTAATACAAGTCTTTTAAAAGAAGAAAAAACAAAACCTCTACCTGTCCAGGAATGGGAAGACATCTGAGCGAGGCTTCTCAAGGGATAAGAGCACTCCGCATCCACTCTTCTTTGCCGAATTGGATAGGATCGAGATCAACAAGTAGGCACTCAAAGGATCTAGGCCTTGAGTAGGTTCGTCCAGGAGCAACATGACTGGATCACGAACTAGCTGGATCCCAATAGCTAGGCGTCTTTTCTCACTCATGGTCAGGTACTCAACTCTCTTGTTACTGACCTGCGACAGGGCTAGGTCGGCAAGAATCTGACGAACCTTTGACGCTTTCAAATAGCCGGTAAACTGGAAAAAGTCATGCTGAGAGTCTGTTTGCCTATGATAGTCACTTCAGGACTTACAATGGTCGGAGTGTAGTGCAGGGTTTGGGAAACTGTGAGTCCGGGAATAAAGTTGGTCGAGTGTGTCACATAACCGCATCTCTGCTGGAACAGGCTCTTGGTCAGCGGTGCTCCGTTTAAGAGGACCTGTCCTCTGGTGGATCCATCTCCTCGCCTGGCGATCACGTCGAGCAAAGCTCTCTTGCCGCTCCCTTTGGACCCCAGGATGGCCATCACTTCGCCGCTGTGCACCGTGAGGTTGACACACTTGAGGACCAGGGCTGAGGTGTCGCCCCCACTGAAGCACCCACCCCCATCGACCTGCAACACCAATCGAGAGTTGACCCTGACAAATTTCGTCTCCCTGGGAAACATTGGGGAGCCTCACCTCAGTCGTGTGGTAAATGTTGTGCGCCTCCAACACATAGTCACTTCCGATCATTGTGGATCTGGGCGTCAATTGCACACAACCAAATGGCAGTCAACGCAACTTCTTCAGCCGCACGCGAGCGAAGAACAAAGCACGATGGAGTGCGATCGAGCCAGCGACCAATACTGTACTGTAGCGGCTCGCAGAGTCCGTAGGTGATCTCACAGAGTTGAGGTCGCTGCGGCAAAACGGGGGGCTCACCTGTGTAGTGGTGGAGGAGCTTTATAGCGGATTCTGCCGCTTGATGGTGGTGGTCGACAGGTAAAAAGAGCGTTTCTAATCAAATTTCCAGGGAATTTTCTACCCTATGACCCGAACGTGACTTGTGGGTGTTTCCCCTGAGTCTGATTTATTGGCAATCACTGGTCATCTTCGTGGAATTTCTGCCTGTATGGTAGCTAATGATCTGTGCGGGTTTTGTGTGTGTTCCACCTCACACAGGTGCTTGATGGGCTCTTTAAACAATCAACGTGGAGAATCCAGCAATACAGTTGCATTCCGTACACCCGATCCAGCGATCTTTCGGCCTCTGCAGAGGCGCCAAAACGCCGCGGAACACTGCATCGAGTGTACCTGGACTGGAAGTATAGGTGAAAATTGAGGTGGATCGCCGGTGTGGTTGTAGCGTTCACGGTTCTTGTTCAAGATGGCGTCACGATTGTTTTAGTCATTTACCTGCCCTGGCATCGAACGGATCGCATGTGGATCGCGGTGCCGGATATCCACAATTGACCCCCAAAAAGAGCTGTCTTTTGGCCAATTGGACCACAACTTGGGCATCGTGATCGCGCCTCAATCGCAAGATCACCGTTTTCCCGAGGAATTCACACTGTGATCTGTGGCATTAGCGTTGTTTGTGCTTGTTCTGTGATCACCTCAGAGACTGCATTGGTTCTTTTTCTCCCAACGCGAGTGCAATGATCGTGGCGCGATGGATCTGTGAATGACAGTGGCTTGATCGCGACATGCAACTCCATGGATTAAATCTCACATAGTACCGCAACGCAGAAGAAAATCAGTAAGTATTTCTCAGAGACGTGTCACAATATTTATTCACGGGGTCAGAAAATGAAGGTTTTTCTCCAACGCGCGCTATTTGGGTAGAGATGAAGAGTTGTTGAAGATCAATCGAAGCGCGATTCTTGGCCAATTGTGGTGCTCTTCTGCCAACACACAAATTTTCGGTGTGTATTGCTGACGCGTTGTGACACAGAGAAAAGAGAGAGAGAGAGGAGAAAAATGTATGACATAAATCCGGCGAGAATTCCAAAAATGTGTGTCACTTTTCCAAGTCAACCTCCAATCAAGTGGACTTTCTTGGTGATGGCGAGAGATCACCCGAAAAAAGGCCATAGCAGCCACTGAATATTGACGAGGTTTATTTTGAGATCTCGCGACCGGTTATTGTTTTATTTCGCTGACTGAAAGAGCACAAGATCGCCGAGGATCGAGCGCGTGCAGAGCACACGAAAAAGAAATCCTCCGCGAGTCCCAATCAGACTGTTTAAATCAGATTTCCCGCTCGATGATCGCGGGAGATTTTAATTTGCTGCTGAACTGAAAACAAGACTTATTGCAAAATAACACGAGTCGCCACTAACCGTAACTGATCATTGCATAAATGCCACAGAGAGTGACGCCTTCAGATTGGCACTCTCGATTGATTTGCACTAAATGCCAGCAATTAACTGGATGATCTTCACTGGCGATCAGTTGCGTGCAATCCACCATGTGACATGCGCGATCTCTCATCGCCAAGCTCATCGCAGAGGAAGTGCTTTGATGATGAATCCCAATTCCCAGCGCCATTAGAGGTGTGCGATTAAGAATGAATTCAGGCACTGTCGTGCCACTTCTTCCAATGATCGCGTTCTGTGTGCTTTAACGGTCCATTGATTGCATTTGTCTGCACCGCGAAGATCACAACACTCTGAATTCAACAGCCACAATATTTGGCTGACCCAGAAAGATTCACGCGGTGCTATTTTTCAATTAATTTGGTCATTTTGCGACCGCCTGCGGCGGTTTTGCGTCAATGGTGTTCATGCGAAGATCGCGCGAAAACTGCAAAGTGTGATCGCGTGTGATCATCATCGATTATCATCATCGAGAGTTTGGAACACTTTAGACAAATTGCACACATTAATTGATGTTTATCTGCCAATTTTTCCTAACATTTTCTCTTTTTTTCTCTTTTCCACTTTCCAGTGAGTCGTCAAGAACGTACTTTTCGAAATGTAAGTCTATTTAACAAAACATTACGCGGATGATGTGCTAGAAAATGAACCTGTAGATGTAGAATAGTCTTTTCAAGCTCTTCAATGAAGTAGATCATTTGCACTTCAACTTTTTGGCTAATGATGTGTGAAAGGTGTGAGTTTAGAATGTTGAAATGAAAATATTGGTTATTTTGTGTTCTTTCTCACTGAAAGAAAATCTCGCAGGCAATTTGAGTGCATGACGATCACTCAATCATTACATTTGACTCAGATTCTCCATTGAAATTCTCTCTCTGCCACCGCATGTGCTAATTCTGAGAGCCATTCTCATCCAGTCTTTTCTTTCTCATGAGCAATTTCCCTCATGGAAACCGGTGCAGTGTGTGAATGGGAATTCTCTCGTTGATCTATATAATTTTGTGAAAAGCCCTCGCGGGCATCATCCTAAAACGGGATTCAATGCGCATTCCTCACGTGTTCTGGGTGCGTCCTGACCAGCGCAATTGAGCCCTTAATCACTCGCAACTCGCAGAGCAATTAGCCCATTTTCGCGGGGCTTTTTACTCCGCGCTTTTTTCCCTACTGCGATTTCTACTAATTGGGTGTGTCTCAATGACATTTTTGCCAGCCTGAATTCATTCGACATGCAAATATTTTTATTATATGATAAGTATTAGAGAGAGCCGCAAATAAAGACATGATGGCTTTTATTCACTGCGAACCCACAGCGTGTGCCGAATAGCGATCGCGATCTGATCGAGGACACAATAATTGGAGGGTTTTCCATAAGACACCGCGATTCTCTGTGCTTTTATTGTGTTCATCGCCCACGGGGAAGCTTTTCAATCCGTCAATTTTCATGAGATTGATTGATGTGGGAAGAGTTTCATATTTCTTTTTAAGCACAAAATCATACAAGAGAAAAATAAAGAGAAATTTCGCATACAATCCACTTAAGTTCTTTGCTCAGACTGGAGAAAGAAGATAATGGCCATAAATTTGAAGGATTTGAGATATCTGGCAAAATATGTGCTGATAAACTTGTCAGGTGGACATATAATATTCCAGTTTATGTATTTTTTCATCCATGTTTGACACACAAATTCACATTCAGTCGGTTGTAAAATTATATTTGCTTCCTCGCACGAGAAATTTTCACTTCTTACGAAAATTTACATGAAATGTAAACATCTTGATAACATCTTGTTCTCTGTTTGTCTTCGAGCGCTCACAAAATGTGACGTAACCATTTGTTTTTCGCATTCAAGTTAAGAAATTTCGAGTTATGAATATTGATGTGGAATATCAATTGACACTCCTGGCATTTTCTTGGTAATATTCTGAAGATCAAGGCAAGGAATTACCTTACAATGGAGAAGGAAAAGAGCGACTGAACATGTGTCAAATGCCAGGAAGTGAGCACTTTGATGTGGATGTAAATGCGTGGCGGAACGGCTGAATTGTCACCGCGAGTCCTTCAACTTCTCGCGGCAGGTGAATCTCACCTTGTCGAAAGTGGGATGAATTGGCCAGCGCGGAGGGCGTGCAGATGTCCGATTCCGGTGCGCTGCGTCTCTCTTTTCACAATTCATTTCATTTCCGATGGAACAATGGTGCATTTATTATCGTCAATTTGTTACTCCATCTCATCTCACGATAAAGCCGCAACTTCTGCATTGCATCCCATTGTCTCACCGAAGGAAAAGAGACCCTGACGCTTCAACCTTAACACCGACGAGTTCAAATGATTCTCGCTTCTTGCTCAATTCCGCTTTTTTCTGCACTTCCCACCTTCGACTGACTCATGCCAAATGCGCATAAGTGATGACAACTGTTGATTCATCAACATTTTGACCGCTTTGCCTCATCAATGATGACAAATTCACTCCGCAAATATTGTCAACATCAATTTGCAATCTTCTGCGGTCTTCTTCTTTAAGCCACTCAAGCAGTGAAACACCATCGAAATTATACAACGTTTTAAGAGTTTTGGATTTTCCAATGAAAGTCTTTTGGCACGAAATTAGCGATGAAAGTCTATCGTGAAGTGAAAATTTCCTAGCCGAATGTTTCATTCATGATATGGCATATTTATGAGTGCTTGTGACTTGCATTTGAGTTTATTCGCGAATTTTCCTTTTCAAGATTTCACTGAAAACATTAACATTTTTGCTCTAAATGTTAACCCTTCACTGCATGCGCACATATTTCCCGTTGTTCCTTGCGTATTTAAATCCTGCCAACTTTTCATTAGTGACTCTTTAAAGTTTCGCTGAAGAGCTTAAGTTTCATCTCAATGTCAACTGACGATCCTCGCTTGCATGAGTAATTCTTTCCTGCTTGATCGCCAAGGTCAATGTTTAGCTGAGCACGATCACTTCTTCGTGGTCTGTGTGCTCTTCCTCCTCATCTCTGGCGAGTGTGAGCCAGCAAAGTTCAAAGACACTGTCTGTTGGCTTCTTTGCAGACAATCGCGCACCTTCGCGTTCAATTTTTCGTGAAGATCTGCGCGGAAGGATGATTGTATTCAAGTCACATTCGCAGAGAGGTGCCAAAAAGTTCTCTCGCGCCCCATCGAGAGTCAATTGACTTAGACTTTCGGCAGAGCGCAAAAGACATCTTCATCTGCCAGATGAGCAGAGAAACTGTACAGAGAAGATGATGTTCTCAGGTGCGGGATTAACAGTGTGTCTCTGAGAAGAACTCAGCGAACGGAATTGGCAGAGAGTTGAATAGAAACGGGAATGTTATTTAAAAGACTAATTACGATGGTCAATATCTCAGGAATTTTATTCACTCGACAATTTTCCACACATTTTGCTTGATTTCCTAAGCAAACATTTCCGCACGCAGAAACATTTTTCGACCTGTCTTTGCCCGAAAAATTCTCTCTCTCTCTCTCTTTGAATTCTATTAGTGTCTGCGCAGACACGCTGGCCAATTTGTGGTTCTCCTTACCTCGTGTGTGATTCACTCCCGAGATATTTCCAATGGGTTTGCATTTGGTTCCAAAGAGAATTGCAAAAGTAGTGATCATGTAAATCAAATTGAGAATTTCCTCAAGATCTGCGGTGTGAAACAACATATTGCTCAAGTGGCTTTTGACCCTGCATTTTCATGCAATATTGCAGATTTCTTTTGTCCGCGAAGCTGACCAGGAGATTTATGGACGGCAAAAGGCAGGGAAAATGTTTACTCATAGAAAATTTTCACTGCAATTATTGCTTGAAGATGCATCAATCTCTGTTCTCAATTTGCTGTATTGACTATTTTACGATGAGCGAAAAGTAATTGCTAAATTGCATGTAAGAGCAATAGAGAGTCAAGCTGTGATCTGGATCTGACGGAGTCTGAAGAACTTTGGCTACGTGTGGAGTTAAAATTCCATAGAATTGAGATAACTCGCGTCTTCGCGCAGCGAACTAATGATGAATTGATGAAAAAAGGCCCATTTCTGGCGTGGAATGAGAACAATTTAATTCCATTTCTGAATGAGGAAGTCTGAGGTGATTAGATTGGATATCTCCAGATGAGTGAATCACAAAAGAGCCACACGGAGTCTTCAATGGTGGAAAGAACCACCCACAATTGTTATTGAGAGGCAGAGATACACACATCTTCCAGCTTCTCGGCAGCCACTTAAGAGAATCATCAACCGCGATCGGCAAAGTGGCTCGTTTTTATTCCCCTCACAACTCATAATTCCCTCCATTGTTTCTTGCATTTGGTGGAGTTTTGCTCTTGATGGCGACTCTCACGGTCTACATTTGGCTTCTTCTGCGGTCCATTCTGTCCATTTTCCACCTCGATTTTTCTCTCAGCGCCGAACAGGCTGCTTTTTGTGCGCGGCCACAAAAAAAAAACCGATGTACAACTCTATTAAACAATTTAGTTTTAAATGGGAGAAAATGTTTTTCATGCATGATCTTCTTTTTTGCACTCATCTCACTTTTCCATGTATTTTTCACTTGTTGGCCAGGTGAAAGACGCTCTTACGGGAGTCACGAATGCAAATTGAACCTCTGGCAAAGTACAGAGAAGGGCAAAACGAACTCATTAGATTGTATGGAAAGTTGTACCCAGAAGTATTGCAAGATTTAAGGAATTCTTAATGAACTTTTCACTTGATTCTTTGTTTTGTATATTAGCAAATTCGTTATAATATTTAGTAATTCTTTTAACTCATAATACATTAGAATTCACATCTAAATGATCTATTTCGCTAACATAGTGAATAATATGAATATACAAACAGTTTGCGCGCAACTGTACCAACATGAGCCGCATGTTTGCAGAGTGTCTGCAAAGTGTGAATCATGGACTTTTGATTTATCTGAAATATTCAGCAAATAGAGCTTCTTTGGCTTTCTCAAACAAGAAGCGCGATCGGAAGAAATTGTGAAAAGCAGACCTCTTTTCACGTGAATAGGAAGTGTGTACACATCACAGTTGATCCACACCCAAAAAAAAGCAGCTCTGAAAGAGAACACACACCCGTTTCATCTCGATGGAATTTAATGAGAAATTTTGCTGCATTGAGCATTTTCACATGACATGAATGGAAAGCATTTCCACGTGCAATTTACCACAAAATTAATTTTTGTCCCCACAAGTCGGAAGAAGGAGTGGTGCTTCCTCGGCATTCAACGCAAGCCATCAAAGCCAATTTCATTCGAAATGCATTCCCAATTGTTGGCACCTCTTTTCCACCTCTGCACGTGTGGCGGTGCTTTCCATTTAATTGCACTTAAGCAAGGCTGCGCAGAACAATGATGTCATTAGCTTTTTTGGCGCCGAGTCGCACTTCTCATCGCGCCCGGGTAATTCGCATTCTTGCGGCGTGTCTTTGCTCAGTAGTCATCGTGAGAAAGATTCTCCGCGCACTCGACTGATGGTCAGGAGAACAATAACACCTGTCCTATCGCACACCCAATTTAGATGGGGAGAGCACAAATTAACCTCGTTTCCAGAATCACAGCCAGTCTCTGAGTTTGACAAACTTCCCGGCGAAAGAACAACCGTTTCACTCGATTACTGGAGCGAATTGTGTGACTAAAGAAGCAACTAATCAACTTCCAAGTGGATTTTAAGACGTTATCGCGACCGTTAGAGCTCAGCAATTGGCTTTCAATGGAAATTGGACTGATTGCACTCAAATTGCCAATGCAATTTGTCATTAGAGGACGACAGAAGGTCTGTGCGAAGGTTCGATCTTCTCCGAGAATGCAGTAAGAGACAATTTCCCGGCTGTGTTTGAAGAACTAGCAGCGATTAGTGGGAAAGGGAGTGTTTCATCTCCGATAATTTTTCCCAAGAGAGATCATTAAGTTGATTAATCGTTCAAACTTGTTCGGTAAATGATAAATTTATTTCACGTATGTGATTATAGACATTACCATCATTCAGTGAAAGAAATAAATCACGAGAGCACTTTTTCCGCCCAATTGACGCTCTCTGTCTGTCAACGGGAAATTAATTTATCCTTTGTGGCATTCTTGGCCCCATTTCTTCTTGGTCACAGATTTATTGACTGATCTTCATTGATTATTAATGGGCTTTTTATACAAATCAGCAGAGAGCGCGACTTTCGCTAAAATTTGTGAAAATCCACAGCGTCTAATCTCCTTGAGAGGAGTTTTGAAGATTTGAGTCAGAAAGTTCAGTGATCCACATTTTGTTAGATCGGAAGGATGGTCAGAAATTCTTCGCCGTCTGATACACAACAAAATGAATATTAATATGACCGACTTTGGCGAACTGAGGAGCATCTAAAATTCATCTTCATGTCTTAATTGCAGAGTAAATCGGTGGGTTTATGAATGAATTTCACTTTCAAATGCTGCCTTCTTGGCTGCCTTGAAACGAAGAAGAGATCACTCAAGAGTGGCACATAAAGTCACTGGATAGGATCACTTACTTCCCAGCGCATCTCACCAGGAATGTGTCGCCATTCTGAGGGCATTCCTTGCTCGCACTGAACGCGCGCCCACGAGAGATCTTCCAGTTCTTCAGGTGGGCCGGTCAATGGAGGCTAAAATGCGGCAAATGAGGCGCTTATCTGGCGAGTGCAGCGTGGAAGGCTGTAGCTGGACGAGCCATCGTCGTGGCATGTAAATACCAGTGGGAGAAATGGCGGCAAAACACGGTGAAATGAAACGCAGAGTCACGGTTTGATGGACAGAAATACCCGTATCATAACAGTAACATTTATGTCAGGAAAACACTCTCCAAGATTCTGGCGTTTGCTCGCCGTTACAAGAATGCTGGAAATTACTGTCAACTCTCTTGGCGCACAGGCACAGCCATAAAGTGGTCATCATCAGCCATTCCACACGGTGTCTGTGTGTAAAACAATAAAAATTGATAAAACGTAACTGACTCCGCGAAGACTTGATGATGTGCGAAGAGTCATTTAGATATGAAACTCTGCACAAAGTGCTGAGAGTCATCAGTGCGCGCCAAGAGTGGAGAAAAAAGGCTGAATTTAATTCATCTAATTGCAAAATTGTATACTAATTTGCCCATATTCGAGAGACGAATCTACATAAGCAATCTCCCTCACTTCTTTCACCGCTAATTTTGTGTTCTTTCCCGAGCCCTTTCCCTTCAGTTTCCACACCACGCGCCATTTGAGGGGCAGACAAGTCAAGCTCATTGCAACACCGCGTCTGTGGGAGTGAAGAATTGCTGCGCATTGCTCAAGACGATGTGGAATTAATTTTGAATGAATTACGAGGACTTGAGCGTTCAATTTTTGGTAGTGAATAATGCATAAAGACTGATTGCAATGACGAGTTTGTCATTCAATTTCTCTGAATGGAAAATCTTGAATCATTCTCTGTGGCATGCAAAAAAGGCCATTGATTGAATTAAAACACAAACTTCGTATAAATAAAAAGAGTATTCTGAGTGTCCAACTGCTTTGGCGATAGATTAACTCTCAAGTCTCTTCAAATATTGACCGTTTCTATGATTGACGAGGAAGTAAAGAACGGATTGATTTGCTTAAGTTCTTGTTTATCCAACGACAAGAGCGGTACAATTCACAGACCAACTTTCTTGCAAAATATCCAAACTGTAAAAGTCATAGAAACTTCTCAAAGAACTTGCTTAGAACAAGAAGAGCTCTCCGATAAACAGAATTCAATAAATTCTCGAAATCAACGTCTCTCATGAAATCAATTGCAAAATTGTAGAAGGCAGAATTTTGTTCAGCCCAGTGAAAATTTTCATTCAACGTTGAGCAGTAGAAGTGATAAGACGTATTTGAACATCCCCTCAAAGCATTAAAAACATTGAAGATGGACACAAGGGATCAACCAATTGGACCAGAACATATTGCGGAGCCTTCCATTGAGTCTGCAAACCAAGAACCAATAGAAGAACTGATTTTTATCGTCAGTGATCTTACCGAAGGGTCTGCGGAGACCCCCGCGGATCCCCCAGCGGAGCCTCAAGACGCCCCAAGGCGACGCAAAAGGAGAAGTTCATCTCCCAGGACTCCTAGACGTTCCACCAAAACTCCGCGACGTCGCAAGAGAGCCAGGAAAACTTCAAGAGCCACAAGGAAAAGCGCAAGAATTGAAGCTCTAAAAACTCCAATGAAAGCTTCCGGAAGACCTCAGAGCCGCTCCAAGAGAGCTCCGAAAACCAAATCAAGATCTGCATAAGAATTGATTCCGGCAATTTCTTCTAAATTATCAATGCTAGTCACCAAATCTCATTTTAAGAAATTAAATTGTGTCTCGAATATTTGTTCCTTGAACTGTTGGAATGTAACATAAAATTTGGGCCCAAAGCATAACCGACAAGTCTTTCATTTTCTATCGTGATTCCCAAGAAGGGATTCAGAGCCAAATCTTAATTTCATCTTCCCGTGAGACCACCAAGAGTGCGCATTGTCGTGCCGCTTAATAGGTATTTTCTCAAAACGACCCATTCAGAAATATGGCATTGCTGATTGACGCTTGTTCGCCCCTCGGCACAAATTAATTATTACAATTTATACGGTCAGTTGACTTGCCTGTTCTCCGGCACCATTGGCGCCCCATCTCGCTCCCTCGCACTCGAGCGGCGGTCGAGAAAAGAGGCCCAACGGGAGGAAAAGCGTCTGAGAAACATGGACAGCGATCCACGATCTGGAAAGTGAAATTTCCGCTCCTCCGCCGTCTCTTTCTTTAATTGCAGAAATATTTTAATTTTCCAACCATTTCGAAATATGGGATGTTGAATTAAGTGTTGCAACTCCATTTTTTTTTGTACATTTGTGTGTACTTTATTTCTATTCCCGCGCGCGCACTCAACATCATTGTCTGGGGATTAAGTTATATGTTTAATGTTGGGTATGGAGAAGTGGGAAAGGAGGTGGAAAAAAGGTCATTAGAATGATGTGCAATTTGATATGGTGCTTGAATGGAAAAATGCATGATTTTCTTTGGGGGCTAAAATTTACTCGAAATGTCGCATTGCTCTCAATAATTGTACTGCTTTAAGATGATCACTTTATTGCTCTGCTGAGGAGGAATTTTCGTTCTGTTTACTTAGCTGCTGATCGATTTTGATGGCACATTCCTCTCATTTTCCAGGGCATAGAACTCAATAATATGTCATCACCGAAGAATTCACGGGAGGAGAGACGATATTCAGTGCCTCATCATGGTCCAAATACTCCACTTCCGCCGCCAGCATCGGAGGATTTGCACGCGTGGTCGATCTACAGGTGAGAACTTGGTACAGGCAATAATCATTTGACCTCAAAAGACGAATCAATTCATCACGTTATTGGCCGGGAAAAAATAGCAAATTATTTAGAAGGTATTTTGAGAAGTTTTGTCACTACAAACACTACAAAATAATCCCTCTTTTGCCACCATTAGCCATTAGACACACTTCTTGTGCGGCTCCTTGGCCCACCCACGGAAATTGTTGTTACTTTCTTTCGCAATTTGTCGGGATTATGTAGAGAATTCACACTTTTTTCGTCGCACAGCCTCATTTCATTCTCAATTTCAATCGCTGGCGAGAGGATGATTTGAGTGTGCGCGATTGGAAAGGAGAAAGTCTTCGATTTATTTGTTTATTTCTCCATATTTAATTGATGAATGTCTATTGAACTTGGCTTGGAACTTGAGGTGTGTAGTGAACGATGGAAAATACTAATCCGTTTGCGCAAGAAGTCTAATTGGACACTTGGGTGCGCTTTAGTGAGCAAATCAACGTGGTTTCACGGGTTTTTTTTTGCATTGACCCAAGAACCTTCCAAAATATTTGTATTTTCCCATAAAATCAGAATGACGAACGCCTAAAATATAGAGCAATTCTGGAGAGCCAGAAAGTCCAAAGTCACGTCACAATCCATTGGATTTCACTGACCTCAAGTCATGGACCGATTGTAGTGATTTTTCGGGTGTGTCTTTTTAGGAATCTCTCCATAATAGTTTATTAGTGGCTCTTTTTCTATCTCCTCGCCCATCTGTGCGTCTTCATTTGCGTGAATGTCCGCCGATGAAGCGCGAAAGAAGCAATCTTAGCCATTCCGTGGGTCGTCAATCCCAAAAACACTGACGAAGAAGACACAAGCGGAGGACGGAAAAAAGAGTGCACAAGAAGAAATCAGTTATGGTTGTGCGGACATTCTTTTTACCATCTCTTTTTGCCTCCTTCCTTCATTACGAATAATTTCCAAGCAATTTTTCCTCGCAAGCATTTCATCGCTGAAGTTGATTTTAATGGTATTCAGAAGGGAAATTTCAATCGCGCAACAGGTTCTTCTTTTTTCTCTCATTACCATGTCTGGATTGTCCAGTTCCACGGCGAAAACCTCCGCACTGATCCTCATGATTATCGTGTGGATTCCGCCACGCCAGAAGGGAAACATTGTCTGAGACTCACCGTCTTCCTGTCCTTGATTGCGAATTCATACACAATCAAGTACACAATTTGCATTCACTCGAGACTCTGAGCAAAGATGCTGAGCCAAATGGGCTGAGAATCGTTCTATTTGCCTTTGAAATACACATTAATTCCATTGGCCTTTGATGCTGATTTTCGTGGTAATTCCGCAGATATTGAGTGTTATTTAATTAGCAATGTTTAGTGAAATATTTGTCTTATTGGCAAATCACGAATTTCTTGAAACTCAACGGGTTGGCGTCTCAGATATCGAGATTTCAGGAAATTTTGACTCCAATCATACTTTAAACCTCGCATTCTTAATTGGATCATAAAATATTTTACGCGACTTTTGCCTTGTTACATCCGAAATACCGGCATTTTCTATATTCCTGAGTAGAAATTTGAGACGCTCAACCTCAAGTCAGTACAATGGCATCGCATGACGACTTATTGAAATGAACTGAAAAACTATATAAAAGTTGCAAGAAATAATTGCCAAAGAGCGCATTATTTCTACAACTCTTCCTCGAGCTCTCGCCCAAAACATCACTCATCATGTTCTTTCTCACGTTTAACAATGTAAAATAATTCTAGACCTGAGGCATTTTACAGGCAAAACCTCAACTCGGACTTTACCGACTCGGCTCTGGGTTCATCCGACAAGTCTCCACTGCCATATGGGAATTTCCAGCTGAGAGACACCACAGTCCAGTCAATTCTCAATCATCCACGCTACGGACCCAAGTGAGCCGCCTTAATCAATCCTCTAGCCACTTGCACCTCTCACAGCCTTGTCTTGCAGGTCTCCTTTGGGCTCCAACATGTACACTTACCTTAAATTCGGGCTGCCACGCGTTTTCCCGCCCAATGCGGGCTCCCAGAGGTCTCACAATCGACCCAACGGAGCCGCCGGCGGCCGAGGGAGAGTGAACAGAGGATACCGGGAGAGTCAGCCGATCGGAGGCGCCAGCAGTGGCTACGACAGCAGCGACAATGAGACGACACGCGGCAGAGTACCGCCGAATCTGCGCAAGTTCCGCAGCGAAAGCGATTTTAGGGCGCTGGGAGTGGTTTCGGGATCACGACCCAGCTCCAGGGCACACGGAAATATCCCTCTGGCGGCCCTGAAGCAAGCCCATAGTCGCGCTAGCATTGCCGGAACGCACTTGAATCACCACAACTCACGTCATTATGGCAATAGGTCGCATAGTGAAGCGGATCTCCTTGGCCAGGACACTTACGACTACGATTCCAGGTAAGCTTTCAGGTTGACTGTAGTCCAGGCCACATTCTGAGATGCTTTTTTGTTTTCCGCAGACTCTACGCCCCGTCCAGGGCACGATCAGACCAGGTTCTGCTGTCCAGGAGGCAATCGCCCATGGGATTAGTGTATCCCAATATCCAAGTGCATTCTCTGGACGTGGTGCCGGGAGTCAGGGGGGTTTCTCTGCAGGCGAAGGCCGGGGATCTCTTTGCAATTATGGCCACGTCTCAGAAAGAAGGCACAGCACTTACGGAAGCTCTGGCTGGGCTGCGACAACGCTTGGGCGGAGAGATACTGGTCAATGGACAGCACATCACGCAGCGAGGACTCCGTGATCTCTGTGGTTACGTGTCGGCCCCCGATCGCGCCGCTCTAGATCCGCGGATGAGTGTCCAAAGCACGTTGAGCTTTCATGCGAATCTTCGAGGTCCGGCAGACAGGAGTGATCTCAAGGAGAGAATTGACATTCTTATCGAAGATCTCGGCTTGACAGCCGTGCGGACGGCCAATGTGTCCCGATTGACGCACTCGGAGCGACAGCGTCTCAGCGTGGCGTGCCAATTGTTGACCCAGGCCAGCGTGCTAGTTCTAGATCAGGCCACCACGAGCATGGACATCTTCGACACCTTCTTTCTGGTCGAGTACCTCAGACAGTGGTGCAGCAGCGGCAGGATCGTGATAATGACCCTGCAGCCGCCGACCTTCGAGATACTCTCCATGTGCTCAGGCGTGCTGCTGCTCTCTGGAGGACGGACTGTCTTCTCGGGCAGTCGCTCGGATCTGCCGCGCCACATGGGTACGCTCGGGTACCCGTGTCCGCCCTTCAAGAACCCAGCAGACTACTATCTGGACCTCGTGACTCTGGACGACCTCTCGGCCGCCGCCATGCTGGAGTCCTCGGCCAGGATCGACTCCCTGGCCTCCGCCTGGGAGCAAGTCAACGCCGAACTGCCAATAAGCGCTCCACCAGCTGCAATGCCCAACTTCACGAAGCGCGCAGGAGTGTTCAAGCAGATCACAACGCTGTGCAAAAGGTGCGCAACTAGGCTTCGAGTGTAGCTAAAATCCTTATGCTGACTCTTTTGGACTTTCAGGTACATTGTGTACAAGCAACCGGGATCTCTGCTCTCCTGGATCAGCAGACTCATCGCCGCCGCTGTACTCTCGCTCTGCATCGGCACAATCTTTTGGGACGTGCCAGCATCTGATCCGCAGTTGACGCAGAACGATCGTCTCGGCTATCATCACTGCATCATGGCCGTAGCGTTCTGGCCACTGCTTTTGCTCGCCATTCGCGATGCACACGAGGATCGCGAGCACGCGGAACGGGAGATCTCGCTGCGGCTCTACTCGCGCCCGCTCTACATCATCGTGCAGAGCGTCTTGAGCGTGATGCCCAGTCTCTGCATCTGGTTGGCCTATCTCCTGCCCGCGCACAGCATGGCCGGCCTGTACTCCTACACCACGAGCAGCGATCGCGGGATTTACATTTACATGGGTGAGAAATTCTCTCAGTTCGATAGGGAAATTCACTAAATGATTTTTCCCCTCCAGGTTACATGCTCCTGTATTTGATGGCCATACAAGCGCTCGCCCTCTTTGGGACCCATTTCTTCTCCACCAAGACGAGCGCTGGCGTCTTCACGGGCTTCGTGATGCTCGCTGTGAGTTCCGTCGGTGGCTACTCCATCCACTCTGCCTCCATTCCGTCCTTCTGGAAGTGGGTGGAGCTGCTGTCGCCGGAGCGCTGGCTTCTGCCCGTTCTGGCTGAGGATGAGTACAGCGCTGAAACAATTGCTAACACTGCTGGTCTTCAGCTCTGCCGGAACAAGCAGGTAAGATCCTCACAGCAATCTAAAAAAAACTCATGAAAATGACTGATCACTTCCTTGCGCAGGTACAACACCAGGAGATCATCGTTCAGCAGCCGTGTCCTCCGCCAAATGGAACGCAGATTCTGGCAGATCACCTGCTCCTGCCACGCAACCACGTCCTAGATCCTCAGGACATGCAAGAGTCGACGTTGATAGCATTAATTGTGGCAGCTTGTCTCCTCTTCCTGCTCGCCTTCATGGCCTTCAGTGTCAACACATGGCGACTGTTTTCACGCAAGAAGAGAAGCTCCAAGGAGAGATAGACAATCTTAAGGGAATTCATTCATTTAACACATTCGGATTTTTTGCTCTTCAATATACAAATTTTCAGAGAAATTACACCAAAGCGTTTTCTTGCTGCTTGAGAATTAGGGCAAGAAGAGCTGCTCCCACTCCGGTTGTGTGATCAGAACAAGTTGCTTGATTCCCGTGGAAGCAGCCTGATTTATCCTGCCAAGAAGAGATTTCTTGTATCCAGTGAGGCTTGAGGAATTCCTGAAAGCCACAAAATGAGCAGAGAAATATTTGTTCCATTGCTAAATCCCTGAGGATTTCGGGGAATCCCAATTTGTCAATTGTGAGAACTTCATTTAGGATTTTTGAACACAATTTCTGGAAAATTTTTCGATGTACTTTGCAATTTCCACGATTCAAAACCATATAAAAGATCAATCTGGAAAGGATTATTTGAATTCATGAATGGAATGCTGATTAAAACTACGATATGATAAACTTACTTGTGAGTTTGATGATATCCAAAAGCAATTCCTTCAGGAGATTCAATCTCCAAGCATTTTTTCGTCACTCCGCAGGTTTTTTTCGCAATTTCTCTCAAGCACTCGTCAGATTGCTGCTCATCAGGACTTCCCCAGTTCAGAATATTTTCGTAAGTCTGCAGGGAAATATTTATAGGTAACGCTTGAAGCTGTCCTTCTGAGAAATTTTGAGGTTTCTTCCAGACTTGAGGATTAACGACAAAGTCAAACACAAACTCGTCCTCTTCACTGGATAAATCCTTAAAGATTTCACGCAGAACGTTGAATTTTTGCTTGAAAACTGCACGTTTTATTGACAAAGGATGCCCAGAAAGAATTGCATCGGCCAAATTGATACCAAAGAAAGCGTTCTTAGTCAGAATCTCAGGATTATCGAGGCAATAGTTCACAAGAGCCATCAATTTATCCTCCACTTGCGCACTATCCACAATTTTGAGTGGATTGAAAAGCAAAAGAATCACCAAAGGAGAGAGATACATCTTCATTGGGCGTCTCAGAGTTACTGAGAACTGCTGAAGTGCTTCTCAAGCGTCCTCCGGATGGATTTAGTCTCCTTGACGACTCCACTCTGCGGGGAGACGACAAACATCCCCGGATGCCAAGCGGGATTAACTTTCCCACGCGTGCGAACGTGATTAATTGCCACCACGGGATTTGCCTTGATTGCCTCAGGCTTAGTCGTCCTCTCGACTCTTCTTGGCGCCGCAGAAGGAATTCTCGGCCTTGCCATTGGTCTCAAATGTGGTTTGATGGTGACTTCTGACGTTTGCCTCCTCAATTCGCCACGCTTCTTGGCCGCTTCGAGATCCTTTGCTTGCTTCTCGCGGATTCTCTGCTGCACATCGACAATCTTTGTGGAAGTTAACGCACGTCTATCAACTGGATACCTCGGACTGTCCTTCCGCATCCTCTCTCGTCTTGGGTCTCCCAAATTGGCTACTGCATCCTTGTTAAAATTCACAGCTTTGCGATACATCTTGAAAAAAGAGAACTTGTTTGTGGACAAAAAGTCAGCGATTCCTTAAATTCCATCCATACTTTATTTACTGATTTGTTCCTCATCTTTCCTTGACTAGGTAATGTTTAAATATCAAATTACATAAATGCCTTACAATTTCCATTTTCGTATAAATTATCCCTTAAGGACGATACTTGAGACAATTTTTTTTGATCCTCTGGGACTTTTTTGCCTGTTCCACATGAATTATAAACTCACAACTGAGCTGAGAAGCTGGAGAAGAATTGCTGGAGATTCAAAGAGGGTCACGAAAAAGTGGTTGTGCGCAACTGATTGCATGCAATTCAATGGTCGAATTGAGCGAGAAAGACTGGACCTGCTCGGGAAACCATTCTGGCCATTGTATAGAGATGACCTAGGGTTCTAGTCTACTTCATCTCCACTCCTCAGCTCTCGCAAACACCATTAGAAAAAGAGTTACACGATAAATTTAAGACAGTGTGTATAGATTATGCAGATGCGCAGAGACACGTACAAATTGCACAAATTGTATTTTTCTTTTCTACAAATAATGCGGGACAGCAGAATCTCTGTCTTGTCGCCTGGTTACTTAATATTTGGTCTTTTCGATGATGGGGTCTCTTTTCACGGAAGCACAAGAGGAAAAGGGGAAATGCACACTCAGACTGGAAAGAATAGTGGCTAATCAGTGGAGTAGTGAGATTTTTTAAGGAAACTTTGTGGTTTCTACCATATTTTTCGGCGAAACAAATTAGATTTGCACATGCAGAAATGCACGGTGGGCTTTTTACGTATCATCTTGAACTGAAGAGAATGCTCTGAAGTGTCTTTCGTGTCCAGTCTGAGGGCTTCAGGGAGACTTAATGCGCGACAAAAGGGGAAAAAGCACTACTTGCCGGTGGAGATTCAATTGCCATCGACGGAAGAGTCACATGAGACGGAGTTCTTTGGCACACAGTAGCCGTCGGAGTTGGCGCCACCCGTGATCCTCTCGAGGCTGTGATTGGAGTTGGAATTGATGCTGTTGGTCTTCGGTGGAATCGGCGGCGGCGTGCAGACGCCGTCCAGACTACCCGAACCCACGAGTCCCGCGGCCAGGGACAGAAGCTCCGCCGCCTGGATGTTCAGCACTTCCGGATTGGAGCTGGTCTTGTGATGGCCGCGCACGTGGTACTCCTCATAGGCGTTCAAATTGTTCAGCTGATTGAGATCCGTGCTGCTCGTGGAGATGCCTGAGTCGCGGAAGTCCACGGAATCGTGGTTGTTCTGCTCACTCGTATCCGAGTCATCGAAGCTGATGTCCACCACGGAATATTTGTGCGATCGCCGAGGAATATTCGGCGCTTGCTGATCGCACTCGGCGAATGGAATGGGATTGGACGCCCTCTTGTCGGGCGTGTAGCCACGTGGCGGTAGAGGTGGAGCATTCGGAGAGCCCTTGCTGCCATCCCTCTTCGGCGGAACCTCCGGACTCTCGCTCAGACTCACGTAACCAGCTGACTTTGGCCGTGCTGGGATTGGCGGCGCCGGCGAATGAACGCCATTCTGACTGGCTGGAACAATCTCAAGCAGCCCAAGCGTCTCTCGATTGCCACTGACAGGAACTGGTCTGGTTCCATCCGCAGGCCTCGTGTAGATGTCATCCTGCTCGTAAATCCCCGCATTGCCCAGACTCATGGCGCGCTTCTCAATTGGCAGCGGCGGAAGTGGTGTGTTGACGATACTCTCAGAATGCTGACGCTTGAGTTTACCCAATCCTGACAAACTCTGCTTCATCTGTGAGAAGCGCTCCAGGAGACGCTTGTGAAGAGGCTGAACAGACGCCGGTGCCAATTGACCGTGCAGCTCCAGCGCCGTTTCCAGCACTTGAACCTGCTCCAGAATCAAACACTTCAGCTTCTGCACATTCGACGCCTGACCCTGTCCTTGCGGAGACTTCATGAAGGTGTCCGTGAAGAATGCCTCCTGATACTTGCTGATTCCGCCCATCACGTTGGCATCAATGATGCCCTGCAGACGCATTGTGAAGGGATTGATATTCTTCCGCGGATCCGTTCGATACTGCGCCACCAGATCCCACAATTCCTTCCCCACATTGCCCATTGTCTCACAGGCAAACTCAACTGGCGTGACTTCGAGCATGGATCTGGCGGTGACTTCGAACCACCTCAAGATTCCTGGTAGAGGACAAGCAATGTCCAGCGTAGTTCGCTCAATCCAGAGACTCTTGAACTCATTCTCCTTGTCCACAACGCCTTTATAGACAGGTCTGTCGTGCTGGAATCTCGTCACGTCATTCACCTGAAAAGAGAACGAAGTTCAGAAAAATGTGTTGAAGATGTGCAAAATCGGAATTACCTGATAGTATCGCGCAATCTTCTCAGGGACCGGCACCATTGCACTCTTCAGGTGTGGATGGTCCGCGATGGGACGCACATTGCTGATCTGAATGTACTGCTCAGGCCCTGAGAGAATCGACTGATCGGGCGGAGAGTTCTTCGTCAAGATCTGCGCCTGAGGAAATTCCGTCTGCAGACGCTGCGTGAAAGCCCCAATTCTCTCATACTCCAGCCCGCGATAGACGAACTGCTTGTTACGCACGAACAGCGGAAAGCCCATTCCGTAGAAGCCCACGCGGAAATACTCAGGCTCTGGGCGAATCTGCGTGAGAATTTGCTGGAAGAACTTCGCCTCCGTAATGAGGATCTCACTCAGGTGATTGTAGTCGAAGCGACGAGTCTCATAAAGAGTGGCCAACTCCTTGCACAGCGGAATACCCTTTTCCCAGCACTTGCCCTTGTCGAAGAACTCCAGGATCTGTTAAGAGGCGACAATATTAGAGACTTTGAGAACAATCAAAGGTCAATTGCAACTCACCTCGTGATAAAGATGCTCCTTTCGCTGCCACTCTGGCTGTCCAATGTTGTCTTGCGGTGAGAAAGTGAGCGCTTCCCGATCCCAACTCAGCATGTCAGCGTACAGTTTGAGCGTGAATCCCGCTTCTGTGTAGTTCTCAGCTTGGATATGCAAATCGAGGAGTTTGTAAATGTACCTGAGAAGAAAATTTCACTGAAAACAAGTCCTTCGGCCAAGATCTCTTCGACGAATACTCACCTCAAGTACATCTCCTTCCGGTTGATTTCGTTCTTGTAAAAGTTCAGAAGATTCACTGTGCAGGACATCCTCTTGTCCCTATTCTCATCACCCTGCATCACGCTCCGGTAGTCAAGCAGTCTCTCCAGCAGTCTCGTTACGGAAGTAATGAAGGCCGCGCCGGCTTCCTGCCAAGTGGGCGCCTCCATTTGGACCTTTTCCAAGAGGCTGCCGGAAGAAAAAAAACAGACCAAACACACTTAACATCTCTCTCTATCATCGCAGACAATGAGAAATGGCCAAATTATATTTCACACATGAAGCATGAAATGATCCACGAGATTGAACACAAAAGCACATTTTTGCCAATTTGTACATCACAAGAAAAACAAACAAGATTCTCAAGAAGACACATGAAAACTTACACCAAGCTCAGATGTTCCCTTCAAGCGTGAAAGATCCGCAAGCGAATTATCATGTATGATTTTTTAGTGTTAGATTTCACTCTATATACAAAGAGCACGGTTTTGTGATCATGACGATCATGATATGATATTTACAGTGAAATTTTTGGCTGTTGGGCTCGAGAGGAAATTCTATACTTACATTGTGCTGAAGAGCTCACGATATTCGTCATCACCCTTGTTCTCGCTAATCAGCAGATCTAGCTTGTCTATCAATTCACTCTCCACAAGTCTGAAGGATCCTCGAGAGGCCTGAGATGAATCAATGATTAATACGCTGTCAGAATGAGGATAATACTGAGTTTTCACCTGTTCACACTGCATCATATCATAGAAGACAGTCAGCGTTGCTCTCCTCAGCGCAGGTTCTGGCACAAGAGTCACTTCGAGAAACGGTCCAACCATCGACGGGATAAAGTGCAATTTGTGATCGCCCAATTGCGACCACATGCTGAGAATCTGGAATCCCATGAGCACTCTCATGTCCCCGTGAGCGTGCAGAATCTTCCGCCTTTTTGTCTCGTGATACTGCTCTAGCTGAAGACAGGGTTGCGTGAGGAAGGACACAGCCAGGCTGAAGTAAGCCCACCAGAGCTGAGAATCGAAGATACTGGGGCCAAGATAGCGATAAACCAATGGCTTCGCGAACTCCTCAAGTGCCTTTCGCACCACATCATTGGCTGCCATCTTCATCACTAGCCAATCATTGGGAAACACTTGCCAATCCTGCGTCAAGAGCTCCTTGAAGACAGCCAGAGTGCGATGGAGGAAGTCCTTGAGTTCCATCGACTCTCCATTCATGCTCAATTCATCCCAGAGATGTTTGTAGTGCACTTCGTCCATTTGCTGCAGGATTCCCAGCATCACCGCCACGAGAGGCGACAAGACAGTCGGCGATCCCTCCATGATGATCATAATCGCCTGCATCAGCATGTCCAGGATGTTCGTGGACAATGCGTCCAGATCATGCTGCAGAGTATTCGAGGGTTTCTCCAATTGCTGCTTCTTCAGCTCGTGCGTGTGTGTCAAAATTTCAGCCAAAATCTCACTGCACAGGCGCAATTCATCCCTGCGCGCCAGATGAATTCTCAGGTGTTTGCACGCCACTGATAGGATTACGGATCGCGATTCATCGTCGTGAAAGAGTTGGCCAGACACGAGATCCTTCACTGCCTGCATCTTCGCCTGAATCAGTCTCGGTTGAGAATCTCGCGGCACAGCGTCTAGCATATTCTTCGCAAGCACGCCCAATTCGGACGGCGGAAGAGTGCCCTTCAGCTGCTCCAGCACGATTCCCGTGGAGTGCAGCAGAGCCTCTTGTGTCAGCAAAATCACATCGTAAGATGGCACTGATAGCATCCGATTGAGAGCGGTGAACAGTGCATACAAATCCCTCCTGAACGATTCCTCGTACTGTCCACCAGAAGCGCGAGAGAATAACTTCCTGGACTGAATGATCAACTTGAAGATGTACTCCAGCGATCCGAAGCACTTCTGAATGGGTTCAGGACGCTCCGCCGATGTCATCCACTCCGCCAAGTGCTGCACAGACGTGATCAATCCCTTGTACACGAGCGCAGCTGCGAAATGATTCTCGATGTACTCATCAATCACGGGCTTGAAGTGCTGAAACTTGCTGCTCTGCAGGAGACTGAAAATGCTCACGAGAACGTGGAAAACCAGCCCTGAGTGTTCAGTGCTGTTACCCTCCTCATTGGAGAACATAGCAAACAGAGCGTCAAGGACATCTTGCAGGAACTTCACCAGTTCCTCATCTCTCAGTCGCAGGACACGCGTCAGAGCATCCTGAATCTTCTCCGGATGTGTTCGCCACTGAAGTAGACTCAGCAAGTCGGCATTCTGGGTGAGTTTCGTCGAGCACAGTAGACTCTTCATGTACAGTGTCTCCTTCGAACTCCTGTGAAACACTGAACTGTTGTCCTGCTGCGCCTGCTCGTCATTCGCCCAACATGGAAGCTTCAAATAACTCGCCGAGATGAGTTTCGTGGGATCCTCACACTTGTACACGTACAACTCGTGCATCCCGTCCGCCAAAGTGGCTCCACTGGGTTCCATCAGCCGCGCAAAGCTAAACCCGAAGAGTTTGGGATCGCTCTTCTCGCGTGTCGAGCAGTGCCTGAACTCGAAGCGGATGTGAGCTATGGAGAACTTTTCAATGGGAACACTAAGACGCAGAGTCTCATTCCAACACGGTGAGTTATGATGATAAAGAATCATTGTGCGATAGGTATTGCAGGGTTCCATGCCAGAAGCTCCCCAGAGACACTCGCTAAGGATCTTTCCGGTAGAATCGTACACCAGGACAGTGACTTCAATGTTCTTGGCAGTACTCTTACCGCCGCGCTCAAATTCCGCCCTTTCCAGGGTCAGAAATAGATCATTTCGCACATCTCCCGGCATTATTACGTCCGGAAAGCCCATCTTCCGTGTGATGGTCGTGCCCTGGAAGAGCAGAGGCTGCTCCAGCTTCGCCTGACCCAGACCGCCGTGCAGGAGCTTCAGCGACACCACCAATCCGTAGTGATTCTGACCACTAGCATTGATTGGAGAGAATTTTCCGCTTGCCTTCTTGATGATTAGCTCGTGCAGTTGATGGAAATCCTTCTCCTCACACTGGAATATCTTGAAGCTGAACTCCTTCTCCTCAGGCTCAATTGAGCTGTCATAGTTGGCAATTTCGCCCAGCGGCAAAACGCCCACGCCATAAGGACGACGGTAACTCTGCGATCCCACCAGCTTGTCACCCTTCTTGATGCTCTCCGAGTGCAGAATTCTGCCCACTCGCATTACATTGGCCACCAGATAGAGATCTCCGCTGAGATCAGACACGCCCAAGTCCGTGAACACTGTGCAATTGCTGTGGAGCTTCTCGATGTAGTTGGAGAAGCCGTCTTTGGATATCTTGACCAGGAAGCGCTCAGAAAGCGCGCGCATGCGATTGGAATTGCCATCATAAAGGTAGAAATAGACTTCAGCATCATCTCCAATTCTATGCCCAAAATCCCTCATGCAGAAGTATAGATGATGAGTGAGGATCGTTTTGGTTGTCTTCCGTCGCAATGTTCCTCGACTCTGGCGAGAGAATAGTAAAGTATGTTAATAAGTGGCATAAAAGTGATTCGAACGGAAAAAATGCACTCACAGAAGACGCTTTGGCATTTTCAGCACTATTCACGTGAACATTGTGCAGCGACACTATTCCAATGTTGTGTGGATTCACAGCTAATGGTCCAATCCTTGGCACCAAGTCCAGACATAATTTTCTGAAAATCAAAAGACCATCATTTCAGTCAAATCTCACCAGCTACTCGAATTACTATTCAGACAGCGCCTTCGACATACTACTCTTAAAGATGCATTTACATAGAATCAATCACGGCAAACGCAGCGCTTGTTCTTTCTTCACTTCTGCCTCACATATTCTTCTCTCGTCTTTTATGGGAATTCTAGGCATTGGTGGTTGTGAGTTTTATGATTTCTACTGAGAAATTGACTGCTTTGCATAAGAAAAGAGTCCATTTAGTTGCCTTGCAGTCTTGACCATTCCTCTAAGAAGATAAAATGCGATAACTAAGGCAAGCAAATTTGCTCCTTTCATTATTTGCCTTGTGTAGCATTTCCCGCACTGTTAGCCATACTATTGATCCATTTAATTACATAGTCAGATATCACTTAATTCTATTCACAGATAATCTCTAAAATTTTGCGAATGCAAGGAAATTAACTAACATAGGCGAAAAGGTCAATAAAAGAAGTCTGGCTAGAAAAATTTATGGCAATTTATTTATGTTAACAACGTTCTCAGAACTTGTTCTTGAAAATGTTGAGCTATTTCTTAGCCTTATTTCAATATCATCTTCCCTTTTCTCGTCATTTTTATCACAACTTCCTGATTTTCGTTTTCTTTTAGAGCTTTTCGCAAACCTATGAAGTTTCTTCGCCACCCTGTCTCGTGAAATCTATAAACCTTTCTGCGAAATTTAAAACCTCAAGCGATTGAGTGAATAAAGAAGCGGAGCAGTTAAAGGCACGGCAGAAAGCATTGAATTCCTCCATCTCACTCGAGCCCACTTCCTGGCCACACTGCCCAGCGCGACAGAGAGAGATGCGACCTGAATTGTGGAATTCAAATAAGACAAAAGCACCAAAACCCATGGAGAAGAGTTCAAGACATTTCTCGCCGCTCTCGAGAACACCAGCGGTGCACAAGAGTGAGAGGTGAATCCGTTCCGGTGGAGTTTCTTTGTACACATCAATTGGCTCTCCGCACGTTCGTGTCGTTCTCCTCCGAATCATCTTCCCTCCCCATCTCCAGTGCCTGAGAAACTCGTTCCCAACACATCCCAGTCCCGAGATTCATGCACTGGAAAGCGAGACGCGCTTGTGTGCGAGAAATGCTCTCCGCGGAGTCGTTTATCACCTCAGGTATGAAAAAATCCTCAGCACACGGGCAAGACGAGACTGTCTCTCTCAGAATCACTTCCCCGGTTTCCAAGTAGGAAGAATTCACCTCTTATTTACTTTGCAGACCTCTCTGTCGCTCTCACCTCGCGTGAAGGATGAACGAAGGCACACCAGCGGAGAACTGGCATTACACATGTGTAATTCGGAATGGAGAAGAAATCTCATACTGCCAGAGATTTCCGAGCGTCATTATAAAAAAGATTAAACTCCCCGGTAGCTCGGACGAGCTACCGATTTACACCATTCAAATAATCCACGTGTTGCTTTTCTTTAAATCACACTCATTCACATTCGCCATGCCGAAATGTGCAAAAGCCACTCTCTCGCGCGTCACGAGGCGAAATACTCCGGGCTATTATCGCCCAGATTGTAGTAATTAGTGGCGTGCTATCGGTCACATTAGGTTCGACATTGATTTGTTTTCTTTTCACACTTTCTTCCAAGCAACAGAATGAGTCACACTGTTTTGTGCCACATTATCTGAAGAGATCTGGGAGGAAAAACAGCCACTCTGCGAGAAGTTAATGAATCACTGAGAATGGCATTCAAAAAATGCTTTCCTGGAAGTCAAACGTGCGTATCTTGACCACAACAATGTCTGAATGATTCTGGTTCAGCGATTTTGCAAACTGAATTACAAATCGCACCTTTCTGAGAAGAGTGTGATATGAGTGGCCATTGAAGTCAATCGATTGCTTAATTGAACACATGTTATCATTATACAATATTTGCGAAATAATATTGACTTAAGAATAAGGTACCTTTCAAGAGACTGTTGACACAAGTCTTTAAAAATCTTTGATAACAGAGTGAAGGACGATTTATTTATTTATATTGTATTAGCACTCATTGTATTGACAATTTCCCGAAATAAATCCGAAATTGCAAATCTTCTAACCTTTCAGACTCTGGCAGAGGAACATAGAAAGTCATCCTCTTTCGCTTTCACTCTACAATCACTTCAAATTAAATTTATCACAATGAAACACCTTCAACCGGTGTGATAAACTCACATCTATTTGCTTGCTCTAAATTTGCCCATTTATTAAAAAATCACCACTGCAGATTTTTCCCTCAAACAGTGTGAATTGAATGCGAATGCGACACATCGTCGAACTGAAATACAATCACTGAAAGAACTTCAAGACCGGGAGAGCAATGCTTTGTATTATCTCTCATTGACACACATAGACGGAAGAGTGATAAGATAGTGCAAGCAGGATTTTTCTCTTTCAAACTCCATTATCAAACTGCAAGAAAGTGGACTTGAAAGGCGATTAGAGAAGTAAGAAGTAAGAATAGGTCAAACGGTGAAACATTCATTTATCAAATAATCATCAATTGATTAATCCGAACAAAATGCACCAATTTGCATTTCAAGTGGAAAAATGAGATTTTGTTATTAGAGGAGGAACTTTTTCTCCACAATCTTTTATTGAAATGCTAACGAACGAATGATGTTTGCATTTTAACTCCACAGCAAATATGCCAGCGAATTATCACCGATTTCCTTTCATATATTCACCAGTTGAATATGAGCATTGTTATCAAATTTCTCACGCGAGTCAGCAGAGTAGAAAAATCAGTGATTTCAAGAGCACATTTTATTTTCCAGGAAAACCGCCAAAAAGCGATAAAATCCCAGAATAAAAATTTCAAATAAATTCACAATGTGTTGCATTGAGAAATGTTCTGAGATTTCTTGTATAATACAATTGATGAGTTCAAATTGAATGTATGCATTGGAATTTTTCCCGAGCAAAATGTCTGCAAGTCAGCATAAAAGTTGAGTGTGAATATTCAACTTGGGAATTATCGTATTAAATTGCCTGATAAATGATCAATGCGCCACAGTCACAGCAGCATAATTTAATTGATAGTCGTGACAGTGCGCGAATGGTTTACCTTGTACCACATTGGGATTTTTCATTTTCAGATTCATTCTCTCGCTTCACCATTCCTCATCCACTGTGACACCGAACAGCATCAGCAGAGGCTTTTTTGCCTGAATTGGCGAAATGTCGCCACACAGCGCAATTCCTTCTCACATCCTCACATTGTGTGGAGAAGAGACAAGGGATAAAAAGAAGAAATGCGTTACATGGAGAGTCAAGAAAAAGCATTCTCACGGAGTTCTTTGCTGCACACTCGCGCACATGCCTGAGAACAGGTTTGGCAAGGAACCTCGACTCCCCCGGCTTAGCAGCACAAGAGGTGAATTCCACGGAGAGACTTTGCCAATTCGGCTCGCGGATTTTTTGCAATCACCAATGCAAAATACCTGTTTCTCAGGCCAACACCTCAATATGGGAAGCCTGGCTGGATACATTAATCATGCGCTGGTCTGGGATCACTTGGTGATATCTGCGATCGTTCCCGGACCCAGTCATTAAACCTCTTTGGCTTTTTGGCCATTTAACTCGGCGGGAGTCGAGGCAGAAAGCCGCAAAGTCACACCTAAATGGCAAAGAGAGAAATTTCAGCGACGCAATGCTAATTTTGCGCACTTGAATTTCTCTTTAGACAATTCAGCATTCTCGCGATAGGCAATTAATATTTCTCGCCAAATATGGCATGATTGCCAGATCATTTGCAACAATCGTTGCGCAGTGCGATTGAAGATCATGGGATCCGCGCAGATTGATGGCGATTTTGTAAGAGTGCCGGCAAGCGAAGCGCTACTTGAGTTACCTGTCTCAGGTGAATTCAGCTAATTAAAACATCAGTGCGTGAGTGAGAAAGGTAGGCTCTGCGCACCAACACAGAGCCATCCAATACACACCATGTTTGGCGTACGGAGAGCCGAGAATCGAAGCGATCAGCGGTGCTATATAGCCCAGAACACACTGCCTAGGCATTATTTATAAGGCAGTCCGACAGCAGCTGTCTCTGTTCTTTCCCTCCACACTGCCCGGAGAGTGAGTCAGTGCCACACAGCTCGGCTCAGTACGGGGAACGAGGGAGCCGAAACGCAACCAGTTTCAGCTTAGCTGTCGAAGAAAGAGACTTGCACCAGGAGGCAACCTCTCGGAATTCACATCACTCCTCAGTTTGTGTGAGACCTCCGGAGGGGAAACGCAATGTTCGGATCAGTTGCCCTCATGTGTTGATCTCTCTGTCTCTGAACCATACACATTCCTCAGGCCACCGTTCTTCGCCAAGTCGCGCCAATTCAACAAGTTTGACCCCCGCGATTCAGTGTTAAAATTAGGTGAGAATTATTAATGAAGCGCCCCGGCAAATTGTCTGCGTGTGTTCCTCTCAAAAAAATTGTGAGCAAATTCTCATTGTACGTGGACGTTGCAAGCGGAGCCTAGGAGAAAATGGATTTTGAGTGCAGATGGCGATCCCTCCAACATTCCATCATCAAGCCCAAAGAGACCAAAGACGCCTTCCTCTCGGCGAAACGACCTGTGTGTGTGCTGGCATCTCACTCTCCTGGCCACGCTCTTTCACTCCAACACACGTCTCTTCTTTCACGATTATGTGGCAACGCATTCTTCAGTGTTCTCATCACAATTTTTGTGAATGGCCAGAGAAAGAGGAGAGCATGATAAAATTGACGGCTCCTTTTTGAATGTACAGTGAATAGTGGAAAATTTTCCCCATTCTTTCACTCTCAACCGCGTAAAATTGTGGTGAAACTCCAATTTTTCCACCTTTTATTCCTTCACCCGAATTACGAAACATCTTACATGCGGAGTGCAATCGATATTACTCCACGCACCAACCAACCATTCAGCCGGAGTTTCTATGGAGACTGAAAGAGGCTACGAAAGCCACCAATGATGTCCCCCTTCTATCAAACATCCCAAATTTTTATTCACACACACTCTGGGTTTCTCCCACATTTGTGAGAAAAAAAAGTTCTCTCAATACTTTGGTGAATAAATTTACCTTGAGTAAATATTCAAAAGATAAAAAGCAATCGATCTCGCGTCATCCATTTTTGTGTTTCTGAACATATTCTCATTTTCAAATGGTTTCTGTGTGCGCTTCGCAGGCCCTTTCTCCACCCCTGAACGATGCCAGGATAACTGAAAGGGGACGCGAAATGTGTTTTTCGAAGGGGAAGAAGCAATGCAACATTTCAGGGAAACCCGCATTAGAGCGCGATTGAGCACGCATAAAGTCTCAACATTTCTCCAAAGCAGCATCAATTATTCCCAATTGTTCAGTGATAAAACACGCGATTTATCATCCAATACGCCTAATTGCATTCTCGCGGTGCTTCAAATCCACCACTGAGATGTGAGTTTTCACATTAAAAAACCTTACATAATCGCCATGAGATGCAAACTCGTGGAGTTTTACAAAGAAACATCAACTCGTAAAGTGTGAAGAACGTGAAGAAGGTTGAAAAAGGTACACCAAATGTGACTTTTAACGGTTCATTTCGAGAGAGAAAATAATTAATCTACCGACATTGTCACACTATTTGGGCAATAAGCCAGAGACATTGTGAAATTCCTCGTGGACTTTGGCCACTCATGAGTTGATGATGATGATGAGGGGAAAAGACGTGAATCATTGAAGAGGATGCTTGGAATAACAATGTAAAAAACGGACTCAATAACTAACAGTGATTCATATAAAAACGATGAAGTATCAAAGTTATAAGGAAGTTTCCCCACAGTGAATCAGATGCAAGAAATTGTGAGAAAAGTACTCTGGAAATAAAGAGACAGAAAACTGTGAAAGACTCGTGACTGAATTTTTAACAAAGCCTCCACAAGAAGACAATCCCCAAAGAAGTCCAAGATTTTCAAGTAAATATTTACACATGGGTGAAGAAAAAGTCAGTCTTATCTTGGAGTGTGAATGAGAAGAGAGAGGATCACATTCTCGTTGTCTCTCCTTTAGCACACACTGTTTGGATTTACAGACGAAGCTCCAAGACGGCATTTATCGTGACAATTGTAGAGCACACACTAAGCAGTTGCCCTTCGAGAGGCCCAAGAAATAACCATATGGTCTTCTTGTTCAAATAAACCCCAAAAGAGGCATTGCAAGATAAGGAAAATTTCCTGCCATAAATTACCCTCGAAAAATCAATTTTCCAGCCAGAACTGCGCTCAGTGTCAACAGAAATAATTACAGCTAACGTAGAGAATCATCATTTCCTCTGTGGACACAGGAAGTAACCACACAAATCGCATGCTAGTGGCTTTCATACACACCAACAATACTCATCAAAAACGCCACAAAAGCATCTTCGCAACAATTAAAGTCACTCTCTGGATGAAACTCACAAAATCAAGCGCCAAGTACTCTCGTTGGTGATGCAATAAACAAGCACGAAAGAGGGAAAGAGAGAGAGAGAAAAAATGCAAGAAAACGTCTTAAAACTTCTTCATGTCCTTCTTTTATATTGGCACTTGAATGCACTCTCAAATGAATTATTCATAAGCAAGAGGAGAGATTATAAAGAAACAAGAACAATTGCCTGGATAAAGCGATGAATTTCATTTTGGGAAAAAGTTCCAAGTGTAGAAAGTCAGTGAACTTCACTGAGAGTTTGAGGGTGTTTGCTGAAATTACCATTCTTGTGTTACAACACACACTTCAAGCGAAGAAATTGCCGAGAAAATTGAATTACTTCCTAACACTTTCAAACTTTACAGAGACATAACATTTCGGTCAAAAGGAGAATGACACGAAAAACACGAGAAGAATACCAAATGGGCAAAAAAGCGCGGGAAGAAGGTTCAATTGCTCCCAAAAAATTGACCAAACAATGAGTCTCTGGAGCACAAGTCAACGCCTTTGCACGCCGCAAATCACGCAATCGTAGGTTACAAACATTACACAGAGTGGACACTTGGAGTGGGGTCTTTGAGAATTGTCTCATCACGCTGAACACACATCAGGTAGACTTGAGAATTCTCTGCAATTGACCAAGGTCGAAATAATTGCATCACACCAATTCCATTCAGGCACTTAACATGCAACAAAGGCCAGCAAATAAGCCCAATGTGCATCAATACAAACGGCGAATCTCGTGGCTAGATTGCGATAAATCTAGCTGTCATAAATCAAACGAACTCAGCACGGAAACAACCTGTTGGATTTCACTCTCCAGAAAACGCTGAAATAACAACATTTATCCGCCGGCAAAGAAAAAAGTCCACAAAGTCGCGAATTAATTGGAAAAGTTACTTTTCCAACAATTTGAATATAATCTCACCCTCACGTAAATTTGAAATGTTGCGCTTCTAAATTATACACATGTGATATCAGCGACAGCACATAACATTTGGGTCAACTCCCAACACGCAGCATTTGCTAATGGTTTCAATTAACTTGAGAGTAATTTTGCGCGTTGTTTTTTTTCTCTTTGCAGAAAACAACGTGTCACCAATCGTTCTAGTTTAAGACAACAAACATGGCAGTGTTTGGCTTAGTGTCCGCCGTGGCCGGATTCGTCAAAGTCCGGTACCTTATCGACAAAGCCATCATCGATAACATGATCTTCAGATGCCACTACAGGATAACAAGTGCGATCCTCTTCGTGTGCTGCATCATCGTAACAGCTAATAACTTAATAGGTGAGCTAAGCGCGCTACCTTGAATTATACCCAATTCAATTAAGCTAATTGCTTGCATTCATCTTTGCAGGAGATCCAATTTCTTGCATTAACGACGGAGCAATTCCCACTCATGTGATCAACACATACTGCTGGATCACGTACACTTTCTCCATTCCCGGACAACATGGGCGACACATAGGGACTGAAGTTGCACATTCCGGATTGGGCAATGACAATGCCGAAAAGACCTTCCACAGCTACTATCAGTGGGTTCCCTTCATGCTCTTCTTCCAGGTAAGTGAATATTATCAGATAATGTTCAGTCACTTTCTCTTGAATATTACAATTTCATCAGTTCATATATAATGTTTCACCCTTCGCAGGGCATTTTATTCTACATTCCGCACTGGTTCTGGAAGAACATCGAAGATGGCAAAGTCCGCATGATCTCTGAGGGAATGCGAGGTTTCCTCGTGTCCAACGTCGAGGAGAGACTATCGCGCCAGAGACGCCTTGTTCAGTACATGGTGGACAGCCTGAGCACTCACAACACCTACGCTACCGGATACTTTGTGTGCGAATTGCTCAACTTCATCAACGTCGTGGGGAATATTTTCTTCGTGGACAAATTCCTGGGCGGAGCTTTCTTGACATACGGCACAGACGTGGTGAAATTCAGCAATATGAACCAAGAAAGTCGCTATGATCCAATGGTTGAAGTCTTCCCGCGCGTCACCAAGTGTACATTCCACAAATACGGAGCTTCAGGAAGTATCCAGAAGCACGACGCAATGTGCGTTCTGGCACTCAACATTCTCAATGAGAAGATTTACATTTTCCTCTGGTGAGTTGCTCTAAATTATATCTCTGTCAACTCCTTAATTAATGGCCGTGTTCACTATTTATTGCGACAGGTTCTGGTTTATCATTCTCTCCATTCTGTCTGGATTGGCCATCATCTATTCAGCCGTTATTGTGATGATGCCCACAACACGTGAATTCATTATTAAGCGTCGCCTTCGCTGCAGATCATCGCAGGAAATTGAGGCGCTCATTAGAAAAGTTGAGGTAAAGTGAAATCTAATCTAACTAAAATTCCCCTTATGACATCTCGCTAAACTCCCTGTAATTTCTCAGGTTGGAGACTTTCTGCTTCTTCATCTCCTGGGACAGAACATAAATGTGGCTTCATTCGGTGATATTCTTCATCTACTATGCAACCAACTTGTCGAAAGTCCCGACGTGACTCCATCAGCCCCGTCAACCCTCGAAATGGCGCCGCCCGCACTGGAAATGGATCCCATTAACAACCCACTGCTGAAGAATCTCCAGATGGAGAAGGTCTGATGATGGTTAACATGGGGAGGAATTAGAGCAACATTCAACATGCGGAGAACAGTGGAGACGAAGTGAATGAATCAAAATCCTTCCTACATTCTTCCTATCGACAAATCAGCGGGAGTTTCTTCAGCATTTATCCATCGCGTACGAGAGATGTGCAAAATTTAGCATATAAACACAATTTTATCTCATAACAAAGTGATATCTTATAAATTTTCGCGAGAGTATTCTAATTAACTAAAGCAAAAATGAATCGCTAGGCAAAAAGACAAGTGAAATCGAAATCATCCCCGGTAAAATCATCCCACAATTTTAGCCTCAACAATACTTATCATTATATATTTTATCTAGATGACGCCATATTTTCTTAGAATTTATTTAATTAAGAGAATTTTTATGATTGTTTGATGAATGTAGGTAAAGAACAAAACTTTACATGGAAAACTTGTACAAGCTCTTATTGTAGTTATTATTCTATATATTTCAATACCACTTAAAATGCTTATGTTTGTCTTCAGCATACTTCTCATATTTCACTTTTGCATTGCACAACAATTAAATATCGTATTTTATCAAGACTGCAGATCAATTATAAAAAAAAATTGCTGTGCAATTGAATGGAGAGATAAAAATTGAGCGTATCTTTTTATAAATAAAGGTTTTTAGTAAGATGAAGAGAAAAATTTTCGACTAGATAGGCAAAAAAAACGAAGAGCAAGTATTTGAGGAGGTTTCATAATAAGAATAAGGAGAATATTTTTTCTAAGATAAGTGATTTTGTCTATGAGTTTTATCTAAGAAGCTGCCTGAATATTTTGTGATCAATAAATATTCGCAGATAATGAAAAAAATATTATTGTTTCACTCACCGATTTCCCCAGTCTATCTTCGAAATGACTTTCAACTGCAGCTCTAGCGTTTGATCTTGTGTTAAGGTGAGTCCCAGCAATTCACGTCGACTCTCCAACAGTGAAAGCATCACCTTTCTCAATGTAGTGAACTTGTAGGTTTCCCTTTCCTGGAAAAATCACGCATTAGTATCATGACTTTCGCAAAAAAAAACCACAAGAAAACTCACCACAAATAATTTTTTCCATATCTCCGACCATTCGCGTAGCACTTGAGTACATTCAGCCACAACTGGATCCACTTTGCTCAGATCTTTCATGTGAATGTAGGATTTCGGGAAGAGACCAACGAGTCTTGGTCTTCTCGGGCAGGTGCCGCGAAACCACGGTCCGCACTCTTCCAGGATCTCCACAGAATCACCAACGTCCAAGGGCAGTCCATGGCGAACGTCTCCGTGCCAATTGTGGATGGCTGCGAAGAGAGGGAAACTCGTTAGGTCACTGATCATCTTCCATTTGCCTAACTTTTGGCTATTGTCTGTTAGCCTATATTCAAATTTCAACCACAGCGAGTTTAATGAACCTCTGAACAGCAATTAAACCTTGAGCGAATGGCCAATTAATGCAGGAAAATTGTGCAAATTGCCACTGTAGGCCACAAGATAATGACATGTATCAATACGTGGAGATTTTCAGTGAATGTCTATCGAAGATCGCGTCATTTTCACTTCTTCTTCGAAGGCGAAAGTTTTTATTGACTGTCGCTCTTTTTTGTGCATATACACAATATCTATCGCAGTCTCTAACATCACATGGGTGCGTCTTCAAACAATCCCACATTTAAGAGGTATACACTTCAGAAAGAAGAAAGAATTGTACCCTTGAGAAGAATGAAATCATCATTTTACCAGTCAACAGAGCGACAAAGAAATAGCCCGAAGAACAAGTCGCGAAGACCCTAAATCTCACCCTTTTCCGCAAGTGTCTCTAATTTTAGCATCGCAATACGCTATTTTCGCCGAGAAACGCCACATAAAAAGCGATCCAAAAAAGAGGAGATCAAGAAAAAGACGACTTCTCTGTATATTTACACAATTTCCATCATCTGGAGAAGATGCGGGAAAAGTACATGCGATTGTGGCTCCCAAACCGGAAATACGCGAGATTTTCGTCAATGTGTTGATACACAAATTTAGTCATCTCTAACACTTTATTGCATCACAATTAATCATGAGTGTTTCTGAGCCCATATCAAAGCATATTTAACACTCATTTGTTGTCGCATTAATCTCAAAGCATATGGTAAACATTTATCTCCACAATTTTCCGGTTCAAGTGTGGCATAAGCAAATGAAGGCACTTTTTCACGCGATGTGAGGTCAAATGGAAAGAAAAAAGTTCATGAAGCGGTCAATTGGAGTGTTTATTGACTGATAAAGAGGCTCGTCGCAGAATCATAACACCATCAAAGGCCAAATTACGAGGGCGACTCTCCCATTCTCAAATTCTGTGTGTGGCGCTTATAAAAATAGACACAGACAGCACGCAGATTTTCCAGCACATGGCTTTTCTCCCCGCATTATCAAAGCCAAAGAAAGCGGGGCCACATCATTAAGTCGCGCGGTCAGGGTCATGAGATTTTTCGTAACACTCTTTTCAACCCAAACTCAGTGGCTTCGGTGGCAATTAGGTGTCTGAATTGGGAGCATTCTCAATTGTTATGACTGTGCCGCACACGCACTGTCGGCAGGTTTCCATAGCAGAAAATGCGCCTCAATTCAATTATAACCATTATTCATTATGCGATGAGAGAGACCCATTTGCAATCGAAATGCTCCGCGAGGATTTATCTTCGTTGCATTTGTACAATTCACTGTCATGATCTTCCACTATTTTTCTGTTACAAGGCCTCATATTGAAAGTGTGAGAATTGGAGAGAATCTCTTCAATATTGTATGAAGAATCTTCTTAGCAAAGTGTACACAATGATGAATTGTAAAGTTTACTCTTGTAAGGTCGAATTTTCGCAGTGGCGTAGTAAATTTATCAATTTTCACAAATTTTTCAGGAAGATTTTTAAACACCTTTTGAAATTTGCAGATTCGAAATTGCATAAAAATACTCAAAAGTCCGTAGAATTTTTTTTTACAAATACGCCACTGATTTGCTACTTTGTAATCTTCGTGAATTCAGATGAAAATATTTATGTGAAAATTGAGATAAGATTAACAGAAGATTTAGATACAATTTCAGCTAAAACCCGTTAAACTTTGTGTACTATTTCCACAGATAAAGAAACCACCTTGGACGTGTTAAGAGGAAAAGTTGAAGTTCAGTTTATATTTTTTAATATGTTCTCGATTTACTGCAAAACTTGCAGAGACGATCAATTTCACTGGGCTAGAAAGAGAGTGGGAAATGCATGGAGAAAATGCAATACCGTAGGAAATTTAATAATGTACAACATTGCAACGGTGCAACAAACAGCTTAACTTGTAGAAGTATTTCAATAAAGATGCAAAAATGCACTTCACGAAGAAAATATTGTTCGCGAAGAAGTCTCTGTCATATTCCAATGAAATGCGAGCACATTGTGACACTTTCCATTAACTCAGACATCAAGAAGTGCACAATTAATTCACCATCATGAGATAATCTGATGAGTGGAAAGCGGAGAGAAATGCAAGAGTGGGTAGAATGTACATTTAATTAGAGAATTGCAGTGAGAACGATGATGATGATGTTTACACAATCATCTCCACTGTCACGACATTATTAATGTTCTGCGCATTTTACCATCCACAAGTGGATAAAAGGAAGTGACTCTCGAAATTTTAACCACGAAATATCAATATCAATAGACAAATGTATACAAATTGCTGGTGTTTCAATGTTGGCAGAACATCTTGTTCTTCTCTTTCTCTTTTCCTGCGCTGAGGAACTTTGTTAAAAATGTTTGCAGTATCGTCCAATATGGAGAATTTCAATGAAGTAATAAAGCATGTTCGACTGTGAATTTCAATGCCAATCCCCAAACTTCACACCCTCGTCTTGACCATTGTTAAAAGTCTGAACGGCATGCAAAACGCCGCATTTACAATCGCACGCGATTCATAAAACAACCAACGATGACAGCAACTTTGTACCGGCTTTCTGCGCACAAAGTATTTCTCTCTGAGAAGTTCATTGTAGTGTTGATGGGGTTGTTAATCGATTTACTTTCAATTAAATCTCCGAGTTTTGTCATTATATCTTTTCCTCGTCATCTCATTGCAAGCTTTTTGAAACTTCCACACAAAGTTTTAATTAATAATATCACCGTTGCGAGAGTGAAAAACTTTCTTGATAGCCTCAAGATGTACACGAGAAACTGCTACAAAATATTCATCATCATCGTCATACATCAAATGCCGTCAGCGTCGGAGTTGGAGCCTATTTAGCGACGGAGGACGTGCCCTATCTCAGCAATTTGCCCCTCATTCATCGTCATCCTCAATGAAATTCAATTTTCCACACTGATTGAATCACGATTACACTGCATTATTATCAAATTAGGCATTCTGGCTACAGCAAACAACGCCGCGAATTGTGAATGAAGACACTTCACTCGCCACTCTCATGTGTAACTTCTCTCAATCAGTCAATGAAGAGACTCTTTTGAATTTGATGAAAATTTTCCACGTCCAATTCTAAGAATAAATCCCACCTCTCGCTCATGTGTGGGGAGATTGGTTTCCGCAAAAGAATTGGACTTGCGATTGACTTCCAACTCGTGAATCATCAGCACCGGTTGATTATATTTTGCATGTTTATTTGTAGATAAAAAACATGTGCGGCGATTAATGTGAAATAATTCTAATGACTCAACAATAACTGCAACCGAAAGAAACACATATTCAGATGGCCGAGAGGAGTCCAGAATTGATCTTGGCGAAATACCGTGCAAAACATGGAGCAAATTTCCAGCAATAATGTCATTAAACTTGAGATTATTCACACCCTCAACTTCCGCAAATTTTCAAGAGCCAGCAAACAAAGAGAAACTGAGGAATATCAATCTTCTCCCCAGACTTTATGCTCAACATTGACAATTTGTCTTATCAACCACATTGTGCCTTCGTCACCATTGACTCACTGTTTGTCCATCTTTCGCCAATCTGTTGCAGTTCAAAAGGACAAACATAAGACCCTCTTTTTCATGTCCGGCAAAGACAAACAATTACAGAGAAGAAGCGTAATAGAAAAAGCCACGAAGCAGAAAAAATCATATGCATTTTCTTGGACAAGAAATTTGTCAAGTGAAGAGGAAATGATGAATAATTTTCATGGGTGAAGTATAAAATTAAAATGAAATCTTATCATTCCCAGCAACAATCATGACATCCACTGAATAACAATAATTTATCAATTTCCAAGCTCTTCCTTCCACTTGGCGAGAGTGTGAAACAAGAAAATGACACACGACGCGACACAACAAAGACATTCAACATAATTTCAACTGACAGATTAAATTTTATGAGTCGTTCCTCATAAACACCACACTAACTCATGTGAGGGTAAAAAATAACAACAAAGAACCAGATAAAGTACAACAAAACATTGAAACACAATTATATTGGAGCAGATTTTGTGCATAATCTCAACAAGGAATGTTATGAGAGGAGAACAAAAAAAAACACCAAAGAAACCTTTGGGCCACTGACCAATATTTCAAAGATAGCTTGACGTCTGCAATAAAACCACTTTTCCTTCCTAAGACAAAACACACACTGCAAAGTGCCTGAGGGCATTTTACAGCTATAACGATTTAATTACGCGATATGCGGAAGCGTAAAAAATCAGACAATTTATGATGCGATATTGCTGCAAATGTCTTTCACTTTTATCCAGGTCAAAAAACCGCTGCTCACATTGCTAAAAGTGCTAAAAAGAAATGGCAAGTGAGAGGCGAGACAAAGGAATTTTGCAGAAGGGATTCGCCATCGATTTTCCTGCCGAAACGCCTGTTGTTTCCTTCTGATATTTCCCAGCATCCCACGCGCCGCTGAGACATTCCCGGCATGTTCCTCAAACCACCCGGCGAACAAAAAGTCAATATAATGCTAAGACTTCCGCTCGCACTTAAATATTTAGAAGACAACTCGCTCTGCTATCTAGCACAGCAACAGAATGTCAGTCACTTTTTTCTGCCTGATGGGTCACACAATCAAACAAATTGTGGGTATATTGTGAAAAATTCAGGGAAATCTCGCAAATCATCAGTCAAAAAGTGTCACAAGACAAAGAAAAAAACTTCCAATAAAATGAATAATGAATTAGGGTTTGCAAATAAAATGGGAAATTGTCCATTTGCAAGATTTAGAAGAGCAATTTATATGTCTAGCAACCTAGAATGACACCCACGTCGATTTCAGTGAATCATCAAGATACTGTTGCAGCCTTGACAATCAGAGTTAAACTCTTAACCTTACGCGTATCAAAATATAGCAGAGAAACTGAATTTTGAGCATTTAAGATGAATTAACGAGAACTCTGCAGATTCCAGGAATGCTGAGATTAAGATAAGTCAACCGAAGTTTCTAGGAACTCATATCAAAGCATAACCTTAACATTTCAAAACTTTTCCACCGTTTTAACTGATAAAAGTGTCAATTTTCCACCATTATTTGATGTGAAAAAATTCACACATTCTGGCACCACACAATTGAATCCCACATAAGTTTATGGCCAAATTGACGAGCTGTCATGTGCAATTAATTAATTACCCCCAAAAGCGCGTCGCCAGCGAACACGTAATTAATCAGCACAGCTGAGGATTGCATCAAGTGCAGCTGTGCCAAGGAAAAATGCACGTCTACAAGTGCAATGGAGTGGAAAAGTGACCATTTGCATCGGCATGTAGAAAATCACCCAATTGAGCGCATAATGACACAGTGCGTAGAGAAAGGCCTGAGTTCGTGCTCCCCATGAAGGATCTCGGCTGTGATTCCCGGTGCCCCTTTCGCAGGGCTCTTTTCGAAGGGGTCGCGAGAATTCGCCCGTCTCGTGATTGAATTGAATTAGAGCCAATTGAAAACAGGGGAGTTGCTAGTCACTGAGACTTGCGGCCTTGCACAGAGTCGCACTATTTGCAATTTTCAGCGGCGTGTTGAGGAAAAAGAGCTCAAATGTGGGGAACAGTTGCCAATCGATTTCCCGGAATTTCCTCTGACTTATCCCAAAGCGCTTTTTGCTCGGCTCATTCACAAACACCGACAAAATCAATACCACTCGAGCTTCCCTCTTCCGCTCTCCGGGACTCGCTTGACGCTCGGGGCTCCCCTGAGGGCGCTTCCCGGGTCCCCAGGGATGCATTTGCGTGCACCACGGGCGTTTTGGGGACATTTTCCTGCCATTTCCCAGCAACTTTTCATCGCCGCTTTGTGTCAACACGCAGAGGAAATGTACTCGGCAACTCACCCACTCCGTATTTATTGTTAGCTGGCACCCACATTTCATCCGCAAGAAATCAACTCTTCCTCAGCCACAAGCACTTCAGCAATGGGTCATTGCGAGTCTCGTCACACTGCACGTAGTGAAAAGGCTCACGATGTGGTTGGGAATCGATAAAAAACACTGTAATTTAATGAATGAAACACCAGTTCGGGATAGACAACACCTCACAGTCCACACGCCATGACAGATCGAGTACTACTACTACGAGACCGCTCTCGAGAGAGCGCTCGAGGCTCCGTGTTGACGTCTCTCTCTTGCTCTCGCGCCCCACAATCGCATCTGGCTGTCTCGCTCACTCCAGTTCTCAGCCGCGCGCTCTCTCGCGGAGGGGAAATTCGGCTCGCACTCTCTCTCACTCTCTCGCGTGATGAATGAAGATGGGCATCTTCGGAGAGGAGAGGCTGCTGGAGGCTGCACAGATGAAGATTGCCCTGAATTTCACATGAAACTTCCGGTTTCGCCACCACAAACAACACAGACACCCTCCAAGTCTCTCCAGCATTCGTCGCAATAAACGGCCGCACACTTTTTGTCAGTGCATTCCACGAAATCCGCCCGTGATTCTGGGTAAGGAGCTCCAGTTTGGCGGCTTCTTAACTTGCTCTCCTTCTCACGGCAGACAAGACAGCGCCGAGATCTCGGGAAGAGTCTTCTGAAGTGACTGACTAATTTCTGCAACAGAAAGGCAATCAGGATCGAAAAGATGACAGTAATAATCATTTAATTACCACGAAAGGAAAGTCTTGATCAACATTTTCTCGCATTTCCTTCCTCAGCGTTTTTCTCATGTGCAGAAATCGATCTCTTCTGCTCAGCAGGACTTTATTATAAAGGAAAAGACTCCTTTCCTCCTGTCTCAGTGGATAGAAGAAGACGCAGATGAGGAACAGCATGCGATTCGTATAGGATTCGTGATAGATCATAAGAAGCATCGCTAATAATAGACCATAAATCTCCAAATAACACAGGAAGAAGAGCCTTGATGGATTTGGAAGGCACTCGTCATTGTCCTCGAAACTATCAACAGTGCGATTCACTCTGAATCCTGAGATAATATTGGCAACAACGGATGCCATCATTCCTTCTCCAGTCACGCTGACTTCCACCTCAACTTCACCTGACTGGGTGAAGTCAATCTCCCCTTTCGCCGCCACGACATCCAGAGCGGTGACGAAGAGCCAGTCGAGGAGCACGAAAACCGTCACGGCGATCAGTTCGAGGAGGAACTTGAGCAGATGATAGATAAGATCTCTGTAGTCATTTTCCATGCGGCGCTTTTCATAAGGATCCACAAGAGACGATCGTTCGATCTTCTTGAGCGGCAGGAGAGTCCTTTCACCTCTGTGCGCGCGTTTCTGATCGATCTCCCTAAAAGCCGATGTTATGAAGATGTTCTCAAAGTCCACCTCCATCAAGTAAGAGTAGAGATAGAGACAGGATTCTGCAAGGAAGGAATTCTCTGGAAATTTGGTAAATTTCCACAATGAATGATCAATTACTTATAACGACTTTCACGTAAGTGAAGGCAATGATGAAATTCATCAAATTCAGCAGGATAGACAAGATATATTTCTTCTTATCCAGGGAATCTATCAATTCATTCTTGTAATCATCCACTTCTCTTATTTGGTCGATAACATTTGACTCATTGTAGCTGTAATTGACATCAACGCTCCAGATTTCCCTTATTAAATCATCTCTTTTGGATAAGAGGCCAATGTATCTTATCCCAAATGACTCTTCAAGGATCTCTGTAGGCTTACACAAATCTTCAGTGCTATTTTCCTGAAGAAAACAATAAAAGAAATCACAGATTTCAAGAATCAATTAATTCATCTCACTTTGGATGAGCAAACAGCTTCAATGTCCAGCATCCAGCAGAGACTATCGCCCAGAAAACCCGGGAATTTCTCCATGCATTCAGCACTTGCAGTGGAAAATACATTTGCGCAGTTTTCCCTTCCTTTTTCCATTTGCTCTAAGCATCTTCTTTCAAGCTTCTTGTAGTAATTTTCAGAAATTACTTTGCCGTGCTCTTCTTCGCTTGAGATCGAGTCTGAAGAGTTTTCTTCGAGTTCAACTTCTTCCACAAGAGGATCAACAACTTGGTTTACTATTTCAAAAGATTCCTTGACTTGAGAGACATTCTGGAGTGCATCAATGGCAGCGCGAAAGGGGAAAACCATGAGATCAATGTGAGTCTTGGTTAAATTGTAGGCCAATTCGGAAGAGCAGCCAAAGACTCTATTGACTTCCAGGACGTTCTTGGAGATATTAGCAATTGGTCCTGCAAAAAATATTCTTCTAATATACGAAGGAATATTGACGAAGGACTTACCAGTGATGACCAGACCGAAGAGGAAAGTTTTGATGGCACTTCTGCCCGCTTTGCCAAGAAATTGAAGAAAAATCAGCAAAAATATGCATCTAGCACTCTTCAGAGCCACGGAAGTCGCTCCTGAAAGGCAATCTTAAGATTTCTGCGGAATGAACCCAAGTTTACTCACCAAATAAAACGATAAGAAGCAGAAGGACAATTATTGTTGGCTGTGAGACTCCGAAAGGTTTGTAGACAAGCAAATACCACAAAATAACAGCAGTCGAGATTCCAATTGAGAATCTTCCCAGGAAGATAATTGTCCATGACTGAACGCGAGGACGATCCTCATCCACAAGAAATTCAAGTTTTCTGCACAAAAATTCAACTGTCGCGAGAAAACAAAGCATCTTTGATTCGCAATCTTTAATTTCAAAGATTATTTTACAGATTCTCTTCAATTCCTATTGAAGTCAGTGTCAAAGCTGTAGTCTCCATCCGAATCCTCATCCTTTATGCCAAAGCTGAGATTATCCAGAACATCTGTGACACTGTCAACCTTCTTCTGCGACTTCACTTGGCGCTTCTTCTGCTTCTTCAGGCGGTTCTTCAAGTCCTTGTTCAGCGTCTGATTCCCAGTGATTGCCGCCTCTCCTGTGGGCAGCTTTTCAGGTTCAGGCTCGCCCCTCCTCACTCTTTTAGACTCACTTGGACCGGCTTCCTTCATCTCCTCGTCCTTCTCAATTATCTGCGTCCTGGCCGGAATAATCTCTTCATCATCCTCAACTTCTTGCATCTTCAGCGGCCCTGAAGAAACAATCTCCATCACTTCCTCCTTCTTCACCACGCCGAATCCGTCCATCATCTCAGTCTCCATCTGCTCAAAGTTCTCCACGTCGAATTCTCTTGCCTCTGAACTCACAATGGCGGCACTCACGTGGCAATCCATCTGCATATTCTCCGGCGGATGCGTGCAGTATCGAATCTTTCCGGTATTCCAGTCATCCAACACACTCCGGGCAGCCGCCAAGACATCCAAGCGTCCTCCCTTCTTGATCTTCCCCATTCTCTTTGCCTTCTTGGCGAAGAACTCCTCCGGAGTTTCGAACATCGTGATATCATACAGCTTGCAGAAGAACATCTTGCTCGCCCTCTGCAGAACTGCTGTGGCCACACCGACAGGATCCTTCACGTCGGATACTTTCAGGGCATTCTTCAGAACATACCCAGCATCATTTTCGTTCCCCTTGGAGAACACGATTCCTGGACAATCAAGGAGGTTGATCTTCGAGTCCAACTCCACTTCTTGCATCTGCTTCGTGACTCCCGGAGTGGAGCCAACGTTGCAGGCGCGGCTCCTCTTCAGAGAATTTATCACTGAACTCTTGCCCACATTGGGAATCCCCACAACTCCTACGCGGATCGACGTCTTAATCCCCTTGTTCCTGCAATAGTTCGCCAGCATTGACATCAACAATTCAGCTCCGACGCAAACTGATCCCTGAAGCGCTTTCTCACTGTTTCTCTCGTGGAACTTCCTGCGTCCCAACTTCTGCACTTGATCCTGTGTGGAGGCCTTGAATGCTGTGGCAGGACCGAATTGTCTCAAGTATTTCAGCCAAGTCTGGAGATTTTCACGAGGCACCAAATCCGCCTTATTTAACACCACCACGAGCTTCTTGCTGCCAGCAGACCTGACAGCCTTCTCCACCTCCTCGCATCGAGTTCCCAGAGGATCTCGAGCATCCACAACTTCCAGGATTACATCAGCAGCCGCGATGACCTTCTTGAACTCCTTGAAATATGCCTTCAGGGAGTTTTCCTTGGACTTTTCCTCCTTATACACTTTCCCCTCTGTGGAAGTGCTCGGTTTCACGGACAGCGCATCATGGATGGCTCCACGAGTTTCTGCACTCGCCACCAACGATTCTAGAGTCTGACCTTCCACTCTCTTGCGCTTCAAGAGTTCCCGGCGCTGTTTTCTCTCCTCTTCAACTTGCTGTTTTGCTTCCTCCGCCTCCTTAAGGATTTCCTCCTTGAAGGGACAAATATTCGGCACCTGGATCATCTTCTTCTTCGCCCCCTTACCTTTCCTGCCTGCCTTGACAGCCTTCTTAGCTTCCTTGCGAAGCTTCCGGTGATGTTCCCGGACTTTCTTCGCAATCTTGTACTTTATCTTCGCCGGCTGTCTTTTCGACTTTTTTGCTGCAATGACAAGAGGTTTTACATAGCAAATGCTTTCTTGCAAACTCATCTCCGTAATTATGTAGAAATAACTCACTTTTCAGTGCTTTCAGAGCCATTTTTCACTATTTTTCTGCAGCACAATTTTCCAAAACAAAACACGTGCTTTCACACTTCACGTCAAAATTCCCCTTCGCACTGTTCGCGGCGAACTTCATACTGGTCGAAGACATATCGAGTTGTCAAAGTTCCGGCGTCTCAGTGGTTTGTTTACATCCCAAAAATTGTGGCTTTTCTGGGATTTTCCTGTGCTGACCAGTGAAAATTGGTGTCCAGAATGAGTTCAGGAGGCATGCTATATGGTGGTGATGAAATCGGAGCGCTGGTCTTCGATCCAGGCCACCAATCACTCAGAGTTGGGTATGCCCAAGAGGACACGCCAAAAGCGGAAATTCCGGCTGTTGTGGGTGTGGGGCCCGACAACAGTACTCCAATTACGGATCTTGAGGCTCGGCCTGACAATAATATCACACCCAGCAAGAGTAAGGATAGCTATTGCATGATTTGTGAGAATTTGGAGGTTAATGGAGAGGTTCTCTTAAAGATTTCAAGTACTATGTCGACACAACATTCTTGAACGTCCCGCGAGCTGGACTGGAAGTGCAAACATACATGAAGGATGGCATGATTGACAACTGGGATCTGTTTGAGAAGGTCCTGGACTATGTTTACGCCAAGGTAGATGAGAAAATCACGAGAAATGCGAGAGAAAATGAGATAATCATGCGTTTTTGATTTAAGGTGATCCAATCGGAGTCTGAGTATCATCCAGTGTTGTTTTCCGAAGCTTCATGGAACATCAGGAATAACCGGGAAAGGCTGACTGAGCTGATGTTTGAGAAGTACAATGTACCAGCTTTTTTCTTGGTAAAGAACGCAGTTCTGGCCGCTTTTGCCAACGGTAGAGCTACGGCTCTAGTTGTGGACAGTGGAGCCACTCACACCTCAGCGATTCCTGTCCATGTAAGACGCTAAATTGTTGAAATCCTCTGAGGAAGCCTCAAATTGATAGAGAATTTATATTCTAGGAAGGATACGTCTTGACTCAGGCTATCATCAAGTCTCCTCTCGGAGGAGACTATTTGTCCATGCAATGCCGCCAATATCTGGAAGCTCAGGGCATTGATTTAACCCCGGCGTACTGCATTCAGACAAAGGACGTCATCAAGGAGAGAGACACGCCGCGCTTCGTCTTGAAAAATCTCCCTGAAAAGATGACAGCCTCTTGGCAGCAATACATGCTACGATCACTCCTCCAAGATTATCAGATGTCCGCGGTGCAGGTGTTGGAGTCGCCGTACGACGAGCGAACTGCCGCACAGATTCCAGCTGTTCACTACGAGTTCCCAACTGGCTATCATCAGGACTTCGGCTCCGAACGCTTCAAGCTGGCAGAGAGTCTCTTCGATCACACGATGCTGGGCGCCGGCCAGTTGGCATCCACCAGCGTGGGAATGTGCGACGCCGACGTGAGGCTGTCTCTCTACGGATCCGTCGTGGTGACTGGCGGGAATTCCCTGCTCCAGGGCTTCCCAGAGCGCCTCAACCGTGATCTGCAACTTCGCGCTCCGTCTAACACGAGACTCAAGATGATTTCGGCCAACGGTAGTATTGAGAGGCGCTTCGGAGCGTGGATTGGAGGATCGATTCTCGCCAGCATCGGAACATTCCAGCAGATGTGGATCTCATCGCAGGAATACGAGGAGTCTGGCAAGAGTCAGGTGGAGAGGAAATGTCCGTAGAGACGCAATCATGATTAGGATAAGTTGATGGATTTCTCATATGTATTGTGCTGAGCTGATTGAATTTTCAAGACTCCACGGTATGTTTTCATTTCTTTTTTGTTCAGAGATTTTTGGGGAAAACAGGCATTTATTCTTTTGACATTCTTACAATTCGCTCTTGACTTTGCCCTGATTCTGAGCCTTCTGAAGGAATTCCAGCAGGTCTTTGTACACCACATCAGGCACTTCCATGGCGGCAAAGTGTCCTCCTTGCTCGTGATATGTGCTGTGGACTAGATTGGGGTATTTGTCCTTCAGAACCCAATCAATACTGTGCGACAGATCGTGTTGGAATCGAGCACAGCCTGTAGGAACAGGTGTAGGCACCCGATCGATGCCCAAGCCCAATTCACGGAACGTAAAGGCCTCAGAATAGAGTCGCTGAGAGGTAGTGATTGAATTGGTGAGGTAGTAGACCATAATATTGTCCAGAAGAGCATCCATCGTGAAGCGTTTCGAGAGTCCTCCATCGGCCAGTGTTCGGTATTCTTTGTTGGTCCATGTGGAGAACTTCTCAAGGATGTAAGCGACCAATCCAATAGGATTATTGCTTAAGGTTGTCCCTAAATTTAATATAAGATTAGTTATAAGACTCTGACATTCATATGAGAATCATAAGGAATTATTGTAGAGTTGAACTCACCAATAGTGTCTGGTTTAGTGCATTGGATATGCATGTATCCACTCTCCTCCAGAAGATAGCTAAACTTTGACCAGAAGGGATAGAAGAAGTGAACGTATTCCTTGGGAATAAAGTATTCTGGATAGAAACTAGCGATGAATATCTTGAGACCACTTGCATTAGTCATTGCTCCACACATATTGGAGTGATAGCCTAAAAAATAGCTCAGAGTTAGATCCAGGTCAATGTTTCAATGAAGGTCCTTACCTAAAACGTTCTCAGGGAAGAGTGTAGCAATGTTCGAACCAATGATTGATCCCCAATCGCCGCCCTGAATGTAGAATTTCTGATATCCAAGACGAACCATCAAGTTTCGCATGATCACAGCGACTTCAACGTGTCCCAAGTCCTTCTTGGCGGAAGCCTGAGACCATCCGTAGCCGGGCAGACTGGGCGCGACGATCTGGAAGTCGTACTCCTGATTGCCCTTCAACTTCTCAATCAGAGAATAGAATTCTACGACGGATCCTGGCCATCCGTGAAGCAGCAGAATGGGCAAAACCGGTCTGTCGGAGGCTTTTTCGGACTTCACGTGGATAAAGTGCATGTCCAGGCCTTGGATCTTAGTCTTGTAGTGAGGATACTTGTTGAGGTAGGTCTGGCGAAGGCCCCACTTGCTCAGATAGCCATCTTTCCAGTACTTCACCACCTGTTTCAGGTGATTGCTGTTGAAACCGTACTCAAAGTTGACTCCCTCGAGGGGCGCATGGAGTTCAGGGAAGTCTTCGAGTTTCTCCTTAAGTTTCTTGATAACCTGCAAGAGCGGTTCAGTGGAAAATCAATGATGATGTGGAACTCTTCATATCTCAATTCTCGTCAGACTTTGCTTATCGGTCTGAATAAGAAAGCCAAATCAACATCATGTTCAAACAAGTCGAAAGTAATCTCGCGATAAAATTGAAGAAAATACTGAGAGAAAGATACGAAAGTGAGGAAAATTTCACGTTTTTCCCTTCGCAAAGCGCACGGATTGTTTTAAACATCACAAACCGAAACATCAGTGACATAATAAATGATTCGTGGACATGACTTTGAAGTTCCAATACAGAGATTCTCATGAAATCAACTCAAGGACAGATCTACAAATTACAAAGCAACCGCACAAAATTCCTATGCGCTAAATTGCTGTTCATGAGGCAAAAATATGTCGTGCTTAGAACTGTCAACTCACTTCCTCGGAATAGGAGATCTTGAAGGGATGCACGGCGGTGTCCTCTTTGTACAGGGCCTTGTCTCCTGGTCCCCAGTACGCGGCCACGTCCATTTCGGGCTTTGGCTGTGGCGCGAACGACTGCCTGTAGATTCTCACGCCCATGAAGCCGATCAGGCCGATGAAGATGAGGATGAAATTGCCCAGAAGACCCATTTTCGAGCGTATCACTACAGAGAGGAGCGAACAAGAGATTCCAGTTATGCAAGAACTCGATCTTCAGGGGTTCTACAGCCAAAACACAACTCAATAGAGTGGAAATTCTTCTTGTCTTCCTGGCCTCGCTCTTCACACTGATGAGCGCCGCTCGACGGTGTGTGAGTTTTGTGCCGTGAGCCGCGATTGATAGCAGTCGAGTAATCAGCTCCGGAGCGCGCGATGGTGGGGAAAAGCGCAAGTCACAGAGTGTCTGTGGTTGTAAGACTCTCTGGGATTACAATCCCTTAAAAAAATGCTATTTCACAACTTCGTTAAAGCGGCGCAGCTGCTCAAAAGCCGTTCGCCAACTATTCATTGATGGTTTGTGTTATGTTTGCGAGGTCATTTTTGCTGAGAAAATAAACAGGGAAGTGTTTACCTGAAGATCTGTGTGGATGACACGATTGAATCTCACCAGAAACACAACTGGAACACTACTAATGATCAAAGTGCTCAGTCATCTGATTAAGACCATCGCACAAATACAGAAGCCGGCCGGCACAAAACACATGTCCAAGAGCTACTTTTTACAGTGATTCCCTGAATTTGGGTCACGAAAGATGGACAAAAAGTGCACGATAATTATTCTGTGTTTCTTCAAAGTTAGGCCAATTATGATATGCATACATTTTCTCCCAGTTTGAGTGAAAAAAGTTGAGCAGCAACAGAATTATAAGTTTATGATTAGTAGAAGAAATATTAATGAAGAATCATAATCAAAATTTCATCCTTATAATTAATTAATTAATTAAGATTAATTCATTCCTTTGGCTGTTTTTTGTTTTTAGAATTTGAATTTCTTCATCGTTTTCATGCTCAATCTAGAATGAATTTGAATATTTCTTGTGTTCAAGAATCCTTTTAGGTTTTATTCTCGGATACAACGAAGTGTTAACCAGTGTCTTAATTTTCCTTAGAAATTTCAGCTCTCGTCTATCGAGGTTTCAGTGTCCGAACTTGACATTTGTACATAGAAAGTGCGTGTATAGGAGATAAATAGAAGCTCTAATACACAACGAACTGGACACATAAGATGGAAATTGTGTTGGTGGGTTTTTCTCTCTTCTTTTTTTTCTATTTTTGACCACATTTTATTACACTCTCACTCCACGAATTTATTTATATTTTACGCGATGAGAGAAAAACGCGCGACTTGCACTCAGAAATTTTGTCTCTTGAAGATAAACCCAGAGAATTACGTTATCGCAATGATTTCTCGTCTGATAAATTTTTTTAATAATGTTGGATGATAGCGAAGGTCAACTGGCGATCTTTGGGCGATTCAGGTGCAAAAAGACATAAAAGAATGAATTTGAGATGTTTTAATAAACGATTGGCGATGATTTTAATGTATTATCAATTTATTTTCTCTTGCGCTGTCGCTTCGTGAACTCTGCGAATGTTGTACTGATAAAAGCCCATGCGAACCTTGATAATGACTCTGCCCAGAAACACTATTGCGAACGGGCAGAGATAATGCTTGATTCACATGGAGAGATTTTTTTTTCTACTGCGCACCAAAGAGTTGCGGAATTTCTTCGGCGGTCTTCTTGTGCGTCTCCGGAACGAAAAACAGGACGAAGAGGACGGACAGGAAGGAGAAGATGGAGAATATCATCAGGACATAATCAATGCCAATGGCTTCAGTGAAAGCCGGGAATGTCTTGATTATGAGGAATCTCATGAGGCAGTGGAAGACAATGAACAGCGAAGAGGTTGTCGAGCGGAAATTTCGTGGCATTATTTCTGCCATCAGGACGTGAATCATGCTGACGAAGCCCAAATAGTTGAAAAAGACGAAAAGCGTGGCGAACAAGGCGATCATCGTGGAGTGATCATCGAGAAAGTTCTTCATGAGGATTATGCCGGCCAGACTTCCGGTCATCATCAAACCACTAGCCATGAAGATGTACGTCCTTCCGGTCTTCAGAATGCACAGCATTGCTAAGCAACTCACGGTTAATCTAGTGATGCTCAGACCGAGAGTCACGTACTCCACGTGCTTCACGTCCAGGGATTTCAGGATGAATCCTGTGTAGACGCAAAACGGCGTGAAGCCAGAAAAGACGAAGAACACAGCGATCACTAAGTAAAGCAAGATGGGCTTGTGGAGGTGTTTGTGCCGAAAATGACGAATGAAATCCCGATAATCATCGTTAATGATGATTTTTCTCTTGCCAAAGGATATTACTTCTTGCAGATTTCGCACGAAGATCAAACTGTAGCCTTCTGAAATGAAGGATTTGAGGTGAAATTGCATATTTATTTGGGGATTTTTTTCAAACCTACCATTATCCGATTTTCCAATGCGTCGATTGATGACGAATTCTTCGTCATCCTCTGGGGATTCCATCGAAAATTCCGGGCTGTCCTTGACCATTATCGTCACAATTGTCGTCAACAAGCATACAATGCAGCAACCGATGCAGATGAGCGCACACTTTTTCTTTAGAAACAGTATATTTGATTAATTTGCATTATGGCTGAGTAAACATTAACTCACCGAAAAGATTATTGCGAATATTGTCACTAGAAGTATTCCAAAGCTCAGTGAAATCGCTGGTAAAAGTGTGAGCGCTCCTCGGAGATTCGTAAAGGCATTTTTCGCCTCAAATATCATTGCCATGAGTCGGATGAACCCAGAAGATATTCCTGGAATGAGACGTAGAAGAATTTAACAGCCCATAAAGTCATTGCAATTAATTACTTTAATCCACAGTCGAGCGAATTAATTGTTCTGTGAATTGTTGGCGCGCGAAGGAGTGAGTCAAAAAATCAATAGAGTTTACCGTGAAAGAACCTCGCCAGGAGGATCTGTGCCAGGCAGTATTCTCGCAATGTGTAGAAAAAAGACAGGTACATCATGAGCCAGGACAACGTGTTAATAAGGCCGACGAGAATAAAGGTTTTCTTGCCGCCGCGAGCTTTGAAGAAGCCTGACAAAATCACGCCCAGAATCGGCGTGAGGATGTTCAGTGAGCTGATCCAAGTCTTTTCTTCCTTATTGAAGTTGAAACTTCGGGACTCAAGTCGAGACTGGGGTTCGTGGCTCTCCACGTGGCTCTCGAAGTTGTCAAAGAGGAGTGCAGGATAGGCCAGAGACATGCCAGTGGATAGCATGTTGAGACACACCATGAGATCCAATCTTCTCTGATAATCAGCAACGATCTTCGAGAGGACGCAGATTGTCTGCGTCTGAACTTCCTTATCCTGTTTATTTGAACCTTTCACAAAATCCTCGGAATCAGTCTCTTTGATGCTCGATTGCTTTTCTTCCACTTTCTTCAGAGAAGCATTTTTTCTCCTGGGAATGACGATTGGAATGTCGTTCATGTACCTCTTCTTGATTATGGCCACAATCTCAGCATCGTCGCTGTCTTTCGGAATTGATTCTTCCACAACAATTACATTGATTGACGGCGGCGGAGAGCCATCCTTCTCACCCTTGTCCGACATCCTGGAACTTCTGATGCTTCTGATCTTGCGAATGTTTCAGAGGAGAAAGCGTGTGAAATAAAAGCACATCTCTCAGATGTCTACAATTTGTATTTTTACTTAAGTTTGTAGTTTCTACAATAGGAATTGTATCACAAGAAAGTCTCTAGCTAAGTAATAAATAAGTAAAATTCGTTTTGCCGCTCATTTCTTCACGAAGAAGTCCTCAATTTCTTGGAGAGTCTTCTTGTTGGTCTCTGGCAGGAAGTTGTACACGAATAAAACGCCCAGGAAAGCCATTGTTCCGTACATTAAGCAGATGTAGTCACTCCCAATCGTGGTTAAGAGAGTGGGATAGATCTTGATGCAGAGGAAGCAGAGCACATAAGCGTAAGACACTGTGATTCCTGAGGCGAATCCTCTCATGCGCTGAGGGTAAATCTCGGCGATCATGACAAAGGGAACGACCAAGAAGCTCACAGTGCTGGTGAGGACGAAGAAGAAGATGAGAAAACCAGCGATCCAGTTGGTCATCGGGCAGGGATTCCACATGCACAGGACAATGCCGAAGAGACTCACACCCACCAGGATTCCTCCGGCAATTGTGGGCAATCTGCGTCCAAGAACGTCCAAGCAGCCACCCAGAATTATTGATCCTGCGACACGCGCTACGCCAAGGATGACAGTGAAAAGGAAGGGATCCATCGTGACACCAGCCGAGACACTGAATTTCACAGCGTACACCACGAGGACGAAGGTTCCTGTGAATTGTTGGAATGTGAAAAAGCCCATCATGATAGCCAGAGGCTTGTAGAACTCAGGACGCTGCAGCATTTCCCAGCGCGACAAGCTCTTGCCCGGAATCTCCTGATTGCCGCGGATCTGCTGCGAGAGCTGCTGCAGCTCCTCCTGGCAATTCTGATGCTTCCCATTGAGACGCTTCAAGGATTTCTCCGCCTGACTCACGCGATTCTTCATCAGCAGCCATCGTGGTGATTCCGGTACAAAGTATAGCGCGCAGAAGGCACAAACGCAGATTATTCCAGCAATTCCGCTCACGAGGCGCCAGTCGTTCTGAAAAGCACCGACAATCGATGATTTATTAGCACACTAAAGCTCTTGCGAGATCGACTCACCTTGATGAAGTAGCCAAGAACGTAGATGACAAGGGCTCCGGAGGAGATTGACACTGAGGTGAAGACCGTGAGACGACCTCGAAGCCTGGGACTCGCGATTTCAGCTGAATAGACGGCCGATGGCGAGCTCGAGAGCCCTGCGACAATGCCTACAAGAACGCAAGAAAAGAATTTAATCCAGACCATACGCGATAAGCTTATCAATTCGGTAGTTATCAATGAAGAGAGGCACTCATACGAGGGGACAATAAATGTGCCTAGGTTGGCGAACCTTGATAAGGGACTCATAACAAAAATACAATGACGATAAAGTGTGACATTTCCGCGACTGGAAAACAATATTTAATTAATTTAATAAGCTATTTAATAAGCGCGAAAAGAAGCTTAGAGTGCGCAAAACGACTGAATTAACTGCTGATTTTCCGGCTCACTTGATTTTGTCAAAAATAATTCATTTTCTTATCGTTCGCCATTACGATTTAACACTAGATTTACCAGGTTGGGTAATATTTTGACAATTTTAAATATGTACCCGATGTTTATCGGGAAAATGTAGCTTTGACAAGTGAGTAATTCTAACATATTTCTTATCAATTTCACGAGCAATCAAAATAAATGGGGAAAATACACATTCAGTTTCCAGTTTACAAAGAATTGTAAAGAAACTATTTAACTTTTAGTGCGGCACTTAAACTGTTTACAGCTAACGATCGTGTTGCGCAAAAAGTACACAAGTCTAATTTGAGCATAAAATGCAGCGATTAGTCGTCGGAGCAACTTGAGCATACTTAAAAGACTAAATTACCCTTTACTCAATTACTTATATGGATTAAATAAAATAACCAAGTGTTATGCTGTATTTACGAAGGAGTCTCTGAAGTCAAGTATGAGTGCGACTTTCATTGTGTGTTTTCAATTTATTTGCGGTCAGTCTAGTGTTAAATTTTGACCAAAACACACTTTAAAATATATGCAATCTCTTGTTCAAACAATTCCTCTATTCTCGAGATGAAATCCACACTGTTGACCGAAATCCACGCCTTTTCCAGTCCATCAATCTCTCAATAACAAATCTCACTTTTCCACTCCGTTAAGGAAATGTTATCAGAAAATCAATTTGCTTTTAACCTTTCAGCAAATTTGATTAGTGATCACTTTCGGCGGAAAATTTCTCGCTCGCGAAACTGTTTGCTTAATGAATTATTCATCCAATTGCACAATCAATTGAATATTCAATCACGTGGATTTTTGCCTATTTTGTCTTCACTTTTGGATGGATTTTCGTACTTCTAATTTCACTCACCAATAAGTATTCTTGCGCCGATGATTTCCATGTACATCAGATTGACGTCGCTTTTGCTGGAGAATGCGATGACTGCCCATGAGATTATGGACAGGATGTTGATGACCATCAGAGTGTTCTTGCGCCCGAACTTGTCCAGCGTGTAGCTGGCAATCAAGCCGCCGACTGGGCTGAAGATTGTGTTGATGGACGCCACCCAGGAGCCCTGAGCCTCCGTCAGCGCCACAGCGCTGGTCGGATCTGTGAGCAGGGAGAGTGTCGTGGCGGGATATCCCAGGCCCATGCCAGAGGACAGAACCGTGAGATTCGCCACGACACTCGCCAAAACCTGTCTCTTGATTGACGATCGCGAGTCCACGCGATGATTCCCATTTTTGTCAGGCAGGAACTTTTTATCAACCTCACACGCTTCCACTGCCATTTACACGCTGCTTTTTTCGCCTCTTTCTTTCGTCTTAACCACGTTCTCTCCCAAGATTCTGCTGAACACTGTGTCACACCGAGTTTTAGCTCCAACCAAAAGAGAAATCCGCACTGGCGATAAGAATGCGAGTTTTTCCCACTAATGAAGTCGAGACATGAGCGACACTGTCTGCTAATTGCTAGATAGAGAGCGGCCGATTGATTCGCGACAAGCAACCAAATGGGACTGATTTGATCTGGTGGCCAAGCAATTGCCGATAGACCTCTCAGCTCAGCGCTTCGGAGAGGGAGTCTATTTACAGTCACGTGGCGAGCAGTTACGCGCAGGCTTTCCCACATTTCCCCTCTCGCTAAAGATTATGCTCTCCTTCATTGCCTATCGGAAAATTCCCTGTTGATCTTACAGAGAGATAGCAAATGGCTGTGGAACATAAAAGGCACACTCCTGTTAAATGAATCACATTTTCGCTGTGGGAATGTAGTCAATCGGAAAGAAATGTTAATTGTTATTGCCAATTTTGCATTCCTCTAAGCAAATTAGCAAAATCCCAAGGGAGAGATGGGATATTGAGGTCGAAAGTGATGTACAGTGTCACCAAGAGTGCGTGAAAAGTTTTAAAATCTTTCTCCTCAGTAGCCGAGCTCATCAGGAGTCAAAGTAACAGATATACAAAAAGACTACAGACTACAGTCAATATTCAATGAATTATCTTAAGAGCCCTTAACATTATGTCCCAGAACTGTACTTCGCATTCACGCTTTTCAAGTTGCAGATGACGAAATCCTTTGACTCCCAAGAGAGTGACGTTTTCCCTCTCCATTTTTCCGGAGCGTGTCTATTTATAAAGACTCATAAATTAAAGATGAACACCATAATAATTACAATCTTTGCCTCCAATTCATGCGTGTGCTACTGTATTTTTTTCCGGGATATCTTTATCAATATGCAAAAGCACCAAAAAGAAACAGTGTCTCACTTTTCTCAACAGCCTCGTAAATTTGATCTCTGTGAGTGTTTCTACGTCTACACTCAAGTTGAAATTACACGCCCTGTTTTTACTGCAAACACCACAAATTCCAGCGAAATCTTACAAACAAACAATAAATAATGAAGCATCTGATGAGAATTCATCAATTTTATCAATTGCAGAACTTCTCGCGCGTGTGCTTTGAGAACAAAGAACTATGAAGAATATTAAATTGAGGTTTTTTTTCACCACACATTTATCGCGAGACAGTAATTGGCAAATAATTTGCGTGTATCACTAAGTGTTTAAATCAAAAATCTTCTTATAAGAAGCGCATACAAAAGATTGATTATCTTTTCCTGAAGAAAACATCAAACTATTTATCGAAAGCCGCAAATGACGAAGAAAAAGTGAAGAGGCGAGAATATTAATTGTCTGCTCGTCAGATTACGCGTTGATTATCAGAGATCGTCAATAAATAACCAATGACATCTTCGAGACAGTTGTGATAGATTACTTGTAAAACGCTCGACAATCACCTTCTTGATAATCACTTGCAAGTGAGTGAGAAAATGCACTGGAAACATTTCATTAGCATCTCTTTCTCACTCGAAATTGTATAGAACTTGCTAAGAAAAATTTATTGGTTCAACGAGATGGAATCACAAGAGTTACTTCTTACTCGTTTTGGTGTCTTTCTCATCATTAGACGCCTCTTCATCTTCCTCCTCAGATCCTGACGATTCGTCATCTTCATCATCGTAGTCTTCATCGTCGGATTCTGAATATTCATCCGATTCCTGGTCAGGATGATTCATTGAGTAGCCAGAGTAGCCAGAGTAGCCACTGTATCCAGCGGCTTCCTCGCTCTCATAGTCATCATAATCATCAGGAAGATTCTGGCGTCCGAATTTATGGCTCCGCACTGGAAAAGCACAGCATTAGAACGTGATTTAGGGGTTCATAGAAGCCTCAATTACCTGACATGCTGAGATCCTTGGTCTGAGACGTCTCATAATTGCACTTCGGGCAGGGAATGGGCTTGTTCTTCTCGTACTTGAAGCCCTTCCTCTTCACATGCTCCTCGCAATAGCAAGTTTTGCAGCGCAGACACGAATACTGACCCAGACGATTGCAAGACTGACATTTGTAGTTCTCCGACTCCAGCACTTGACACGATGCTTGATGCTCAAATTGGTCATCTTCACAGAGGAACCCGTTGCAGTATGAACACTTGAAGATCCTCCCGCCATGATCCCAGACGCCTCTCTCACACTCCTTGCACACAGCGTCCTGAAGCGGACAGGAACAAGCGTGGGACTGAAGACACTTCCTCCCGTGGCAAATCCATGCCTCGCAGAAGTCACAGATTGCCCCCACCATGCCCAGGCCCGTGGTGAAGATTCCCGGATGACGAACAACACAGTCTCCGGTCTTGAGCATGCACTTCACCTTCCCGCATTGCGCGCACACCGGAAGGCGCTGGACACTCTGGCAGAAGTAGCAAAAGGCACGGGATTTCTGTTTCCTGCGCAAAGAGAGTGGATATTAGCGGAAAACAAGGAAAGGAAAGGGATTTTCCACTCACCTCTGACACTTTTCACACTCCATCACCACATTGCAAGGAAACTCAGCAATATCCACGCATTTATTGCGAATCTCCTTCTGGCGGAGCTTCTGCTTCTCCGCCTTCTTGCGTTGGCCGGTTTTCTTCTTCGGCATCACGGGGAAATGGCCAGGAAAACACCTGGTGCGGGAAATACCAGGAAATCACCACACCTAACCTCACTTTCCCACCTGGAGGTGCGAATTGCGACTCACTTCGCACCGCATGACTTTCGACGAGTTTCTTGTGGTGAGTGTGTGTGCGTGAGTTTTGCAGAGTCGCGAGACGACAAAATCATCCGCGATTATATTTGCAAATTTCTGGCTTTATTCTCGATTGTGATAGTAATGTGAGTGATAAGGGAGATTCCTTGATTAGTACACTGCGTGGTGAGTGGGTTTTTGAGATCGTCACTGGAGGGCAAAAGTGCGATTTGCAGTGTTATTTTTTCAGTGGGAGCAATTCAGGGCGCGAGAGCGAGAGAGAGACAAACAAAAGGGCCCCAAACCCGATGAGGAGGCGCTAAAAATGCAGAACAACAATGTGAAGAAGGAGACTTTCCAGTTGCTCCAGTACTCGGACGACTCCAAGAGTCTGTCGGATCTCGAGCTGACGGAGATTGTTGTGCCAAGGAAGAGGAAAGTCCGCAGGTCGGTCTCAGGGTCTTCTCTGGCTATATTTATGCCGCGCGGAATCACGCATCGACCCACTGACACTGAAAGCCATTCTCTCTTTTGCTGCAGGAAAACAAAGTCCAAGGGGGGCTATAAGCAGAAGCAGCCACCGCCGCCAGTGCCGGTGGCCTGCAAGAACCTGGGCCTGTGGATTTCCATTGTCACGACGTGGTGCTGGCTGCTGATCCTGTCCTACATCATCGCCGTGGTGAATACGGGCAATCGGCAGCTGGACAGGCAGCTGCAGAAGGTCTCCGCCACCACACAGAACGTGCCTGGGGCGCTGCAGGAGTGGCACGAGACGTCCCAGTACTTAGAGGCCAACCAGACGGCCCTCATCTCCAAGATGCAGGACGTCCAACAGACGCTGAAGAACTTCACGGAGGAGGTGAGGCTGCAAATCCCTCGGAACCCCTTTGAACCCCCCCCCCCTAACCCGTTTATTTTGTCCTTCAGGTTGCTCAGCTGAAGACGCAGGTGCACAAGAAGGCCGAAGTGCCGGATGACAATGAGAAGATGGCTGTCCTTCAGACCAGTATTGCGGATTTCGGAGCGAAAATCAAGGATTTATCCACGGCTGTTGATGATCTCAAGGATCGCGTGACGAGAGTGCAGCAAGAGGTGCACAATAACACCAATTTCAATCATCACTTGCAGGTGAGAATTGCGCAGCGACTTTCCCAGAAAGTCTATGGGAAAATTCTCTGAATAGCTTCTCGAGAAGAGACTATAATTCACCCACATTCGTGATAACTCTTTTCTCAAGGAGATGATAAAAATTTACACTCTCAAATCCCACCTAAAAAGCCACGAGTTCATAATGTTTGACGAGGGATTTTTTTTTTATCACTCTACACACAAAATTGACTCACACGCATTTTCCCATCTTATCGCAATTTCGCAGGAGATATCGCTGGAGAGAAGAGTGAACGACACGATGGCCAATCTCAATAGTTCTGGGCCGCAGCAGATGGGCAATTTGGCCAATTTCACTGCGGAATACTCAGACAAGCTGGTGCGCATCAATGATACGCTGAATGCCATCAACAATGTCCTGAGTCAGAAGATCAAGAGCATCGAGGAGGATGAGACGAATTCCAAGAAAAAAATCGATCGCCTGTCCGACAGTGTGTCCAACACGTCTTCGCACGTGTCGTCCATCGAGGAGGATTGGTCCAAGTACAAGCAGGACGTGAAGGAGCTCGAGACGACGCGCGTCGCGACGGAGACGCGCCTCAGCAAGCTGGAGAACGTGACGGACAACTTGATGAGGAGTCTCGAGAGCCTTCGCGGCGAGGCGCGAACGCAGAGCGATCGATTTACCAAAGATATTGCAATGCTTCAGCAGCAAATTCAGCAACTTGCTTCAGCACAGGAAGAACTTGTGAGTTTTGAGGCATAAAATTGCTATAATTTCTATCGCTTTTGGCTTTGGGAAAACACACAAAGGAATGTAGGAAATTTAACAACTCTTTATCGCAATTTCCTTAACAACTTCGGGCACTGATGTGAACAGAATTAATTCTTGTGCATTGGAATATTATTTTTCGCATTATGATTTTTAGATGAGGAATCATGCTGGTAATCGGAGAATGCAGGGAAATCTCTGAGTGCGGACGTTGATTTTGCGATTATTGCGAAAGAAGTGCTGTGAGAAAATCGAGTTGTCGATGGAGTTTTACTTTGTGAGAATTTACTGTTTCATTATTTTAAAGACCGAATTGTTAGTTTAGGACGGTTTTAAATAATTTTACGACCTCTTTCCATTTCTTAATATCGGGAAAGAGATTTCAACTCTGATATACCTGAAAATCTAGTGAAAAACATTGCTTTTGCAAACATTTGACGATTAATTAGTGTTAAAAATCTCAGCTCACGCATAACTTTAGCCTGTATTTTTAGACTGTAATGTTAGTTATGATCCTTGTTGTCTCTTGCAGAAATTACCTTCACCGCCGGCGAAAGCAGGACCACAACAGCCATCCACACCACAAGTAGCGAACACAGTTGCCTCGTCAAATTCAAGTAGCTCACTCAACATCGAAAAGTAGTTTGGTTTACAGACGGTTTAGAGGATTTAGTGGGTGATTTTTTGCGATAGGATTCTAGGATTAACACGTGTGATGACGGAGTGTGTGCAGAGAAGTGCACTCGCATATTGTTCTGCTCGTTCGAGGAGTATTTCTTAATATGCCTTGACTCGAACGCGTAGGCGTTCTTGAAAGAGAGATAGAGAGAAAGAGAGAACGTGAAGAGTTTTACTGTTCCAGTTTATTTAACATCTCTTTAACCCTGTAGTAGTTTCAGCGTAGAGACTTTTGATTTTGTGATTTTACGGTAATGCAAGTGTTTTGGGCGGGTGTTTAGAGAAGAAGAGTGCTAAATTTACCAAGGAGTATTGAGTCAATTTTATTTGCCACTAGACATTATTTAAAATATATATTATAAAAGTAAATTCTTTTAAGGTAATAAATTCAGAGATGAATTTGATGAAATGCACCTTGAAGGTTTTCACTGAATGACGCCGAGTTGTCGGCCAACGTCGCTGAAGGCTTCGATGCAGCGTTTGATGTCCTCTTCGGAGTGTGCCGCGGATATTTGGACGCGTATGCGAGCTTTTCCCTTCGGCACCACGGGAAAACTGAAGCCAATCACGTAGATTCCTTTCTCTGCAAACAAGGAAAATGTATGTCAATTTTGTCTGTATCTAAAGTCTCTTCAACTCTGTCGCATAGCAACTAATGATCAATTGATTATCTTTCAGTGACTCTGTACTCACTCAGCATCTCATTGGCGAACACACTTGCTAGCTTGGCATCGCCTAGCATCACTGGGCAGATGGGATGATTCATGCCGGCCAGTGAGAAGCCCGCCTTGGCCATGCCCGTGCGGAACTGGTCCGTGTTGCGCTTGATCTTGCGCGACAAGTCGCTGGAGCTGAGCAGAATGTCCATGACTTTGATGGCAGTGCCCACGACCGGCGGCGGCAGAGTGTTGGAGAAGAGATATGGCCGCGATTTCTGCCGCAGCAGATCTATTAGCTCTTTGGGACCCGTCGTGTAGCCGCCGGATGCGCCGCCTAACGCTTTGCCGAGCGTGGAATTGATAATGTCCGCGCGGCCCATCAAACCGTGGAATTCCTCAGTGCCTCTGCCCGTGTCGCCGAAGAATCCCGTGGCGTGACACTCGTCCAGGAATACCAGAGCGTTGTACTTGTCCGCCAACTGGAAGATCTCCGGCAGAGGTGCCACATTGCCGTCCATCGAGAAAACGCCGTCTGTGACGATGAGCTTCATTCTCCCCGTGGAGGCTTTCAGCTTCTCCTCGAGATCCTCCATGTTCCTGTGCAAGTAGCGCTCCTTCTTTGCCTTGCACAGCCGCAGGCCGTCGATGATGGACGCGTGATTGAGCTCATCGGAGAAGACAGCATCTTCGGGCGTCAACAAGACCTCGAATATCCCAGCATTGGCATCGAAGCACGAAGCGTAGAGAATTGTGTCTTCGCGCTGATGGAATTGACTTATCTTCGCCTCGAGTTCTTTGTGGATATCTTGAGTGCCACAAATGAAGCGAACAGAACTTGCACCGCCGCCATACTTTTCCAGAATCTTCTTGCTGTACGAAATGATGTCCTTGTTGTACTGCAAGAGCCCAGAAGATTCAATTGACAAGTCTGCACTTGAAAAACTTTCCACTTCCACTCACCGCCAATCCCAGATAATTGTTGGCGCAGAAGTTCAGCACTGGAGTTTCACTTCCGGCCACAGAGATTGACGTTTTCTGGGCGGACGTGATGATTCTCTCGGTTTTGTACGTGCCGGCATTTTCGATCTCCTTCAGCTGTTGGCTCAGAATTTCCTTAAGTTGCGTCTGAGCCGCACTGGCAAAGTTCCTAATCCCAACATGATATCCTTTCAGAAATGAAACATTTATTCACAATACTCTGCGAAGAAAAATTATATGACAATTTCACCTCTTCTGGCGAGACACAGCATCTTCTTGCACAAATCACGATTGAATGCTTTATAGAACCTATAGAGTAGATGCAGAGAAATGCGAAAGAAGTCGACTTTCAGTTTCCGAGTGTCGTTTTTTCATGGTCAAGCTATAATTAGAATAAATTGACGCATCCCGTTTCGAGATTTCTCGCGCGTGGATTAAATTCTCAATAGCGCAATGCTTGTTCTCGACCACATTCGCGTGTGAGACCTTTGAGTGGTGGGTGGTATTTATTTTTTCTCGATAAAACTTCGTTGTGTAATTGTTGACATGCGGGTGTTAAGAAAAGTGGCGGTAAAACGAGAATGTCATTTCCCGCCATAATGCATCACTGGCATGCTATGAGGCTAATAGACTTGCAAGCCAGTGCGAGTTTGTTTCGTTGTCATTCTTCGATGGAGGAAAAGTTCCGTCGTGCTTAGGGAGTTTTCTTCGGGAAATCTGCTCTGAATGATCTGAAATGGGGACAAAACAGACCCAAAAGGAGATTGGGGAAGTGAAAAATTAATGCAAGACACTGTTGAGATCCTCAAACCGAAGGATGTGAAGCGAGAGTCCTGGTCTGAGTACTTCTACAGGCATGGAAACAACGCTTACAGGTTGTTCGTGCCGAAGAGATAAAGACTTTTGTTCTACTATTTCATCGACATTAGAGCCTATGAATAAATGAAGCATTTTTATTTAATTTCATGCAACTTTCATTGCAATCCTCCTTGCAACCAACATCTTTAATCCGATGAACTGAACTCAAATTCCTCTGCATGTCAACTGACGCGTCGTCATAATGGGATATTTTTCTATCAGGTTCGGCCGGCTCAGTCATCTGTTCGCATGGAGAAAGTGTAAATCGCGTGTTTTGGAGTTTTCCTCGTGAAAGACTACCGTGAAAAGCCTGCTTTGCACAATGTTGATCAGTCTTTGCTATTGCAGAATTATAGTTATAAGAAATCGGCACATTTTTGTGCGTCCTGTGATAAAATCAGTGAAAAATGTCCGTTGTTTTGCCAACTTGCCTCACAACAATATTCTTCCGGACAAGAGGACTTCCCAGATCTCATCAGATGAGACGAGCTGGATCAAGGACCAGTACCAAAAAGCCATAGGGATAGTTGAGGAGTTGTCTGGTGTGAAGGAAATTCGAGCGTCTCAGGATGAAGTGATAAAGATCCAGGACAAACTCTGGGACACACAGGAAGAGAGAAGACTGCTGTTGCAGAACTTACTGGAGCTCCGTCGGAACATCCAGACGCTGAACAACGATATCCATGCCATGGAGAAGGGAAATCCTCACTATCTGGAGCTGGTGAAGAGGCAGATTGAGGTTAGTTGAGCTTGAGAAAATGTTTCTAGGAGATTTTGATGATTCCTTGTCCTTTTACAGCTGATGCAGAAGGAGAGAGAAGCAGACAACTACTTCCAGGTTGTCGACGCCAGTGAGAGGAATCTCTTCACTCATCTCACGTCTGCCGTGAAGACGTCGCACGAGAAGGAGCGCAAGCAGTCGGAGAACTCAAAGTACTTCTCGATGATGCTCTCAATGTGCACGGCTGTGCTGGGAATTGTGGGCAGCACAGTGGTGTATCACTTGCGCAATAAGAACCAAAAGACTCTGATTGATCGCAGTGACAGGATTGAGCAGGAAATCGTCGAGCTGAAGAGCAAAGTTGGGGTGATTACAGACTTGGAGAGTGCCGTTCTGGAGGCGATTGAGCACTTAAAACCGAAGGATGTGAAGCGAGAGTCCTGGTCTGAGTACTTCTACAGACACGGCAGCACAGTTTATAGATGGTTCGTGCCGAAAAGATGAGAATTAGCAGAGACTTAGGGATTTATATTAAAACTTTGTGAATGCAAAAGAAAAACATTTTAAGGCTCCAGCACCGATGCAGCAAGTGCCAGAAAGCTACTTGGGCTCATAGGGCGTGAGGAGATTTTTAGAGAAAGCCGCCACGCTTTCTGCGCCGCGCACTTCCGCCTCGAGCAGCGGCAACTTAACCACGTGGAAGTCCTCGTAGAGATCGGCAATCTGCTCGAGATACTTCTCCTGCACGCCGTAGCGTGCGGCGCACATCTTGCACGGCTGGCTGTTGGGCGGCCGGAAGAGCAACTGGTTCACGATGATGTTGTGTGTGTCGATTTCACACTTAGTCAGCTCCTGGATCAGGCGCTCGGTCTCGTACAGCGACAGGAATTCGGCGATACAGACGCACACGAAGGTGGTCTGGTCGGGATTCCTGAACTGCTGGTTCACCTGGCGAATGATCGTGAGCATCTCCTCGAGTTTCGTGGTGAAGCTGTCGGCATTGAAGTCCTGCATGCCGAACAGGCCGCTGAGTTGCGTGAGGAATGGCGAAATCTTCATTTTGATCTTTAGAATCTTGCCCAGGCCTTTCTCCACCACCTGGGGAAAGGAGAGCAGGCGTAGAGTGTGACCAGTTGGCGCTGTGTCGAACACCACTACTGAGAAGTTCATCGCCTTGACCAGCTTCATGACCTCGGCATAGCTCATGGCCTCGTCGATGCCGGGCAGAGCGCCCAGGATGTCATGGAGGACTCCCTTGCCCAGCTTCAGAGCCTCATTGTCACCCTCGAAGTACTCGTCCGGCAGCTCATTGAGGCCCACATTGGGATCGATTTCCATCGCGAAGAGATTCTCGAAGCCTCTCACCTGCAAAGGCCGCAAAGAGACACACTTTATCAGCAGTGGACTTTAGTTAAAAGCACTGATTCATTCCCCAGTCGATTAGCCACGTAATTCCCATTGTTCCCATGCAAAAAAAGCCCCCAAAACAAGAGGATATCAAGCACAGTTGGCGCACTGTTGCATGGCGCGTGCGACACAGCGCAGTCTTCTTACCTTCGTGGGGACTTTTGAGAATTTCTGATCCAGTGCATCGGAGATATTGTGAGCTGGATCAGTAGAGATGATCAGGACGGAGTCGCGAACGCGTGACAACTGGATGGCCAGGCTGCAGCTGTTGGAAAATTCATCATTAATGCAGAGATAAGTGTGTGTGAGAAAAATCGGCAGCCGCAGAGTCTCACCTGCAAGTTGTTTTCCCAACTCCGCCTTTGCCGCCCACGAAGATCCACTTGAGGGATGTCTGCTCTATGATGTTCCTCAGCGTTGGCTCGCACTGCATCTCATCGTCGGCACTCATTATCACTGTATAATTGCTTATTTAGTAATTCTTCACAGAAATTTTTGTACTCCACGAAGGCAAAAATGACAATTCAGCAATTCAGCGGATTCCGGAAGTTCCGAACAGCGCGCTGACAATCAGCTGTCAAAAGCGGTTTGTTTACAAACTTTGACTGCGCGAGCGTTTCTCTGTGGAAAATCTAAGAAAAGTGCAATGAAAGTGAGGAAAAAGAGGGAAATGAGCACTGAGGATGAGGATCGGAAAGGTGAGTGAGGATTTTTCAGTGAAATCTCAGTGTTATATGTGGAAATTGCGTTTCAGTGGAGCTTCCAGTGACGCCTCGCCAGAGGAGGCCGAAGAAGAAGAAAAAGGAGGATTATGATGACTCAGATCCTGTGGACATCATGAATGATATCGTGGAGGAGTCCTCTTCAAGAGCGCCTGACGCATTGACGCCTCAGAGTGCCGCTGAGAAGCTGAAGAGCCAGGCGAAGAGCTCATCTTCGCGGTCACAGAAGCGGAAGCGCCAGAAGCGCGACAGCGGCACGAGTAGCGACGAGGAGCGATGGCTGGAAAAGATCAAGGATCCCAAGATGATGACAGCGCGACAGAGAGCGATGTATGAGCGAGGGAATGAGAAGGAGGTGAATTCAATCGCACCGCCAGAAGTCCTCATGGCTCTGCCCACGGGATACAAGGAGAAAGTCCTGTCGGCTGAGGCACTGGAGAAGGCACAGCTGATGTCGCAGAAGCGCAAGCAGATGGCGGATGAGAAGCGCGAGAAGGACAAAAAGAAGACGATGGAGAGGTTGCTGAAGAAGCAGGACTCGAAGATGGGGAAGAACTCGAAGAACCAGAGATCTCGCACAATTCTGCCCACAATCATCTATCGGAACACACTCGAGGGCATCACTATGACTTACCCACCCAATTTCTCATACCCGCTGGCGCCGCAGGGGTCACGAGAGGCCCCAAAAGCCACTCCGTGCGTGATCTGTGGCCATCCGAAAAAGTATAACTGCTCCAAGACAAATGTGCCGCTCTGCAGCTTCAGATGCTACAAGCAGAACGTGGCGTCGATCCAGCAAATCTTCTGCTAGTCTGAGCGGCGGATAAGAATATTTATATTTTAATTGGTTTCGAGATTTAGTGACGCAATCAGGCGATTCAGTTGACTTTGTGCTAAAATGCAAATTAATTGATTGGATATAAATGAAAATTATATGCTAAGCCGAGAGATGGATTATTATTGTGACTGCAAATGATAGATCCGCACTCAACTGCTAATGAGAATCAATTCTCCATTTATCTCAGCAATATTGAGAATTTTGAAGAGATGAATCAAGAGGTGAAAGCGTCTTGTTATAACAAGAAATAATGAGACTAATTCATGTCTAATCCTGAAGATGTTTGGGAATTCATTGCAGGGTCGGAAGGATTCTTAGAAAGGCGATATTCTGCCTACGAAAGCTGAAGAACAGCACTTCAGGGAGAAGAATCAACATCCAAACACTTCTCAGTGAGATTAGGATCCGCGTTAAGCACGAATCTATTGTACAACGATCATTATCACTGATCAGTAAAATCATAATATTGGATGCTTGCGTTCGCCACAGCGTAATTGCCCAGTGTTTTCCACTGAGGGCGTGAGAGAGGTGAGAATCCGTGCAACAGCCACTTTTCACACACACCCAATTTTCACTCTGTTTTCCCCAGGGCAGGAGAGAGACTGTCGTGAAGCGGCATCATTAGCGCCCGCGTCGAAATTTCCGCGTGGCTCATCTTTGAGCAATTGCAATGACTTCATATTAATTGTTCGCACGATTTACTCTCGCGTTCGTGCGCCCGGGAAAAACGCCTTCGCGGCGCGATGCGTAATTCCCTGCGGGATTTGCTTGCTATAAAACAGTGCATTTTGCTGAGAATTATACAGTCTCTCGTGCTGCAGCTCAGTGGAAGTGAAAAAAAAAATCTATTTAGTTTGGTGAAAATGGCGGGAAAAGCTGTGATTCTGTGCTTTTGCGTGTTGGCGCTTTTCTTCGTAAAATCATTTGCCGTAAGAATGAATTTAAGTTTAAAAACTACGTAGAAAGATCTTAAAAATTCATTAGTTTTTCATTTCAAGAGAAAGAATTTTCACTCTCTATTTCCAAGAAATGTTGATTCAGAATTTTCTCGAGAAAATTAATCAAATTACTAAAGACGAACTGTTGAAATGAATTTTGAAGCTGTGAAGTTACTTTGATAAAATACATAAAATTGATAATTGCAATCAACTTGTTGGAAAATTAATTCAATGACATTCAGAAGGCATTTTTTATTATATTCAATTTCCTCCTGAATTGTCTGAAATTCATGTTTTTTTATAATGTATTCGACAACAATCAATAAACCCGGCAATAAACTGACTCCAATCTGCATTCGCGGTTTCAGATTACAGTCGACGAGGCAAAAAACTTGGCGAAAATCTTCAGTGAGCCTTGCAAAGACAAGCATCGCGTGTCGAATGAGTTGATTGAGGGCGTGAACAAGGGCGATTTTCCGGACAACAGAAGCCTGAAATGCTACGCTAATTGCATGCTCGAGCTGACGCAGACAGTGGCCAGAGGCAGGATCAACTACAGGATGTCTCTCGCGCAGATCGACCTGTTCATGCCCGAGGAAATGAAGGAGCCAGCGAGGATGACTTTGGAAGCCTGCAGAGGATCAAGTGAGATGTCCAGTGAAGAATTTCCGGGCGCTTTAGTCACTGTTCTTGTATCTTTTTCAGTGAAGGGCTTCAAGGATCACTGCGAAGCGAGCTACAATTACGTCCAGTGTATGTACAAAGTCAACAGAAAATACTTCTTTTTCCCCTAGGAGCCTAGAATCTGTCCAGCGGAGCCTTAAATACTCGAGAGATGTTCTACAAACAAATTTGTCAGAGAATTAATTTATCACAATTACTCTACATACTAATTATCCATCAATTTCAATATAATAACTGATTTGTCAGAGATTATTGCGTTGTTTTTATCTCTTGTGATAAGAATGAAAGTGAGTCTGATTGATGACGATGTGGGAAAATCAGTGGTTTTCATTCAAACTCTTCCATTCATTCTCACATGACGCGATTAATTTGATTTCCCTTTTATTTTCTATACTTTCCATGTGAATTCTCTGAAAGTTTGGACGTCTGTATTTGTATGTTAGGTGATCTTTTTTCTTAGTGTTCCTCGTGGCAGTTATTTGTCGTTGTAAAGCCACTTGCTTTTCTTTACTGAGTGGCAGAATTTCATGTGTCTGCCCAAATCTTCATTGCTGGCGAACTTCTTTTCGCACAATGAGCACTTTATCTTCCGCTCTGAGTGGACACGCTGGATGTGAACCTGCAAGTTGGTCGAACTGGAAAATGTCTTATTGCATTTCGGGCATTTGACGGCTTTTTCGATGTGAATCTGAGTAATGTGCCTCGTGAGGCAACTCTTCACGTGGAATGAAGCATCGCAATAATTACACTTGAAGGGTCTTTCGCCCGTGTGAGTTCGCCGGTGGGTTGTCAGCTTCGCACGCATGTATGTGCTGTAGGAGCATGATTTCCAGTCGCATACAAACTTCCGCTCCGTATTGTGTCGCTCGATGTGCAGATTGATGGCGACGGGCGTGAGAAAGATCTTTCCACAGATCGGACACGGATGCTGGTTGTTCTCATCGTGGCTCTGCATGTGTCTGTAGAGTGCCGACTTCGTGCTGTATGTCTTCTGGCAGATCCTGCACGGATGCCTTGTCAGGGCGTTGCGAGAATTATGCATTTCCCTGCAGTGGAGCATCAGCATTTTCTTCGTGAAGAATGCTTTGCCACACATTTTACAAAACTCCGTCTTTATCTTCGCCTTCTTGTGTATGTTTTGTATGTGTAGCTTCACATCCTTCTTATGCTTGTAGGAATTGCCGCAATCTGAGCACTCGAAGGGCTTCTCAGATGTGTGCATCTTCAGATGTTGCTTGAGATTGTTTCTGGTCTTGGCACTGTAAGTGCATTGCGTGCATTTGTGTATCTTACCATCGCTCCTGTCCAACCTGTCCAGCCGGTCCAGGCCAATAGCAATCACATCCTCCTCGTGAACATCGCTTTGCTCAGCCATTTCCTTGAAGGCTTCCATTTTTGTATGCGCTTCACTCACCACCACTTCCTCCACTTTGACTTCGTCATAAGTCAACACCGACAGGACACTTTCTTCGCTATCCGACTGCGATTCATCCTTCGGCATGTGTTTCAAGAGGTGCTCATTGAGTTCTGAGAGGAAGTAAAAGTTCTCCTGGCAAATTATGCACCTGTACAGCTTCATTCCGCCATGAGTCTGAAGATGGTACTCAAATTCCACCAGAGAACTCTCCTCATTATCGCAGCACTTGCAGCTATACAAGCCGTGCGCGCTTTCCCTGTGAGTCAACAATTCCGCCCATCCGCCAAAATTTCCGCCGCACTCTCGACAGCAAACATTGCTTATCGCTTCGGAATTGAATACTGATTCCTTGGATTCCTCCATATTTTTCTCTCTGAAAATTCGGAAAAAGTGTTTCAGCCAACGTTGACAATAAATCAACAAAACTTCTGTAGAAACCTTTTCATTTACAATATTCCACAAATTAGGACCGCAAATGTCGGCAGGATTGTCTCACGGTGCCCTTGAATTTAATTGGAACTGATATTTTAGCGTTTTTAGAGGAGAAATCATGAAAACACGGACCAAAACACGCATTGCCACAATAGTTTTTGACATTCCAGTCATTCTAGCAGTTTTACTTCCATTCGTTTAGACCAGTTCCAAGAATTTCAAACCTTTCCCGCCTAAACAATCCCCACTTTTTATTGCTGAATTCAACTCATTCAAGAATCACAAATTGAAAAATGCACTTTCTTCTTCTTGATCGAGTGACTATCCTTCATATGCCGGCTCACGTCCGCCTTGCTTCCGTACTTCTTGTTGCACACTGAGCAGGGAATCGTTCTCTCCGCGTGAAGTCGTCTCACGTGATCGAGCAGAGCTTTTCGCGTGGGAAAACTCTTCTCGCATTGCGTGCAGGGAACAATGTGGGGGTTGTGCATGTGCGCAATGTGCCTCTTCACGCAACCCCTCACGCTGAACGTCTTGTCGCAGAAGTCACATTTAAACGGCTTTTCGCCCGTGTGCGTGCGCCGATGATCGCGTAGAGATGTGGTGAGAGGCGTGCTGTAGTCGCAGGACTCCCAGTCACAGACGTACTTTCGCTCAGGATTGTGCCTCTTGAGATGCAAAGTCATGCCAAGACGCGTGGTGAAGACTTTGCCACACTTGGGACAAGGAACTCCATTATTCTTCGCGTCGTGCCGCTGTATATGCAAAGCAACGCCCGACTTTGAGGAATATGTCTTTCCGCACAGGTGGCAAGGATATCTTGTGTTATCGGAGGAGTGCATTTCACGCACGTGCACTTTCAGTCTCTCCTTCATGTAGAATCCCTTGCCGCAGATTTTACACACTTCCGTTCGCTGCTTGTTCTTGTCGTGAATCATTAGCAGGTGAGATTTCACGCTGACTTTGTGTCTGTACGTCTTCCCACAAATGGCGCACTCGAAAGGCCTCTCATTGGTGTGTGTCCTGGCGTGCAGCTTGAGATTGCTGCGAGTTTTGCTGGTGTGCGGACACTGAGAGCACTTGAAAATCTTCTGCGGCTTCACCCACTCGAGAACAACAGTTTTCTCCTGTGGCATGTCTGGCTCTTCACCACTGGAATCCCCTCTCTCAGCTGGTGTTGGTGATTCCGTCTTAATCTTTTGCCCTAAATTAATTGCTGCGTCTATCAATTGTTCGCCAGCTGGAAAAGGTTTTTCCTCTGCCAAATGAATAGGAAGATGACTGTTCAGTTCGATGAGGAATGAGAAGTTCTCATGGCAAATTGTGCACTTGTACAGCTTCATTCCGCCATGCATCTGCAGATGATACTCAAATGCCACCACGGAAGTCTCTTCTTTTGCGCAGGATTTGCAGTTGAACAAATTGTGAGCGATTTCTCTGTGCTTCTCGAGTTCTGGATATATTACGAAACTCTCCCCACATTCCTGGCAATCAATGCCACTTGTAGCCTCTCGTTTCACCTCGAATTTATTCATTTTTCGCCTGAAATGTCGATTCACGAAGCTTTGTTTACATTTTGCCAATTCAATGCATTTCCCATCGTTTATGTCTTACCTCTTGAAGCTCTACGCGTTGAACACTTAAATCAGAATTACTGGCGTTGAATCATTAATTTGTGCCCAAAATTTCATGTCTTTGATCAATAAAAACAATTTTTTGGGTCTGCTGCCACTTTTTCACTTTTCCTTCCAAAACACCACAAAAAAAGTTTCTATTAATCTCGCAATTCTATCTTTTTGGTATAAAAAAAATTAAATTCAACGTTTTTGTGTTTAGCCTAGACATAAACCGCAATCCATTCGCATTTAGAGGAAATTCGGAGATCCAGATTTGGCCACAAAAATTATTTTTTGCACAATATGAATAAAATGCGAAAACTTTCCTTTTAATTCTTCTATTAGGTATTCCCATGATTAGCGCTTCCCAAAAAGTGATGTCTTACTCGCTGAGGTTCTCCTTCTTGACCGAATGGCTGTCTTTGAGATGCCTGGTGAGATCGCCTTTTGTAGCATATTTCTTGTCGCACACCGGACACGCCACCTTTCTCTCCATGTGAACTCTGCGGATGTGGCAGCGTCGCGTGGCCGAGATCTTAAAGACCTTCTCGCAGAACTCGCATTGCAGCGTGGCGGGATTGTGGCGCTGGGACGTGTGGCTGGCCAAGGCGGCCTTCGTGGCGAATCCCTTGCTGCAGGCGCCACACTGGAAGGGCTTCTCTCCCGTGTGGGTGCGCTGGTGCTCCACGAGGACCGAGCGCGAGTTGGAGCGAAAGGAGCAGGCTTCCCAGTCGCAATGGAATCTTGGCGCCGCGTGCATGTGACGATGATGACGCTGAAGGTAGTGCTGCTTGTCGAACGTCTTATCACACTCCGAGCACTTGTGCACCTCCGGTTCGGAGTTGTGAGTCTTCAGGTGGAAGTAGAGTCCGCCGCGCGTAGAATACGTCTTGCCGCACACGAAACAGGGAAACTGCTCGCGCGGCCGATGAATGGCTCTGATGTGCGATCTCAGGCGTATGGAGAAGTTAAACTTCTTCCCACAATACGGGCAAATCTCCGGCTTCTGTGGCTTCGTGTGCTTCAGTTGCAGGTGAATCCGAACGTCATACTTCTCGGAATAGCATTTGCCACACAGAGCGCACTCATAGGGCTTCAGTCCAGTGTGTGTCCTCATGTGCTTCTTCAGATTCGAGGCACTCTTGGACGCGTGGAAACACTGAGGACACTCAAACTTCTTGTCCCCCTCCTCATTTATCACGCGGACTCTCTTCGGACGCCCGCGCTTCCGCTTTCCAGGCTTCGTCTCCTCCTCACAGGTCACACTGTCTTCTACTCTCTCGCCGAGAGACTCCGCAATCTCATCAGCTTCCGTCTTCTCTTCCGCGCAGGTTTCCGAGATTCCCTCCTCATCCAAATGCATGGGAAGGTGATTATTTAAGTCCGCCAGGATAGTGAAGGTGACCTGGCAAATGATACACGTGAAGATCTTGAATCCTCCGTGCTTCTGTAGGTGATACTCAAAGTCTGTGAGGGAATATTTATCCGATAAGCAGAAGTTGCATTTGAAGGAAGAGTGTTGCTTCCGGTGACTCTCAAACTGAATGCTCTCCTGGAAATTCTCACCGCATTCACGACACTGAAGCTCATCCAAGTCCTCTAGTTTGATTCTCGCATTTCCACTCTCCATCCTGCAGCTTTTCACTGGGAATTTGCGGATTTTCACTGGCTCGCAGTCCAACATCAAAATAAACTTTTTTTGCCATCTATTTTTCGACGAGTTTCAAAAGTCGCCCTCTGCAAACCGTCAGCAAAGGACTTTATACTCCTGTTCCGGGGCTTCCTCCCCACAGATTGTCGTTGTGATCCTGGCACAGCCATAGCACTCAGTCTCGCCATAAAACACAGCATATTGTCCGGGAGTTATAGCCCTCAGTGGATTCTCTAAAGTGACCAGCAATCCACCAGGGGCTGCAGAATCCCTCTCTAACTGACACTTTGTCAGGGGCTTTCTGTGCTGAAACCTAAATAAGCACTCAAATCCCTCTCCCAGTCTGGGCAGGCAATCTTCAGCTATCCAGTAAGGAGATTCCGTGTGGAAAACTTTGGAATAGAGAGCGGGATTTTTTGATCCTTCAGCGACGAAGATGATATTCGAATTGCAATCTTTCTGGGCGATGAAATAAGGCTGAGGAAATCCTGCCAAGCGACATCTCTGACCAACAGTCCAATTGTGAATCCCATTATGACTCCCAACAACAGATCCTGTATCGATATCAACTAATTTCCCAGGTTTTGTGGAGATATACTGGAAAAAAAGCGATAACAGGCATTGTTTATCAAAAGCTGGAAATATCCACTCACTTCTGATATGAAATCCTGAAAATTTCGGTGTCCAATGAAGCAAATCCCGGTGCTCTCCTTCTTCCGCAAGAGGAACCCCATGCCCGCGTCTCGAGCCATTGTCTTCACTTGATCCTTGGTGAAGTCTCCCAGTGGAAACATTGTTCTCCTGAGGGCTCTCTGAGGCACACTTGAGAGGAAAAAGGTCTGATCTTTCATGCTGTCTCTCGCCTGCAACAGTTTTACGTTGCTTTCCGGACAGAAGTGTTCCAGGAAGTTCCCAAAACTGTTTCTAGCATAGTGTCCAGTGGCAATAGCGTCCGCATTAAGCTTATCCGCCCTCGTGGCAAATGCGAAGAAGTTATCGAACTTGATGAATCTATTGCACAGAATGTCCGGATTGGGAGTCAATCCTGATTCGTAGTCTCGCAGGAATTGCGTGAAGACGTTGTTCCAGTATTCCTTCACGAAGTTTACGTAAATCAAGGGAATTTTGAGGTGGTTGCACACTCTTTGGGCATCTTCCCAGTCCTGATCTCCAGTACAGGTAGTTTTCTCATCCACAATGTCCCAGTTTCTCATGAAAACTCCCTGCAGACGATATCCTGTAAGGACGTTTGTTGACATTAAGATTTCTACATAAGTACGAATTGTCATGATCTGTACCTTTGTTCTTGAGGAGAAGAGCGGCCACAGCACTGTCTACACCACCGGAAATGCCCACCACGATGTTCTTGAAAGGAATTTTCCTCATTTTCCCTCGAATTGTGCCGGAATTTGGCAATCAGCCGGGATTCGACAAGTTTAGACGAGTGTTGTTTTTGTCGATGTTTTTGGCTGTCAAAACATTATTATGTTTTGCTGGGGCGAGAAAGAGGGTGAAAAACACTTTGCGGATGCTTTCTGGATCCTGTGCGATGGTGGAAGTGTGGAAAAAGGGAATGGCACTGTCTTTTGATAAAATATGTCGTGTGTGTCTTGGAGAGACAGCAGACTTGCTCTCAATCTACTCGAGATACTGCATAACATCAATTTCCCTGGAGAATTCCACCGCTACAGAAGGTAAACAATCCTGGAAATCCATCCTTGAAAATAACTGGTTTTCAACATATTAAGCATGTAAATCCTCTTTAAGAAACCCCTACAATACTGGAGATGTTGAGTTCTCTCGTGACGGTGAGATAATTGCTTAGAACTCAAGTTTTGTGTTGATCCTGAGAGTGACAGGAAATGTTTCTCATCTGCAGATCAATAAGAATCTCAATCTGCCCAGCAATGTTTGCGTCGGTTGCGTGCACGAACTCTCGAGGGCTTTTTGCTTCAAGGAGAAGTGTGAGAAAAACGAAATTGCTCTGGTTGCGTGTCTCAATGAGGCGACGGAGGAGAAGAAGGACAATGTCTTGAAGCAGGAACTCCACGAGCCGCAGACTCTGGAGGAGCTCAGTGACTACCTGAAAATCGAACCCACAGTGTATGACGCCAGCAAAGCGGCCAGTGAAGTGAATGAGGCGGAAGAGACGAACGACGTGAAGGAGAGCTGTATTCTGGAAGAGGAGCAGTCGTTTTCGTCAGTGAAGGAGCCTCAAGTGGCGGGATCGAGTGTGGATATCAAGTCTGAGTTCAGCTGCTCAAAGTGTGGCTCTTACTTTGCCAGGAGGAAGTCTCTGATGAGACACCAGAAGACGAATAAGTGCCTAGAAATATCCTTTCGTTGCAATATCTGCAATCGCGTGTTTGTCCGGAAGCGGAATCTGGTGCAGCACATGGGTACACACAGCACAAAAGACAAGCCCTTCAAGTGTCCGGACTGTCCGAAATTGTTCTCCGTAGAGGAGCAACTCACAGCGCACGCATCGACGCACAGAGGACTGAAGAAACATCAGTGTAGAGAGTGTGGAAAATGTGAGTATTCCTCAGAGGGTAATAGAGACTGGTTTTGAGCTGATCCTGCCTTGTAGGTTTCAACATGATCTCCTCGCTGAAGGATCACCTGCGCATCCACAGCGGCGAGCGGCCCTTTCTGTGCTCCATTTGCGGCAAGGGCTTCAGCCAGTCGACGAATCTCAAGCAACACACGATGAGGCACAACAAGATGAAGCCCTACAAGTGTGACACTTGCGGGAAGACATTCGTGAGCAAAGGAGAGCTCGACGCACACATGAGAAAGCACTCGGGAGAACATCCATTTGTTTGTGACACATGCGGATCGGGATTCACGACGTCCAGTTCTCTCGTGAAGCACAAGAGAATTCACACGGGCGAGCGTCCGTATGCCTGCGATTTTTGCCCAATGCGATTTACAGCACTGGGAACGCTGAAGAATCACAGAAGGACTCACACCGGAGAGCGTCCCTATGAATGCAAGTTTTGCGAGAGATCCTTCGCCCAGAAAAGCGACATGGTTTCACACACAAGAACGCATACAGGTTAGAAATTCACAGATTCCATTTTCTTTTGGGGATCATAATGCTGATGATTGTCTCCAGGTGAGCGGCCGTATGTGTGCAGAGTGTGCGGAACAGCCTTCCTGCAGTCCAGCACCCTGAAAACCCACATGAAGACTCACCAGAATGCCCAGCAGAATCTCCCAAGCAACAGTTCAGTATCTGTGGCCAGCAGCGTTTAAAACCAATCCAGCCACGAACAATGTGTGTGTCATTGTCCTTGATTTACCTGTGAACTAATGTATTTATATCTAATTTTCTAATTTTATTCACAAAGTACAAAATAATTTATGAAAATCAGCAGAAATCTGAGTCTCTTAATTTAAGAGTTTTGTTCGACATGAGAATTTTACAGTCGGGCTGTTTTTCTGACATTTTGGACAGTTTTTCTCGTGCGATTCATTGAATCATTCCAGGAGCCCCAGGATGAATTCTCCCACTGTTGATCCTCGTCGCCCCGACAAGGTGAATAGATACAAGCCGCCGGCCAGCAATGGGCAACAGGGAAATGAGGATTTAATGCCTGATTACATGAATATTCTTGGTAAGTTTGACACTGATATTTCTGAAGGCGAGAGGTTATTGTGGATTCCTCACTCCAGGGATGGTTTTCTCCATGTGCGGCCTTATGATGAAGTCCAAGTGGTGCTCCTGGCTCGCCCTCTACTCCTCCTGCATCAGCTTCGCCAACTCCCGTGTCTGTGACGATGCCAAGCAGATCCTCTCATCCTTCATGCTGAGTGTGAGCGCCGTCGTGATGTCTTATCTGCAGAATCCCACGCCTTTAACGCCGCCCTGGGCGTCCACCTGAGATCCGGAGTCATCCATGCACTTCCGAAAAATAGTGGAAAATTGAAATATACAAGTTTATTTGTTCTCCAAAAGTATTCTCTACAGAAGAACTCTTGAACTGGAGGACAAGGATTCGTCGGCGATTGCAATGCGCTTCATCATCGTTTGGAGTTGATCCTCAGGTAGGTCCAGTTTGTTTGCCTTCTTCACGAGGAAGTGCTGCAGGAAGAGTTTCAGGCTCACTTTGAAGGACTTCAACTTAGCGCTGGGAGCGATTTTGTCAAAGACCTGAAAGGGAATCGATTAGAAAGGCAACTCTGGCCACTTTTCTCCTCAAGAATTACCTTTCGACAGGTGTAGTCGTCCTTCAGGAGAATCGTCAGCATAATCCTCCTGACTAGTTTCACGGAAGCCTTGTCAATCTGGCCAAAGTCAATCACTTTCAGGATTGAGAGCGATTGCGCGCCTTCCTCGATTAGGTGCGCAAGGAATTTCGAGAAGTTATCAATTTGGTTGTCATTGAGATTCCCCAGGACCTTGATCTTGTCCCATGACGCAAATTGGATGGCCAGTCGGTGCTTTCGGTCGGAAGAGCAGAGTTGCTGCGCCACGACGGCGTAAAAAGCATTGTAGGCGGGCTCGCAGAGGCAGGAGTAGATCAGGATTGTGGCAATCACACGAGTGTCCTTGATGGAGAGTTCCAGAAGTCGATTCACGGCATCCGTCTGATCAGTGGCTGTCATGAGTGTGCAGAAGACATTGGTCTTATCCTCCGTGTTCATGCGGTGTTTTTTCGCCAATTCCAACACTTCTGACGAGAACTTTTGACCATTTTTGCCTCGGCCGACGCTTCCTTGGCCCTCAGACTGCCTTCCAGTCCACGCAGAACCCACAATCCACCACTTTCCCTTTTGGTCAGCCGCCAGGAGATCATCCATGCGGATGTTAAGTGTCGTGACGTATTTCTCATTCCTCAGGATTCCCTTCAGCAACTTCCTGAGATGCTCAGCGAGGCTGGGATCGTAATTGGGAATCTTCAGCATGTTGTTGTTCTTCACAGCCACCAAAATATCCAGCATGAATTTCATCCTCGGGCTGAAATGACGAAAAAAAAATGTAATAAATGCATAGATGAGTTGCTAAAAGACTGTCTCACTTGTCTTTCAGGGCTTCCGGAAGTGTGTCTGCCTTCTGGCGAATCTCTCCAATGAATTCCTTGAGCGCCACTGGATCATCCTTTCGCAGCGCGAAGCCAACAGACCGCAGAACCACCAAAATACACTCCACGCACTTCTCACTTAACTCAGCACTCACTCTCTTTAGCAACTCGAAGATCAGGCTGTGATGACAAATCCGAAACGTGTACAAGTGGCAGAGGAAGAGCACCACATTGTCCAGCTGCTTCTCTTCCACGTCGTACGCTTCCATCTGATTGAGCAGCGTGTCGAATTTCTGCACGAGCGCCTCCAAGAAGTGCGCACCAACTTCGCTGCCCACGTTCGCGTGCAGAACAGCAATGAACAGTGCGTGTTCCTGCACCATTCGCTCCACAGCGTTCACGGGTGTGACGATGGACTCCACGATGAGGGAGCAAAGCGTGTGATTCATGTCATGGCGGGAGTTCTTCATGTAGAGATCCTCGGTGTCCTTCGCAATTTTCTGCAAATTCGCTTCTGCTAGTCTGTTGAGCCACCCTTTCAGCTGCTTCCTCAATCTCTGCAGCTTCTCATCGCTGCTGGCCTGCTGAGCTCTCATGTGCGGTGGAATGTACTTTCCATTCACGACATTCCCGGCTTTGTCTCTCGTCCGTCCATAGATATCTTCCTCAACGCCATCGGCATCACTGTTTTCCTCCTCCGCATAGTTGCTCTCTTCATCAGCATTGTCGTTTTCCTCCTCTTCCTCCTCCTGAAGTTCCTCATCTTCTGAGTCATCTGAGAGATACTCTGGCGCTCGAACGTATCGATGAGATTGCACATCATCCTCGGAATCGCTCCCAATATTTCCAAGTTCTTCATCTATATTTTCTTCAATCTCAGAATCCACGCTCTCCAGTTCACTGTCGCTTCCAAAGTACCTCTTTTCAGCATCCTTCAATCGCAGCTCCTCCCCTTTCGAGCCTTCTCCATCGAGATCCTTCGCCTCCTTGGCTGCCTTGTACATGTTATCAATGTTCTCGGGCAGACACAGCTCCAGGATGTAATCAAATCCGTCATCGAAGCACTTCGGCACAGATTTATCGCCACGCTTCTTATCAATCTTCAGCTTCTTTTCCAGCTGCCGAATGAGGCGATCTTCCTTCTCATTTTCCGCCTTCAGTTGCTTAATTCTTCTCTTCCTCGAGCCGCTCGTGATCTCCTTCACCAGCTTGTTCTGCTTCTCTGCGGCCTTCTTGAAACGATCCAATGGATGCTCAATCACTGCCTTTCCACCGTTGACAGGATTTGGAGAAGGCAGCTCGTCATCAGACGGAATCTCCTCGTCAGAAATTTCCGTTTTCTCGATTGTTGTTTTCTTCTTCTTAGACTCGACCACTTTCTTCTTCTTCTGGGAGAAAAATGTGTGCTTCAGTTTCTTCTTCTGCTCCCTCTTTTGCTTCCGCAGTTCTTTTCGTGTGGGTGGCTTCTTCTTCCTCTCCGGAGTTTTGGGTTTTCTTCCCATGACTGAAAAATTCGAGGTTAGAATCTTTATCCGTGATTTTTCACAGAATTCATGAGAAAATACTTAAATATTCCATGTGATTCACATAGAAAAACATTCAAAGAAGTTCTAGATTTAGGTTTTTGTGGGAATTACCTGGCTTCTGTGCTGGGAAACTGGTAAAAAGTGCGGGATTTGGTCAGGTGCGTCAACTTACAATGAGCGGAAAATAAACACTGCTTGCCCGGCTGAAAATCCCCACACATGTCAATTTGTCCTGTCCGTCATCGATAAAAATATGCCTACTATTCCCATTCCAGAAATAGGTCAAGAGGACATGGATTTACGAAAGGATATAATTCCTTCTCAAAATTTCATATATTTTCATGAAACACAATAATTCTATGGCGGAAAATGATACATCTGCAATGTTTGTATTTATAATTAGTTCTGAGAACAAAATGTCCAAATGAGGATTTGTGATTTGTCGAAAAAAAAATCATATTAACCATTTTAACACTTCAAGACGCATGAAAAACCCTCATTTGTGTGACAATCTCTTCCTGGAGGATTTTGAAGCATTTCAGTGAATCTCTGGATTGCAGATAGACATATTATAGCTTCCTTTGCGAGATCTGGAAAAACAAGGACTTCGCATTAAGAGATTACTTTTGATTCGATCGCTTTTGATACTAACTTGGCTTTAGCGTGTGTCAATATGTGTGATTTCAGATTAGTCGATTGGGCGAACTTCTTGTTACATCCGTCGAAAGGACATACGTAAGGACGATCGCCCGTGTGAATGCGAACGTGTGTCCTGAGAAACAGTACAAGTTAATTACTTGAACACAACCTTCTGCGCCGTGGTCACTCACCTCAGATTGAAGTCCAGAGAGAAGCGCTTGCCACAGCCATCGAAGGAGCATTGAAATGGCTTTTCGCCGGTGTGCACAAGTTGATGGCGCTTCAGCTTGCTGCTCTCCACGAAGGCTTTGCCGCATTCCGCACAGACATGAACCCGCGGTCCGTGTGTATGCAAATGCTTTCGCATGGCGCTGTTGTCCCTGAACATCTTGCTGCAATCCCTGTGCGGACACGCTGCGCAGGACAAACATTTCATTACAATGGAGATCCGGACGAGATAATGCGCATGACTCACCTATGGTGCGATCTGAGGAGTCTTGAGAGTTCTGTGTTGACTTCTTCATCTTCATCTTGTGACCGGGTCGAGCAAACTCCGCCAATTGTTTGGGATCAGAGAGATCGAGACCGGGAACGCTTTCCTGGCCACTGCTCACCTTCTTGTCCATCATATAGCCAATATAGTCAGGATCGGGTTCCGGTGCAGAGTCCTCGTCTGTGTCAGACGCTCCGGACGCCCACATTGTCACGCTGAACTCCCCGTCCATCGTCTTGATCTGCACTTGCTTCTGCACCCATCGACGCGCCTTTGCGCTGCTCATCGGCGCTCCAGCGTGCTCTGCAGGAAGAGACGTGATAAAGAATTGCAATGGCTATTTTTCTTCTTCTGCTCATAAACATATCCTGAATTGATTCCTTGACCAACCAAACAATATTATCAACAATCCACATATTTTTCAAAATAGTGGTAAGGGAAAATTCCAAACATATGTAATGCATTGGATATGCAAACATTCCGAGTTAAGGTCAGAAGGGTCAGGACACCTCTTGCAAATTTAGGCACAACAAATCTTGGAAACAATGACTTTTGCACTTTGCTGCTGACAATATGTCTCGCTATGGCCCACCTCCATGATCAGAACTCTGAATGGCGGAGAGAGAAGCGTTGTCCTCCATCTTTACAGGACGTCGCCGAACGCGCGCCGCCGTGAGGGAAGGCGCCGTCGACGGCCCGGGCGAGGAAGTCTCGACGAAGATGTCATTACTGAGACTGGCAACATCGCCGTAGACAAGCTCAGCTGGGTCGATCACTTCCTCGTGGCCCTGCAACTCCCCAACGATCTCTTCGTCCTCCATCTGCTGCATCAGCATCTCCTGGCTATCCTCCGTCTGACATGTTACTTCCTCGTACTGCTCGTAGTCCTCGTAACTCACGCCGATCTCATTGAAGTCCGCCTCGACCACCTCTACGATGTTCGAGTCGGAGATCTCCACCTCGCACATAATATCCTGGCCGCTCATCGTTGCCGGCTCCGCGGGCGAAGGCGCGTAACCGCTGCCGCTCAAGTATGGCGTCAACTACTATGGCGTCGCCACGGAAAATTGGAAATAACAATATGGTGGACGGGCGCTCAGTTCACTTGCCAATTGCAATGGCCCCACAATGACAGCTCTTCCCGACGTCGACCATTAACTGAGCCCTCCCGCACGATATCTGGGTTCACCGGCGCATCGAATGAGTTTCAGGGGACGTGGCAGTCAAACTGTCCGCGACGTCGACCCGATAAATCCATGCGACAAGAAGTGTCGGTGGAATGAGAAATGACAAATGAAAGAACTCGGAAATTATATCACTTTTTTCTTATTTCTTTAAAGCCCACATTTGGTTTCTGAAAAACTTGAAATTTCTAATGTGCCTCCGAATTTGAGATATTCTATTTTTGCGACAAAATCTTGGCATTCGTGCGAAACGTGCGATTTTGTTTGCAGACGATTGGACAATTGCAGCGGACATGCGTTATCGAGTCGCAAGTTTGCCGCGCTATTTTCTGACAGATCAACTGTAACGTCGGGACGCTGAGCTGTTTGATTGTTTGCAAATTAATTCCTGCGAAAATGATACAGAGGACCGTTTGTGGTTTTTGTGAGAAGACTGCCAGCTCCACAGTGGTCCCAAGAAGCGAACATGTGAAGGTGTTTCAGTACTTCAAAAAGAACTACAAGGTTTTCAAATTCATGTACTTTGATTGATTTTTCCCTTCTAATTCCTTGTGTAATTTCAGAGCACTCCCACTCCAAGTCCTGTGTGCCATGCTTGCTACGATCGGGCTCTCAATATATATAAGAACTCCCTGGCCAGACGCCAGGCTACACACACAGAGAGCAGCGACACAGCTAGTAGGGCTCTGAATACTTCCAACACATCTTCCAGCTTCTCTTCCACATCCTCACCGAATCAATCCTCCTTCGAAGGCATTCCGGATGCTCAACTCGCCTCTCGGGCCAGTGAGAAAGACTCCCGCGAAGAAAGGGGCGTCACACTTGAGGCCAATGTAGGTTCTCAACAGCCCAGAACGCTGCCGGAATCACTTCCTGACTCACAGCATGGCGCTGTCGAGATTGAGGACATTCCACCCTTTCTTCCAGAGCCTGAAGCACATGAAGATGCCAACACGGAGAGTCAGTCATCGGGATCACCAGCTGATCTGTTGGCTTACACGCCGGATGAAGATTTGCAGATTGAGGGACCTCTCCCGAAGAGACGACGCGTGGTTGTGAATGAGGAGGAAGTCACAGAGGAGAGGCAGGAAGTGGAGGCGGTGCCAGCTGCAGCTGAGGAAGTCAGCGAGGTGGTTCTAGAGACGTCTGCGCAACTTTCATCCAGATCTTCGAGCAGCTCTTCAGATCCTGTCGACATTGAGCAACTCATGAACGCAGACGACGAAGTCGTCGAAATCACTGCAAGTGAAGTAAATCAGGAACACAACGAGCCCATCCGAATCTCAACTGCGGCTCCTTCTCCGCGCAATCCCAGGATGAGGGACCAAAGTATTCAGGAATTATTGGGCAGAATCAATACGAATCGTGCACTCGTGGCGGACTTGGTGAATCGTGGCCCAGGATTTGTTAACAATATGCCAAGGAATCATGCTGGCTGATTTCCAATGACCGCCATGACGTCAATGACTGAATTATAAAGTTAAGAAAAGAGTCACTCTACGAGTCGTTCTTTATTGAAATTATATTGTAAATTCAATTCAATTGGAATAAATGATTATGAAGCGATTAACACACAGATAGTCTCTGATCCTGAGAGGAGGGCCTGAGAAGGAGTCTCCGGGCGGAAATGGCTTCCCGGCGATCTCCAAACACTCCTGAATGGAGGATCAGAGCTGATACAATAATGTCTGTTAACAGTACAGTTCAGAAGTGTGGCAGAAAGCGGCTTGAAAAGCGAGATTATGGCCTTAATGCTGAGACAAGTTTAGAAAATTCATCAATTTTTGCCTGCCCTTGCGACACTTTCGAACAATACTGTAAACCTGCTGAATTACAATCAAAATACAAACTGCAGTATATGAAAAAAAACTGGTTAAAAGTGAGGTAATTAACGATGATGATGATGTAGCTACAAAACGATTAAATACTGTTATGAGATGAGGTGATTCTTAACTGCTAACATCCTTTGAAAAGCCTCTCCAAGAGGCGCCCCTGCAATTTTTCTTTCCTTCTCTTACAATCACACAATTTTGTAACAATAATTTCTCTTCATTTAACTTTTAGTGAGGTATATTTTTAAATTTTTGTTGATTGAGCTATTGCAGTGTGTGTGTGTGTGTGTGTGTGGAAATCCAGGAGGGACACAAGAGTATCCTTCGTCTGGACTTTAAGGCTATGGCATTGGATTTGATTTGTGGTGTGAGTGTGTGTGACCCAATTGAATCCCTGATTTGTCAACGCAGTCCTCCGGACGCAGGCACGCGCCGGAGGACTGCATTTCCTGTAAAAATTTATACTATTGCAAAATTTAACATCTGAGGTTGTACATTGTAAATAACTATTGCTGTAAAATAAAATAACTATTGTCGTTAGTGGCTATTGTGGTTGTGGTTCTGTGGAAACTGGAAAAAATACCCGTCACTTCAGTAAATATCCGTCTGAGATTGATATTTGATTGAGAGTTAACGCAAAATGGTGCAAATAAACGAGGTAAACGGTAGAATTCAATGGAGAAATCATTAACGGCAGGTAAATTGCAGGTAGTTTGCAGTCCTCGTGCCCATGATCAGGCGACAAAATCCAGCGGCCGGTTGAAGCCGCCCTTGCGGTTCATGTACTGCCGGTACTTTCGCTTGAGGATCACATGAACCTCGCCGGCATTATTTCCCTCGACCTTCTTGTTCTTCGTGGTGTCGAAGCCACAGAAGCCCATCGTGCGCAGCATCTCCTGCTCCTCAGGGCTCTTCCCCTCGAGATCCGCCTCGCTCACGGATGGCCTGTCGCCACCCGAACTTCCGCCGCCGCCTCGAGCGCGCGATCTCGAGGGTCCCGGCTGATCGCGCCGCCCAGCGCGTGCTTCTCGCCTCCCGGACGATGTCCTGCAAGGTAAGTATGGCATTCATCGCACTCTCCACGGACTGACGGGGAAAGCTTACGAGTCTGGTGTTCTGCGTCCTGGACGATCGCTTCGCTCTCGGCTCCTCGAGTGTGATCTGTGAGACCTCAGTCGACGGTCGCTGCGCTCCCAGCCATCCTTCTCGCGGGATCTCTTCTTCCTCTTCTCCCGGTCGCGCTCCTTTTCCTTGGTTCTGCGGTCGCGCCGTGTTGCCGGGCCCGGAGATGGTGAGCGCCCCATTTCTGCGAAGCTTCTATTCGGGGGAAAAGAATGAGGTTATATCCATTACAGACGCCCTAATACAAGCGCCACCCTTGAATTCACGTGAAATTAACAAGAGTAGATGGAAAGCACATCTAACTTACCTTGAAGACCAAAATCAACCCACTTAGTGGTCCTTAAAACTAAAAATAACGATAAACTAAGAAACTACACAAACATCGCGAAGCGATGCTGTATGACAAACGCTGATGCGCCGGCCAGTCGCCTGAGGCGCTGCCGGCACCATGAGGAGCGCCGAAGCGGCCCCGAATTTCGCCCGAAGCAATAGTTTGGGGATCGGCCCAAGAAGCTGGAGGAAATTGGCGCTGCGTCCGTGAGAGTCGACATTTTGGATAAGAAGGAAGGAAGGAAAATTCTTCAAACGAACAACGCCACGAAAACTGCTCGTAAAATCGGTAAATGCTGTAGGAGTTTGTGAAAAACGTCTCCATCTGTGTGCTCATGCTGCTGGTGATGTGTAAATGTGGCGGTAGTGCTGTAGATATCGAGGAATAATCGACCGAACGCGCGGAGTCTTATTGGGCGTATGCCACCCATTAGTGAAAATTTGGACGCAATTCTTTGACGAGCGTGTGTGCGGCACTTTCACGCCAGGACTGCGGAGAAGCGCATCAGGACACCAGCCGGAGCTCGAGCAGATTGTAGAGACGCTGACCAGCGGCCGAGAAGGGACAGGAAGAGCGGTAAGTGCACTTTCCATCGCCGATACTTTCGTCGCATTTTTTTGTTTGTAATTCCGTTCGGCCGCGTCTATTCTCGCTTATGTAATTAATGCGGAATGACTACTTTTCACTGATTCAATTAACCGCCGGCCGCTGAGCCCGTCTTCCTCGCCATCGCGGGCAAGGCAACGATGCCGTGGTTTCTGGGTGTGTCCGGAGCGTCAAATTGGAATTTCCTCGCCCATTTGGCCGTCCGGATGTGTCCGGGCGTGCGAGTGCAGGTCTCGGGAGAAATGGTGGACAATCGAATTTGTGTGAGGGATGCGTGATGGGGCTAAAAATAGCCGCCCAGCAACTCGCAATCAATTAACCCAATTTCCTTGACAATGCGGGCGAAATCCCCGAAAATCCCATTGCAGCCAATCCTGAACACCCCAAAAGTTCTTTGTTTGAGCGTCCGGGAAGGCGAGAAAAATCGATTTTCCCCAATTCTCCCGCACACACACTCTCTCTCTCGTCCTCGCGCTCTCCGTCGAGGAAAATCTCCTGCGAGAGAGAGAGGAAGAAATTCAATTGCAGAGGCGTGAGAAGCTTATAAGAGCTGTGATTCTTTGGCTTACCAGCAGATAAAAGTGATAAGGTTTCAGTAGAATTCAGATTAGTGCTATTTTTGAGCTCTTTTTATCATTAACTGAAGCTTTCAGATGTCATTTTTATGTGTTTTCAATGCAGAATTTACTGAATTTTGTCTGAAAATGTGCGGAAGGTCAACTGATTGGGATGTTTCAATGCAAATGAATATGAGAAATATTTCATAAAGAGCCGACAGTGATTGAGATTCTGCAACAAATCAAGTGCTAAATCGTCCAGTATGTCGAAAGACTTGCCAAAGATCACACAAGTGCTAATTGGCATGATTTTAGCATTTTTTTCACTGACAAATAAAAACTTATCGCTGGGCAAGAACTTTATGCACACTTGGAAAGCCGTCTTGACTGTAAAATTGAATGAGATTTGGCGTGTATTCATAAAATATGACGTCAACTTTGAATGTGATATCTCTCAATATTCCCATTCACTCCTCTCACGGCCCTCTTTTTGATACAAAGCCACAGACGCTAATCAATGCAAACAGTCGGTGGATTTGTCGTGAATGGGAAAACAATGACAGCGATAAACCGCACAACGTCGCCGGGAGGATGAGAGGAAATTGCATGATTACTCTTGGGCACAATCGAAGGTGTTTCTTCATTGGCCATTTTCACACCCTCGCAATTTCCGGACGTTTGCCTACAAACGACGATAGTAATCTGAGAGGCAGCGCAAAGAGGGGCCAGGGAACGGGGCTAAAGCTGGTGTGTTGATGAAGAAGTCTTTGACTGCGGAATATCTCTTCTTTCTCAGTGAAATGTTTCCAAATCAAACATCATAAGTTCATTGTGGGTCGCATGGCGAGTGCGAGTGCGAGTGCGAGTGTGAGTCGTGTGTTGGGTGGTTGAGAATTTGGAGAAGCAGAGGAGCTTCGAGTGGCTGTAAATGAATGTAATGCAGAGGCAAGAGATACAGAAAACAGTTAAAGAAGTTGTATGCTGAATTGTAGAGAGAGAGTGTGTATAATGTTGTGTTTTTTGCCCAGTTGAAGAGCCACACATGAAAAGAGAGGCAACAGTTATGCAATAAAGTTTACACAAAGTCGTCAATGTTGATGCTTTTTAGCATGTAATTTTTTTTTTAATTTGTTGGATGGAAAAGAGAAGTGAAAATTTGGCTTGATTTCTGTGACGACGAATGTCTTTATCAGCCAGTGGATTTCTATTTCACTCTTGAGGGTATTTATGGGAATTTACCTCATACACTGGCAACAGGGCGAGCAAGTGCGGAAACTGATAACATTTTAAACTCAGGCGCGATTGCAAGGGAAGAAGAAGCGGCGAATGAATGGGTGAAAGACGAGGAATCCAGTCCAAGTGGGTGGAAATATTGTGTCGCGCCACACCTATATTTACTTTAATGCACGTCAATTATCAATAATCTGTGATAATGAGTTGAAGTGTGACTGGAAAATGCTCAATCTTCTGCCTTGGCACGTTCATGTATGCGCATCGGCACAGCAATTTGCCTGAGGGTCTTTTCTCCGCGATCCTCAGCTTGTGTGCATGGGGAGAAGAGAAGAGCAGAGATGCTGAAGGGAAGGCACAGTGTGTAATTGAATAATTATTAGGAAAGTGCAATAGATGGGGAGAATTGTAATGTGAAAAGCAGAGGCTTGGTCACTCAATTGGATAATAAACAGTTTTCAATTTCATTTGATGCACTCAATGTATGTCTCATTCATCGATTTCTTACTTAACTTATTCATTTTTTTCCTTCTCTCTTAATACACCATTCATGTTTCGTGTGATGGAAAGATGGGAAAAAAGAGTTTTTCAACACATGCAAATGTATAAACACGGCTTATTTCTAGAATGAGTGTCGGTATTGTGAAATTATGCACATGAGAGGGCAAAAAAATGAGAGACAAAAAGGCAATTTAATAGCCAAATGGGGTGAAGAGAGAGCGAAGAGAACTTTGCAAAGTGCTGCGAGTTGTGGATTGATGTGATAAGAAGGTGGAGACGATTATTTGCAGAGATATGATAAGGTAAATCAAGTTGACTGTGGTTGGGATTTTTATCGATGGAATGGATGAAATAATTAGCGCTCTGCACACACTTAAATGTTGGAAATATTGTATTTTTGCTCCATTCGTCGATTTATCAGTGAAAAAAAAATGTAACACGTTAAACTTGTCTCATGTTGAGAGAACACAAGACTGTCTTATTGCATTCTGACAGATTCTTATAAGACTCTCGGTTTTGAGTTGGATTATAATATGTTGTTTCTGGAGCAATGAAAGCGCGCGTGTGTGCGTGTGTAGAAGAGAAGAAAAGTGAGAAAAAAAGAATTTGGGACATTTTCAACTTCACTCTTTGTTCTTTTACTCTTTCCTCTTCGCCTAATTCTCACAGTAATGTTTTATGGGTTGTAATGCAAAAGGTGCTTTGCAGAATAGATAACAAATCTGTTTGTTGATTCAAATTACAAGGCAGTGTTGTAATGATATTGTTGCTGAAATTTGCCACAAAAATCGCATTGAGCGTGTATGTCTTTTTCATGTGGCTTTTCGCAAATGTATGATGAGAGAGGAAGGTTGCGGAGAGTCTATTTTCGTTGCTTCTATTCACCGTGAATGATGACATCATCGGCAAAGTGGGCAAAATGCGCACGCTTCGTTAGCACGAATGGATTAGAGAACAGAGAGCGAGAGAGAGAGAGAAAGAGAGAATAAGATGCTGTTGTAAATTTGATGGTTCTTTCTATTTGCCATTCTCTTGACTTTTTTCTGCTGATCACACACAAATTCTTTCTCTCTCTCTTGGATATCTCTGGCCACCCAGAGATTCTCTGGCTTGTGATGGAGGATTTCTTCAGTCTCCATCAATATCTCTTCCTTCTTCAGCGTGTTTCTTCTCACCATATTCCTCTCTGCCACTTTCTATATAAATCACTTGTAGCGAAAATTCTCTGATATCTGGTTTATTTTTATCATCGTCTCACCAATAACACTACACATTATAGCCATCACCATCACGGCGGCAGCGCGAGTGAAACATACTCAAGAGGGGACTTGAGAGACACAGAAGAATTGGAAAGAATATTTCTGTGACTCGATGTTCTTTTTTTCCTCTACAAGACGCACAAAGTCTCTTTTTTGGGATGGAAGCATAACGCTACCTTTTTTCCTCACCTTCTCCAAAAACTCTGATTCGACGTCGTGGAGAATCGCGAGAGCGGAAGTGGAAAAACAAGTAAATGGTTAAATCAATGGACAGACGTTCAATGCAAGAGTGTTGCGTGAGTGGAAATCGTTGGTATATGGACTTTGTTGTGAACGCGAGGAAGGGAACAAGTTGGCGCCGAGACGACTGAGAGCAACGCTTTATTGCAGTGTAGTTCACAAATTGTTGAACAACAAATCGAGGCATGAATTGTTTTTTTTTATCGGATTTTATGTTGCTGAGTTTGTTTAAAATAGTGCTTTTTATATTTTGTCATGTGGTGAAAAGTGGAGGTATTTTATAAAATTAAAACAATTCCAAACACTCCTTGAATTTGTTATCTAAACTTTCTCCCTAATCGCACAGCCTGAATAGATTCCAAAAAAAAATTCCTTCATTTCCACTTTCTTGTGATTTATTTATAAAACACATTCACGAATTTTACGCCCATTTCAACATTGTGTGCTCTGAACACACGAAAAAGTGAGACTTTTCCACACTTTTCTCTCATGTCTCAGTCAAAAGGAGAGAAAAATGTCTCACTTCCTATTGGAAGAGCTTCCATCTCTTGCCAATACGTGATTTTTCTTTCGTTGGGTTCATCTTCTGCATGGGTTACATTAAATCGCCTTCTCTTTGGTCGTGAATATAAACACACAATTACGTGTCAGATTGTGAATTTAGGGCGCGAGAGAGAGCATCACACACTATTTTGGAAGGGGAGTTAATCATGCACATTAACAGCAATGCAGAGTTTATTTGCTGGTATTATCAAATTAAATAGCTATGAATTTTTAATTCTAATTTATGGTTAGTCATGAATTAACTCGCTAGACATGATATTTTATCTAATTTAGAGCGTCATCATGTGAAGGAGGCAAAGAAGGAAAACGCGATGGTTGGTGTGGAATGCAGCAAAAAGCACACATTTGTCTCGTTCACGCGCACAGAGTGGAAATTTATTTAAAACATATTAACCCCTTTGACACTCTTATATAGACATTGAATAAATGAAATATGTCAATTATATCATGTCTCGGGTGATATTCATAAAATATCTCTTCGTTCTTCCCAACATGTTTTCGCTTGATGAATATATGGGTTCTTGACTTTCGTATATGATTTTCATAAATAGACAGACACACGGAAGTTGATGTGGAAATAAGTTATTCAAATTAATGTGAATTTCTGAGCCCTCACACTTAAATGTGATTGTGGGCATTTTTCCTCTTGAAATCAAATGAAAACATCTGCTTCGTACGGGAGTTTTGGTAATTCTTTTTTAATTGGACTCTCAAATAAATGCCAATTACATTTCTACAGATGCGTGAATCATGAGTCGATGGAAAAAAAGAGGAATGAACATTCCTAGAAGCTTTATCACTGTGCATGCGCGAATGCTCATGGTATTTTGACCCTTTTTGTATATTCCAATGAAATCATCCTAATTATATTCAATATGATAAAAATATATTTCATATGTGGAGGAGAAATCGATTTCGCCAGCACTCTTCTTCTCTTCACTTTAGTGTGGGATTCTTTGTAGCGACAAAAGACGCCACGCCAAATTACACACTGAGAGCTCTGAACACCTCTGAAATTACAGAAAAATTCTGTATATGGAAGGGAAGAAGGAAAGTGTATTCATGGCACACAAAAGAGTTCATTGAACTAGTTACAAGGCAATAAATTCTTTGAGACACACAACATATCACCTTTAGAAGATCTATATTTTGTTGCCATAAAGAATAAAAATGTCTGTATGTTTTTCCAGAAAACAATTATGGTAAAATTTCTCCACAACGTCTCGAAGTCGAATCCCTCGTTAGTTTGTGTGTAGAAACTGAAAGTGAGACGACGATGTTATTGATTAGTTTCATACACACAAGTGAAATGAAATGTGGACGAAAATATTACGTTTTCGCCCAACACTTGCTGGCCAACCCTTGAGGCGTTGCAATGCTTTTTCCCTCAATTCACTTCACCTTGGCGAAAATCAATACACTTGTGACATTTCTATGCGAATCGAGAGAGAGAGAGAGAGAGAAATATCACAGCGAGTTGAGATCAACAACCGATTGTAAACTTGAATGCGCCAAGTATTTTGCATATAATATCTCTTTTAGTGGTGTTTTCTGCAGTGGAGAAGAGCATTAAATACTAAAATATATATACATATCGAAAAGTGGCGCATGAATTATGTTGGCAAATGGCGGATTCTCTCGGCAGTGTGTTAAGTCAATATAAGAGAGTGTTTATTCTTCGCGCTTGTTATTATTTTGTCCATCAATTCACTAACTTCCCGTCATCATTTTATTTGCATAAATTTGTCCAGTTTCCCCTCTCCCTTCATCTCGTCACATCATCAAACACGTACGGATTGTCTCATTTCAGCCTCGCGCAGTCTTTTTTCAATACATCAAATGAACAATATTGCTGTAGAGGCGGAGATTTAGTGAGCATTTTACACACTCTTCAAGTCAATCACTGGAAATGAATGTCTAAATATCACGTCAGCATTTATTAAAAGTAGACGCGACAAATGTAAATATTAATAATTGAATACTATTACAAAACACTGCAGTTCATAAATCATCAAGATAATCACGGGAATCAATTGAATTCAGCTTGCTGAACACTTTTACAATGAATCCTTGTCCCCTTTCGAGGAGTATTTTTTTTTGCATCGTGAAGTGGTTCTGAAATGTGCAATTTCAAGGGTCTGAAGAGGGTTAAACAATATATATTGTTGCTGTGATCATTTTCACGCGAAATCACGGTCGAGGAACGACAATTTTGACAATTTGCTTTGGAGAATTGTACGCAAAAATTGCTTCTCATTATATTAAAATTAATCATGACGATGTGTGTTATTTCTTTGATGCTAAATAAGGCTTCTTTTCTTCATCTTTTTTCGCAGATTGGTGAACATTGAACTGTGTTGCTGAAGAGAGAGAGCGTGTGTTGTGAGAAGCGGAGAAGAGGGAAAAAAGTTCTGCCAAAATGACTGAAGTTGAACAGCCACAGACAAATGGCGTTGGCAATGAAGAGGAAGAGGACAGTAATAAAACCCGTCCCGCAGATATAGAAGCGGTTCGTACTTGTGATCATAGCAGAATATTATTATATATTGTGTGATTATTGTAATGCATCTCGATGTTTTCTCCCAATGCGTAGGATATGAAGGAGATGGAGAGGCGAAAGAGAGTGGAGGCGATAATGAATTCACGTCTGTTTCGCGAGGAGCTGGAGCGCATTGTGGACGGGCAGTTGCGCGAGGGCCCCTCGGGCTTTCTGCAGCAGTTGTCGGATATGATGGGTGTTCCGGCTGCACGTGTGGGCAGTGTCTTCAAGAGCACCAACTGCGTGCTGCCCATCAATGATATCCGTGGCATCGAGTCGATGGGTTACGCCAAAGGCGAGAAGATACTGCGATGCAAACTGGCTGCCACGTTCCGTCTCATTGATCTCCATGGATGGGCGCAGGGGTTGTCAGGATTGGTGTCGGCGCGCCTGAATGCCGATCAGGAGCTCTTCCTCGTCAATCCGCATGGTATGCTGTACCACGAGGTGACGGCGTCATCGCTGAACAAGGTGAACATGCAAGGTGTTCTCCTGGAGCAGGGCACCACCAATTTTGGCATCAATAATGCACGTGAGTGACGCGAGCGACAGAGAGTTTGTGTCTGTGTTTCACAGTGAAATGGCTACTTTCAGAATTCGTCTTGCATTCCGTAATTCATGCCGCTCGTCCGGATATTCGTTGTGCCATCTTCTTGTGCTGCAATCCGGTTGTCTCCGTGTCGGCGCTCAAAACTGGTCTGTTGCCGCTGACGAAGAGCTCGGTGGTGCTGGGCGAGGTGTCGGTGCACACGTACACGGGCAGCCTGAGCGAGCCTGAGGAGAGGGAGAAGCTCATCCGGAGTCTGGGACCAATGTCGAAGGTGCTCCTGTTGACAAATCACGGCGCGCTGTGCTGTGGCGAGACCATCGAGGAGGCATTCTATGCTGCTTACCACATTGTTCAGGTGAGTTTTCTATCGCAGAATGTGTATGGCAATGCAATTGCTCACTGGTTGTTTATGTTCATGCAGGCTTGCGAGGCGCAGCTGAAACTCCTCCCGTTGGGACTTGACAATGTGGTGTTGATTCCGGAAGAGAGTCGCAAGACGATCTATGAAGCCTCTCGGCGACCACCTGAGGGTGCTGAGGTGAAGCAACAGCAGAACAACAAGGAGAGCGACAAGGAGAAGCAGCCGCAGGTGAAGTGGCGCGTCGGTGGGGTTGAATTTGAGGCGGCAATGCGCATGATGGACAACGCGGGCTTCCGAACTGGTTACATCTATCGGAATCCACTGGTCAAGTCTGACTTGCCGAAGCCCAAGAATGACGTCGAATTGCCACCGGCTGTTTCATCGCTGGGTTATTTGCTGGAGGAGGAAGAGCTCTATCGACAAGGGTGAGTTTGTTGTGTGTCATTTACTTATGGGCAATCCCAACCTTTCTTCCGGGCTATTTTTAACACATCTGGTTGTTGTATTTTTGTTATTGCAGCGTGTGGAAGAAGTCGGATTTGCGCAAAGGCGGTGACCGATCCAGGTGGCTCAACTCGCCCAATGTCTATCAGAAGGTTGAGGTGTTGGAAACCGGCACTCCTGATCCGAAGAAGATAACAAAGGTAGAAATAGTCACTATTGAAAACAAATAGAGCTGATCAATGTGGCTATAATATCAGGAATACTTATTGCTAGTCACTTGCATATCAATAGATTCTCTCGTGAATTCCTTGTTTAGCATATACCAAGATATCTTTTAGTGTTGATTGTGGGAAGATTCAAATGCAAGTGCCATAGAAGAGTACATTCCAAAGTAATTGAGAGCGCTATAAGAAATAAAGTTTATTGCATGCTTTTAAAGTTATCATAATAAAAATGATGTTTAGTGGAAGCACAATACAGAAACTGCTTTGATGGTAATCAAGTGTGTAGCTTTAGATGGTACAAAATGATATTTTATTGACTATACTTGAGATGTGACATTAAAATGATGGCCAAGAAAAGTGAGACTTTGACTCTGGATGATAATAATTTGTATGCCTTTCACATCCCTTTGATTTTTTGTTTACTCCTCTTTTTGAGTTTCTTCGATCACCGGTTCGATTTTATTGTTAAATTCCTACTGCCAAAAAAATGTATTGCAACATTCACATTAGCGACAAATGAGTAAAATGTGTAGAGTAAGAAAAAATCAAACGGACACGGCATGCAAATTATGATAAAACATAACTCGCGATCAGGGCCATATAACACTTGTATCAATCATCCTCTCATGAGAAAATCTGACATCACACGACTAGCAAAAGCCATTCCACATTGAAATAGATGATGATTTAATTGACAATGTATTGAATTTTCTGTCGCTAATTTGAATTTTTCAATATATTTTCGGCAGTGGGTTTCGGAAGGTTCGCCAACTCATTCCTCGTCGACACCGGTAAGAATTGAAGGCGCGCTACAGTTTGTGCCGCCCGGAACGAATCCGCGTGAGTTCAAGAAGCTTCAGCAGCAGGTGAGTTTGCATGCGCATTACTGGATAAGCGGAGAAGACAAATTGCTATGGACTGTGATCTTTGTCCCTTAGATTAAGGATAATCGGCGCGCTGACAAGATTTCTGCTGGCCCACAATCGCATATTTTGGAGGGCGTCTCGTGGGACGAGGCGAATCGCATTAAGGATGCAACTGTGTCCGGCACGAGTGATCATGTGGTGCTGATGGGCGCCGCATCCAAGGGCATTATCCAGCGCGGGTATCAACACAATGCGACGGTGTACAAGGCGCCGTACGCCAAAAATCCATTCGATTCTGTGACAGATGACGAGCTGTCCGAGTACAAGAAGACCGTGGAGCGCAAAGCTCATGGTGACTGTAAGGAATTGGCGCTGTCACTTGAGTGTCATGAGAAGATGACTGATTGTGCTTTTTTGCAGACACTGACACTGATTATTCTGAATCAGAAGCGCTCAGTTCACTCCAGACTTCTGGTCCACCGAAGAGTTCAGCACTCTCACCGCCTAGCCAGTCCGACAGCGAGCCGCAAGTGCTGAGAATAGAGACGAAACAGGCACCGAAACCCAGTCAACCAGAAGTGGTTCTCAGTGATGGTGAGTAACAGATGATCCTTTTCACTTCCACAGACTTCTTTTTTTCTCTCCTTTGCTTGGGCAAAATTTGTAATCTGATTGTTGTGTTTGTCGAAAGTGTTGAGAAATTTATCCATAAGATTGGCTTTAAGTGTATCCTTTCTTTCCGTTTTCTTCTCTTAACAAAAATGCCTTCTTTTGCTGCAGTAACTCTTGAAAGACACACTTTAACACAGTAAATTTCGTCTCTACAACCCATTTCTGTAATTAACTATATAGCTGGCAGTCGTAAAAGTAAAAGAAAGTGAATTTAATTTAACTTGGTGAGTCATGGATTTAGTGACGAGAGAGTGGATTTATCATTTCCATCCATTTTGCATTTTGCATAGACTGAGAGTGATTTAGAAAGGATGACTATATATAGTGACGAGAGACATGATAATTAATTGGTTCAGAAACGGAGATGAAGAAAAAAACATATGAAATTCTTGAGATGTGCACACAATTCTTTCCTTCTCTTTTCTATTTTTTCTTTCTTTATATTTATTAATAAGCATGTGAGATTGTAATTTTCTTTTCTCAGATAGATTTCTAGGCTTATGATTTTGTTAATTTCAACTAATGTTCACAAGTGAAATATTTGATGTGATTCAATCAGAATTGTGATTCTCAACACATTGAATGCACATTTTTTTAGATCAAAATTTGAAGTCAAAGTAGCAATATCAAATATTTCATAAAAGTGGACGAAACTTTATGCTCTCTCTTTGCTTAATTTTTTGGCATCTTGTATTTTGGTTTTATTTATTGTAGCAAACGCTGATTTTCTGAGCAATGAGAGAGCTCACACGAATAAAGGCAAATCGCCAAGGAGTGCAGGTAAAGTGGCATCAGTTTTTTGGTATATAATTCTTTAGATTATTTCTGCACACAATATTTGCATGTTACACTCTTTCACTTTCATTTGACATTTGCACTGTGCTTTTAGCGATTAATGTGGGCAATGATCGCTTCATTTATGTGACTGATCGCAAAAGAGGGAAAAGGGTGAGGAGCGTGTCGAGTCTCTCAAGTCTCTCGAAGATGTCCGTGGAGACTTCTAATACATCGTCAAGCTCGAGCACTTGGTCGTATTACTTCAAGATTCCGCTGAGGTCGGAGAAGTTAGGGGAAATGTCGCCCTATCGCACGCTCTCGCATTTTGGCCACAGGACTCCGGAGAATTTGGTGCAGCCTCACTTCCATGTGAATCAGTATGAGAGCTCTTATTTGCCGCTCAGGAAGAGTCTCTCGTATGAGGACATATTCTCCACGCCCAGATATCTGTTCCTGCCCGATGAGGGTCTGGATAGGATCCTCAAGAGGAAGGCAGAGTGGAAGAATAGCCTGCCAAGGAGAAAGTTAAGTGCGCTGAATGTGAATGTGATGGAAAATGGGAAGAAGCAGAAGATTTGTCCGCAGGAAGATCGCTATCTTTCCACCAACTTCGTTATGGATGATCATCGAGCGATGAAGAATTTGCTGAGCATGTTTGATGAGATGGTACTGGATGAGGATCGTCTAGAGATGGCAGAGAATGATCTGAGCAATGATCTGAGCACGATCACTGAAGTGACAACGCCTGAATCCTCACCTGAGACGAAGATCTTAATAGACACGATTTTAAATAATATCATTGATAATGCCGTGTTGTCGGCATACAAGCAGCAGTCGATGGACAGTTTGGCGAAGAGAATTGATCAGATGTCCTACAACATCACGCTGTCAACAGAAGAAGAAGACAATTCATTGAGTAACGAAAAGCGCCTGAGCACTGGATCGAGCTTCATGGGAAGGACTGAAAGAGAAAAGCGTCAGCGAGAGTTTAATCAAATGGTTAAGCAATTTCGTCTCGCTAGTGAGGATGACGATTCCTCATTCAATGAGACAATTAACATTCTGTCATCTGAGGAGGAGAATGATTTGATAATCCCCGAGTTGAGTGATGATGAAAAATGCATTCCGCACAGCACTCCGTCGAGGATTCCCGTGTGTAAAAGATCACCGAAACCAGTGGAAAATGATGTTTCCTGGGTGACGACAAGGAAGAAGACACCGTGTATGATGAACAAAAGAATTTCGAGGCTGCCGACACCGATTTCTCCAACTGTGCGCTCAAACCCAAGCGCAATTTTTGCAAAGTGTCCTTTTGACAGCAATGAGAGCAGCCCGAATGTGAATTCATTCCAACAGGATCGAGATCAATGCGACTCTCCATCATCGCTTTGGATCACATTCAGGGAGAAGAATGCGGAAAGTGGGAAGAAAGTGAGAGCCACGAAGGCTGAAAATACGAAAGAGAATAAGTTCATGAAGATTAAGACGAAGAAGAGAACTGCTCAGAAGGATTCCAGAGCACTGAAGATGCTTCAGCAGCAGACGGCAAATCTGCAGGAAACTGTGGATCGTCAAACTTCGCAAATTGATGATTTTGATTCTTTGTTTTCGAATGTTCAGACGGAGTTTATGAAGATGATGAATTAGTAACGCTTGATTATGTTTCTTTTTTTTCAGCAAAATGTTGTATTTGAATTATGTAGTCACTGCTTTCCTTTTCCTATGTAAGGATACTTGAATTAAACACCTTCATTTCTAGAGCATGGTCTATAAACTGTTCACTTGTAAAGTTTCTTACGCTTTTGTATAACTTGTATTGTTTCTTGTGACTGTGGCTAATTTAACGAAAGCTGAAGATCTCATCTCTCATGTCATTTAAACGGTAGTTAACATGAGCTTCACAGGTAATTGATGGTCACTTGTAAATAGTATTCAATGTACACAATGCTTAACACACAATCCTTAAAAAGAATAATGAGAGCTGAGATTTCTATGTCAATTTCTTGATATCCACAAGACACTAGCAAGATTTTCTTGAAATCTCAGCTTTCACCTAGGCTAAAATAGTGCTTATCAGTGCCTCTTATCGACTTGTTCACCACGATTGACTGTAATTTATGTTTTCAGGTGAGAATGTACACAACGGTGATCATTCAGACGCTCACGTGAGCACATTTTCGCACAGCAGTAAAGAAGTGAGTATTTGCGATTGACTTTGCGGTGCCAATGATGACTAACTTGCCGTTTTTCCTCCTGATGCAGGACGTGTCAACTGAGGGATCGCCGAAAAAAGACAAGAAGAAGAAGAAGGGCTTGAGGACTCCGTCTTTCTTGAAAAAGAAGAAAGACAAGAAGCGCATCGACGGCTAAACAGTGTTTGTCTAGAATGTGAGAGAATGACGCATTATATTAAAGTAGAGCTATAACTATATATTATTATATTTTTTGACAATTTAGTTATGATCTATTCGCGAAGCGACTCTGGGTTCAAGTCTTTCTTGATACTGTGCAAAAAGTAAAGCATTGATTCGATGGGCGAGCGAAGGTGTGAATAGATCATTGGAAACTTTAAAAGTTTTGAATTTCTTTAGAAAAGAGAAAGAGAAAAGGTAATAAAACTACGAATGATGATTGAAAACACGATAAATCCATGGCGATTTAGCGATACTCGTAAGAATTCAAAGGTGCATTGACATTTAAAAGAGATGTAAACACTTTTACGTGGAGGAAAAAAAAAGAAAAGATGAGAGATAAAATGAAGTGCATAATGATGACTAATTTATTGATGTTGCATGGTGAAATGACAAGCAAGCGAGAAAAGCAGAAAAAGCTAAACACTGAAATTGCGAGATTGCAATATTAATTGTTAACATTACTCCCAGCATTAAAATGTATAGGAAGGGAAAAAAGTACATGAATCTAAAAATAATGTAGAAAACCATTCCAAGGTATTTTCACACATTTAGAGAAGGAAAGTTATAGAGAAAAAAAGATGAGCAAATTGGAACGAAGTAATATGATTAATAACAATTCATGCAAATGATGATGAAGAAAAACTGCTGATTAATGTGTTCTGGTCAATTGTTGAATAGAAGTAACAAAATTGAAAATTCTGCCGATAGCATCTCGGAAATAAATTGCATATTTAATAAAGAAAAATATTATTCATTGGTTCTGAATAGATAAGGAAAGAAAAACTTATTGTAGGGAGAGGAAAAAAAAATAGCGCGAATGATATAACAATCATCTTTTCTAACGATTTAATTGAGTTAATTTGTTAGAACTTCTTTTCTTCTAAATGATTTTACGTACAAAAAATTTATTCATATTCATTACTCTTCATTCAAATTGCGATGACGTCTATGTTTTCTACATTCTACAAACACGATGATGAATGCATTGCGATCAGGCGCGCGAGGAGAGAAGATCGTACTGGAACTACAACAAAACTGCCATCTAATCAAGTTATATGAAGCAGCAAATAACTTAATATCTTTCCACTTTTTATGGAAGAGTACTTTTAAAATTCTTGATGAGCGCGGACATAACTTTTTATCGATAGGTAAAAAATTAGCAAGAGAAAAGTTGTTGTAATGACGATTCTATTGATAAATTTGACGTAGAATGCCTAAATAAAATGTTTCCAATTGTATTTGTCTTAAATGCAAATTATGCCACACTGTAAAAGTGTCTCAACAGAGAGTGCAAAAGAATCACGTTGAAAGTAAAGCTGTTTTAGATAAATGATAAAAAAAACACATCACACAAGGTTCTTCGTATGTTTATTTATGGGGCAATTTTCGAAGTTACTCTCTGAAATTATACTCGCTTACATAATGAATTAACTAGCAAATAAACTGATTGATCGGGTGAGTTAAGGGAAGTGCAGCATGAAGGCCGAGAGATGAGTAATTATGTAACTTTATTGGCCGTTCTGTAATTGGTAAATTATATATACACATTTATTTCATCCCTTTTCGAGACACGCGTCGTTTTTATTTTTCTATGAAATGAGTAAATAAAGAAGAAATTGATGAAAAAGAGAATAAAAAGTGTGTTATAAGTAAGTGAAGAGTAAATTTTTAATAATTAGAAGCTTGAGCAGAGCACTTATTTTTGCTAAATTGGAATACTAATTAGGTGATAAGTGGAGGACGAAATGGATATGCTTTCAAAACTAATTTTTCCCTGGCGAAAGTGTGCTGAATAATTGTGCGAGGAGAAGATAAATGTTCTTTATATGCTTTCATGTTCATGTTTCGTTGACTCCCTTCACTGTCGTCGTCTGAGAGTTGGTCATGTCCTTTCTGTTGCTACAATTTGCATAATAATCTTATAGGAATGATGACATACTTTTGACTAAGATATTACATTAGGTATCACATGCCTCTTAATTCTACATTCTCTACATAAAATGAATTCTCTTAACTATGAAAAAAAGGAAATATAATCAAGTATATTTTTAGGACCTTGAAAGGAACTTGCCTAAGTGAAAGCGATATAAACGATACACTGGATGAAATTTATGTAAAATAGTAATATTTGCGATAAAAGTTTATTATTACTTTTATACATTTCTGTTATTATCAACATTATTTTATATAGAATTGTAAAACGACTTTTTTTTATTTACATATTCTTCTTTGCTTTCATTGTACAGCTATAAATGACTTAGACTTGCAGAATTTCTAAGAATTTACCTTTAAATAAACAAAAAAAATACTATGGATATTCTCTATAAATTGAATGGAAAAAAGAAACATTTATTAGTGGATAAGAATAAATTTCAAAACACATTGAAAATCTGGTGTTTTTATTAATCTATTTGCATATAATTTTGGCGGTGAATATACATTATTCTTGGATTAAAACTTTCATTTACGTGGAAAAATCATTGACTGGCGTGAGATTATGGGAAAAGTGCACAATTTCTCACATTATTATTAATTTTACTGCAAATGGATCTCTCGATTCGCAAGATTGATGTCTTGATGGAAGGATAGACTCAGTGGCGATTTCCTGAATTTCAAGAGGAGCTCTCAAGACGAAAGTCTGCCCATGAGTTGTCCTTTTGGCTGACGAATTATTACGCATTAAATGCCTCCTTGAGGAGTGACTAATTTCCGACGCCAGCGAGTGAAAACAGGAGAGGAAAATCAATTCCATCAAGTGGCCACCCTTGCGATGCCGGACAGGCCGAAGGAATCGCTTTGGCGGCAAAAACATGTGATTTCACTTTACCTTCCACATCTATCCATCTCCCGGCCGAGAAGTAATTTAATTCCACCTTGTTTCAGGGATTCTTTTATTTGTTCGCCAACATCCGCCACTTGGCCACCCACTCTCGCCCTCCCAACCGAATGGTGTGGCGCGTATTGCGTGTTTATCGATTGGAAGCGATTCGCATTGAATTAATTTTATTTCATCCCGCGATTGCCGGTGATATTTTCAATTTTTTCCTCCCCCGCGCGCCGTGAGTGGGTGCCAGAAGTGGTTGTTAAACGCTGTGTCGAGGGCGGCAGTGCGGCTGAGATGAGATATTTGGTCGTGACATCTCAATAGCAGCAATTTCACGCAATTAACTCGATCCCGCGCTCGATATTCATTCGAGAGTTGAGCAATACTCACAGTCTTCAATACGAAGCCAATCACAACGGGGATGAGGGACTCTCTAGAGATGCTGGCAGTCCGTAAGGGCGCGACGGCAGTCGAGGAAATTTCCCATGAAGCATCGACATTCCCTAATTTTCCCCGCACACACAGACAATTCCGCAATTTCTTTCGCCTATTGATTGTCGATAGCATGCATACTTTTTCGGCTGGTGGGAATTTCCAGGGAAGATTTGCGTCATAAGTCTTCAAGAAGGTAATATCAGTGTTGATGAAGAGCATTTTTTCAACTAAAATATTTCTGGTTTTCCCCCTTTTATTATGTAGATGTTATGCATTCGAAAGTTGTGTGTGACTTTTCAATGTTTCTCATTTTATGCGATTCTTCATAATCACTTTGAATATTGTCTTTAGGCTTGTAAATGAATTGAGCAAATTTCAAGCAATGTTTTGCATTATTGTGTTGTAATAATTGATTGGTTTAAGATGAATTTCAAATCTACACACTTTTGGTATGAATCAACAGAAATTACTGCTTATAATTATTAAACAGCAAAGTTCTGCATACCTTTTCCGTTTAATCTGCATAATTCAATAGACTAATCAAACTGTTCATTAAATATAATTGAAAATGTGATAAATAATTTGTCACTTCTTTAAGAGAAATTTTGAAATAACGCTTTATCATAAAGCAAGTCGATGAAGCATTCACCGGTTTCGTCCAAGTCTGCAGACCGAGTGTACAATAAAGAGATAACCTTTAAATTCACATTTCTGGCGTTAATCCTTTTATGTTAGCGCGAGAATAAAGCTCTTCCAAACTGTGTTTTGGTCCATTAGGATTAACCGTAAAAATTATACATTTTTATCACATTTCATATCCTGTGCCAATATATCCAACCTTCGGCAGCCAAAGACCGTGTGTGCGAAGGCAAAAGTGAAATGTGTATTACTTTTATGACCCCTAAAAATGATTATGGCTTTCATAGAGTTTTCTTTGCTCCCAGTTTTTCTCTCAGGCGAGCTAATACAGAGAGCTGGCAAGATAAAGAACACATACATGTCAGGGGAGAAATATATTGTGGCGGGAACAATAAATAAGATTTAAGTTTCGTTTGTCACATAAAAAAATGATAGTTCTGTCTATTCGGATGGGCTTGTCTTGAAAGGATTCCCAAGGATGTGGCGGATGAGACGTGAAAGGGGCGCTAAATTAGAATGAGTCCTTCTATTCACGCGCGATATTCCTTCAAATCAAGAGGAAGAGACGTTCTTCAGGTGGTGTGTCTTTAACGGGCAAACATAAACACCCTTTTTGTGCAACTGTTCCACCCCGCATACGGAGAAGAAGTCGCTTCTGTGGTCGGTTTTATGATCGATAAAGCTTTCAGCATAAAGTGCTTTTTGAAATACTTTATTGTTGTGGCAAAAATGACCATTTTGAATTGATAGAAACATTTCCCGTGCCTCCTGTCAGCTCAGAGACCAATCGCCGGAACTTGCTAGCATACAAAGAGGGTGCGAGATGAGGATTTTCTGGATAGTCGGACCGTCAAATGAAAGGGTAATTCCTTTGCGTTTCTCCAACTTTCTCTTCACGACGCTCTTCAGAGCTGAAGCCTTGGATGGAGCTGAAAGTTCCACAACCCAGCCGAAGTAGTTTGCGGAAAGCGCTGTTTATTTTCCGCAAAATAATAGATAAAAAGTAGTCTACATAATGCTAATAATTTAATAAAGTGATGATCTTCATAAAATGCTTGAGTAAGGATTTACTTATGATTCTATATTGTGATTTTACTTTATGACTACTTTATAATCTATATAAATTTATATCTATTCCAATGAGCTTAATTGACCTGCTGAATAACGAAATTTTGGAATGTACTTGTCAGCACAAAAGCGAGACCCTGACGTCAATGTGCACAGTGCACTGACCAGAGTGTGACGTCAATGGCCACAGATGCTTCCCCATTACTCCTTATGCATGTTCTAGTGTTAACGGAAAGTGCATACTTTTTACATATTAATACAAATTCAGTGCACAGTCGAGTAAGGAAGTTCGGCTGGGTTCTTCTTCTCTATCTCATTAATTTGAAATATTAATTGCGGATTCCTTTTAGCCGCAGCGGCGAGAGGTGTGGAGAGAAAATGCCAAGTGAAAGATGAGAATTCCAGCCGGATTCACCCTGCATCCGCTATAAGGCACTTGTTGAAGTTGAGGAGTCGTTTGAATTCTTGGCACGCGATGGCTTTATTTCATTCATACTTTTCAACCCCTTAAAACCTACGAGATGTGGTGAAACCACCCACCGCCTCGTCCGTGTGGTGCGATGAGGCGTCACGGCGTCAACTTGGGGAGGGTCGCACAGTGGCGATGATGTGCCACACATGTGAGCGCCCCCCGGACTGAGGGTGCAAAAGAAGTTAATAGTCCGGAACGAATTTGTCGCCCGCCAAAAGTTGCCGAGCACAATCGTCTGATATCGTCGAATCATCTGGCGTGGGGGTGAGTGCGATTCTTAATTTAATTTCCATTCAGGAGGATCCACTTGGCCTCCCGCACTCACTCTCGGGGTCCGATATCTCGACAGTGAGTGAGATACATTCAGATGATAAAGTTGCTCTTTGTAATCCGATTACATCTACTATTTCACGATTTTCCCGCTCCGCATTGTCCGCATCTTCCAGCATCTTGTCTCTCGAGACCGCCTTTTTTATTCCCTTGCATTAATTAATCGGATTTCGTGTCTCGATCTCGTTGTCGGGCGGAAGGTAAATCAGAATAGATCATTTTGAATTGAAAAAGCCTTTTTTATCCACAGTCTCTGTCAGTGTTGGAAGAAGTTCTTCCACTTCTTGAGGGCAAAAACGCCAAGAATATTCTTGCCTATTATCGTGACAACAATAGTTTTTTTTTTGCTCAATGATAAACTTCGGTGTTCGCTGGTTTCTTTTTTTAGGGAATATTTGAGCAAAAACGAGTTTAGAATATCGCTCAAAAGAGCCTTTATTTCAAACGAAGGTCAAGACCATAGAGTTAACATTATAATTGTCATTATGAAAGGATTATTTCTGTCTTCTAACCTGGGGCAACTGCTAATGATTGCGAGAGACTTGCTGTAGAACACACAAAGTTCGGTTTTTACTTTCAAACTCATGCCGAATCTAAATTGTTGTTCAGGAATTCATCACAGCCACACGCAAAAATATCTTTAACTGTATATTTTATGAAAGATTGCATAAAGAATTCATTTTTAACCTGCATCACGTACTGAATTGATTTGCTATTATTCTTTTTCTAGAGAAATATATTTATATTCACGTGTAATAAATTGCCAAGTAAATCTTAAGAAATTTTAAAAGTCAATTGGGAACGTTTAAGTCACTTTGAAAATAAATCAAATCCGCGAACAGGAAGTTATATTTGGCCAAAAGCAAAGAATGTTGATTGTAGCTTTATTAAATGCAAATAATTTAATTTGTTCCGTGGCTTTTCAATCGACTTTGCCAACACTTCTCCCATTTCAATTAACTTGTGCACTTGATGACCTGGTTTTTTTCCCATCTCTCCTCTTACTCATGATCTTGAGAAGTCCTCCGCGTTCCCCGATAAATCCATTATCGTGGGCGTAATTGAAAATTTGCCATTTGGCTGAGAAATTATTATTCCAATACGGTAACTGCCGCGGTAACTGGAGAACTTATACCGAACTGGTGCTCGAGACAACAATAGTTGTATGCAAATTTTTAATTTAAGATGATATTCTTGATTTAGCAGTTACAATTTTAGTCTCATTTTTAAGTTAAGAATAGCAGGAAAATTCGATTTTCGGCTCTGAAAGTTTATCTAGTTCAATTAAAACTTAAGAATTTCTTAAGATTCTGCTACTTAACAGAGATATATTTGTGTACAATTTATTTTAATTCATATAAATTGAATAAATCAAGACTTTATGTTTCCTTCTATGACTAAATCTACCCCATTCTCTCCTAACTCTTTCCAGAAGTGTGCAAATCACGCCTTTTTGCTTGTAGACTTTCGTCCAGATACAAGATAAGACGACTAATGAGGCGGTGTCTTGAACTTTGTCGCCAAATAGATTTAAAATTTACATTTGTTGCCATTAGATAAAAACGGCTACGACGGGTGATAAATCGAAGTGTTTGGCTGCTAGAGATAAAGAGGAGGAAGCGAGTGTGTGTGCGTGGGACTGTGGAGGAAGTTTTCCATGGCAAATGAAGGGGATGACTATTTCATCTAAGAATTCCTGGCGGTTATTAGAGAATTCCAGATCAACTCCGTGAGAAAATTAAATTTCTTCGACGGACGATTTAATATGTACATGTAGAGTTTAGCATTTTTATCCACACCCCCGCACGATGGCAGTACATGACATCATAATTCTTCTGGGCGAGCGAGGAAGTCACTATGTGACTCTATAAAGTGGAGGGATATTAACTTGAGAGCTGCTATAGTGAAAAATAGTCGAGGGATTTTCCTGCCCTTGCCGTTTTTATTGTTATCATTATGCGGGAGTCAAGTCAACACAATTGGGGAAAGAAAACGGTTGACTTGCTGAGAGAATAGATTTTTCGTGCGGTGTTGATTTATTCTTGTTCCTCAGCACAACAGGTCTCTCCCCAATCACTTTTCCTGGGGATGGGGGGGAGCGTTGATGGTGTGGGCGCAGGAAAAAGTTTCGCCGTGATTGCCCGAATCAAAATTCAGACACGATCCAAGGCGAGAAAACAAGGAAAAAGTCTGCCATAACGCAGGATACTTCGCATAAGTGCAAGTAACGATATGAAAAGTTTCCAGCATTCAATGACTCAATTCCGTGCGTGAGAGAAAAGCTCGCACGTCGGAATGTATGACACATGGAGATAAGTAATTGTATATTCACTTTAGCAATTAACATTATGGCATTAGAAGCCTTACTATTTCAATTATTCGCAGTTGGAAAAACGCGCGTTTAGTGAGTGTTTCTCACTGTGCCTTTTTCTCCATCCCCATCATCGGCTGAACATATCTGGCAATCAATGCTTCTCTTTGTGCCCTGGAATCGGCGCTCGTGAGAAAGCAATTTTCCAATTTGTTGGCTTTTGTATCTCAAGCTCAAGTCATTATGCGTACGCACTTCTTGATTTCGCCTTATAGTTTTACATTTTCCAGCATATCAAACGATATGATAATCCTTTTCATTCTGCAGCTTCTCTCCCACACTCTAAATACACCCGCATTGCAGTCGCTGAAATGGAAATGAACATGTCACAATTCAAAGGCGATAAGGAAGACACCCCAATGATAGTGTCCAACCAATTTGGGGCGATGAAAGGATGACGCACAATCTCTTCCGGCTGCTATTGCTGAAGCGCTGAAAGTGAGTTAGAGAGGAGTTTATTTAATTATTTTGCAACTCAACTGGTGATAATTTATCCGTATTGTTTGGAGACTTACCACTTGCTCTGAAACTAGTCGATTTTGTGAAAAGCGAAGTAGATTACAATTCTTATTTCTAGATTTTCTCATTGAATTATTCTACCATCACTTTAAGACGATGCAAATTAAGAACATCTCCTTTTGGATGTCGTGATTGTACTGAAGTCTGTAACTCGTTAAGATAAATATTTATCATTAACTAACATGAAGATCAATAGACTTAAAAAAAGAAACACATTTCATTGAAGAAATAAATGTATTTTCAATTTAGCAACATTGTTGGCGGTGAATTTGTTGGAATTTTTTTTCATTTTCTAGAATTGCGAATAATCTATTTACCTTTCTCTGTGCATGAAATGAAAGCCAATTAAATGGTCTATATAACTTGAATCACAATGAAAAGTATGATCGACACGGTATTTCTGTAATGAGTTTGAGATTCAAATTTGCGCAAAAAACTACACAAACGGCATCCCAGAGTTAATAATGCCTTTTTGTGCTGTTAAAGACTGGCAAAAACTTCAGATTTGCGTATCTTAATTTTAGAAGTTCGTTTGTCCATAACAGCATGATCTTTTCTATTTGTGTTCTCTGTTTTTTTTTTCTTGTTTCTAAGTTGGAGCTCAAGACAAGAAAAGCTCTCAACTGAAGATGTACGCAATGTACGGTTATGTTGATCATTGAGCATATTTTTTGTTGTCTCGGTAATTTTGTACTTGATTTCTCAAGACATGATTCTAGTTTAGCATTTGCAATCTTTCTAAATTCGTCATTTTTTTCTCTCCGGTGACCTAAATTTTCATCTGCCCTCCAAATGAGGACTCTTAATTGATATTAAAGTAATATTGTATTTAATTTCAGTCGTCAATTTGCGGACGAGTCATCAGCAGTGCAATCTGGGCAGGAGTAATCTATTTTCCGACACAAATTGCACAAGATGCCTTCTATCAGAGCGTCCGAGGTGGCACAATCCGTCAGTCCGGCGGGGTCTTGGCGATGCGGCGAGCGCGGGAACCTGTTGAAGGCCCCGAGCGAGCATCCATTCGCCGAAGGGATGACCTATGGAAGTGGAGCGCGTCTCCCCATTTGACACTCAACTTCCCCACGCTGTATCATCATGCGCACGCTGGCGGATTGTGTGCAGCGCCAAGTGTCTGAGGCTCCGAGGGTGGTTTTTTCGTGGCAGTGCGAGACGAGATCTCGTTGCCACTGGTACTTTGCGGACCACCCGTCTGAGTGTGTGCTCGGGGATGTTAGTGATGTGGCTCAGTTAAGTCTCTGGTGGGAATCTCATCCGCGAAGCAACGGCCGGATCGCCATCCACAGTCACAGGAATCCCCGCGCGGACGCTTTTCTGGCCCAGTGAGAATAGGTGAGAATCATGCACTGAAATTGCTTCCTCGCCTAATAGCTCTCCCCTTTGCAATGTCTTCCAGAGAGTGCCACCAAATCACCCTCATGAAAATGGATTGACACACTTCAACCACCATGAAAACCCTAAAGGTGAATATTTCTCTTGACATTTCACACTGAAATTTCCCCCCAATTCGCGTTAAATGACGACGCGGACAATGCATTTAATTCTGGTCATTTATCATGATGTGAAATCAAACACATTCACACATGTTCAGAAATTGTTCAGTTTGTAATATTTATTTAAATTTGTGTGCCACGATAGCGATCGCGAGTGACCTCGGGAGTTGATTTTCAGTGCTAGACGTTGGATGTGCGAAATGGAGAGCAAAAATTACAATTGCAGTGAGAGTAGACGAGAAAAGTTGAGTGAAAAATCTCGAAAACGTGAATGAAATTCCAATTTCGTGTGTTGTAGCGAATTCCCGAATATCGGCAATCATGATCGACTGATCTATTGATATTGACCTAAATATCATAGGGAAAGATCGCGTCGGAGAAAATGAAGTGAGTGGAAAAAACACGGCTCGCTTTTCGTTGAATTTTAAATCAATTGCACTGGATTTTCCTCTGAGAAATCACAAATTCTGCTCAAAAATCACACGAATGTGTGACTTTTTGCACGGCTGAGAGATGAAAGACCGAGCGGCGGCACATTAAGTCTTTCTCACCTGCTTCACTATAGCAATGAGTGTGTTCTTAGTCATTAATTTAAGTATATTTTGCACGTTTTTTTAAAGCGAAAATGTAAATTTTCATCAATCTAAACTAAACGAAAATTAATTACACTCAAAAGTAGAATTTTTCATTAATTTGGAACTTTTGGAACCAAAAAATACAAAAACGACAAATATTAGGCTAGTGATATAGAATCGCTTTTCGCATTCACTGAGAATTTTATTAACAATTTTACAGTAGTTATAGCTTTGAAATTGACAATTTTTTGGCTTTTTCTGGATTCATTTCCATTTTCAACTCAGAACTTCTTTCTATAAATAATTTGCCACAAACGAGAAATAAAGAAGTTTCTTGGAAATTTTGGACAGACTAATTGCTCTGTTTAATATTGCTTTTACTTTCACTTTTTCAGATTTTATGGGAATTTTATAATCTGAATCTGAAGTTAGATTTTTCTGTACCGAGAAAAGGAATTTAGAGAATCTTATGTCTGATTTTAATCGATTTGCGCTAATTGTTGATCAAAATGATTTCAATTTTATATATATGAACTTCTCTTTTGTTTAAAATGGGGTCAAAAATGCTAAGAACTGTATGATTAACCATAAGGAAATCTTTTTATCTACATATAAAAACTTATAAAAATGCAAGAAAAAATGCCTTAACAAAAAGTGCATTCATTGCACCTTCTGTCCTGGAAGTAGTAAAATGTTGATGAAATCACGCCTAAAAAATTAAATGCACAGAATGTCGTTGGCTTAATAAACAACTCAATTTAATGTTCACACATCGGCAGAGAGCAGCTAGTAAAATTCTCTGATCTTTTGCTAAGTGTCTAACGGTCGTGCTAAGTGTCTGTCTTTAGCACCCAAAATCATCAGAAAATGATTAAGCGATTAGGCGTAGGAGATTTAGTCTTTTTCCTCTGTCTCTGTCCCGAAAGTGTTGAGTCGAAATAGAAGGTAAAAGACAGAAATACCAGACCAATTAAGTGTCACTTTCCCACAAACACTACCTGGAATTTCTTAATTATTTCGGCCGGAGTGCCCAGAGTATCGGACTGGGTTTTCTCTGTTCCAGCTTTTCTGCAGGCGAGCGTCGGGTTAGTTTATCAGTGACAGTGGCGAGAGCTTCTCACTTTTGTTTTAATTACGAATCAGTTAACATTGAGCGCGTGCCGTATAAAACTCCACAGGCTTTTCCTCTGGCCACTAGTTGTTATCAAGCAGTTGCGGTCGTCAGTTGGAGAAAACTGAGCTCCCAAATCGCCACTATTTCATCGCGAACAGACAATATGAGAAGGAATTTGATTTTTGGACAAATGAGATAGCAGCGCACGCCCGTTTTTGGTGTGTTCCTCTGCCAAAATCCATAAGTCCATCTCCTAACAAAAATTTCCAAGTGAATATAATACTTGTTGTGCAACCCATTTGAAAGCTGTGAATATTAGTTGTGCTCCGCTCTTGCAAATGTTTTCCAAATATTCGTCGCAATCGTGATAAACGGTTTATTTTACGAGCAACTCTCAAAGAAAATCATAAGTGTGGTGTGATCATAAAATATCCGATCGTTGAGTGTCGACCAGGAGTTTCTTTGCTGAGAAAAGTTTGTGTAAGTTTCCAATTCAAATGGGGCGATTTTGTGATGGAGTTTCAAGTTCATGACGACGATTGCCTGCACTTAGCACTTAATTATTCACTTAATTCGAAGCTACTCGAGTCCAATTGCGGCTGTGCCTCAAATTTACTTCAAGATACGCTGAAATATGAGTCAAAGATAGGCATTCAAATTTTTTGCGCTTAGAGTTTTACCTGCGACCCATTTTTCTGCAATTTTAGAACGTGTGTTTCTCCGACGATAAGCAATCACACAAGCCAAATGACTTACTTTCCCGCTTGTGCTGATTTTTTCCCCAAATTGGGAAAAAGGAATGCCAAAGTGATGTTGTGGAATTTTTCTTCTTACGTGTATGTTTTTTTTCCTTCTCTGTGAAATGCTAAATCGAAAAATGATCAGTTGCGTGTGAACTTGACGATTGAATCACTTTTCTCTTGTGTGTTCTGCTTGGAATATGTTAATATAAAACTCCTCTTAATTGTTCACTAATTTCAATAACACGCGCTGGCGGTGAATAGGGAGGCTGGGCAGGGATTAAGTGGTTCCCAGGAGAGAAAGAAAAATAAACACTAACTATCATGTGTGTTACCTGCATTTAGTAATTAAAATCCGCGCATTGCATAAGAAATTATAACATGCGATAACACGCGACGATCATCCTTTGTTACTCTTCCTCGCCGCTTAATTATTTCTGACTCATTTTCTGCAATCTTCCGCATAAATTGGCACCAAAGAGGGTTTCTTTAGAAGATTTAGCATACTTTGGCTAATTCTTATCGCTTAACCCAGTTCATAAAATATTTTACAGGCAAATTTCCATAAACACTGCTTCTATGACAGAATGAGGTTTTTATAATAACATTTCGCTAATCAATTTTATTGTTGAGAACTAAAAGAAAAGAATTTTTTTCTATTCGAACATTTATAAAGTAAAAATCTTTTAGGACATTTTAAGTATTCGTTTATGAGGAGTTGTACTGAGCAGCTGTTCAAGTTCTGCAATAATGTTAAGTTAACAATTTCCTCCAAAAACATCGGTTTTTCAACTTATCAAAATTTTTTCACCTGAAAAATAGCCAATAGTTTTCAGCATAAAATAAGGAAAATATATTCTTTTTTATAAAACAAAGGTGTCCCATTCAAACCCAAAAATATGACTGTAATTCTTTGAGGAAAATTATGACTGTTTTGCAATTGCAAGTTAAGATTACAATAAACTCCACGTGTAGAGATTTTAGTGAGGTCAAAATCTTCTCTTACTTAATACAACGCTATGGTAATTTTTGTGAAATTCACCGTTTAGTACGTGTAAGCAGTGTAATTGACACTTTTCATATCCTAGCAAAAAATCACAACAGATGCTTAAGAAAATGCATTGCTCTATAAAGAATTGTAACATGGAAAATTCAGGTCCATTGATTGTTTATTCTTATGACCATTCTCGTGGATAAAACACAACTCCTTTCGCATGTTTCCCATTACTGAACAAATTAAAACTTAATTTAGGCAAAATTAAATGTTGTCTCAGACATTTTCGTGGGCCACACCACACTTCTTCCACGCTGCACATCTTCTCCATCACTCAATTAATACTTTAGCGCTGTCGAGAGACGCGAGCACACGAGTGATGGGAGATTTTATGGCGTTGGGAGACGAGATTGTGTCTGCCTAATGACTAAATAATATGAACTTGTTGGTCGGGCTCAGTCGCGTTTCACATCTTCCGCGTGTGACTCGCGATCATCGGCACCTGAATTCTGGGCTGTCGCGCGAATTGCCGGGGACTTTTTTCCCGTACCGGTTCTCTTGGAGTGTCGATGATGAGATTTTGGGGACTTCCCTCTCCCCTGGCCGATGGATAATTGCCCGTAATTGCTATTTGTTCTCCACTTCTCCACGCTGTCGCTGAGATCATTCATGTGAGATTCATCCCGCCGATGGAGTGGCAAACATCACCCGAAATGCCAGCCATTTACTTTTGATTGATACTTATCGCGTACAATGTCCCATTATCATGCCACCGCAAATGATAGTTATTCGCGATTTGAGGAAAAACAGCGTGACAATATCCATCTTTTCGGATCAGTTCAGCCACTGATATCTATAGCGCTGAGCGTTAGAGGAAAAAAAGAGTCGAGTGAAAAACTGGATATCATTATTTCGCGGCAGACACTCAAAAATTCCTCCAAACTTGATTTGAAGGTTACCTTTTTTTCGCTAATCCATCGTACAAGAAGAAGAATACTTCTCCAATTCCTTCAGTCGTTCAGTGCCTCCAACGAGTGTAACATCCTCCTCAGGAACACGCGTCGCACTTTTTCTGCTCTCCGCGAAATCAATTTCACTGGTATGCAAAATTAAGCCTCACTTTTGGCCTCAAGTCCAGTGCTTTCATTCGGAAGCCGACGGTGGGAAATTTTGGGTGGGAAAGTGTGATGGGATGAATGAAGTTCGTGACCTTTTAGAGAGTCCTCATTAAAAGTGTATTAATGGTCATCCGCAGAACCACGTCAAAGAGACTCTGCATCTCTTGCAAAACCCTCCACATTGCGGCAGAGATCGAGAATAGTCATAGAAGTGGCCCAATGATTGCAATCTGGGAATAAACAGCGACACAATGAGCGCATTGAGCCTTATTATATTGGCTTTAATTGGTTCTAGTTAAGGTGGTGTCTTGTGAATGGAGAGAACTACACTTCCGTGACATTGTCATTCAGTCACAATTAAAATTTTCGCCATAATTCACATTCTTTTTCGCGTGCAACCATTTGTTTGTGCTACGTACAGTAAATTAATATCTATTTCCACGTATTTTCAATATCATGGATGAAGAAATTGCCCGGGAATTTCCATCAAGGTCGTTTTATGTGTGTATGTGGCGAAGGAAAAAGTTACAAATTGCAAGAGTGCTTAACTCTCAGGGCGGGAATGTTTGGGGCTAAAGTTATTTTTTCACTCACTCGAAAAAGGTATTCTTTTTGAGCGCGCACAGATTTCATTAAATTGCCCCACTTGTAATCTTGAGCCCAAACTCGAGAATTCCACTGCATCCCAAACAGTTGCGTGCAAAAAGTGCTTATCTTCATAACACTTTTGTAGTAGAGAAATTGAGCTTCATCAGATGCGGGATTTGGGCGTCTTTCTCTCTAATTAAGTTGTCTATTAAGTCATGACAGAAAGATTTATTATACTATTTTGCGGAATATAGACCGATAGCAATTAAAATATTTGCACTCTTGTTCTTCTTTACTTTACAATTCTTATTCATAAGAAAGATTGGATTCATTCTCAGAGAGAAAAAAACACATTAAAAGTTTATACATCTTTCATAAACTATGAATGAACATCAATTTTGCAAGTCAGTTCTGAATTGTGAAATATCGGCCGCCATCATTGAAAAAATGCATATTCGCTCATGTTTGTATTCAATAGCCTCTATTTTTTGAATGAAACTGATACTATCAGACACTAGAATATTTGAAGATCAGCCGCAATTAATGGGGAAAGTGTTGCATGTTTTTCCTCTAAAGCGAGAAAGCCTTAAGAATGTTATTCCTGAATAGCGCATCGCAATGGAAGGACTTTGTTGTGTAATTTTCGCGGAAATACATCGCGCGTCATTTATAGAGAATTGAGACTGATAGAGAAAGTCATCTTGCAAATGGAAATAAATTCATTTAACACATTTTTATGGTGCTTTTTTGTATTTTTGCACGCAGTTATTTGATTTGGAAACTCAATTTGAATATTCAAATGCCCTTTTTATCACTCAGTCTCCCTTTTCTAACTTGATTTTCTATGGCATTTTCACTTTGAAAAACGTTTTGCCTCGCAGAATATCTTTCACACCCAAGAGCATTTTCTTATATCATGCGGGATGTACATGGTTATATGTATTGACTTCTCCTTCTGATACACCATTCTTGTGCTTTTGTTGTGAAATGACGGGTGGAAAAGGAGCAGCGACTCGCGGAGGGTGAGATGAGAAACAGTATGGAAATTCAATTAGTGTGATCGTAAAAATTGTCACAATTCACAACGCAGTAATATTATGCAGAAAAAATCCATATTATCCAGCTGAGTGGGAGAGAGTTGGGAAAGTGGCTCTGAGAGTAGTCGATAGGGGCGAGTGAAGCAGTTCCGGGCGTAAATTCAAGATCTTCAGGTTTTCTGTGGTATTTTTGACTGCATTTGACAATGGTCTGCCTAATAATGAATAAATCCATGGCAATAAAATATATTCCATGATCATATCAAAAGTTAAGTGTCCTGCCCTAGAGAAACCGAGGATTTTCAATAGATGAGTTGAGAAATATGTAGATTGTTTATATAGTGTACAGTTAAAATGCAACCTCTGAAATCTTTCAGTGCTGTGCTATACACTGTGCTACATCCGTTACAACACTGAGTTCAATATCACGGGAAAATTGTGTAGCAAATTGGGTAACTCGCTGTGAAATTTTCACCTTTTCCTCTGCGCTGTGGAAGTGGGACAATTTAAAACTATATGCCGACCACCAATTTAACGCTCCATATTGTAATGGGTTATTGAATTAACATCAACATTTCCTTCCTCATCAGTATCACAACATTGAAATTTATAATTAAATCACTTGTCGTATCAGTTGTATTTGTTATGAGTGAGCGCCACTCATATTTCATCACATCATCTCCCTCACCTTCGACCGAGCAACATTCACATGGCTCTGACGACATAGTTGCTCCTAAAAGTGAAAAACTTGTCGGATTCTCATCCCTCTGCGGCGCACATTTCGCCCCTGCGGGGAAAAAGGGCGGCGCACTTCCGGGAGGTGAAACCGAAACCATGAAACCGTAGGGAAAATGAGATACACAAACTCTCAGTTTGATTTTATTTCCATTTTCGAACTTGTGAGATTTTCATCATTTTGTCGTGACAATTTTCCTCCCAAGCGCCCGGAAAGCGGGCGATTTCTGGGGGTGGCGCTGTGGCGGTGTGGGAAACGGAAATACATCAATTATATCGGGGTGGAAATTTGCCAGACGAACACACATAAGAGTGTCTGTGGTGGGACAGTCGGTAATTGACATGGAGTGCCCTTCACTCACCACTCAAATTGTCGTTCGTGCGCGTTGCAAAGGTGCTCGATGGAGTTCTGGAAGACAAAACGAGGCCGATTGATTCTGCGAGCGCTTGTTCTAATGCGTCCTCTTTCGCCTTGCAGTAAATACTGGCCTCTGAGATGCAGTCCACAGATCCAGGAGGGGCCAGCGCCAATCAACAGTCTGCAAACGCTCTGCCGCATCCACAATCGGCGGCCGCGGCCGCGGGTGGTGGAGGTGGCGGAAGCGGTCCTGGCGCCACGAACGGAGGAATCTTCGGAACAGCAAAATCATGGGTGGATCGCTGGCGTGGCTCGAGGCGTCTCGTCCTCATCATCGTGGCGATTGCACTCCTCCTCGACAACATGCTTCTCACCACAGTCGGTAAGTCAAAGGAGAATGCAAGAATCCTTCACATTTCCCTTCCTCCGTCGGAGGAACTTTGCCCTTTACAGAGCCAGTAGAAGAAGCATAAAAATCTCAAAGTTCAACAGTTGGCTCTTCAACTGGAGACTCTTCAGATGGGCGAGAAGAAGAAATCTTTCCGATATTGGTTCTCTCTCTCTCGCATGAAATGTGGGACGATAAAACTACTTAATCAAGTTTGTTCAACTAAATACACTTTCTATACAATGATAAAGAAAATACCTCCAGTCGTCTTTCATGCCACTGAAGATGTGCGCTGGGAAAAAATCTCATCGGATTTTCCGTGTTTTACTTTCCAACAGCTCTCCAAGGAGAGTGAAGATTGACAATTTCATCCCCTCACGGGTATTTTCCATAAAGCGCAAGAAATTTCCAGAAAAAAAGACTCAAAATGCTGAATTGATCAGCTGATATTTCTCAGAATGGAGAAATGACTGTTTTCTCACGAAAATCAGGGAAATTGTCTAATTGTGAATGTTAAAAGTCCAAATCAATAGTTTTATTAACCGATTTGTTCCGTGAGAAAACAATTCACTTCGCAATTCTCTATTTTTCAGTAAAGACCATTTATGATTGCCAGAGGAAGGATAGTAATCATTAGATTAAGATCTATATGAAAATTCTAGTTTATCTCTTCCGATCCTCCAGCGTTTTTTTTTCTTGAAGTCAATCAAGCTCCAGTTTCTATCTTAAGACATCCTTTTGGTAGCCAAGTTATCTGTGCGTCTTTGTGGGAAATACTGGCGGAAATTGGAGTCAAGGAAAAGTCGTAAGGTGATGGCAAATCTCAATTTCTTCGCTGTGCACGACATATGATGCATTGAAATTAAAATAATTTCACATGTATGGCAGATAATTTAATGTGTCATCAACACTTTGTGAAGCTATTTCCGACGCCAAAGCGGAGAGACGTCTTGGCCGGCAGTATTTTCTCCAGTGCGCGCCACAATTGGGTGGATGAAAGGGAGGAAATAGACCCAAGAGGGATTCTCTGTTCTATTATTCACAAATCCATCTCACCATTCTTCCATACGTTTTCCCTTCTTTCTCTCGTCCGCAAATGATTTTCCTCTATTTATTCATCTCTGGTAATGTCTCACAAATCGCCATGAAGTGGTGTAGAAAGTTGCGTCGGAACTACATGTCGGTCCTTTGATAGAATTTCCTCCTCGTTCTTCCCCTCTGCTCCGCATTTTTTCTCGCAATTGGCGGTGAACGAGTGGTCGACTTTCGAGGTGAAATGCCGGTGAGTCGAGTCACTTTTGGGTATTTCCTAAAGTGAAATTTCACCAGACTTTTGCGAAAAACTGCGACGGACATTGAGTGCCTTCGCTGCCACAATCACACTCTCTTCACTCTTGTGTCATAATTAGCTTTTATCACTGGCGATTGGGTGGGTGTAAATCAATGATTAAGAGCATTTCTCTGCGCTCGGGGATTTTTTCCTGCCATTCCTCGGGGGAAAAGCGATTTTCTCAAAATCATTTTACAAAGCGTCCGCATGGCAGACAACTCAGCGGGGATTTCGCGGCTTAAGAGCAATATTGCAAGGGAATTGAAAGTCGGAATTGGCCCCATTTTCCAATCCTCCGAGCACAACATTTACCATCTCATTCCACACGGGTTTGAGGGATGTTCTCTCTCGCACAAGAAAAGTGCGAGGTGAGTGGAGTGAATTTATAGCGTCGACCACTTATCGTAATTGTTGTCTCAACCATTTTCTTTCTTGCCAACCACTTCCATCATCAAGCGCAGAGCATCCCTCATTGAATAAGTAATTCTGTATCGCTTCCCTTGGCCTCAGAGTGAGAAGTGCGATGTCGTGCGGCGGCAAGAGTGAGATTTCACACCAAATTCATCTCAATGCCACCCTTTTTCGCCCACCCAGTGGAAGGGTAACTCGGTCATGTTTTATTAAACACTATCCATCCACGCTGGTCTTCCTGTGCTCTCTTGCCTTCGCATCTCCTCGAGCGGACATGAAATGTGGCCAGAGAAAATATTCATCCCCATGACTTTTGCGTTTCCACACCTTGTCTTATCCGCCCAAGTGTATTCTTCGTGCCATTGTCTTGCCAGAGGCGGAATTGCAGTGCCATCGCGAGGGTCCTCATAATTAATTCCTCTGTCGAAAGGCATCGCATTAAATTTCACTCAAATGACACTGTTGCCTCGCGAATTAATCGCTTGTCGCCGTTTTTTGGGAAATCCCCTCAATCCGTCGCTGGTGATTTGGGCTATCTGGCCTCATTATTCAGCCACTTTCACTCGAATCTCCCCCAGAAGTCTTCCTCCATAATGCCGTCCGTGTCCGAGGGGGTGGGAAAAGGAGGAGTTCAGGCGATGTATCACGCAATTTAACATCAAAAGCGTTCAACTTTTATACTTCCACGCAATCAAAAGAAGTGAACATAGTTTCTGGAGTACGAATCCTCACGAAAAATTGCCCTGATAGACTAAGAATTTGAATTTACGACATTACGAGAGTGCGGGGCCGATTCACAAAGTCGTAGTGAGTGCCGAAATAAGTCTATGTCATCTTGAGAAATGATGAAACACATGTAAAAACCTTTTTGAGTAGTTTCGTACTGAAATTCAGTAATATACTGGCTGTTTTGACTGATCTATACGTCAGTAAACCATAAACTTATTTAAATATGAAATAAATATTCGTATTCTGAAAGTGAAAGTCACTGTCAATCGCCATCAACACGTGGAAATGATTTATAAACAAGTAGTTTCTATGCGGTGATATTTATTAACTGCGGGAATTTACGTTGGGCGATAAAATTTCTGGCTACCAAGCCTATGACCATTGGACTTTATCATTTTGCTTTGCGGTACGACAAAAGAATTGATCAGTCTCATGCTTGGTCTTCTAGTGAGAGAAATATGATAAAAAATCACCGTCTTTTTCCACGTTTCTGAGAAGTCGTACTCCGCATGTCTAAACGTGAATGAAAGCATGTCAAGAGGCGCGCACATTTCGCGATGATCTTCACGATCATTTGCATATCGAGAAATGCAAAGTGGCTGAAATTCTAAAAGCCAGTTTAACTCCTATTGTGTCTGTGGTATGTGATTTGTGTGGAAGACTGGTAATATGGCGATGATGTGATTTGGATGGAGATGCATTGAAATTCATGCGGAGAAGGGTTATTTTGCAGCACGCGGATGGTTTAGCAAAAATCAATACGCCATGTCCTATATAGGAAGAAGTGGAGAATTAAGGTAAATAGCGAGGAAACCCCTTCTGGCCCTAGACGCTCGGCACTCCGCTCTGTCCAAGGGGATGAGCGATGAAGTGAGGAGAGAAGTATTAATAAACGTGGAGAAGTTTACACAAAATTCATTCCAGTGTTCGCTTAACAGTTCATATACATTTAATATTTGTTGTCTCTTGTCTCCATGGCGTGAGCATAAAATACGGTCCGGGATGAGTGGAAGAGAGAGACTCTGGTGAGATACAGGAGAAAGTGTAAGCTAATTTCGTCCTAGAATTGCCAGCTAATGGACGTGCAATTATCAAGGCAATCTCGTTTCTTAAACGGCAATAAATTGAATTACAAATCGCAATTAGTTCCAATTCGTCACAAGCTTGCCCCTTCCTTTCTTGTGTCTCTCTACTTGGGTGGTGGAGACGGTTTTCATATGATTGGGACTTCGGCGTCCCCGCACATTTGGTTATGTCTGCTCCTGTGGAAATTTTATAATGCAATTAGATATGCAGACGTTGCAGCTCTCTGACGATGTGTGCCATCGATCTCTTGCAGTTCCCATCATACCGGAATTCCTCTATGACATCCGACACCCGGACGCACCTCTGGCTAGCCTGCCCAAGTTTCCGCCACCCACCACTCCAGCACCCCCGTGCGGACAGACGACGACGCCCTGGGATGGCATCCAGGAGACCACGCCGGGCTTCGACAATGCCAGCTTCTACGCCGAGCTGGAGGAGCGCCACAAGGAGCTCGTCGGCGAAACGGTCGAAGTGGGTCTCATGTTCGCCTCCAAGGCCTTCGTGCAGCTCCTGGCCAATCCCTTTGTCGGCCCACTCACACACAAGTAAGAGCCCTGACTCGTCCCCGAATTCACGCGGAATCTAACCCGATATTCTCCTTCCAGGATAGGCTACAGTATACCGATGTTTGCAGGCTTCGTGATCATGTTCATCTCAACAATAAGTGAGTTTTTCGAAGTATTTATTTTCTCTGAATTCTTGTAAACCATGAATTGTTTGCAGTTTTCGCCTTTGGCCGATCGTACAGTGTTCTGTTTCTGGCTCGCGCGCTCCAAGGTATCGGATCGTCATGCTCTTCCGTGTCCGGGATGGGAATGTTGGCTGAGCGATACACCAACGACAAGGAGCGCGGCAACGCCATGGGCATCGCTCTGGGCGGTCTAGCTCTGGGTGTCCTGATTGGGCCACCCTTTGGCGGCGTGATGTACGAGTTTGTGGGCAAGTCAGCGCCCTTCATCATCCTGGCAGCTCTCGCACTCGGCGACGGCGTCCTGCAGCTCCTTATGCTGCAGCCCTCAGTTGTCCTCCAGGAATCCGATCCGCCCTCCCTCAAAGCCCTCGTCTGCGATCCTTACATCCTCATCGCTGCCGGTGCGATCACCTTCGCCAACATGGGCATCGCCATGCTGGAGCCGTCGCTGCCCATCTGGATGATGGACAACATGGGCGCCAGCAAGTGGGAGCAGGGAGTCACCTTTCTTCCCGCCTCCATCAGCTACTTGATCGGCACGAACGTCTTCGGGCCTCTTGGGCACAAGATCGGTCGGTGGCGAGCGGCTCTGCTCGGTCTCATGATCATCGGCCTCTGTCTCCTTTGCGTAAGTAATCCTCATTTTCCCGAGAACTGCGGATTCTACGGATGATCAATCTCTTCGCAGGTCCCGATGGCGACTTCCATCAACCACCTCATTCTGCCGAACGCCGGCCTGGGCTTCGCCATTGGCATGGTGGACTCGTGCATGATGCCAGAGCTGGGCTACCTGGTCGACATCCGGCACGCCGCAGTCTACGGAAGCGTCTACGCCCTGGGCGATGTCGCCTTCTGCGTGGGATTCGCTGTCGGCCCCGCTCTGAGGTGAGTGCAAGCTCAAAAAGCCCTCAATTCAGTCATTCATGCCTGACCATGTCCATCAGCACGATCAATACCGATTTTATGCGGTAGTAACAGTTTCATGTGTTTATCATTGATACATATTTGATTATCTCTAAAGCAGATCAAGACAAACTGTACATTTCTGAACTTGAAATCCGATGCTAATCTTGGTGAAATTACAAGTTCAATAGGAAGTTTATTGAAGCACGTCAATTTGAGATGATATTCTAGATACAGTTTTTGAAATTACACCTTCAAGTTTTCCGTGAATTGCAGATAAAAATTTCAAAAGCCTTAACAGACTGACAATTAGTTCAGTTATAAATTCTACGTAGATTTTGAGGTCCGATCGTTGATTTCTGATCATAATAGTACAAACATAGATAATAGTTTGAAAAAAAAAAACCAAACTGATTAGAAAGCTTTTCTCGCTTTAGCTTTTAAAAAATTAAGCATATATTTAAGCAGTTCAGGCTGATCATAGGAGCACAAACGTCTTAATATGAAACAATGGCATGTTATAGAGAATTTTCTTAGAAAATCAGTATAATAGTTAAAGAGTTAAAATTATTCAGCATTAATAAAATGATAAATTGCGCTCTTTCAGCGGTACCCTGGTGAACACCATCGGCTTCGAGTGGATGCTGGTCGGAATGGCGGTGATTTGCTTCGCGTACGCGCCCCTGCTCACATTCCTACGGGCGCCGCCGACTCGCGAGGAGAAGAAGGTAGGCATCGACAATCCCGGCGTCGTGCCGGACGGCGGCACGGTCGGTGGAACGGACGGCATTGTGGTGATGGTCAGTGGCGCCACTGCGCCCACTGAGAATGCCGTGACCAAACTGTAGACTGCTTTCGCCTCGTTTTTGATGGACTCGAGTCCATTTGTGTTCTTACCACCTTCGCTATCTTCTCCTCCTTCTCCCTTCCCTCATCGTCCATCCCGAAATTCTCCTCATTTGTGCTCAGCAAATGTTGTGTCTTTTTTTTCAATTAATTAGATATATGTTATCGAATTTAGAAGAGTGCCTTCTTGCATCTCTTTTTATGTTATGCAAGAAACTGTGTCAATTGCAAGGAATCAATGTGAAGTGATAGTCCTAGGTAGAGATGAAATGCTATGATCTTTTTTAGAGGAATATTTCATGACAATTGTAATTTGTAATAGTTTTTATCTTGTTAATTTCAATGATTTTCTGTACATATTTTCCACACTTAAATCTCTTAGGATTCATTAATTTGCTAGAAAGTCATGAAATGTTTCTGACAAAAACAACGAGGACACTTTTGAGTGCTGTTTTGGATTACTAGAATTACTTTTTGGCATTTCCCTTTCCCTTTGGAATTTTTTCAAAATTTAGCATTTTTTCAAAATGAAATAGTCCTGAAGAGCACGTCAGAAAACCTCAAGGAATCTCCATCGCTAGTTCTGGGAGATCAATTTGCCTTATGATTACTGTCTGTTATCTTCGATGTTATGTCTTTTACTTTATGTAGCCGTTAAGAAGAGAAGAATTAAAGTGATATAAGATTATTTTCTGTTGTTTTCCTTTCTGTTCTCTTTTGCCTTATGTGTGCTTTTGGTTCAGTTCTTTTTGGAATAGAGAAAGTAAGTGTTTAATGTACATTTTCTCCAAATGCTGCGCAGTTGCTCATCACGGGAGATCGATCGTCTGTTCGGTATGTGACATACCAGGACGAGGATGACGAGGAATAGAGCGCCGTGAATGATTCACCAACAACTCCTCTCAAGACCAACAACAACAATAATCAAAATATATTGACCAAGGATAACGCAAAACAATAAAATATTACTCACTTGTTGAACTCAGCACAGAATAAAGTTAGTGTTTAGGCATTTTTGAGGCCTCGCAATTAGAGGCGTATAAATTTCTTTTCTAGATGAGAAAACAATAAATATTCTCTGTGTGACAATGATAAGTATATTTGAACTCCTAAACCTGGTTAGCGCCTGCCGATTGTACTACGCAAATATGCTAAAAGTTATTAAGTGTAATTGTGAATGTTTTCCTCATGAAACATAATATCCTATAATATTCAAAATATTTAATATTTACTCCCTGCGACTAAGCAAAGTCAATCATTTCGGGGGCAGAAATGCCAATCGAGGGATTTTCTCACAACTTACAAAAGCAAAAAAATAGCCAAGAACATTTTGCAAGCCCAGAAAGACAGTGAAAAAGAGTGGATTGACATTAATTTATCGACTATACTCATTGCTTTCATCTCTCAAATGGCATTTTTATCCCTGAAATGGCGCAATTTGTTGCCATGGACTTTCACCAGAAGCAATAGAGGCGAACTCATGCTTCGGGAGCATGGCAATAAAATTTGCATTCAATTAGAATGGAAAAAAGCACGGAAAAGATCTGGAAACAATCTTGAAGAACATTGTTTGAGAAATATTCTATATATAAAGTATTTATTAAATGTTGATGATAAAATTGTGGAAAAAGAATACCAAAAAAAAAAATTATTGAGGAGCTTAATAGGAAATGCCATTGTATTTTAAATGCTTCCTTCCATGTGTGTAAAAAGGAGGCGACAAAATGAAGAGAATCTGACATTGAATGGGAATTTACGAAGAAAATATGCATTCTTAACATACTTATAAATATACAAAATATATAGGAATTCTACAATTTACTCTCTTAGGATTGATAGACAAATAAAATTTTCTTTTAGACACTTTTGTTGGTACTTTGCATAGGGAAATTGACTGATTTTAAACAGAAGTGGTGGGAATTTGAATGGCTGCAAATTTCCACTGATCTCTCGAGTTGGGAAAAAAGTGTTGAACGCCGAGAGATTTTCTGTGTAAGATTACCCAATTTTATGATTGACGAGGAGTTCTTTTTGAAGCAAGATTGATCAAGAGTCGATTGACTTCTTCAAAGGCCATCTAAAATACATATTTCACACTCAAATCTAAATGAATTTAGTGTTAAAGTGTTAGAGTAAAAGTCAAAAATGTCGCAATACATATACAAATGTACGGGTTTTTGGTAGTATTACAATATATTATACTTAACAACTCTATATATTTTACAAAAAAAAGATATTTATCAAAGAGGAAAGAAATCAATGTCTAAATCTCTAAAATGAATAATATTCTTGTGCTTGAATGATGAATAACAAATAATCAAATAGATGATAATATGAATTTTACCCTTTTTGTGAGCGAACTTTTTGGAAGGACAAGTCAAGGTGAAGAATAGTGGAAGAAGGTCACAAAGCAAAACCCCCAGAACTTAATGTTGTACTGATTAGAGACCAAAAAAAAAAGAATATTATACCAAAGATATTGCTTAACATTTTGCCAATAGTATCGCATTATAGCTTTAAATTGTGTGTACTTATTGTAGGATCAAGACCAAGAAAAAAAAAACTTTTAACGGCAACAATAAATTAACCAATAAATGTTTTGAGATTTGTAACTTTTAACTATGACTAAGTGTAGAACCAAGAAACCATTGTAAGATATGATGAAAAGGAAAATGACATGTATTTATAGTAATAATGAAAAATATGTATACTTATGATATTTGCTGAGAAGAAATCGTTCCCAAGATGAAAGGCGGTGTGAAGATAAGACATCGATTTAAAGTGTTACTCAAAAAATACAATAATTACACATCTTAGCACATTATTTCTCATATATAATTTCCCTGAAATATTCATTGAGAATTGCTGACTCAATCAAAAGAATTTGCGCTGTACAGAGGATCAAAAAGAATATTAAAAAAAAAAACCAGAATAAGCATTGCAGCTGAGGAAGATTGTACATTTTGTAGGACGGAATGCGGTCCGAGGGACCAAAAAAGAGAGCAAACGTAAAAAATAGATGTTGCATCTAATTTCTGTGAACATCTTATTTCCTTGTTTGTTTCTGTCAAGAAAGGATTTTGGGACACTTCGTTCCGTCTTTATTGTGAACTAGACAATACAATTTTAATCACAAAACTAAAAACACTTTTCAGTCATAAACATGCATAACCTTATATTCTATACACTTTTGATGAAGAGAAAAAAGCATCATAAGATATTCGAGAAGAGGCGAGAAGTTGATATTAGAGGCATTATATACGTAAGATAGTCCATGTAGTGTTTATTGCTCTCTTCTTGATAGGCTGGTTCGGGGTCAAATAATGAACTTATATTAGGATGCTTGAAGTATTTTGCATTTATAGAACAAATAATTACAATAACTTGTTGAAGAAGTAGCGATGCTAGGATAATTCCAGTGTAGACTCTTAAATTCCACGTCAGTGTTGAAAAGCTTAATGAAGCAGAAAAAAAATCAGTAGTTCTTGTCTAAATGGAAAACTTACCACTATATATTTGCATAACTGTTAAGTATGACTAAAATAAAAATCTTATGATTGAAGAGGAAATGAAACTTCTTACAAATCTTGACAAATTCAGTGTTTTCTGTGACAAAAATCTAACGTTTATAATATTCTATGATAGCAAACAATGTGAAAGTATTCATATATTGTAATAGCAATGTGTATGTACAATTTTAAAGAGGAGCACAAATAAAGTTGTTGGTGAAAACGTAGAAAAAGCATCTTTCATTCTGCCAATAATCTCTTGATAAGCCACATTACCAAGAGTATCCTCTAAAATTAAGAGACAATTTTTAATACAAATTGGTGTTACTTTTATCGCTTTTATCATACACATTTAGTTTGAAGAACCTCGTCAAACTTCACTCGATTGGAAGTGGGGGAGCAATGTGTTAAATGCAACTGAGCCAAACAATACAATTTCTTTAGAATATGTTCAATATTGTATCAATGTACACATTTTCAATTTTTATTATATATGGATAAGTAAACGGATGTACAGAAAGTACAGAAATAATTAGAAAGTAACGGGTCTCCTTCCCCTTTATTTCGACGAGAATCGAAAGTCTCTCGACCAGTGTCGGCATGGCAGAGCTGATCAGCTGTCAGGTGGCGTGAAAGAAAAACATCGGGAAATTCTTGCTGTGTGTGCGGAAAATCGTGATTTAAAGGTGGAAACGCGGCATTTTCCCCAATGATCATGACGACGTCGCGTTTGGCGCGAGCTGGGCGCAGCCGATTCTTCATTGGCATCGGAATTCTGCTTCTCATGGTTGGCTTTGTGGCAATTTTCCACAGTTCGCAGCAGCAACTCGATGAGCTCCGCCAAATGGGGCGCCGCTGTGAGCAGCAGCACGAGGCGATCTCCTCGCAGCTTCAGAGTGAGTTCCTGGGTGGGATCTCGAGGGGAGATTCATAGTGCTAATGAGGGACTTTTGCAGCTGAGGTGGAGAAGAACTTTCGCCTGGAGAAGTCTCTGGAGGGGGAGCGTCTAAGCCACCAGCAGAATCGTGTGGAGCTGCAGCAGAAGGCACGCGAGGAGAAGGAGATCCGGGAGAAGAGCACTAAGGAGTCGAATTCACGTCTGGCTTCGCTGCAGCAGCACTACAAACTGCTTCAGAGTCAGCACGACGACTTGCAGGAATCCTGCTCGAAGTCCCACCAGAAGCAACTGGAGGAGATCAACGGGTTGCAGCGGAAGCTGGAGAATCTGCGACAGGGTGAGAAGCAGAAGGACAAGGAGATTGAGCACTGGAAGGTGAGAGATTGTGATGCGTGGCAATGGCGAAAGACTGATTCGCGCTGTTCTTTCAGGTGAAGTACAAAGCGCTGGAGATTGAGAAGATCAATCTCGAGGGCGCCTTCAAGGCCAAGGGAGGCTCCCTGAGTGACTCTCTGAAGGTGGCGCATCTGGAGAGGGTGGTCGAGCAGTTTGAGGCGCACTGCGCCTTCCGTCCCGACACGCTCGAGCACCACGTAAGCAATTCGCCATCCTCCGGAAGGGTGCACCCAGACAACGAAAAGAATTTCAATGCTCAGCTGACCGTGAGTGAAGATTTATATAAGATCCCCATCAAGATTAACCGCATGACGACTGGTGCTGGGCCCGAGGGCGAGCGGATGGCCATAGCTAACTCCCACAACACCTTTCAGATGATACCTCGGCCAAATGACAAAGGTATCAATAGCGCTAATGTCCTGCAGGAGCCGCCGTCCGCCCAGGTGGCTGTGAAGAGCAGCACAGCCACGCTGGACAGGCGCCAGTCGCCGCTGTCCCAGGGCAACGCCCTGCCCATCGCCGTGATTCCCACTGTGCTGTCCAGCACGAAAAAGACACCCGACGTGCTGCACAAGACGAAGTCGCGTGCAGTGCCACAGGGCGTCGTGCCGGTGCCGGAGAGCATGAAGGAGCTGCTGAAGGAGGAGGAGACACAGAACGCGGAGATGTCGCCCAGATCTCCCGATCGCTACTCCAATGCCATGGTGGACTCCGTGCAGCAGGCGCCGAAGAAGGAGGACACTCGCCCGGAGGGCGAGGCGAACTTCCAGAACGTGAACGAGGTGGACAACGGCGCCCACGAGGTGGATGACTTCAACATTGTGGAGGACAAGAACCATCGTGATCACTTGCAAGACGTGCTGGACGACGAGAAGTTGAACGTGAATGCCAACAATGCCGCTGAGGAGGACACAAATCTCTATGACACGAACAAGATTCCGCTGAATCGCCAGAAGCCCAACGATGACATCGATCTGGAGATCATCAACCGGCGGAATCCGCACTTGGAGGCCAACGGGGAGAAGCACAAGTACGCGAATGACAAGCTGATGAATGAGGAGGTGGCAGCCGACCAGGGCTTCGATCTGGCGGCCGAGGAGCAGGTTGAGGAGGGCGATGATGATGAGTACTCCAACCTGGCGGCGCTGCACCAGCAGGGACAGGTTGTGCGGAATTGAACTCTCTAGCGCCCACCAAACGCAGCCCTTCTCACTTCCATCCCTCCTCACCACTGGCGGCATTTATACATTAAGAAAAAAGCGTCGCGCATAGAAATGATCGACCTTCTCACTCACATTAATAGTATTTTCAGAGACTGTAGGTTCTTTTCCCACTCAAACAACGGTGCATTTACAGTGGGTAGCAAAATAGTTTCCAATGCCAATCAGAAGAGCCCAAAATTCCCCAGGAAGAATTAATAATTCTGGCGCCGCAAAGCCCAAATTAAACAGCTTTGGAAGGTTTTCGAGTAAAACACGAAGTTTTGTCCAATTTACAATATTTTTTTTTCGGCAAAAATATGTCGCTAAACTCATTGCGAGAGTGTAAATAATGGGACTATTTTGCTACCGAATGTACAATGCCATTTGTGGCCACATAAACTACCCGAATTAACTATACAAATGGGTCTAAGCAGTAGGAAATAATGTATCGTAGGAAGTTTGCAGTTCAATTCGAATTTCATTGTATATCTTTTGATATTATAGTTGAGTGAAAGATATGTTTTATAGGCACAGGGATAAGTTAAGTGCGAATTTGGGACACTCTTCATTTCTTTTCTGACATTTTACACTGAATCCTTTGAAGCACACGATTAAGGTTGAAACATTCAAGATAAATCCAGTGATTGAGTTTACTTGTGACAAACATATCGAGCAAAACGTCGTAAGCCTGATTTTTCGTTCTTTATTTCACTATCTCAAAAATCCTCAATGGTTGATTGTAGTTTTTTTTTTTTATTAAGGAAAAGTGAAACTCCCGTCCCACACATTCTTCAGGAGAATAAACTTTGGGAAAGGATTGTAATTTTTAATTGTGATATGAGCTTATATTCAATCAAGTGGCAAATTTTATTTAACGAGAAATTAAGCATAATTTCAGAGAAAATACATTATAAGGTCAACTTACGTTTTAATATAATTTTGTACAAACTCCTCAGCCATGCTCTTTACTTTTGCCACGCTCTGTTCGTCGCCGTGCTTCTCCTCCAGCTCTTGGTACTTCTTAAACAGCGTGCGCATTTTCTTCAGCGGCAACTTTTGCAGCACAGCTCGCTCCAGCACTTGTCTGGCCAAATCCAGGCGATCGTCCTTCACCAGCATATCCACGTACATCGACCAGACGTCCACGCGCTTCGGGTAGGACGTGACGATCTGCTCGAGCAATGCGTGCGCAGTTTCCTTCTCCCCGAATCTGTTGTGCAGCTTGGCGAAGCTACTGATGATGCTGATGTGATCCCTCTGCGGCAAGACAGAGATCGCCCTGTGCATCAGCTGCTTCGCCTCGTGCGCGAGCCCAACAGTGAAGAACGCCGCGGCGACTTTCGGCCACATTTCTGGATTTGTCTTAAACTTCTTCATTGCCATTGACGCCTTGGCGCGCAACTCTTCGAGCCGTCGGACATCGGCCAGCATCTCAATGGTCCTCATTGTGATCTTGAACTGATCATTGACCTCCAGAGACTCCCTGAGCACCGCGTCGAAAGAGTCTTGAGTGCCAAAGCGCAACTCCAGGTTCAAAAGCGCCACCCACACGTTGACCAGATCGTCCTGCTCACGGTACGTGATGCTCTGGATGGCTCTCCTGGCCACTGCTCGCGCTTTCTCCACCTCTGTAGCCTGCAGATAATGGACCATGTACTTGATCCAGATGAGACTGTTGTTGGGCGTCATCAGAACCAAACGCTCGAAGTCATCAACACTCTGCGGATCGCTAATCCCATCCGCAAGGCTCTCTTCCCGATCACGGATTCTCGCTTCCTCTGCTTTTGCGTGCTCCAGACGCTCTCGTGCGGTCAGTTTCTTCTTCTTTGCCGGTGTCTCAGAGTCTGAGGCGTCTGATTCTGCCTCGCTGGCGTCTTTGGCTACGCTGGGCAACAAGGAGAAGTCTGCGCCCCAGAAATTCGACAGCAAGTTTGCCTGAGGGACACTTTCTTTAACAGGAGTTTCTTCCAGCTTCGCCTTCTTCTGTGGCATCTCTTCCAAATCAGACTCCGTGAGGGAGTCTTGCCGCCTTTTGCCACCACCTTCTGTTCCAGCGACTTTGCGACACTCCTCAAAGATATCCCTGAATATCGCAATCACTCTCTCACCCTTGTCATTCAAGAGGATCACCTCACACTCGCCATTCCTGCCAGCGCACAGAGGTCGGAAGTCGTTGTAGTGCAGCTTCAGCGGCACATACACCACATGATTGGACTCCAGCAGCACCAGGAAGAAGTGCTGCGTCTTCAGCACTATCTCTCCCTTCTGCTTGATGTGACTGAATGGCGGATGATCCTTATTCTTCCTCATCTCCATGTGATTCGTCTTGTTGCTGAGATAAATTACACCTTCAGGCGCCACCCAGAGAACAACACACTTCAGCTCATCGCCCACATTTGCCTCAGCTTCTACAAGATTCCTGGGAATCACTCCCACACTGCCCTCAATCTTCACACTCACACTTTCTTCACTGACTTCCTCAACCTTTGCCATCACAATATCACTCGTCTTGTACTCAGGCTTCACTCTCGCGTGAATTCTGTCCACATCTCTGAAGTAAGTGGTCAACATCTTGGCGGAAACATAGACATTTCCACTCCACACTTGACTCAAGAGCGCCGAACAGCTCACAATCTGCGTCTTCATGTCTTTGTTGAGCACTTTCACGTAGATTATCTGTTCGAGATGGAAGAGATCCTGTTCATCGCCCTCCTGGAAGTTCTTCAGCACCATCGGATAGAAGATCTTCACAGTTTTCGTTGTATCTTTCAGTGGCAAATGCACTTCCAGGCAGTCATCATTGATACTCTTGACGAACGCTCTGACGATCATGCCAGCCATTAGAGACTTCCACGAGGACATCCTGCTCTTGTGGAAGTGCTCCACATCCCTCAAACTGTAAATATCATCAGAAACTCGCACGATTTGCACCTCCGCAGACTCGAGAGTGGCTGATAAGAGCTGAGAAATTTCTGGACTTTCGGAAATGTAGTGATTTGGTATCCAGATATTGGATTTTGTGGCCTTCACTTCGACTTCCACGCCCGACGAGTACGATCCCATGACTTTAGCGTCTAGAGTCTTACCACACTTCAGAGCTTCCTCGCTCGCATCCTTGGTAAAGGCGAGATTGATGAACTTATCATTAACACTGGTGACAGCGACTCGAACAATTTTTCCCGGTTTCATGGATTCGTAGAATGATCGATTAACGAGATCTGGACTCTTTGTCACAGCGCCCAGGATTCTATTAAAGAACTGGACAAGAATCTTCTTCGCCGTGACATCTTGGATCATTCCCACGTACACTTGACCAATGGCGATGTCTTTTCTGTCTTTTAGAATACCTGCGCTCTCCTTGAGGTACTCAAGTCGCGTGGTGACCATCACAGACTTGTACTGCTCGTCCACATACAGAATCCTTCCTCGGATCTTGCTGTCCACCTTCTGTCCGGACATCGCTTTGGACATGTGCGCCTGCTGAACGAATCCGTGCAGCTGTCCCAGGGCAATCTTCATGCCTTTCTTTCCCACTTTCTGTGTGATCTTCACCTGAACAAAGTCTCCCACTTTCGCATCTGCCAGACAAAAGTATTTTTCACGAATCAAATTCTGCTTATCCGTGCAATTGTACACATCATCTACAGCATTGTAATCCATCACTCTCACGATTGAGATCTTCTCCTGCTTATGCTTCAGCTCTAGTTCCTCCTGATCGATATTGGCATTCATTCCCATCTTCATGTGAGTATAAGTGATAAGTCCTTTGGCATGACCAGGAAGATTGAGCAGTATTCCACTTTGACACTTGCCCATAGTCTCCACATTTTCCAAAATACGCCCGAAAGGGATTCTCTTCTCCACATCAACGTAGGAATTGAGGGTCAGATATACAAACTTCGTGAGCGGCATCACGTAGAGGACTTTCGCTTCAATTTCCGATCCAATCTCAAAATCATCAACCACTTTTCCCCTCCCTAAGTGGATCTGGTTTATGTACGCAGTATACGATCCGTCCAAGATCTTCCCCATCAATCCATCCCGCACGGTGTCCAAGACAATGAACTTGACAGTGAGCGTGGGCAGAACGTGATCCAGCAAGTCTTCTTCAGAAGACAAAATCCTCTTCTTTGGACACTCTTTCAACTGCACCGTTGTCACTGATGAGGTCGATTTCACCTTCTGTAGATTGCAATAGACCAGTTCGCCGATTGAGTAGCTCTCCTGGGAAGTCAGAAAGGCCCTCACGTGATTCACCCCGAGATCCATGGTGTATCCATGATCCTCGATGGACTTCACAGCTCCGCACATTATCAGTCCTTCGTGGAGTTTTGTGTGGTGCAGTTCACTGTGGAGATCTCTTGGGTTCAGAGACAGCTCAAACTTCTTGTTGTCCTTTGCCTCACTCTTATCTATATTGACCACTTTCACGTACACTTCCTGACCAGGCTTGAACATCTCTGACAGTGCCTTGCATGCCTGCAAAGAGACGACATTTCAATATAATCTCCAAACGCTTTTGGGATGCTCGAACTCACCTGATCTTCTCCCTTGACCATCTTCTCCAGACAGTTGGAGTAAGGCACGGAAATGGCACTGATCGACACTTTTCCCTGGAGTCTTCCTGGCAGGGAGATAAGCAAGTCCGTCGGAAGAATGCTCTTCACGAAGCCCATCATTAGCATTCCTTCAGCCACTGTTCTTGATGTCACCAATTCCGCCTTCCGGGACTCGAAAGAGTCCTCCTTGGCCACGCCAGTGTCTTCACTCTTCTTGTCGTTCCTCTTCAATTTCTTCTTAGTGAATTTCTTGGTAATCACGCCAAACTGCAAGGATAAAACGCCAGATAATAGTGCGAAAGAAGACACGGAAATCCTAATGTTTACCTGTTGTTTTGATGTGCTATGCTGAGGCTTTTTTCGTCGAATTTCTCCTCCGCGAGGAAACGTTTTCTCCACAAACACCATCTCGTTCTATTGCCTGCAACACTTGTTGTAATATAGCACAAGACTATGAGCTATTTATCCTGAAAACACCAAGATTTTGCAAGGATGTCCTGCAAAACAGCGGCACGTGTGAAGCACGCAACTTTTTGACAGTCGAGATTTTAGTACAGAGATCACAGCGCCGCCTGGTGAGTGGTTAAATGGCGTCGGGATGTCAAAATATTTTCTTTTCTGCACTGCGGTTTTTTCTTTCTAATTTTCACGCGTAATCCCCATAGAACGCGTGATAAGGCGCGTGAAAATAGCTCTCCGACGATCCCTGGATTTCGGGGGTGTTGGTGGATAGTGTGATTTGAGGATGTGAGTGGGGTGAAAGTGCGTAATTGGGCGTGAAAGTGTGTGGGGCGCACCGTAGAAGAAACTTAGAGCACGAAATTTGTCTAGTGAGTCTGGTGTGAAAATCAGTGGAAAAAAGAAATTTGGAGAGCTGTGAAGATGAGTAGCAATCGTGGAAATAGCGGAAGCTTTAATTTCGGTGGCTTCCAGATGAAGAAGCCGCCGGCCAGGAGCACTCAGAGCAAGCAATTCTCCCTGAACGCCGTGCCGCCGCCGAGCTCACTCAATCACAGCGTGAGATCATCTACCTCAGGGGCGTCCGGCTTCGGGGCCGCGGCGAGGGGTGCTCCTGTATCTAAACACGGGTATTCGACAATGGATGCAATCTCGCAGTTTGCGAATACTTCGCAGTACGCTGTGGGGAAGAAACGTGCCAAAACGGAGGATGAGTACTTCGACGATGACGACGAGCCGCCGTTGGCGTACATTCCGGCGCCCAACAGCCCCACACAGGCTGGGGCCGGTGCGCAGGCCGAGGAGGACGAGGACGATGATCCCCTGGACGCTTTCATGGCGGGCATCGAGCAGCAAGTGGAGCGCGAGAGTCGCAAAGTGGCTACAAATGAGGAGGTGCAGTCCAAGAAGGGCATCCGCGGCGACATCGACGATGAGGATGACGAGGAGAGCTACTACCGCTACATGGAGGAGAACCCGATGGCGGGAGTGCTGGACGATGGGTCGGACGCTGAGATGGAGTACGACGAGGACGGGAATCCCATTCCGCCGCCACGCAAGAGAGACATTGATCCCTTGCCATTCATCGACCACAGTGAAATTGACTATGCGCCCTTCGAGAAGAACTTCTACGACGCTCACGAGGAGATCACGGCTCTCTCGGTGGCGCAGGTGGAGAATCTGCGCAAGGCTCTCGGGATCAGAGTCACGGGCCTCGTGCCGCCGCATCCCGTGGCCAGCTTTGCCCACTTCAACTTCGACGAGAACCTGATGAAGGCCATCCGCAAGGCGGACTACACGCAGCCCACACCGATCCAGGCGCAGGCTATTCCGGCGGCCCTCGGGGGACGCGATCTGATCGGCATTGCGAAGACGGGCAGCGGCAAGACGGCCGCCTTCATCTGGCCCATGCTGGTGCACATAATGGATCAGAAGGAGCTGCAACCGGGCGATGGGCCCATCGGGCTCATCCTGGCGCCCACGCGAGAACTCTCGCTGCAAATCTACAATGAGGCCAAGCGCTTCGGGAAGGTGTACAACATCTTCGTGGTGTGCTGCTACGGAGGCGGGTCAAAGTGGGAGCAGAGCAAGGCGCTCGAGAAAGGTGCGGAGATTGTGGTGGCCACACCGGGTAGAATGATCGATATGGTGAAGATCAAGGCCACAAATCTCAGGAGAGTGTCATTCTTGGTGCTCGATGAGGCAGACAAGATGTTCAATATGGGATTTGGTGAGTTTTATCCTGTAATTCCGTCTCTTGGCAGTGACTTATTGTTCCTCTTGTAGAACCTCAGGTGCGCTCAATCTGCAACCACGTGCGTCCTGATCGGCAGACGCTCCTGTTCAGCGCCACCTTCAAGAAGCGCATCGAGAAGCTGGCTCGCGACGTTCTCACGGATCCGGTGCGAATTGTGCAGGGTGATTTGGGTGAAGCGAATGAGGATATTACGCAGCACATGCTTGTGTTCAGCAATCCGCAGCACAAGTGGAACTGGCTGTTGGCGAAGCTGGTGCAATTTCTCTCCGAAGGCAGCGTGCTGATCTTCGTGACGAAGAAGGCGGACGCCGAGCAGGTGGCCAATAATCTGCAACTGAAGGAGTACGATCCTGTGCTGTTGCACGGCGACATGGACCAGGCGGACAGGAACCGCGTGATTATGCAGTTCAAGAAGCGCGAAGTGGACATCATGGTGGCGACGGATGTGGCTGCCCGCGGTCTGGATATTCCGCACATCAAGACTGTGGTGAATTACGATATTGCCCGCGATATTGATACGCACACGCATAGGATTGGGCGCACGGGGCGCGCTGGCGAGAAGGGCACGGCATACACGCTGGTGACGGACAAGGACAAGGAGTTCGCGGGGCATTTGGTGAGGAATCTGGAGGGCGCGAATCAGGAGGTCCCCAAGGATCTCCTCAATCTGGCCATGCAGAGCTCGTGGTTCAGGAAGTCGCGCTTCAAGAGTGGCAAAGCGAAGGCGGTGAATGTCGGTGGCGCCGGCTTAGGCTATCGCGAGCGCCCCAGCAGCAGTGGAGACTCATCGGCTGCACCGGCGAACAACCATGGCGCCATGAAGGCATCCAAAGGACCGGCCACAGATCGTCTGACGGCCATGAGAGAGACTTTCCGCAATCAGTACAATTCCCAAGTAAGGATATTTTTCACGAGGGTATTTTAAAGTGTCTTAATAACATTGTCTTTCATTTGCAGTTCAAAGCATCGTCAGATCGCACATGGGAGAAGACACTCCCGCCCCAGGGCGTTTTCGTGGCGCCAGGAGGCGGTCCAGCATCCTCTCCAGCGGAGCCCGCGGCGCCCAAGAAGGCGAAGAAGAGCCGCTGGAATTAAGCACCCTTTTGTCATGCCACATTTTCTCCATAATAATGCAATTGCTTGTCAACTGTATTTGTGTAAGAGGACTTTTAGTGAGTGAATAAATTGGGAATAAGCCCTGAAACTATTGAAAATTATCGGGAAATTTTCCTCCTAGTTCGCCTCTGCACGGAATACTCACCACTTAGGGGCGAAAATACACGTAACCTCACTTTTGGTGAGTTTTGCGCCATTGCGTTTTGACAGCCAGTGAGAGGCTTCGCGTGCAGATCATGGATCAGAAGCATAAAAGTATCGAAGTTGGCGAGGAAAACGTGAAAATGGAGAAAAGGGAGGATAAAGTGATGGGGGAGGAATCGTTTTTCGCATTTGGAAAGGGCGATGAGCGGATTAATGAGGCGCTTAAGGAGTTAATGCGGGTGGAAGACAGGAAAAAGCACAAGGCGTCGGTTCTTGAGGTGAGTTTTCTCGGTTTTCTCGCATTGATAAAGGCGTCCGCTGAGGCTCTTGTCCCTCCCCATTACAGGCTCTCCGAATTGCGAATGCTTGCCTAGGATCGGACTGCGATATGCAGTTGTTGCTCAATGATGCTGGGATGAAATTCTGTCTTATCTATCTGGCGCCTATGCTGATCGACGAGGACGAAGTGGTGTCGGAAAATGCCGTGAATATCTTGCTGAAGCTCCTGCCTTTTATTACCAGAGAAAATGTCACTCCTGTGCTGATGTTGGCATCGAAGTCCACGTCGAAGAAGTGAGTATTTGTGTGCCAAATGCTTGAAATATGCTCATTTGCTGACTTGCAGGATCGCGTCAGGCTTGATCGCAATGCGAGACCGTGAGATTTCCAGATGGCATGAGATTTGGTGTGTTTGGCTGAAGTTGCTGATGAAGTTCACTCATCCGAGAGATCTGTCATCGGTCAACGGCATCCTGAAGGTTGTGGAGGGAGGCTTTAAGCACACAAATATCGACATCAGAGCAGAGTCTTTTGTTTGCTGGAAGGTGAAGAGAATGCTTTGATTTCCCGGCGAGGAAAGCGTTCTAATTGACTGTCTTTCTAGACCTTCCTGGAGATCTTGGTGGCGGAGAATGAGTTGACAGAGAACAGGATAGGAAATATGGCGATCCCGTTGTACTACACCACGAATTTCAACAGCCGCTTTGCAGAGGCGAAATTCTCGACTTGGTGGTTCTTGCTGTGCAACTCGAAAGGCTTGATTGACAGCAAGAGCACCATTGTTGTGACTCCCTTCCTGCAGTTCTGCTTTGAACCGTACACGACCGGAATGGAGGGTCGCAATGTGACAGATCTTGTGACACTGTCGCCTGGCAAGCAGGTGAAAAGCTTGCGGGAAAAGGTCATCTGTGCCCTCGTGTACCTCTTGGGCTCAGCAACAGAAGCCACAAAGGCGCTCCACAATAGATGTGCCCTCGAATGCAGCGAGGAGAGGATAATCAACTTCGCCATCTACTCGGAAATTGAGACTGAAGTGATCCTGAGTTGCCAGGAAGCGACACTGATGCTGATAGAGCTGACAGGAGTCGACACGATTGGAATCTCACAAAATATCTGGGATAATCTCTCAGACTTCCTCAACAGATACAACGAGGACGTAGGGTGTCTGAAGACGATTCTCGACGTCCTAGAAGTGCTAAGGATTCAATGTGAGAAGGATCCGAGGGCGATTCCTCACTTTCAGATTGTCATGAAGATTCTGTTGGGCTTGGAAAAAGGAAAGAAAAGCTACCAGAATGAGAAAATGATGAAAATGTTGGAGATCAGCCAACAAATCATCAATCTGCTTCTCAATACCACGCCGGAGATCATAACAAGCGATAAAGCGGAAAAAATATCGGTATTCATGTTGAAATTTCTTCAGAAATCATGCATTTATGACGCGATAATGGGCATTATGAAGGAGTTAATGGGAAAAATTGATGTGAGTAGCATCAATAATCACGCATCCCTTAAAATAGTGCTGCGAGATTACGTGGCTCTCGTAAAAAAGTATGCCCGTGGTTCGACAGGAACAAAGAAGAAGACAACAATCTTAAAGACTGCGTGTGAGCATCTGCTCAAATGGTGTGTACACAATTATGAGTTGTACAAGAACACTGACCAATTTATTGAGCATTGGAAGCTTTTATGTGCAGAGATGGAACCGTTGGGAATGGATAAACTTCACAGTGTCTTCTCAAAGAATTTTGATCCGCCGCCAGAAGGGTTCAGGCCAATTTTCATGTCTTTCTTCCCTAGTTCGATTAGAGGAGATAAAGATATGTCAATGGAGAAAGACGGAGATGACTCTTTCGTGGAGATTCCGTCCAAGAGTGTGCCAATGGTGACATTCAAGACCAACTTGCTGACGGAGACGCAGAAGGAGAAATTGAGGACGCGGGCTGATGACATTCCGGCTCTCTATAATGATTTGACGCAATCATTGGACACGATGCCAGTGTCTGAGACGTCTCAGTCGAAGCAGGATGATTCCAGTTCCTCAATTGAGCGCGCACAGAAGAGAAAGATGAGGGAGCTTGACCGACTGAAGACGGACACTGTTGAGGGACAGAATGTGATTGTCGGCGAGAGATCAACGCGTAGAAAGAGCAGTAATAATCCAGAGCAAAATTCAAAACCTGCAGAGGAGCCGAAGATGAAGCGTCGTTCGAGCACTTCGAATGCATCGGACACGAAGCCTCCTGATGATGTGCAAAAGAAGAAGTTGAGAAGGAATTCCATGTGTCAAGAGAAGCCAAGAGTGACGGAGAAGAGGCGTGACTCGCTTAATACATCACAATCTCTGCTGAAGAAGCGAAAACCATCGACAGATCACAATTATCACATTCTGCTGGAAAACAATGCATCGCTGGAGAAAAAGAGCGAGTCTTCACCGCAAACACCGAAGAAGAAGGATACATTGAACTATCAGCTGATGAAGGATATGATGAAAAATGTCAGGGATGAGTTCAAAGGATACTCACAAGGTGGGGAAGACATTTCAAAAGGTCAGAGCCTTCAGAGCAACGAGGATGTGACGCACATTCCAAACCGTGGCGAAACAACACCCAAAAAGATCTCTCCGACGCTGAAAGTCAGGGCATTTGCTCACGAGAGACGTATGAGCACGACTGAGACACAAGATCTCTTCCCAGAAACGCCAGAACCACCCAAGGAGCAGAAATCTCCAGAAAAATCTCCGAAGAAATCTTCAACTGAGCCGATTGAGACAGTGACTGATGACACTTTAGTGCAGACACAGGAAGAAAATCTTAGTGAGACGCCAAATGCACTGCCCGAATCGCTGGATGTTGAGTGTGTTTCTCAGCCTTGTGAGGCAACGCTGAATTCTGAGAGAAGCCCACCGAATCCTCTGACAAAAATCCTGATCAGAGTGCAGTCAAACAAGCGATCACACAAGTCGGGTTTCGTGGATAAGCCCGTGTACAGGATCAAGGAAACCCATCAGCCAGATTTGGCCACAACTGCAATGGTGCACAGCTCTCCAAAATTCACATCAAGAGCGGCTCAGATGCTCTCCATGACTTCATCATCGCCCAGTTCGTCGAAGCAACAAGAGGCGGTGGTGCAAAACACGCCTGTGAAGGGAAATGAAGTGCTCTTCCGCTTCTCATCGCCTTGTCCGCCGGCCAATGCGACTCCGAAGCTCAGCATCCTCAAGAGAAAGCGAGAGATGAACTTGAATGAGTCCGTGGAGAAGCTGGCTAAACCGACAAAGGTGAGTTACTTGCTTCATATTATATTTGCAGAGTCCTTAAATTTCCCGTGTTGCAGAAGAGGCGAATCAGCTTCCACGATCCGCCAGTGACGAAGACGAAAGAATACATCTTGGACGACTTCGAGAGGGCGAGCAAGAAGCAGAACGACAAGGCGGTCGACAATGAGCAGAGGAGGAATTTGCTGAAAGATTCACCGCCGAAGTGTGCGGAGAATGGTGAGAATGACAGTGATTGGGAAGATCTGGAGGATGTGACTGAGGAGATTGAGCACCCGGTGGTGTTCAAGAGGTCTATGCGCTTGAAGGAGCGCCGAAAGACGGTTTCTAAGAGTCGCAAGGTGCAGAGGAGTGCTGAAAAGCCGCCGAGTGAGATGAATGGTCATGCAGTGACGCCGGTTGTGAGTACAGAAGTGGAGCTGAAGAAGGTCTTCAACACAGACGATGAGGTGATGAAATATGTTTGGGAGCACTTGGAGAACAGGATCATCGATGAGGTTGAGACGAGAAGTGAGGCGGTGAAAAGTAAGCTTTTCACCAAACTTCTCAGCGATAAGACGATGATAGAGAAGATGGGATCGATAAAGTTGATGGATTTTGCTCAGATCTTTGCAAATACTATGAAGAATTGTACGTAAGGTATTTGATTTGGAAACAAAAAGGACACAAAATACTTAACAAAATTTGTAGATAAATCAAATTTCCGAGGAAGCAATGTAAATTTCTCATTTTGTATTTCTTGATCTGCAAACTTATAAATATAAATTACATATATTCACACTTTTATCCTGTCTTCATCAAAGTCCAAAGTATAAAAAAAACATCATAATTTTGCCGCCTTTCGAATAGCAAATCTCCTTACTTGCAAAGACTGCACATTTATACATTGTAATACTTAGATCGTAATTGTAACGCTAACTTACAATACCTAGGGCAAAAAATATAATTAGAATTGTAAAAAGTCTACACCATGAATTTGATGACTATTCATTTTATACAATACAACATTTCCCCGCAACGATAAAAGAAATTAATAGTGAGAAAGAGATTAAATACTCATTTCTCGCATGAGCAACATAAATAACCCCCGAATTTGCTGATTATCTTTCCATCTTTTGTGTGATAACTTTGTCATGATTATACTGTTAAATATCCATCTACTTCCCATCTAAAGCTACAGGTCTAAGTGGAGGAGGAGAGGCGCTAGAGAGGGTGTTTGTCGTGAGGAATCTGGAGGGACATTGTCGCGCGAGGCTGAGGATCGCGCCGTCAGGGAAATCGCATGTCGCCCATGTGGCGTAAACTGTGCTGCGAGTTGCTCCTCTGCGGCTGCCTGGAGTAGTACAGGTTGTGTTGTGACGTGGATCTGTTGAGGTTCTGCTTGTAGATGCCCTCGGGCGGCGAGTATCGTCTGGGGCGTCGCTCCTCATTCGTGCGCCTCTTCGTCTCGTCCGAGTAGCGGCGTCTCTGCGTGTCGGGCTCGTAGAAGTACCGCAGATCGTCGTGTTCGCCGTACTTTGTCCTGTACTGCGTCGTCCTCTCGTCAGAGTTGCGCCTGTACGTGGCCTCATTGCGCCTCTGCGTGAGGTAGGAGTCGTCGTAGAAGCGCCTCCCCGTCGCCCAGAGGCGCTCGGACTCGTGGCCGTAGATGTCGATGATGGGCGGCTGGAATTGACTGGGTGATGACCCGTTGGCCGCCACGTTGTGCCAGGATCTTCGCCACCCTTCCTCATAGCGTCTCCTCGTGTTCTCGTCTTCGATGGCCTGGCGCCGCTGAGATTTGCTACTGCTGCTCTCGCTGGAATCCTCACCAGAAGTGCCAATGCCCAAATCCTTGTCGTCTCCGTAGGCTTTGTAGGGCGCGCCCAGGAAGTTCTTGCTGCCGAAGGGACCAGTGAGCGCGAGCTGCGGATGAGGAATGCAGTAAGGATGTGGGTAGGATTTCTCCACCGCGGACAGCTTCATCTCCTTCTCCGTTGACTTGGAGGCGCAGCAGGAGCCGGGCCCGAAGAGTGACAGCAGCACTGGGAGCAGGAAGAGGCCGTGCATGGCACCGAAGAATATCACCAGGAAGACCATCTTGAAGAAGACGAGGAAGATGTAGCTGTCGGCGAGCAGCAGAGCCACTACGCCCAGGATCGTGCTGAAGGAGCCCTGACAAATGGGTAATCCCAGCGAATAGAGAGCCTCACGCACGCGATCGTCCGGGTTCTTCGCTTTGGACGACATGTATGTGTAGCAAATGTGTGCGGTGAAGTCCACCGAGAAGCCGATGCACATGATGAGATTTATCATGGAGATGCTGTCCAGATTCACATCCCACAGTGACATGTAACCAGCCACGCCGAGTTCGATGGACACAATGCTGAATGCCACCCAGAGAGAGCACAGGAAGTTGGGGATGAAGATGAAGCTGATCAGCATCATGATCATGGCGCCGATGACCATGCTCTGGATGGACGTGGGACGCACCAGTTCGAATTGGTCGAAGAACACGAAGTAGGGATGAAAGACGGTGGCGTTCAGCGGAGAGTTCTTGCAAATCTGTCGCAGATCCTTCACCATCTGCTTCTCGTGATTCGTGTCGCTGATGTTCACAGCCTGGATGAGGAATCGCGAGGCAAGGATCTTCGTTTCGTCCTCGTTGAATTTCACGTCCAGTGAGAAGGGATTTCCCGGAAAGAGCCACAATTCTTTGAGCGTGTCTATGAAGCTTTGCTCATTGTCTATCGTGACATTGAGATAGTCCCCGTTCCGTTCGATGTAGGACAGGAAGGATCGGATCCAGGACTCGGTGTAAAGGGACGTTGTCACGTAAGACGTATTCTCCAGGCTCTGTGTCAGGGTTTCGATTTGATTCTGCACCACTGGGTCGGAATAGTTGAGTTCCCCAGCAATGATCACCTGGAAGAAATTGAAATGTTAGCCAATGACCACAAAGAAGGGGAGATTGGGACTCACTTGGATCCTGTAGGGAAATTCGCGGTAGAAGTCATCTTCACGATCGAAGAATTCCACTGAATAGGAGTCTGCCTTTGAGAGTTTCCTCCTCTCCAGGCCCTCCTTGATTTTCGTGAGGCCGAAGCAGGCGCCAAGGAGATAGGCGCCGAAGACGAGGATCACAAAGGCCTTCACCCAGCCCATGTTGAGCAGTGTGGCGACGTGGTTCTTGAAGAACGCCATCAGCATGTGCTCGCGATTGTCCAGCGGATTGTCGGGATCTTCGCGGTTGATGCCGCCCGTGAACAGGGTTCTGTACAGCCATGACCGCTTCTCTGCGGAGGAAGAAAGTGATCTTTAGTGGATTGGGATCGAGAGTTCAATGATCAAAGTGTCACTTGATCATTTCGCATGCACGCTGTGGAATATTTATCCACGATTTTCTTCCATCTCCCGCGGATGAGATGAAATGAGTGCCTCGTTGAATTTAATTTAGCGAATTCACACGTCGATCATTCCAGAAAGATTCTCATAGAGGGGAATCTCTGGCTCTCTTGAGGCACTTGATGAGATTGTCCACCTCCGAATACACACCGAGCGGGTCTCCTCACTGTGACTGCTGAGGGCATGCATGCTGTACAAGTTTCGGGACTTGCTTCAGAGTGTACGTCTGTGAATCAGGAAATATCCAATTGTGCCTGATTCCGATTAATTCTCTCACTCTCCACCAAGTTTCTAAATTGTATTGTTATAAATATGAGTGTATATATTAATTTTACAAATAACACACATATTTATTACATCAATTTCTCTCCCTCTCATGTCTTCCTCTTCGCGTGTCATGATAATCGCGCCTTCAGTCAACTCCGTGGCGGATGATCTTTGCGCTTAAGGAGTGTGAACTTCATTAGTGTCAATTAACCGCGATCGCCCCTTTTCGCGCTCACTCCAAAGCCAAATCACGGACAGAAATCATGGGAGTTCTAGCGCACGATCAAGAGATTATCGTGCGTTTGGCTAGATTGAATGAAATTATCAAATATAAATAGAAACTCTTTATCATCTTGCTCCCACTCTCAATTGCATAATTTGTAGTCCATGATTATATCCATTCCCTCTTTTACATAACCGACCGGATCTTGTGCCACCAGAAGTCTTGACCACTGTTAAAAACTCAAATAACGCCAGTGCAATTGAAAATGCGACTGTGTGGAGAAATTGGCATTTGAGCGACCGAAAAAAACGCCAATATTACACAAAAGAAGAGGCGAATGTCGAATTGACTTTGGAGGAAGTCACAGTGAATCATTACGAGATATTGATTATGTGATCGATAGCGATCATACGCGATGATGACCATGTTGCAATTTTCTGGACATTCTTTCTTCCCATTCTTTCGTACATATATTAAATGTTTTTTTTTTTATTTCTACCCAATGCGATTCGGTGGAATCTCATGAATTTTTTGTCGTAATCCCAACAATTGTGTCAGAAGTTTTCGCGTGAAAACCTTTACTTGAGGAAATGGACGGTAAAAAGACGATGAAATAATAACCAGTGAACATTACGCGATGTCAATTGGAGAATTTGAGCAATTTTCAGAGTCATCGCGAGTTGTGAGCGATTTTCCTGACTTTCCCACTCATAAACTAAACACTAGACTAATCAATTAGATTATAAGTTTGAGGAAAATTGCCATTTGCGCTTGATTAAGTTGATGGGTGGAAGTTGTAAAGGCTTGTTGTTATTTTTCCATTTCACATAACATTTCTTTGCATACGTGCTGAAGAATTCAAGTAAATTGTAGAGCATAAAAATTTGCCATCCATTCTCATTACTCAACCTTCATTTGGGAAATGAGCAGACGCAATATTTTTTCAACCGTTATTACATAGTTTGTACTGTTGCAAGACTCTATTTATCATTGTGCTCAAAATATCAGTCATTTCTCGAGATTAAGAGAAAATCCACCGCATTTTTTTCTACTCCTTCATTCAACAATAAATTATCATGACAACGCTCGTCGCATTGAAAAGCAATTTTGCAGTTATTTGCAATATTGAGTGAAATGTAGGTTTTCTTTCGACTGCAGTTTCATTTCTCGCGTGAGTTTTCACGATAAAGCACCGAAAGAGTTTGCAATACAAATTGAACAACACTAATATGAACAGCAATTAAGAGTTCATGCTGCTTTATTCTTCTTAAGATGATAGAGATTTTTCCAAAAAACTATTAAAAAAAATAGTTGCATCATTGATATTTTCACCAATATTTTTTGCAAAGAATTCACTTTCAATAGATAGTTGGATTTGAGTGGCTTTAATAGCCATCGCGAGAGGAGCTTTCAAAATGAAAAATAACAAATTATAAGCAAATTGAAGAGGTAAAATTCGGCTGCCAACACTCAATTGAGCTTCAAGTGTTGAAAAGACTCAAAAGACTTGTGCAAAAGGCAATGTTATCGATCTCTTGCGAACATATTGTTTTCTTCTTATATCCAATTTCGGTTCGAAGTGGATTTTTGCGGTGTAGAAAGAGAATTTATCGTGTTGGCGCGCGCAAAAACGGCATCTTTCTCCTCTCCGCGGCGCCAAGCTTAGGAGAGTTAGCGGTGTTTTTACATAAGAGGAGACAGTAGTTGGCAAGAAAATGCAACTTTCCGTTTTAGTGGAGTAGCAAAGTGGATCATTTTCCCCTCTACTGCTGAAAATGTGCATTTGAAAAGTGCCAGTGATCTCTTGTGACACTTTCTGAATGCCCTCAAGTTCTGACCAGAGTGTCAAGATTATCTTGGGAGGTTTGGCTTGTGAAAGGAAACACAGTGCTGTACATAGTGATTATTTGCCACAAAATGCCCAAGTTTAATCGGATAAAGAGTCGCGCCGTTTGTAGAAGGCAAAATTGGTCGAGAAAAAAAATCAGGTGAGTTTAAGCGAGACAAGGTTGACTATATCTTTTGCAATTCAGCGCAAACACATGACTCTGCGTGCGTTCTTTGACCATTAGTAGACCATCACAGTTATTTTATGAAAGTTCACTCCATTGCTGAAGTGCAGAGAGTGCAGAGTACTTGAGCTTTTTTCTCACTCTATCTGTGCACACGTCCAAGGCGAGGAAGAGGCGCAAAAAACTCACCTTTGATTGCCACGGAGACGGGCGAGACTTTGAAGCCCAGAATCGCGTGCAGGTTGCGATGCTCCCTGTAGCCGGACACGGCCATGCATCCGGCGAAGAAGGTGATGTGCCAGAGGTACGTGAAGCACACCGCGAAGCCGCTGTACGTGCAGAAGATTTTCACGGACGGGAATGGCGAGATGATGCCTATCCAGAAGGAGATCATGTCCGTGAACGACGTGATGGTGATGGAGACCGCAGCCTCGGACAGCATTTGCCCCATCCTCTCGGGCACGGAGGCCTTCACCGATGTCCGCCGCCAGGCCGCCAGCATGACAAAGGTGTCGTCAATTCCAATGCCTGTCCAGAGAGAAGACAAAACATCCAGTTCAACAGTAGAAATTGATGTGCTCATTAATTGAGCGATCAATGAATAAATTACTCATCGTTAAACTCTGTCTGCCGTTCACAAAATAATCCGATTTTGTGTTTCAAAAGCGAGAAAACATATTTGAGGCCAATAATCAATTTAATGCCTATACTTTACCGATCTATCACACCATAAAGTGATGCATTATAAATAGTGTGATATCGCCGTTATTCGGATACTCCGATGTCACATTAATTTTAACATGAGCAATTTTCATAGTGTAATTGTTTATCAAAAAGGAACTGCTTTATAGCAAGAGTCACATTAATTGAACAATTATAAGGTTTGAGTTGCTCATTATTATTAAGTTGTCTCTGTCATTTTAATACAAACTCAAAACTGCATGTAAAAGAGCAGTAATATTGCGTGATAAATCAGCTTGATCACACTGTAAATGTGCGAAAGTCTAGGCTTTGTGCTCATTGCTGGATTAAACGAGTGCGTGGCTCGTTAAATGCAAATTATTGAGTCAAAAAAAAATCTAAACGTCGATTTTGTTGAGACACTGAGTCAGTTTATTCACTGTCCTCCTCGATAGGTTCATGAGCGCCTCTACAAGAGAGCAATTCTTGGTGCCAATTACCCATTCGCATCACAATTGATTGCCAAGATTCACACTCATTGTAACTGCGTGAGGTAATAGTTGGAGTCGGATTAATTAATATTCGCGGAATGCAAGCAAAGTGTCCCATTTTTGGTCGGAACGTCCCATTCATCAGTGTTGTCTTCTTTTACAACTTGATGCCTTCTCCGCATTATATTGCACAAATCGATCATAAAGTCTGTGAATGTCACAAGAATGTGAAGACGCAGACAAAGAGTGTTTGAAATCCTTGGGCACACTTTGTACCGTCTAGCTTGAGAAGTGCTTCCAATTCCCAGTGCACTGTTATTACCCATTTCCCTGGCGGTGCGTGAATTTTCCACACCATTTGGCGGACTTTCTTACCCACAGGTGGCATGCAAAAGTGCTGCTGAAGGCTCTCTGTGAGAATCATTTAGATTAATGAGGCGCGAATTATGCAATCACTTTATCACCAGGATGGCGAGTGCATTCGAATGTAGGGCACTTTTCAGTGCAATTTCCAACCACTGTTTTTTCCACTGAATATTGCAAATTCAATTGACCACCGCGAAAGGTGGGGAGGGGGGAGTAAATGCAACTTTGTGGAGATTTGTGTGGTGTAATGGCTGAACTGGCGGGAGGGCAAGAAAGAGTTCAGCACACGTGATGTTAATTGGTGCTGGGATAAAGCCTATCGCCCAATTTTACATCTCAATCACTTTTGAATCGCGCTCATGAGGAAGCGAGTGCCCGCAGATCGCAGAGATGTGTTATGTGAGGCATTTGCTGTGCGGAGAGAATTGAAAGTGAGAGAGTCATTGGGTGAATTCTTCCGTTTGCCATGTTTGTCTTTCATAATTGAGAGATTATCTTTGCGCGCGTTGTGTCTTGTTTTGTTGCTCTTTGGGGGGAGCGCACATGATGAGGTTAAAATGAGTCTGAGTGTTATTCTCTGAAGTCCACTTACCAATCATTAAGAATGGTGCCGCTAAATTGATTCCAATGAACTCAATTCCGAGGTACATGGCTAAGCCAAAAGCTGCCATTGTCGACATCACCGCTGAAATGTTTCCCATCAAGCCCAGCCACGGCTTGGATCGCACACAATCGCCCATCATGCAGGTCAGAACGCTAAGGAAGAGAACGATAATGAAGGGCTCCAGTGAGGGGCGACTGATGGATGCTCACCTGAAAATCGCCATTAGAACGAAGGTGGAACTGAAGTAGGGCACAACAGTTCGTGTGTTCTTCTCCAACTCATGATCGAGTGTCCGTGATGCAAATCGAGCTACTGAAATGTGCTTGAAGACGCCCGTGTCTTGGGCGATTCCCACAGCCTCCAAAAACGCCTCTTCCCATTCAGCGCCTCTGCAATGGAATATCATTTGTATAGGGAAGAAATTTCATGCAATCAATTGCATACAGGCTGACCAAAAACTTCGCTATTACAAAAATTTCCTTGTTAAAGATCAAATATTTAAATGGTGAGTGATTTAGACTTTCATATTAATCAGACAGCTTAAAAAACATGAGCAATCTATTGAATATGCTTGATTGTAAAAAGTGAAAAGTATTTTTTATGAAATCTCTTCTTTCACTGGCGAAGAATATAATTTTTGCAATCTCACTTTTAGTATTGCTTATTTTACCAAACTAATTAGTTATAAGAATTCTACAGTGCGGAAAACTTTCTACACTGCAATATTGAAAAGATCTCTCTATTTGACGATGTAGAGAAAAAGCTGCGATATTATCCTAACTATTCCAATAATGATGGACAGGGAATTTTTGCAATTTTATACCATGCATGACCAAATAGTTTTCACTTTTTTCTGCCAAAATGAACGCAATATCAAAACATTTGATCATCTGTGTTTTGCTGGGGAGAAAAATCATCATCTCTGAAGAAGTGCACGCAACAATTATTTAGTAATTTGTTGAAAAGTGAGAGTTTGAATTTGGATAAAAATCTCTGATGGATTTCTTTGCTTTCTGGGGCTTTTGTGGAGCTCTGCGTAAAGGTCAGGCGCACTCACCTAATATCCTGCCTTTTTGTGTCTGCCGTGACAAAGTAGACGAGTTGTATCGACGGAACGCTGATGATAGTGTTCTCGGCGGAGAGTTTGGTGCCGCCGAAGAAAACAGGAAATGCATGCGCGTCCCACGTGACTGGATTGAACATCACCGGGAAGGTTAAATTTAATTCCCCCGTCTCGATCTGTTTAGCCAAGAGATCAATGAGAATCGAAATGATTTATGCGAGTACGTGACTATCGAACTCACTTCAGTCATAATGTGATCCAAGTTGAGGATGTCATTCGTGAAGCATTCATTCTGCCAACGTGCGCACGCGTCGCGGTACGTGAAGGTCTCGCCGTCGTAGTGCACCGTGGCGTTCTGGATGATGCCATCGAGGATTCTCAGCTCCTGGAACACCTCCCTTCGCAGCATGTTCTCATCCCCGTCCTTCGTCGTCACGATCACGCGCCCAAATCGCCCTGCGATCGAGAGAAAATTGTAAAGTCTAGCGGCTCTGAAAGTCTTGTTAGGGATCAATCTCTGGAACAGAGCATGGAATGTGGGTTAAAGATCTTTGCAGGTGTAAATCCATTCTACGTGATCATCACTCAACGAGATCTCTCCACTGATTGCTCGATGCTATGCTGATCGAGTCACGTGCACTCATTTGATTTCTCTTGTGGTGATCTTCACAAATCAACAAGATGTGTGCGTGATGATATATAACATATGTATATTATAAAGCAAAATGAACAAGACCAAAAATGATTTCGAAAATCCGAGGCATTGATTTTTCTTCTCCTTCAGCGAGATCGACGCGAACCTGTTTCAATTTCGGTCAATGATATTTTAGTGTGCTGCAATTGAGATTGCCTCTAATTTTTTTCACAACTTTTTGTGCTCTCTTAACACTCATTTGTAGTAGTAATCAAAGAATCGAGTGCACCGCAGTGGCAATTATGCTCAAATTGGTCAGAAATATCATCAGCGGACAAGGCTTCCCACAGATCGCCCAAGAGAATTAATGTGCGATGTGTGCGCGAACCAAAAGGTGATCTCAATAAAGTGGATGTGATATAAAATTTACGACAATCACTGTTGGAGGAGAAAAGAAATTTCTCTAAGATGCCGCTGGATGAAATAAGGAAAATGAAAGTAAATTGATGATTTTATGAATTATTACAAAAATATCATTAAGTTTCATTTTCCCCCTGATTTTTTCCATGTCATGTTTCCTCAGCTTGTCCGAATGAAAGCAATTGTTGCTAAAAGCGAAAAGAAATTGACCAATTTTTAGAGGTGGGTGGATATTTTCACTGTCCATCGATGGATTTGTGCGAGACTGTGGTACTTTCGGACACTCTTGGTTAACTTTTGAATCAAAGTGAAGGTTTTACATGTTAACACGGAGATTTTATAAGCAGTGAACGATTCATTTAGTCAAGCTAAGTTTAATGTAAGATTTAAGCTTGACGGAACATTCAGAAAGGATGAAAAGTTGAAGAAAACTCTGGAAGGCTTTTGAGATTCCTTTCGGTATTGACTTAGTTTAAAAATTTCATGGCGCCATAACAGAATGAAAATCAATCTTTCAAGTTTAGCTTTTGAATGCTTCGCTGAAATTTCGTGTCTTAATCACCAGAAAGATTATTGCAAGCGTCATAAATTTTGCACACTAAAGAGTTGAACATTTTTTTGGTAAGAATTTCTCATATCATTTGAAATTGCGCTTAAAATGAGACGATCTGTGGAATGCAAATTGTGGTGCCGCCACTTCCTGCACTGCGACGCAAGAAGCAATATATGGAAGGAGTGATTTCATTAGATGAGCAGCGAGACACCGAAACCCATTTGATTTATGAGGGGTGAATCGCGATATGGAGGTGAAAATTAGCACTTTTCTCGCTGCAATTAATTCTATCCCGCGGGTTTTCCACTCACCTGGTCGTGTTATGCGTCCCACATTGAAGCGATGGGTGTAGTTGACTTTGAAGTACTGCTCCACGATTGCCCTCTCGGATTTGCCCTCCCCGCGAACGGGCGAGAAGAGATACTCTGGATCAATTTCATACTTAATCTGTTGATACCTGTTTTCCGCCGGGCAATCCAGGAAAAGAGCATAAGCGAGAGAGCAATAATTAGAGTTTACTTATGGATAAACGCTGTGGAAGTGAATCGAGATGAAGATGGGAGTGAAAAAACTTTCTTCATATTTGCCGGGAAAATATAGTGTGCAACATATTGTCTCGTGTGGCTCGCCTGAGGAATTTCCACACGCACTGGATTTTTTCTTTCATTTTCAATTCACGCACACGTGAGAAGATGGCAAATATTCACACGAAATTATTGCATCGACCCCAAAAAGCTCGCTTTGCAATTGTATTATCCAGTCAGGTAAAAATTGATTATGTCTACGATCATAAAGCAATGCTCGTGATGCAATGCAAGACAATCTTAAGATCTTCTCGTGCGAGTGAAATAGAAAATTTCGTCTCGCGTTCTCGCGAGGTGAAATGCCTTTGCACTGTGAAAACCGCGTGCCACAGTTTTGGGAGATTTATGAGAAAATGCACTCTGGCAAATACAGAGTTCAGGGATTAGATCTGAAGAGAAAATCGATTTTCTCTTCACACAAATATGTATGTAATTTATCATTTTTTCAAGCCCTGAGCTATTTTCTTTGCAAATTTCACTCAATTAGTGCATCCTCAGGAGGTTATTGTTGAGAAAACAGATCATGGCGATGGAAAATTAGATATTCTGCTGCGTATGGAATTGTATTTTCGCGAGAATTCTAAATATTTATGCAAAACTGAGTCTAGTTTTGACTGTGTTATGAAAATTGTGATTAAAAAACACGCAATTTGAGATCAAGACTGCAAATTAAGGGTATTTATTTATAGCCTTTATGAATTTTGTTGAAATCTGGGTTTTTCAATTATATTCTCGCTCCCAAATTAATGACCCAGTTATTGATCTTGATCAAACCTGAAAGGCGGCAATTGAACTAGAATTGTCAAGTGTCACTGTAAGAAGCACAAGGCTGAACTTACCCTGTCATGCAGAGCAGAGCCAAGAGGACTGGCACGATGAGAAAATACCCCGGATGGCGGCCAATGAAGAAGCCCAATTTGTAAAACGATCGATTAAGTGCTCGATCGACGAAGGAAACACCACAAGTCATCTGTAACAAAAGTATATTTTCCATATTATAGAAATATCCATACAAGTTAATTGCTTTTCAACGCCGGACATTTAATATTTTCGTGTAAAACAAAGCGATTTAATTAGTTAGTATAGCTCTTGTATCGGAGACGCGCCTTGTGAGTAGAGTAACACGTTCAATTCTGCTTCCTTGACGCGATTTGGCGAGTGTAGGAAAGGAAAAAGTGGCGGGATTTTGGGTGGAAAAGCACATGCAGTAAAGTAATTGCATTGTTTCGAGTGATTTGAGGCATGTGGCTAATTTATTCACATTTAAGTGGAAACAAAAAGCAGTGGTGGATGGAAAAAATTGCAAAATGTCTCAAATTAGCACTCGTGCTTGTGCATAGAAATTAGGAAATTTGCATAATTTTCCACCTAATTCCTGGCTGAAAGATTTGTCAGATTGTTACAATTTCTCACTTTCGTACTTTATTCAAGCGTTTGCAAATTTGTCATCTGAATAAGTCTTGTGCTGTGCAGAAAACTGGGGAGAAATCAAACTGATCGCGTGTGTGATTTGAGAGAAAAGTTCGATCACGATCGTCAATATAAATGGTTGATATCGCTGATGTTGTGTATTTTGCTGGGAAGAGGAGAGACTTTTGGAAGCGTGTCGCGTTTTAGGTCATTGTCAAATTCATGGCACTAAAATCAGTGGCATGTGAACAACTCCGTGAAATTTTAACGATATTTTCCTGTATTTCAGCACAATCATTTTCACATCATTGCTGACTGATTTCCCGCCGAAGGAGATCAAATCATTGAGACAAAGTCGATGGACACTTAATTATGCCATTTGGTCACACAGTCACTGGGCAAAAGGCCATCCTCGAGTTCTCATTCAGTGGCCAGGAAGATTTTCTCTTTTGGACACTCGCAGAGTGGCAAAATTAACGATCAAAGACTGGCTCCAGTTGGAAAAAATCAAGAGTTAAAACTTTCCCGCATTGTGTTGTTGTGTGGATATTTCTGGGACCGGACTTGCAAGACAACACGGCATCAGAAGGTCAAGGCATTAGAGGGCAGTTTTGGGGAACGAGAGGAATGAAAATTTCACATGTGCGAGAAATATTTGCAATTTCTCAGCTTGACTTCCGGGTTGTGATTTTCATGCGAAATGCACGCGCTGGAACTCAAATGGTTTGTGCATTGAAAGTGAAAAGATGTCAATATCAATCATGTTGCTGCCTCAACCCTGAAATTCAAGAACAATATTATTTTCATAAGTACAGGCAATAACAATATCTAATTGCCAATTGCATGGTGAGTCTCTTTTTCACTGAAAAACTGACATGAGGAAAATTTATCGGTCGCAATTGATGGTCTCGAATCGAAGAGTCATTTTCTCTTCGCCGCCATGAAATATAAATATTAATTACATAAATTTTGTCCACAGAAGCGGCAACAGCCGAAAAGTGAAGGATTTGTGAAGCGATATAATTTAAATTTCATATCTTATCATGAGATATTGAGACAAGCCTTCAAAAAAGACGTCTCTTCAATCGACTGCGAAGATAGACATTTAGGCTAAACTGAAATGCAAAATTTATGCCGAGAAAAGCACTCTTTTAACAAAACTCTCTGGCGTGCTCCACTGCATTTCATGGAGGAAGTAAAAATTTATGGTGTAGCCACAAATTTGTGAGTTTGATGTTAATAAAAAATATGCACTATAAATTAGTAGAAGGCGAAACATGTTCAATGCAATTACTTCACGGGTGTGTGAAGAAAATTTTCTAAATTCCTCCGGAGTGACATTTCGCCAGATCTTCTGATCGCACTGAACTAAACAAGGCTAAGAAAACTCTTGTTCATTACTGTTCATCATCATCTAGACCGGAACAAAGATCGTTGATCATTGTTGATCTCGTAAAAGATGTCAGAATAGCTTAATCTCGATCCTACTTTTGTGTGTCTTATTTAGTACAAATAAATAACAAAATGGCTTTTGCGCAATTTCGCCTTGATTGTTTTCGCTATAATTTCTTAATAGTGTCTTTCCCTTCGCGCAGAAAAAATATTCATTCTGTAACTCGTTGCTATTGGGTGGTAATGTGATATAATTTCAACCAAGGTTTTGTCGGTTTTAAGAAATTCCCCAGGAAAATTCTCACACAAATAAAAAAAAAATCAATTTTTCATCAGTGAATGCAGTTTCGTTTTATGCCGATATGGAAGTTAATTAGGTATCACAAGACAATAACACCTTTTAGGGAAAGTTAATTGCTGACTTTGATTTACGGCTGGCAATTAGGTTTGCCATTTCGTTAAAATCGATTTTCAAACTCCCACATTTTCCCAAACAAGTGGAGTTTTCATTGACCTGAAAAATTGAACAGCAAATTGGGAGATGATTTTCAGATGAACTCTGTTGTTTATCGAGATCTCAAATGGAATAATTATGAATCTTGTTTTTGACTATGGTGAACCTTCAAATTTTCAACACTATGAGCGTTTGAATTTATTTGTTTTTTCTTCAATATTTTGTAAGTAACAAGATCACTATGAACGTGAAGTTAGTTTCATTCTATTGACTTATACGTGATATGATAAGAATTCTATTGTTTTCTTCATCAATTTTCTGTACTGAAATTCACTACTTGATTAGGATACAATTCGCTTTAAATTCACCACGGAATGGCTAAACAATTTATGGATAAAAGGAAGAAGTTTCTCTTTCGGTAAAGTGAAACTTTTGCTTACAAGATTATTGATGAGAATATTTAGTTGTGTTAATTATCCGAACAGAGTCTAAAGAATGTCCAATGAACTTGATGAATGAAATTTCACATTTCTGCTATGCTCGCTATGTTGCATTTAGTGCTGTTAAATGTAGGTAGAGTTCTTAATCTCTTTATATCGTGTTTCACAGTCGAGGGAGTGTGAGTTACTGATTTCTATCGAAAGTGGATTTCTCAATTTATCAGTTTCACGTGCAATTCAACAATGATTGGACTTTGCCTCGTGGCGGCGATGGTGAGATAGGTAAATGTGACAAGATGAAGTGGAGTTCAAGTGCAAAACAGAATGGTTTTGCGTATAGGGAAATTTCACTGGGGAAAAATGGGCCCGGGACAGGCCGAAGCGTCGTGGAGAAAGATTTGCCCTCGAGGCGGGAGAGAGAATTTCTCCGTGGCAAAATAAAATGGTCAGTGATGTGGTCGCTGTGGTCATCAGCTGTGTGACGCATCTCGAAGGCACGTGGCCCACTTTTACTGCCACTCGATCAGCGGCCAATATTCGGTGTCTCTTGCGTGGCGGATGGAAGAGGCCAGAGACCGCAGCGTTGAGCGGATCGCGGAGGTCAAGGTGGAACTCTGAGGCGCTTCTTCAGCGCCTTCCTGAAAACCGATCGGATTTTCACTCGCGCTGCGCAGACAATTTTGTCCACTTGGGCGCAGTAAAAGTTCACCTTGTGCAAACTTTGGATGTCATGCGTGGTATTTAGGCAGTGCGGGAGGGGAAATTAATTGAAAACGACGGCTCTTTCCACTTCACGTGAATGAGATGAAATGTGTGATCGTTACAGAAATATCTGCTAATTGTTACTTCATGAGAGTAAATTGAAATGAATGGTGTGTTTGTGTGCACAAGGAAAAAACTTCCGCTGCAGAGATGTGGAGAGTAAATTTGATTAATTTTCGTATTGACTTTTTCTTCAGTGACAGCATTTCAGCGGGTGAAAAAGCGGAGGATTGGCAGAAAAAAAAGCCAGCAAGAGAGAGAAAAGAAGTACACTCAGTGCAGGTAATATCCGTGAAATTATATAATTTCTCATGTCAATAATTTTATATTTCTCTCACAACTTTTAGGAATACATTTTCATGACTATATACACACAAGTTATGGAGTGCGTGTTCCACTTGTTTGATTGCGCAAAATCGTCTTGGGGAGGAAAATATGGATTGGGTCTGTCTAAGGTGCACTTTCTCAAGCGCATGCCTATTAAATTTCTATAAGTAACGGGATCACATTTGATTTTTCACCTGGAACACGATCTTGTGGCTGCCAAACACACCTTGAGATCATCTCAAGAGTGCAAACATGAAAATCTGGAGGTTGACGGAAAAGTTCCGTTCACTCTGGTAAAGAGGAAATTTATAGAAATTCCGTTCTTCTTCTTCTATTCTATCAAGAAGATCGCTTACAGCAAAACGGCGATCATTGATTCACGCAGCACACAAAATATTCACTTCACCATTCCAAGACCTCAGAAAAAGAGACGTTAGAACAAATGCGAAAAGCCTTCTCGACCCACAAGAGAGAGAAACTATCTTCTAAGAATGTTACTTGCATAGTGAGAAATTTGAGGAATTCTAATAAAAATGCCTCGAGAATGCATGAAAATGGTGTGACAAGACACTTTTCTGATCAAAATCAGCTGATTGGATTAAAGCTTTAAACTCATAAGTAGTTTGAGAGGCTCAAAATTGCAATTCAAAGACAATTACTGTCCCCGCCTTCCTCTATATTGTGGTTTTAATATATTTCAGGAAATTAATGGCTAGTTTTAAGAGATTTATGACAACGTTTGAAAATACTGCACTTGAGCAATGTAAGGCTTGATTTTCTAGTTTCTCCACTGATATCAAATCAACAGTTCAAATTGCCCAGCTTTCCTCTTCATCAGCAAGGATGCGATTCCCGAGAAAGTGACTGCACAGATGTTTCACGAAAGGGAGAGATCAATTCCTTGAATCGGAGGATTCGTTGTGGGTGAACAAAGGTTCTATGTTTTTTTGTGTTCGGAGACCCTCAGCAAAGCGCCTTTGCGAGTGTGAGTCAGGAATTCGTGTACCTGAGAGTCGACAGACAAAATTATGTGTTTTCCACCTGCTCATTCTCTCCCTTTTCGCCCTTTTCTCCCCAATCATTCGGTGACGCAGTGGCCGCTCGGCGGTCAAAAGTGCATAGGAATGTGTTGATCATTGGAAGCACTCACCTTGATTTCTTACTCGATTGACTATTTTCTGCCAGGGAAATTAAATTCTTTACAATGTCTTTTTCGCACTTGGCTTCACTTGTGTCTCTCCGCGTTCACAGACACCACAGCAGATTCTTATCAATTAGGCAATTGTAGAAAAAAAAGCCTCACCAATTTTTCAATCCACTGAAGCACTCACAATATTCATAGGCTTGTTAGAAGAAATGACTATTAAACACAATTTTATTCTTCGTGGTCTTTTCGTGGTATTCCTCTATTGCAGGCAATTAGTTGTTGCTTATTCTTCTCCAATTCTATTCAGCAGATCCCTTGGCGTGTTGCTTTTTGGTGTCGCTGGACTGGAGGTGCGTTTAGTAATCCAAAATTTGATGGGGGAAGTGCAAGGATTACGTTAATCCTCGCGAGGAATCACTGCGCGTCTTCGAGGATCACCTGTTGATTCTGGTGAGAATCATTTTTTATCACAACACATCACTATTTCACGCGATCGACTGGAATTGCGTCGCAAGATTTCGGTGCACACAGAGTGTGTGATCTTCAGTGCGTCCCTGCAAGGAGTGAGGCCACGGAGCACCGATGCGAACACCTCGATGGTAACGAACTGACTGGCTCAGTGAGTGCCTACGAAATGGAAACTCAACTGTGTGTACATTTATGGGGCACTCGTGGCTCTCCGGACGATGGAAACGGCAGCGCGATCAACGGTGATCGTGAGTGTACGAGAATTTCACTCGAAAGAAATTTCTTGGTCATTCCACTTCATTAGGCGCATGCCCATGTGTTGGTGTGCATCCCGAGAGAGGCTCTCAGGGATGCTCAAGGGACACTCTTCCGGGTGATGGCAGGCGATCTTGGGGCGATCTTCGTGAGGCCTAAATCTCTGCTCTACTCTGAATTTGCTGTGTGAATGCCGCGAATACCTTTTATTGTCTCTCATGTTCCACTTTTGATTTCTATTGGAGCTGTCTCACCATCATCATAGCATGATCGCGCTTCTGCCATCGCACGCGTTGCTGTGAAAAATCTCACCTGTTTATGGCGAAACACTGCTTCTTTTCTCCGGATGAAAAATCAAGTTCTTCGCCGAAACACGTTCTCGCCTCTTGAAAAAGAGATAATGAATCTTTTTCCATGTGAGGCAAGCTTAAACCGTTTGGCCGTGAGGCGTCTCAATGAGAGAAAATAACCACTCTGCGAGACTCTTGTTCTGCATAATTCTTTTCATTTCACCTGCTTTGCTCTCTGACAGTGATGCTTTTTCCCTGTCGTCTTTTCACTTTGGGTGAAAAAAGACACATTGAAATTCATCATGGCTTTTCATGACACTGGCTTCTGACCCACTAATCTACAAGACATGGCTGAGATATCGCGCGCGCGAAATCGCTCGGCCACTCCTGACCAGCCGAAGGAAGATTCCACATACTCGGCAATTGAGGGAATTAAACAAATTTGATTTAAACGCAAATAATAATCCTCCACTGCCATTTTAATCGCCGGCTAAATTGTTGATTGTCCACGGAAAGTAGAGACAATTTCATTAGTCGCGCCAACGCACTCCTCTAGGCTTATCACTCGTGCGTCTCTCGCCAGTCACCTTGGTGGTAACTCTGACATTGATGAATACATAATTTATCCAATGTGAAATCTCAAGAATGTCTACAAATACAAATATTGTGCGCTTGTTTGATATTACATCCATTTTCTCGCGTTTTGTGCCAATTTCGCTGAAGATCATCCACACTGAAGAAGACACTTTTTTGGAGGGAAAGTTTGCACTACAAACTGCATAAACTCAGGCGATATTTCTCATCTTCGCGCCAAATGCGATTTTCACTAGCATAACAACCCATAAAATTCATGAAGTCGAGTTTTAAGGGATCATTTGTCCTTAGAATCGCAGACAATTTTTCTTTTCCTGTTCTTTATTTGCTTCTCTTTAAGAAAACTACCCTTTTTCCTATCCCTGCCGATTTGTACAAGCATGAAAACCATTGAATTACACGAATTACAACTATGGTGGTGATCATGTCGATGTGGTACGTTTCTTCGGTGGTTTCTATTTGTTAACACCGGCTCTAGTGGAGTATCACAAAGGGGCCAAGCGCTTGCAGTATTTTTATGGCTTGATTTTTATAGTGAGTTATTCGAAAATTAAATTCGTGCGTCAGTAACTGCTATTTCTCTCCCTTTTCCGTGGATTCCCAGACCCAAGTGGTTTCCTTCACTTGATCACCTTGCCTGCAAGACAAGTGAAAAAAGGATAAATTGGGAAATGAGGTTTTAGAGCAAACTGCCAAACTCACGTGTTAATAGTTGCTTTAGTAGTGTTCACAGGAAGCACTTTCTCTGGGATATCGTCAGGAAGAAGCCAGTGAGCAACAGGAGAGATGAGATTTCGTCCTACTTGGTAGATATCATTGGATCCAGTGAAGTAACTTACTGGAATTCCTACGAGAGGAACAATAAGAAAGCCGAAGACGGAGAACCACGCAAAAGAAATCTTGTGCAAAGCGAAGGAATCATCATCAGTCGGACTTTCGGATAAATCAGTGGTATTTCTGGAAAATGAAAGTGATGATCATCAAATTCTAAGGTTCTGCAATAATATACACTCACAGTGATAGTGCTGAGAATGCGGCTGATGTGATGTTGATGCCGAACTCGTCGCAACCGTCAATTCGGCTGGGTAACAAAGGATAGGACATTTCCCCGGTGAGAACGGCAATCTTGGATCTGACAGCCATGTAAGCTGTGACGACGATGCTGACGACTGCACCCCAGAAAGCTCCCTTCTCGTTCGCCCAGGGATACAGCATGCCGAGGCAGAAAACACCGAGAGTGGCTCCCGAAGACACTGTGGGAATCGTCATCATCATCTCGAGAATGCTGCTGAATTTGGCCACCACGAATCCCGCGGAAACGCAGAACACGCCCGAGAGGACGACAATAGCTTTCATCCAGAAACTGGCTCTCTGCTCTGAGTGCCTGAATCCGGGGAGATTCTTCACATAATCTTGGTAAATCACTCCAGACAGGGAGTTGAAATTAGCAGACATTGTGCTGAGGCCAGCACTGAAGACGCACGAGATGAATACTCCCGTCATTCCCGGGAGTTTTCCGACGGTGTCCTGCACGAAAAATGGCACCATCTTGTCTAGCTTGTTCACAATGCCCAACTTCAGTGGGTCGCAGAGATAGTATCGGGCGAACATGGTAATCCCGATGAGGAGATTGACGCTCACAATGATGTAGTATCCGATGCAGAAGAGCCAGAGGGAGCTTTTGGCGTGCTTGACCGTCTTCAGGGCCACGATTCGCTGCACGCAGCTCTGATTGAGGCCAATGTACACCGTCCACATGATGACGCCGCCCAGCACGACATTCGGAAAGGTTTCACGAACCGTGAGATCGAGACTCATGCTGAAATATTGAGGCTTGAGGCGAATATTTCGATATTTGCACTATGTACTCACTTGAAGAACTCTACTCTGTCGCCAATGTAGGCACGATCGATGACCTCTGATAAGCTGCCAACCTCACGAACGCCGCAGATCAGAATCACGAGAGATGCACCCACCATAATGGTACCCTGAATAACATCAGTCCACACGACAGCCTTTATTCCACCCTGAGAAAGAGATTTCGGAGAGTTCGCGTGTGATTAATAAGCCAAAACCACTCGAGAGATCACTCGAAACTCACCAGCATTGTGTAGATGACACACACAGAGCAGCCGATTGCATTGATCAGGTGATCATTGATCCCAGTGACTGCAAGAGGAGGAAGATTAGGCATGCTAAGAGATTGCGCGGCGGAAGAGAGATACCTTGGGATAGCGCAATGGCGGGAATGAAGAGAATGATCGGAAGCAAGAAGTAGCAGTTCGCCATAAAGGTGACGGTCATGAGATGTCGCAGGCGCGGGCTGAACCTCATCTCCAGATACTCGTAGCAGTTGGCGATGTTGTTGTGGTAGAAGACCGGGACGAAGACGAAGTTGATGATGGACACCGTGACGATCATGAAGGGCACCATCATGGCGAATTGTGTCCCGTAGCCGTACATCTCGGCGGGAAGGGCGAGAATTGTGACTCCAGATATTTGACTGGTGGTGAAAAGCAGGGAATTTGCTATAGCACTTCATGCACTCGAGTTTGGCTAGACAATTACAGACAATATTGATTTCTCGTGATACATTTTTGTCCACCAGAAAGTAGAGAGTCTCTCAAGAATAGAGTATGATTAGAAATTAGTCACGAAACACTTGAAATCCACGTGGGAACGTTGATTGTAAATAAAATTATCGAAATGAAATAATTTTGAATTGACTGAGTAGGAACTTTCCGGTCATAAATTCCTCACATTGATTTTTACTCGAACAATATCCATCTCATTTCACTTAAAATAAGTTAAATAGCTTTTTTCTGCACTTGAATATTCATTCTGAGAGAAATGTGTAGAACAAGTTTGAATTCGATTTACACGCTATCAGAGAATAAGTAATATTGTATGTTCAGAATAAGCTGTGCAGATTTGTTGCTTTTTCTCTATAGATAGATAACAATCGCTCCAATCTCTGATCTTAAAACCTCAAAAACCTGAACTTTCAGTAGAGAAGAGCGATAGAACAACAATTTTGTGCTGTGCGTAATGCATTTCAAATTGAAACCGAACCGCAAATATGTAAAAGAAATATAAATAAATTAATATCCTTAGAATATATTTCAAGGATATGATTTTCACCATCGATACTGCTGAAAGCGGAAAGATTTTCTGTTATTCATCTATTTCTCGAACCATTGCACACCCAAGAACACTAAAATTGACCATAATTGGGACACAAAATATACATATTTCATAATAGAAATAGAGTTCCTCATAAAACCTGATTTTAGACACTTAAGCGCAACTTTTAAATTCTATTAACTAATCACCTCACAGGTATTAAAATATTCAACGAGACTTCCACAGCGTTCACAGCAATTGATTTATGTCCAAAAACACGCCCAATTCATCACTTTTACCTTGCAATGAGGGAAATTGCAATTGGAAGAGTCTTCATGCGCCGTCCGCCGAGGAGATATTCCTCCGTGGATTGGTTGTTGCCGAAGAAGCCAAAGTAAATGCCGACTGCCATGGAGATGGCCAGCATTGCGATAAAGACAACATAATCCAGCACCTGAAACTGTCCACTTCCGAGAGGCAATAAACCGTCCGTGATAGTAAAATTCATTTCAGCACAGATGATCAGGAGAAGGCAGCAATTAGCCGATTTGCCGGAGATTCAGCTGAAGACTGACTTGCGGATAACGCGCAGTAGCGTGATAAAGGCAGAGTTGGGAAGATTCTTCAGTTGTGGAGAGAGATTTACTTGGAAAAGTATAACTGATAAGGTGCGGATTTTAATTTAACAATGCCATCGTAAATTCTCAAGTGGTCTCCAAGTTAAGCTCTTTTCTGCTTCTGTGAAATGCCTTGAAGAGCGCGACGCTCTGAAGAGAGATAGGCCATGGCTACAGCAAAACACTTTTGGTTGTTGGGGATGTTTTTAGGCACAGAGGCGGGAAATAAAGAGATAAATTAGGGAAATATATTACGGGAATTATTTTAATAACTCCACACATAACATTTTCACATCATCTTCACCCACGATTCTCCATGACATTCTCTCTCTTTCACTCGTTTAAATCACTCGTTAGAGCCACAATGAAGTTCGCCAGCTGCAGATATGATTTTGGAATGGGATCCTCTCGCGAGAAAGAAAGTGTGAATCTGTCGTTCGTGACTCTGAGCCCGAAAGTTTCGACGCGCGGCGAGTGAAAGAGAGACGAGAATTCAATTGACTTTGGCCAGTGATAATTACCAGCGTTTGATCATTATTTGTAGGGCTTATTTGGATAGTGATTTGGCGCATTTTCAGAGTGTTTATCTCGATCTTTGTGTCGAAGAATAAACATAATGCCAGCATCCATAGGAGCTCGAGTCTTGACCCTTTTGCATCAGCATGGAGTCTTCCTTTCGATGCTCATTAAAAGGGTATTCATCACCTTGGCGGGTGATTTATGAGCGCAATTTGCCGTAATCATGCGTTTAGCAACTAACCGCAAGTCGGAGGGAAAAGTGAATTTGTCGTGATCCTCTTGAGATCATTTTTGTTCCACATTTACTTATCTCACATGATCATCTTTGGCGCGTTTAATGAGACTTCATGATTGTGTTTTCGCCTCGGTGGGTTTTAGTTAATGAAAGAAATTTGTTACTTCTCAAAAAAGAAGCGATGACGCATGGCAATTTTCTCCTTTCGCCATGAAAATTATCACATTTATTGATTGTATTGTCGCATTAGCACAATTACTTATTCCACAAAACATATCTCTGCCATTTCGGCAGTGTTGCACCGCGCTTTTCTGCGTAAGTGCATCATCGGAGAAGCGGTGTTTAATGAAATTATTAAGAGAGATGCTCCATGGTCAGGTTGTCGATTGGAGCCTCTCAAGTGGTGAAATGCAAACACGTTTTTGAGTGTCTTAAGCAAATATTGCGGATTTTTCAACTTGTTACTCTTTCTGATTTGCAAGTTGTACCAGGAATCACGTGTCTTATGAGAGTTGCAAATCAAGGAAATGATAAAATAATAATTTTACAATTCTCCTTAAATGAGCGAGTCTGTCGGGGAGTGAAAGTCCGCATAGGATCACAGCGAGATTTCGCATTGTCATACAATGATCGAGAGTGTGTGATTGTGAATGCTGGCTGTGAGTCATCAAAGAGGGAAGGAAAATGTATCATATTCTCTTGTGAGAGACAATTAGAGTGCCAAAAAATATGATGGAATTATTCATGTGGTGGAATTTCTTTCGCATGGGAAATTGCAGTATGGAATTCTCCTCAAGAATGCCGAAGAGTGCATTAATATGAGTCTCTCCGAACCAGACACACCACATCACTAACCTTGATCGCGAAATCTCAATGAAAGTCACTTAAATCGCGCAGTTGGAATTGTATCTCTCCACTTCATGGTTGTCTCTCGCTTGTCTTTCTTTCCAATATAGAGCACATTCTCGCGCATGTTTGCAAATTGCTGAAATCTTTCCACTGACGATGAGTGCGAAGGAGAGTGTGAAGATTCCCATCAATGCTGAGTGGAAGTATATCGCGAGATGCCGAAGACAGTCAACGCAACAATAGAGTTTGTTTTGCTGCAGCTACGCTTCTATAACGAATATAAGAGGTTCGCATAGAATGGATGGACTGGTGAAGGTGGGCAGACAATAAGCCATTAATTTTAGTCTCTTTGTCTTTCCGACTCGGAACTGAAATCAGTGACGTAGCCCCAAAAAAATTGCATTAGAAATCCATTCAGGAGGTTTTGCATTGGGTCATTGCACTACGCCACTGCACATTATGATTTATTCAGGGAGAAGGAAAGTGACTGAATATCACCGGCATTTGTTTAGGGCTTCACGAAATTTTGAGGTAAATCTCGAAAGCTGGGCCAACGCCAGGTGTCTTGTCGCCTTTTTTCTCATCACGATTTGTGGTGGCAGAGATGGTCAAAGGTCATGTAGTTTTTCTCGAATATCACTGCAATGAATCGAGAGTTGTGCTGTCCAAAGTGGACGAGAAATTGAAGGAAATGTGCGGTTGACTCTTGGCATTTTCAGCGAAGAAGCTCATGCGGTGACGCTGGAATGCCGGCGTCTGCTGGTCACAGAAAATTGGCGGAAAGTGTCTTGCGATGTGCGGAGGGAAGACGCGCTCACCAGCGTCCAAAGAGGCCTCTAATGCACGATGTGCGGATTACGTAAGGAGTCACTGTGAGCATCACAAAGAAGATCATCCTTTCTCTTTGTCCAGAGACATCAGCCACAGAGAGACACATCGACAAATTCCTTGACGATCTTCTTCTGCAAAATTGTGCACATTTCTCTCCAGCGCGATCTTCCGAATGGGGAATTGCTGTTATGCAATTGCCTTCCCCGCACTCATCCGCACGGTGGGATTTCTTGCAGGCATTGTCTTTCTCTCGTGAGGAGTGCACATGGGTGATAGAGAGAAAACATCAAACACGATTAGATAATTAAGTGGGATAATTAAGAAAGTTGGGAGGCTTGGGCATATTGCTGAAAATCTCCATGAAACTCTCCCTCGACAGTGACTTTCTTCTCGCATGCCATAATCACTTGACCTTTTCACCTCGCCACGATGATGGGCTTTAGAGAGATCTGGCGAACGGTGACAAAATTTTTTATTTTTTTCTCAGCATTTGTAAAATAAGTTTTCGGTAATACAATAGTATAAAAAATAGGTAAAAACACTTAACACTATGAAAAGTATAGATTTATGTACAAAGAGAGAGGAGATTGATGGAGAGGTTTTTTTGTCTCCAACTCCTCACTCTTACATTTGTCTAAAAGACCGATCCTCTGGCGTCCGCGATCATTGTCCGCCTCTTCTGCCCACTCGAGGGACTCCGCAAGCCCGGGCGCACGCGAGAGAGAGAGATTGACGTGCTGGCCAGGGATTCCCCGTGGGAGAATCGGCGGCATGACGCTGAGATGTTGTTGGGCTGGAGCCAGAGGGACGCGTGTGAGTCTCTGAGATGGTGAGAGACTCACTCAGTGATGAAATTCTCGACTTCCGTGTTTATGGGATCCGATTCGTAATGGTGGCCGTTGGTCAGGAGTGTGGGAATTGCGGGTGGGATGGACGAGGACTGGGTGTTGGGGCCTTAGAAGGGGGCGCCGTAGGAGCTGCTGGGCCGCGAGGCGCCTCCGGATGGGTAGCCGGAGAATCCGCCCGAGGACTGAGAATGACTGGTCTGGAGGAACTGCGCGACCTGGATGGCTTGTCGCACGCCCTCGAGATCGATGCCCACGACGCGGGACTGGTGGGATGGCACGCCGTACTGGGGTGATGGCACTCCATACTGGCCAGATGGGGCGCCGCCGCCGTGGCCGCCGCCGCCACCCCCGTGTCCGCCGGACTGGCTCTCCTCCTTCAGGAGGATCTGGCGGATCTGCTCCAGCAGCTGCGGGTCGACGTTCTGGCCCTCAGACGTCTGCGTGCCGTGTGGCACAGCCTGGTAGCCGCCGCCGCCACCGGAGCTGAAGCTGCTGCCGCCGGAGCTGAAACTCCCGCCGCCCGAGCTGAAGCTGCCGCCGGAGCTGAATCCACCGCCGCCGCCGCCTCCCGACGGGCGCTGGTAATTGTATCCCTGCGGCTCAGCCACGGCCACCGTGACCAATACGAAGGCCAAAAACTGCAAGGAGGAGAAAGGTGTCATCACTCACTACACATTCATCTGCTCACAGAATTCCTCCGGGCAATTCGCAATTTGGCCATCCCAAAACCGGAGAAGAAAGTGATCGCGGGTGATTCGAATGCACAGCACAATAATCCTTTCGAAATGTGTGTGGCGAAAATTGCATTCGCCGCACTTTCACAAGCAAAAAGAAGATCACAGAATTGCACAGCACAGGCGGACTTACCACGGTGAAGGAGTTCATGGTTCTTGAAGGTGTATCCAAAAAGGTCTTGTGACGGAGTGTGGCTGCTGCTCGCCACGGATGCCTCTTTATACGGGCATCTGCATGAGAGTCGCGCGAGAACGCGAGTGGGGCTCACAACAATAGTGGAGGAGGCTCGAACTTCTCTGGCCAATTTGCCAAATGTGGAGATTTGGCGTGCAGAAGGGGGAGAGCGAGAGAGATGGTGTGTGTATGTCTCCTCGGCAGATGTTGCCCAGGAATTTATTACGGACGCGCAGATCAGTTGCAACACGCGGAGTCTAAAAGGAAATCCAACAATATTGGTGCCATGGCGAAAAGTGGAAAATCACGCTTCATTTCCACTGCGGACTGACAATTTTTATCACATTTTCATTCTAATCGTATACCGGAATATTTTGCATTTACACCACTCAATTTGTGCGGGTTTCATAATTCATATGCTCGAAAAAGCCCCGCTGGTTCATCTTGATCTCCCAGTCGAGTGAAGAAACATGAGATTAAGAAGCGTAAGAAGATGAATTTTATATTCGCATCTTCACTTGCAAAATCCACTCCGCTACCTTCTCATTACTCCAACTGAGGCGTCTGACCGCCTCACACCCGAGGTTTAGCTTCGCAACTCGCTGGGTGGGGCAGCATTACCATCAATTAAGGGCTATAGTATTACACTACTCAAATGCATGTCTTTATTGAGTTTTTTTTTAAGGTCTGAGGCTGGGAAATGTCAGTTTAAAGCAAATCTTGAAATGATAGTTTAAACCAATTCCAAATATAATAAAGCCGTGAAAATAATTTTAAGTCTTCAAAGTGTAAAAAGAGTCAAGTTTATTCAATAATCAGAGGATCAATAAAATCTATTTTAAGATTCACAATGCTGAATGCCAGATCTCTTACGATAGTGCAATAAAAAACGAGGTCTATAAAGCTGAATTGGGGTGTAAATTGCACTGAATAACAAGCATTTTGAGCAGTCGGCGAATTTCCTACGTTCTCATATCATCTTTTATCACCTGATCATCAATGGCCAGTGCACATGATTATAATCAGTGAGTTTCCAGATGAGATTCTCGATAAGATTAGACGACATTTTCGCTAAACCATGCCACTGGGCGCAATTATGTGACATCAAATATTTGTGCAAGATTTTCCACAGATTTGGTGGGAAAGTTAATTAAATAAGGCAGTATTTCTCGCCGAACCTTTTGCAACTTCCTGCAGATTCCCATACAAAGTGTCTGTGCGAGTGTCTTGGCAGAAACAAAGAGACTCCATGTGTCCAATATCTGATGGAAGATTGAGACAGAGATGCAAGATTATTACATTATTTTCTTTTTTATAATCACCTTTTTGGCGGTTGTTTTTTTGCCTCCGCAGCTGCACTGTCTCTCTCTGTCGCTCGCGAGGGGGAAAAAGAAGTGTTAGCAAAGAAGCGCCACATTAGATGTGCGCGCGCAAGTGAAGGGATCTTTCTTACATAAAATCCGCGCGCGCTTGCAAGACGCCGAAGATGTTCCAAGGTTGTGTTTTGCACAACTTTCTCGATTGATATCTGCTGTCTTTCTATTTTCACTACAAAATTTGCCGCTTCGGCCAAATGTCCTCGTCATACGCATCAATATTTATTAATCCGATACTTGCAATGTGGACAAAAATCATCTTACGCGCGCATTTGATTTGCCGGGCTGCGGAAAAAAAGACAGAGACTGATCTTTAGCCTGTTGCATGGCGAATGAAATGAAGATTCTCCGGATTTTTTCCTCGTCGAGCTTGGGCTGCTTTTTTGTCGCCCAATTACAGTGTGAACGATGGCATAAGGAATGAATTTACTCACGCATTTTGATGGTGTTTAATGTACTCTTTCTGTGTGACATCACAATGTGCAAAGAATTATGATGACATAACTCATAAATAACCGTGCAAGATTCTCCTTCGTGCGGCACAACTGGTAAAAATTATTATTGTCCGCAAGAGACAAGCAATTTAGAATGTTTTTCTCTCCATTTCATCTCCAACTCTTTTTTTGTATTTATCTCCCCTTTTTTACCACGCTGGCAGATCGTTTTATTTGTACAAAGATTAAGAAGTGATTTTTTTATTCATTCATAAATGTCTTGGACATGACGAGGTGATGCTGCTGAAGTGCAAGATGCTTTGAAGCTATGCTGCATTGATGTGCGAAATCCTGGCTATAAAGTGACACTGCGACTTTTTCGGGGTCATTTTTGAGCAACAGAAGTTCTAGTGTCACTTTATGTGCCGAAAATGCCACCTCAAAGTCGCAATACTGCCTTTTTCTTAATTTGAAAACAATAACATATGGTTTAAACACCTTGACTGCGGAGGAGGAAAAAAATTTCATTATGCAAAAGAGTTGTTTCGATATTTTACCCAAACAATGAGACTCTCTAAGTATAGTAATTTGTAATAATTAAAATACCTTTTTTCATTGTTGGGGTGCGAGTCAAAAAGTTCGCGCACTTAAGAAACCCTGCCTATTTAATTCCCACTTAGAATACAGTAAAAACCTTTGCAATTTGTCTCATTAATTTTTTATTATATGGGTTTTTCGTGAAAAAAGGCTTTTATTATTATTATTACTGCCATCGCGAGGGTCAGACAAATCCTTGACGCGGTGGGAAAAATGCGAATAGATTCTCGATTTATTGTCACTTTTACTTGTGTATTCACGCATATTAATTAGCTATTTAGGTGGTTTGTATTGCAAAAGATGCTGGCGTGCTGAAAAGCTCACCACTTGAGGTGCGCTTAAATATTTGATGGTTTTTCTCAATCGCACGGCCAACGTGAAATACCTTAACACACTCTTGAGATTGCGGTGCGTATTTCTGCCTGGATTGCCCGCGCAAAGGTGAGGGAGAGATGAGGGGCTTTTTTGTGGGCAGCTTCCCATTGAGAAAAAGCGAAGATTATCAAAGAAACGACCACTTGAGCACTCACTTAGATCCCCATTGACCTGCTAAAATCCTCTTGTACAACACAAACGCTGAAGGATGTGAAATTGATGGTAATTATTCAATCATCGCGGGCGCAAAAACAGCAGCCAAAGTCGAGACAGGGAGTCATCTTCAAACACGATGAGTTTTAATTGAAATTTTATACCGGATAATTTACTGGCAGCGAATTGCCAACTGATGATCTTGCCAGTGTCATAATCAGGCTGAAGATGATGGTGATCTAAGGCGATCCCCCAATTAAAGTTATGCCAGTCAGAGTCTCACTGGCTTAAGTGCGACTCTCTTCTCAATGGCAAGAAAGGAGAGAAAGTGCATATAAAGCGATGGTTTTAAGAGATCTATCGATACTTTTTTCTATCCACATTATTACTCATTCCTTATTTAATACCCGTGATGATATGGTAAAGAGGGAGAGAAAAAAAGAAACAATCAGTTAATGATGATAAAAAATAGCATTGCTGAAGAATGCGCCCATTTTCAGTGTCTTTCAATTCGTTCAAGACAAAGAAGGAAGCAAAAGAAGGTAATCAGTTAAGGCAATTGTCGGTGGAAAGATCAGACTTTCTGGACTTGTTCCGGCACTCAATTCATCAGCCATGCTCTCTGCACGATATCCAGAGACAGACTGGAAGCAGCAGAGCATCTGCAAAAGCCAGGGAGGATCACGATTTGCACTCAATTCAATCTCTCATTGGCATTTTCAGCGATTCGCACTGCCTGAAGAAGCATGCAATATTGATTTGGCACTGCTTTTTATCTGAGTTAATAACTTTTTAGTAAATATGGCTTAGCTTAGCCAAGTTGCTCCGCTCTAAGTACTAAGAAAATATGAATTTGAGGGTTTTCTATCACATCAGAGGCCAAGACTTCCATATTTTATCAGATTAACTCTATCCAAGATCAGCAAGTGGACAAATTCACACTAAGAAATCCCTCATAAAGAGCATTCACATCATACTTATCACTAAATCATGTTACGAGATGTAGGAAGACACAAGAAAGCTCAGCTTCATTGAAAGATAACTAAACCTTTATCATCTTTTCTTGTTCTCTATCTTAGCCAAATAACGGCTTTGGATTTGGCTTTGGAATTGTTTCAGCTTAAGAATTATCTCCGGAAATGCTTGAATTACACTTTCCGTTAATCTTTACTTACTTCTCAAAATATCAATGGTGAATTTCTTAAGTAATAAAAAATTGAAGAATATTTTTCACCAAATATCCAATCATTAGAGCTCCAAATCAACTTCTCATTGAACTCTAATCAATTTCCCCGTCCGCTGTGATCTCACGGTGAACTCAAGAGTGGATCGCAAAGTGTCTTCATGCAAATTTCCCCGCGATGCACGACACAGGCGAGTTCGCGATGGTTTTCGCGATCTCATGTGGGAATTCTGCAGAACAGCGAGCGCGAATGCGCGGCGTCTGATTCGAAATCTGGGGAAGTGACTTGGGGCCGCGGTGAGGGCACATGACAATTGTGATCATCTGCAACTGTCTCGCTTCTTCGCGTGTGATCTTTTCGGTGGTGAAAGTGCAAGTTATCGGCAGAAGAGGCGAAAAAGTAATGAGGAAGGTTCAAAACCTCGAAATCTTGCGCCGAGGCTCGTTTTTCTTGCCCACACACAGACACTTTTTATGCTCAATTCCCTTGTAGCGAAGCTATTATAACATCAGCTTGTTATTTTTAAGAGTCATTTATTATAAATTTCATCTGACAAAATTTCTGAAGACTTCTATAGAAAAGAAAAACATTTCACTCGGTTTTTTTCTGTATCGGATTCCGTGTTCTCCCTCTCAATTGAAAGGTGGAAAAAAAACATTCATTGACAGAACGTACAATTTTTTTTTTGAAAATGTAATTGGAAAGAAACAGAACTATTTCACTAACACTCTCTCTCTCTCTCTTTCTTGCTTTTCGCATCTCCAGACTAATTCTCACGCCTTCCTTACAAATCAATATTGATATAAAATATAAAGGTATTCCTTCTCCTCTTTCTCTCTCTTCTCTAAAAAGAACATTAATGGCATTTTCACAAATTTTCCTCTTCTCTTACATTTTATGGGTATCTTTTCCTCTGCTCTTCTTCCCAAATCTTGGAATACAACACTTCATTCAGGAGTTCCTTGATGAAAATTCACTCTGCGGCTACTCTCTTCATTTTCATACCATTTATAACGAAGACGTTAATTTCTTGTGAATCTCTCTTATGTGTGATATTTTATTGCTTTTATCTTATGTACTTCAGTTTGTATTTTGTTGGAAGTGTGATTTCTTTTCTTATTTCATCTCTCCTGCAGCACAGAAATTGTACAATCCCATTATCAACAGCAGACGCGGTGAATTTTTATCAAATCAACAACATTTTCACGTGGCGATTACAAGTTTTCCACTCTGCACTTTCTCGCGCGCAACAGATGAAGAAAAATTATTCAGATCAAATGTTTGATAACTACATGATCTTATCATTACTGCGATAGTATAAAATGAGAAAGAACATTGAATTACACAAAAGTTCATTACAAAATTAAGAGACGAAAAAATATTGTATGGCAATAACACCTGATTTTCTTTTTGTACATATTTGGGGCGCACACGTTTGCCCAAAAACCTGCGCGCTCTCGCTTCCAACCTCGCACTCGGGCTCAATTTAGCTGTTTCTCCCATTGTTTTTCAATGCTTACAATATGACAAAGTAAGTGTATTAATTTAATCCGTGTAACAAGTGTAAATTATGAACTACATTCCATTATATAGAAAAAGTATCTCCTTCCTTTTGCATATTCTTAACGTACATTAATATTTCCTCTCCACATCTTTCAGTTATTTACATTAATGTTCTTCACGCTAATATACAAAGTGTGTGTGTCCTCTTGAGTTCCTTTTTCCTTCTGCCGCCTGTTGCTCTGTCTATGTTTGTGTGTCAAATACTCAACTGCATCTTTATCCATCATTTGACCATCACTTTTCCTGTCTGCTAACTAAAAGATTAATCTTGCAAAATTCAATTGCTCACGCCGCCCAAATCAACCGTTTCTCAGTGTGTCTGCGGGCGGACATCGCATGAAGATGTTGGAGAAAATAACGAGAGTAAAGTAAACTAAAAGGTCACATGAAGATGCAAATGAAAATCATCCTGTTGTGTGTGGGCGTGTTTGTTGCTTGGAGGGCTGCATTTATGGAGCTGCGACTTCCTCAGTTGTTTTCGGAGATATTTTCGGTTCACCTGAAAGCAATACAGAACGCACTTTAGTGGTCATCAAGCAGAAGAACCTCAGAATTCTCCCTTACAAGATTCCACAGCGTCCGTCTGATCCTTCTTCTCTGGCGACGCAGCGACTTTCTGTGACTCCTCAGTTGCCTTCAGCTCTGGCGTGTCTGTCTTGGCCAACTCCTTCGTTGTCTCGTCCGGCTTCTTCTTCTCCTCCTCGGGTGCCGCTGCAGGTGCTGACTCGGGCTTTTGCGTCTCTGACTCGCTGCTCGCACTCTTCTCCTCCTTCTTCTCCGCCACCGACGCGTCCACTTCCATCTTCTCAGGACTTTTGCTGTTACTCAGCTGAACTGTCTTCTTCTCCTCCGCCTTCGCCTCGGCGGCGTCGTCCTTCTTCTCCTCTGACTTCTCATCGGCCTTTGTCTCGGTCTTCTCATCTACTTTGGCGGGAGCTTCAGCCTCAGTGCTCTTCTCCGCCTTGTTATTCTCCTCTGGCTTGTCCTCTTCGTTCTTCTCCTGCAGAAACACGTAAAGCAATCGAATTAGAACGAGACAGAACTTATAGGATTACAGTTTTGCAGTAAGAAGCCAAAATATTCCTCAAATCAACGAAAAGTTTTGACAAATACTGAAGACAATTCTTGCTTTACATCAGAAAACTGTCATAAGAACTTATAAACAAGACTTCTAATACAATGATGATAAACCAGTTAAGCTTAAACATAAGTTGAAACGATGATTTCTGTTTCTTCAAGGCAAAGCTTACATTTACATTCGCTTAGCTCAGCATGTTTATCCAAAAATTATAACATTTTTTAGTATTCAACCTTGTTTATCAACCAAATAGTTTCAATGTTGATTAATTTGTCAATCCAGTCATCATATGGCAATAAATATCTACGAAAAATAATATTCTTCTAGCAATCAGGAATCTTTCTTTTTTGATACTTTGACTCTATTGAGACTTTTGAGAAATATTTCAATGAATTAACATGACTGAAACTCATTTAGAACTACAATTTAGCTATTCAATTTCATCTTCCTTTAAGATTAATCCGTGATCACGTTTGTATCACTTCACATCTTAAACCGCGAGTATTTACAAACCACCCAATTCGATAATTATTGCCTTATTTCTAGGAAACTGCTCAAAACTTTCACCCAATTTATATTTGCAAACGCACCTCGGCAGCTTCCTCCTCATCGTGATTGTCCAACTTCTTGGGACGGCCGCGGCGACCGCTGGCCGGTGTTGTAGCGGCGTTGCGGGCCCTCTTGGCTGGTGGCGGAGTCACGGCTTCCTTTGTCGATGGCGTCGTCGCCTTCGTGCTCGAGCGCGTCCTGCGACCGCCTTCCAGTTCCACATTTCCGCCCATGATCTTCAGCAGCTGCTCACTCTCGGCCTGCGCGCGCTCCAGTGTGGTCTTCCGCTTGCTCGGTGTCCTCTTGGGCTGCAAAGAGAGCGCCAAATGTGAAAACCCGTGATTTCCCTCCCTTTTCCAGTTGTGAGGTTAGGTCGCCCGTGCAAAACAGCGCGAATGACCTTCGCAGCCGCTCTCTCGCTCTGTCTGTGTCGCTCTCGCTCTCGCCTGCTAGCGCGGCGGACGCACGTCGAAGGTTGTCGCGAGTGGGGAAATGATTTGAGTGTTTCTGGATTTTTCTCTCTCTCTCTCATCCCTTTTTTCTGCACCGTGAGAGCGAGGCAGTGTTTGATAAAGGCAAGAGACTCTCTCTCTCTTCGCGGCTGAGACAAGCTCAGGGGCGAAATGCTGAGGAAATTGCGAGATTTTGGGAAATTTCCCATCATAAAGCCATAACAAGAGCTCGAAGGTTTTCCTCAAGTCACCCATTTGGGGCTTTTTTCATCGCGCGTCCTCTCTCTCGGCAGCGCGCGCGAGAGAGAGAGAGCGAGCGAGGAAGAGCGCAAGAGAAAGGAGAGCGGAGGTGAAGGAAAAAAAAAGTGCGGAATTTTATGCGCCAACAACGAAGCCACGCGTTTTTTTCCAGCGATTGCACAATATTTGACACAGAGAACATGGAAATTGACGGTGGAAAGTGGAGAAAATGTGGGTCAAGCGGCTGCATGAGTGGTGGATTTTTCTTACCGGTGTCTTGTCATTTTCCTCCACCTTCGGACTGGCTGGCTGTGCCTCTGACATGCTCTCGCCGCGCTATTTCCGCACTATCCCACTGGAAAACACTCACTCCGTGTGCACACAACACTTGGGGCGATTCTCGTGGTGTCCAACACTGCGAACAGAGGTGGAAAAGGGCTTTTCTCCGCTGACAAACTGCCGCACGAACTCACTAGTTTCACCCAAACTCGCGCAATATGGCGGCGTGTTCGCGTCGGTCACGTGATCGCCGACAGCGCATGCAAATTCCATGGCGGGACATTCGAAACTGGCATAACTGGTATACGCGGGAAAAGTGTTTATTTTCCACAGAGAAAAACACATGAAAATGCGGGGAAAGTCGGTGGTCTTAGTGTGTGTTGGAGCGTCGAAACCAGAAGCGTGCTCGGTAGTCGTCGGAGCACGTGAGGAAGGCCGGATGCGTCGGCGAGTGGATGATATAGCGAACCGGGCCGTTGTGTCCCAGTGACATCAGGTGCAGTCGCGAGGCATTCCGGGAATTCCAGGAGCACAGGGATGTGGTGGCCTCGTCTGGGAAGAGCACATAATCCTCGGTGTGATTGAAGACCGCCTGAGTGCTATGCTCTTGCTTTCCAGTCGTGCCGGCGCCTGTGTAGGCGATTAGGCAGCGACTCGTGCTCAGTTCCCACAGTTTCACCAGCGAATCCTTGCCGGAGGAGAGCAGATATTTGCCATTCTTCGAGAATGCCACTGAACAGACTTCAGCTCCATCGTGAGCGGCTGCGAAAGTGTTGACGCATCGACCAGAAACTCCGTCCCAGAGCTTTATGGCGCCATCCAGACTTCCGGAGGCGAAGAGTTTGGCTGTCTGGGCGTACTTAACGCAGGACACTCCTGCGCGATGCTGCTGTGATGGGATCGCGCTCACGAAGCATTGAGAAGTGGCAATATCATACACGCGGAGCACGTTATGATCCGTTCCGACCACCATAAAATCCCCGGAAGGATGGAAGGAGAGACAGCGTACGGGCTCGCAGTCTGTCAGGATCTTGTGAGCCTTCTTCACGGACGCCTTGGAGATGTCGAAGAGCTTCACCGAGCAATCCCGTGATCCTGAGGCAAGGATCTGCTCCTTGGGGTGAAACTCAAGGAATGCCACTTCATCCGTGTGATCGTAGAGCGTCCGGATGACCGGGTGACCTTGCTGTTCGCGCCCTGGATCGAGTTCCTCGGGCGCCGACTTGGCCAACATGCGATCGACGTCTAGAATCTTGATACTGGCGTCCACGCTGCCCGTGGCAACGAGTTGACCATCGAAGCTGAACGCTCCGGCGCGGCACGCTTGCTTGTGCGATGTGACGTAGGCTGTCTCGTAGGACGCCGGCTCTGGAGCCAGACTGGAGCCTTCGGTCTCAAACTCCAGGTCCAAGCCACAAGCGATATCGTCATAGCTGTTCTCGCGCTTCGTCGCCTCGTCCTGCATTCCCTGGATCATCACGTTCAGCAGGCGATCGCTGGGAGGACACGGAGGATCCGCCCTCACCATTGTCGATAACTCTACGGCCAGATTGTGGTATCCATCGTAGAATAATTGGCTGTGAAGACAAGAAGACCGGTTGGAAAAAAACCCAGTCAATATAACATGATTTACTTACCTTATTATAAGCCTATACAGAAGTTCCCTGTTCTTGAGGGTGTTTCCAGTGTACAGCAGATCCATTTCGCTTCTGATTAATAGTGGAAAATTGGCGTTTTGAGTGGTATTTCTCGGGAAATTTGCAAAAATACGGAGCCGCGAGGGTGTTTGTTTATTTTGGCTGGAGGAAATGTCACTGACTGCCTTCCAATCGATGACAGCGCCACTTGGTGGCTGGGGTCAGCAGTTTTTGTCTGCAATTTGACAATAGTAAACAAAAACACGTGTGAGAAGAGAATTTAGGATTTTTTCGGGAAAAGCACAGAAATAAGTAGTGAAACATGGTGAAAATCCGAAAGCAACGCAAGAAGAAGTCCTACAATTATGGGGCGAACAGGAAGAATATGAACAAGAAGCAGTTGCGAACGGGACACATAAAATGGTGAGGAGGAATTGTGGGCGGTGTTTTGGGGGAGTTTTCTTCTAGCCTGTTTTTGCTGATGTTTTCAGTCCAGAGGTGAAGAAGGAGTGGAACAAAGATTGCCCAGTGAACAGGAACTTCAAGAACATGGGCTTGTCAAATGATCCTAATGCAGTGCTGCCCTTTCGGCGGAGTCAGCGAGAGCGAGTGGCTGTGATGAAGAAGAGTCTGGAAACTGGGGAGATTCCGCTGAATGTTACGTCGAATGCCATCGATCCGGAGGCGCCCAGGAAGAGGAGGAAGAATGCACCCAAAGCGCAGGTGGCGGAGAAGCTGGAGGAGAACGCCAATGCGCTGCGAGAGAGTGGATTCCGCTTTTCCAAAGGCCAGGTGCGCCTCATCTCGTACTTCCTGGACAAGCACAAGCTGAACTACCGCGCAATGGTGAGTGACAAGAAGAACTATGAGCAGGAGACGTGGAAGCAGTTGCGGAGGAAAGTGAGGAAGTTCCTCGCCATTCCCGAGCACGTTGACGAATATCTGAAGACGCGCGGCCTGGAGAGACTGAGTCTCGAGGAGGAGGACACAGATTCAGACTGAGACATTTGTTCAAGCCTCTTTTAATTGTTTCACCATGTTTTTTCTTCTTCTGATAAATTGATTATGTCACATACATACATTTAATAGTATCTCAACTGCAAGTGTTTTTTTCCTCTTGTAAATTTAAGAAAGTTCCTTGAGTGATTCTGACTTTCTCCAGCCTCTTCTTGATGGTTCAATTCACATGCTTTGCGCTTCCTTTTCCTTCTGTTTTCTTTTGAGAAGGATGTGCGGAAAATCACTCAATTTGCGTGGAAAATACACAACGAATTAGTTTCTAATAAAATTCTTTTCCAATTTTGTCATCAAAATCAATTCTACAATAATTTCATACTTTATAATAGATTTTTTTTCATGCTTAAATAGAACTCTCGACCTTTGCTCACTTCACAAGCATCACAAATTGTCCTTCGGGATGTCTTTCATGTTCTGTCTTTGAGATTTGGAAGAGGGAGAGAGTGAGACAGTGAGTGAGTGGGTTTTGGAGGCGTGATCGGGCTTCTGTGCACGAAAGACTGGGGTTTTCCGGGCGGTAAATGCATCTTCTGACAGGGAGCTTCCGGCGGGAGTTCCGTGCACAGCGACTCAGTCTCAGCGGGGTTAGCATGCGGGCGGTGTGTCACAACCGGATGAGAGTATTCTAGGGGCTGCGGGCGAGAAGAGGGCGCGCGGAATGAGATGAGGCGCGGCGCGGAAAGGGCTTTTCCTGCGGAACGCCTTACGGTGGACACGATAGGAGGAATGTAAGAGCGTGAGGATTGTGGACTCGCCGACTGGGCGGTGATCGTGGACGCTCGCGAGCGTGGCAACGGTCAAGATGTAGATGATGGCTTGAGAGACGAGAGCAGCAAAAGTGTCTAATTGTTTGTTGCTTGAGTATTCAAGTGGCTCGCTTGAGGGGCCCTCTAGTTATTTCTTCTTCTGCGCCTTCTCGGCGGCCTTCGTGACCTTGCCAGTGGTGGACTCCTTGAAGTTCACCGACTTGATCACGCCCACGGCCACTGTTTGGCGCATATCGCGCACCGCGAAGCGCCCCAGCGGTGGGAACTCGGAGAAGCTCTCCACGCACAAAGGCTTCGTTGGCACGAGGTTCACGATGGCCGCGTCGCCGGATTTGATCGCCTTGGGATTCACCTCGGTGGTCTTGCCGGAACGCCTGTCGCACTTCTCCTTGATCTCGGCGAACTTGCACGCGATGTGCGCCGTGTGGCAGTCCAGCACGGGCGTGTATCCGTCAGCGATCTGGCCAGGGTGATTCAGGACGATCACCTGCGGAGAAGAACCGCAGAGTTCAGGGAGCAGTCCGAAAGCGGGTGAGAAGATCCCTTACCTGAGCAGTGAAGTCAGCTGCCGCCTTTGGAGGCTGATTCTTGGAGTCGCCGGCCACGTAGCCACGGCGCAGTTCCTTCACGGAGACGTTCTTCACGTTGAAGCCCACGTTGTCGCCCGGCATGGCCTCGGCTAGAGCCTCGTGGTGCATCTCCACGGACTTCACCTCAGTCGTGAGATTCACAGGCGCGAAAACCACGACCATTCCTGCAACCAAACGAACAGAAAGTTAAGGAAAGATTGGAGAAACTGCCAGAGTGGTAAACAAACCTGGCTTCAGGATTCCAGTCTCCACTCGGCCCACGGGAACGGTTCCGATGCCGCCGATCTTGTAGACGTCCTGCAGCGGCAGGCGCAGAGGCTTGTCTGTGGGCCGCGACGGCGGCAGGATGGCGTCGAGCGCATCGATGAGCGTCTTGCCCTCCACTTTGCCCTCCTTGCGGTCGATGGACCAGCCTTTGAACCAGGGCATCTTCTCGCTCACCTCCAGCATATTATCGCCGTGCCAGCCGCTGATGGGCACGAAGGCCACGGCGGCGGGATTGTAGCCGATCTTCTTGATGTACGACGACACTTCCTTCTTGATCTCCTCGAAGCGCGCCTCGTGGTACGGCGGCTCCGTGGAGTCCATCTTGTTCACGCCCACGATGAGCTGCTTGACGCCCAGCGTGAAGGCCAGCAGCGCGTGCTCGCGCGTCTGGCCGTTCTTCGAGATGCCCGCCTCGAACTCACCCGTGCCGGCGGCCACGATCAGCACGGCGCAGTCAGCCTGCGACGTGCCCGTGATCATGTTCTTGATGAAGTCCCTGTGCCCGGGCGCGTCGATGATGGTGATGTAGTACTTGGCCGTCTCGAACTTCCACAGCGCGATGTCGATGGTGATGCCGCGCTCGCGCTCCGCCTTGAGCTTGTCCAGCACCCAGGCGTACTTGAAGCTGCCCTTGCCCATCTCCTGCGCCTCCTTCTCGAACTTCTCGATCGTGCGCTTGTCGATGCCGCCACACTTGTAGATCAGGTGACCCGTGGTCGTGGACTTGCCAGAGTCCACGTGCCCGATCACCACGATGTTGATATGGATCTTTTCCTTGCCCATCTTCAGGACTTGCTCGCTGCCGCGATCCTCTTACTGCAAAGAGAGGCGCTTTAATGCGGGAAGACTGTGAAGCACCAAAAGTTGAGCTTTGAATGTGCTTAGTGAAAATTGTAATTGTTTCAGTCTGATCAGCAATTTAGAGCTTCTATCTTTAATTAAATTTTAAGGCAAAATAATTAATCTACTTAGATATCTTCAATTGTTTTTAATAATTCAACATAATTTATTCCAGTTCTTTATTCTTGGGGACAATTTCTCTAATTAAATGAACTCACATTAAGCGATAACATATCCAATGATTTATTGGAAAATACTTGCAAGAAAATGTGCGCAATTTTAACAATTTCTTTGTCTTTTTATGCGCTAAGATTCCAATGATCAGGAATTCTTGTTCTATAAGTATTGTAGAGAATATTGGAAATTAAATTAAATTCACGCTGTGTCAATAGTCGGAATTGTCGGAATGGAAAATTATTTTTTCAAAACTGCCCCATTTTTCCCTACATTTTCTACCATTGCAACTTCACCCCATTTAATGGTACATCTTCACTGAGGAAGTGTGCCTCAGTTTCATCCTCATTAGAGTGTAATAAAAATCGAAGAAACTTCTCCAACAATCCTTGAGGGAAAGTTTTGCGCTGGAAGTGAAAATGCGGTCGATAAGAGTGAATTTTGCAAACTGCCGAAGATGCTGCGAATCCAATTCCAAAAATACTCTCAATAGAAGACCTTTTTGTCCCTTTTTGCCGACACACAATCCTCTCAAATGCATCGCGATGCGCATTTTATTTTTGGAATTGGAAGAAGAGCGCGCGTGAACATTCGCAGATGCAATTTTGCAGGAGATTTTCCGGGGGTTTTCCTTTCGGGGGAGGAAATTGATTTGGCAAATGGCGTCTGGCGAACCGGCGTGCCACCCACCCGAAAACCGCCCACCTTCGCCCATATTGAGGTGCAGACGAGCCGAAAGGCCATTGATTTTCACCGTGAAAATGCCTCAGCGAGTCTCTTGACAAAGGAAATGGGGTGGGAAAGTGTGAGGGAGGCGAAAAGTGTGATGAGGCTCAAGAATGTTGAGCCTCGTCGAAGGAAAATCAATGAATTCCAGGAGGTGAGCGATTTTTCCACGCAATTTTCCACCCCACGTTTTTTCATCTTCAATTCACGCTCTGACGGACATGAAAATCGGGTTGAATTTTTCAATTTTCACGCCATAAGCGTGAAAGAGACATTGAAGACTGCTCTTCATCACTTGAGATGTGATGAAATGATTATAAATGCGGAAAATGTGGACTTTTCTGTGGAAAATCAATCCCAAGATGGAAGCCGGCACTTGGCGAGTGTGAGAAAATTGCCCCAAAATCCCACCCAGAGACGTCTGCAGCGGAAAAGTGCCCCCAAATTCGGCGGAAAAGCGCTCGGACAGGAGTTGAGTACCTCTTGGTGTGTCTGCAGGAGTCAATTGGAGTCACCAGGAATCACCACACAGTCTTTTCCACAGACGGACAGAGTCACTGCACAGGAGCTTCCTCTCACCACGAGCACGCACGAACGAAAGAACAAATCTTCCACTGGCCGTCTTGCCGCCGCGATGCTCCTGCGCCGTGGCGCACCCGGAAACACTCGACTGCCGCCCGATCGATAAATAGATTCTCGTCAGCTCATCTCTCCATCTCACGGCGAACGAAAGCGCGAGTCGCGGGAAGGCGCTAAAGACGCTCCTTGGATTCAATTATTCTATTCTCAAATTCATTTACAAACACATCTTCGCTCTTCTTCGCTCATTGGTGGTTGGACCAGATGGGCAGGAAACTTCCCCAGCCGAGTCCTTCGCCGCCTCGCGCCACGGATTGCAGCTTCTGCGTCTCCTCCGGACTCAGCTTGAGGATTGTGTTGAGCACAGGCACGAGATGGGCTTTTTCATCGCCACTGCTGAGCGTTAAGAACTGCAAAAAGGAAGACAAAGTGTTTTCAGCTGTCTCAAAGTCTCACTTTCACTTTCACGCACTCACCTTGAACACGACGTTCTTCAGATACTCGGAGTTGTGCATATGCTCCTCTCGCTCCAGAGATCTCTGCTGGCGACGCACTTCCTCCTTCAGCATCTCGTTAAGCTGCGAGAGCTTGGCCAAGTCCTGCTCCGCCTCGGCCAGCAGCGCCGTGAGGTGCTTGATGTGGTTCTCGCTGGCCAGCAGCTTCTCTTGGGTGGCTTGGAGTTCCGCACTGGGTGAAGCGGATCCTCCAGCGGCGCCCTCGTGATCGTCAAAGGGCGAATTGAGGAGCTCATCGAGCGGAATCAAGTCCCTTCGTCCTCGGCTGATCTTCCTCGTCGCCACATTCGACGACTGTGAGGTGTTTTCCGAACCCTCGCCATCTTCGCGCTCCATCAGCATCATGTCCATCTTCTGCTCGTCCGTCGTGGCGAGATCGAAGGGGAATCTCGCGCGTTCCTCCTTGCGAACATCGGGAATGTTAGCCGCCTCCGCCACTGTTTCTGACTGAGCACGAACATTGGCTAATTCCTTCGAGTGCTTCTCTTGCAGATCATCCATCTGAATCTTGAAACACGCGTTCAGAGTGTCAATGTGCTGTCGCTGCACTTTCAACGCCTCCTGATGATCCTGAAGCTGTTTCTTGTTCGCCTCGATTAGAGTCTCGTTGGTCAAGCGCGTGTCCTCGAGTTGCGTTGTCAACTCCTTAAGGCGCGTTTGCGAGCGCATCTTGTCGTCCTGGAAGACCTTCACCATCCTGTCCAACTCGTCGTGCTGCTGCTTCAGTGCCCCGTGGCGCTGATTCAGGCTCTCAACGGTGCTCTGAAGCGCGGAAACTTCCTCCTCCAATTCTCGTTCGCGGCTCGTGTCCTTTGTCTCATGACGCTTCATGAGCACGGCCTGGGCGCGCACTTTGTAGCTGGAGAACTCCGCCAGCGTTTCCTCGAGTTCCTTTGCCTTGTCTGCCATCTCGTTGCGCAGTTTCGTAACTTCTTCCTCAAGATTGAACACTTGTCGTACGAATTTGTCTCGCTCAGCCTGCAGAAGTGATCCCACTTTCTCGTTCTCCTTGCCCTTCTCCGACAACTGGCCCTGGACCTCCTCGAGATCCTGGCGGCGATTCTCCATCTCCTTCGCTGCCTGGTCGAGCTTCACGCGCAATTCCGTCTTGTCGTGATCACTTTCCCGCAGTTTCTTCTGCTGCGAATCCACCTGCTTCTTCAGTTCCGTCGAGTGCACTTGCTCAGACTTTAGGCTCTCTTCCAGGACGCGAATCTGGTCGTTAAGCACCTTAATCGACTCACGCTGGCTCTCCAGACTCGCCTCCAAGTCCTGCACTTGATGCTTCTTCGCGTCCAGCTTCTGTGACACTTCATTCAGCGACTTCTCATAGGCGTCAATCTCCAGCGACAAGACGTTGGACTTCTTGGCCACAGCCTTGGACTTTTCCAGCTCACTCTTCATATTCTGCTCCCGCTGAACGGCTTCCTTATGCTGGTTCTTCGTCTCGGCCAGACTCTTGCGCATCTCGTCAATCTCCTTTTGCAGTTGTCGCTGCGTGATCAGGAATGCTTCCTTTTCCTTCTTCAGCGACTTCAGATCCGCCGCTTCTGTCGCACTCGAATCCAGCTTCTCAACAGTTTCCTTCAACTTATCATTCTCCTTCCTCAGGTTCTTCACTTCCGTCTCCAATGTTGTGATCTGGGCATTCTGATCACTCACTTTCTTCTTCAGCTTCTGCGCCAGCACTCGAAGTTTCGTGTATTTCTCCTCAAAGTTCTCCCCAGATTCCGTGCTGTCTTCCAAATGAGGATCAGGCGAGGAAATGGGTCGTTTCTGCGCCTCTTCAATCCTCTGCTCAGTTTCACTCAGCTGAAGGCAAAGCTTCTCATTCGACACTTGCAGATTGGAAATGGCTTCACCGCGCTCTTTGAGCACCTCGTTGATCTCCTTCATTTCCTTGAGCAGATCCGCATTCTCAAGTCTGTGCACTTTCAGTTCCTGATCTTTTTCTTGCACTCGAATCTCAAGATTCGACGTCTTGCCTTCCAGACGCTCAATCTCTGTCTGAAGCGACTCAATTTCTGTCTGATGCTTCTCCAGGATTGATCGCAGTTTCTCCTCAAAGGATTTACTCAAGTCCTCAATCTCCTGCTGATTTTGATTCTCCTGGCTTAGCTTATCTTCCAATTCATTGATTTTCTGCTGAAGAACATCCACTTGTTTCTCGTGATTTTCTCTCAGGGCATTGAATTGAGTGTTTTGCTCCTCTTTTTCGCTTAATTGGCACTCCAGAGCTCTCGAGTGTTCAGATAACTTAGTGACTTCATCCTGGAATCTCTGCATTTCGCGCATTTGATTCTCAATTATACTGTTTGATTGGCTTTCCAGGGATTCCGCCAGCTTCTCGCATTCCTCGTCCTTGGCATTGAGTTTTTCTGTGATGTTTTGCCGCTGGAATTCAGAGTCTTTCAGACTCTCTTCCAATTCCCTGAGTTTTAATTCAAGTTCCTGAATTTTTTCTCTGCATTCTTCCACTAATTTTGATTGATCGTCCTGATTCTGGCTTTCCTCGAGTTCTTTTATCCTCGCACTGAATTTTTCCATCTCTTTGTCTCTCTCCTGAATGAAGTGCTGCATTTTGCCGGCCACTTTCTGCATCTCACTTTGCCATCCGGGAATCGTCACGGAATAATCCTTGACAATCTCCACAACAATTTTGTAGGATTGCTTCAGTTGCTTCACCTTCGACGACATCTCGACGATTTTCCCTCTGTAAAGCTTCATCTTGGCAGTGGATTTTTCCTTCTCCTTCTCAAGGGTTTTCAAATCCTCCAGCAATTTGGAATTTTCCTCTGAAACCTGGGAAAGTTTAGCACGAGTTTCCTCCAGCATTTCACTGTCTTTCTCCCTGTCGCTCGTAGCTTCTCGCAATTGGTGCAGGAGATTCTGCTGCTCCACGCCAATTTTGCTCACTTCCTTCAGCTTCACATCCATGCTGGTCACATCCGCCGCCAGAGAGTCATTCTCATCCGTCAATCTGTTGATTTGCCGCTTCAGAGCCTCATTCTCAATCGACAAGCCCTCATTTTCCCCCGAAAACTCCTTCATTTTCCCTTCCAGAGTCTTCATCGCACCTTCAAGCTCGCTAATTTTGATTGCGGCACTCAGTTTGTTCTCGGTCAGCGACTCCACAACTTCCTGCATGGCTTTCAAGCACTTCTTATCAGCACTCTTCTGTGATTCATAGTTATTGATGTCTTCCTTCAGGTTCTTGTTTTCCTCCGCCAATTCTACAAATAGAAACCTTATCAGTTGGAAAAGCGCGTGAATTTCCTCGACACTCACCCTCCTTGGATTGCTTAGTCTTCTGGATGAGGCTCAAGAGGAATTTGCATTTCCTGACCAGATCCTCTCGAGACATGCCCTCGAAAGGACTCGCCTTCTTTTCACCCGAGGCGCCCTGAAAATTGTGATTTTATCAAATTCTCTGGACAATTTTTGGAATTTCTTGTCTTCTCACCTGCTCTGGGCTGTCTTGATTCATTGTCACTCTGTTTAGGGGACTTGTGGATAGGATTTGATGAAAATTGACCAGGATTTCCTGGAAATTTTCATTTTTCAACACTCCACGTCAAGTGACTTTGACGTCTCCAGGCGCCCTGTAAGAAATTACAAAGAATTCCATGGAAATCTTCAAAGAATGTCTCTTGAAATAATGATCACAATAGAACTTATTTACAAGAACTCCATAAAGAAGTCGCATTTGAAATTAGATAATGACAAGGAAACAGCAAAATGCTAGTCATTATTTGCAGAATTTGCTCTAGAGAAGAATCAACATTATTGTGCTACGAAAGTCCATTGAGCTTTCTATGGACATTTGCGATAGGGTGTCAAGTCAAAAACGTAAACATTGCGTGAAATTGTGATTCCTCCTGGAAAATGATGGAAAACTGCGAGTACAACTCTGAATATACAAACGACAGCTTATCAACAGCTGGAGAAGAAGTAATTGAAGCCCCAACACCAGAATATCTGCAGAGAAAGCTGTATTTCCTGTTGGAACATCTCAAGACTTTTCACGCTGACCTTCCTGAGTGAGACTTCCTGGAAAATCACCCAATATCTCTGAAAATTCACACATAACACTTTCTAGAGCATATCAGATGAGAATCCCATACGAACTACTCACTGGACTGGCGAATTCCCTGCTCAACGACACGATATTTGAGATTGTGAAGGGTTTGATGGAAATCCAGCACGTCACGGAAAAGCACCTGGAGCAGCTCAGGCTGCAGGTGGAGACTGAGCACAACATTGAGGTGCAAGAGTGGGTGTCGAAGATCCACGACGAGGAGGAGCTGGAGCACATTCTGAATCTCATGAAGATCAAGCACAGCCAGAAGCTGAAAGAGACTGACATCAAACTTGTGCTGCATCTTGACCAGAAGGTCAAAGATCAGCAATCCACGCTCGAGAGGGCGGGAGTTCCTGGCTTCTACATCACAGACAACCCCAAGGACATCAAGATTCAGATGCACTTGCTGGACTTTATCCTGCGGCTTAGCAATATGAAATTTGAAGGCAAATAAATATTCGGTTTGAAATTCGCGCTCTTTTGGAAAGTCGCTCAGTTTCGCTGAGTTTCTGTCACGCAATCGGAGTGCACGTGAAAACGTAAACAGTGGAAAATCATGTCCAAATACAAGAGTTTGATAAATCTGAACACCCCGTACGCCCAGAGGATGAAGTACCTGTCTAATAAGATCTTCGGCGAAGTCGCCAGGCCCACAAACTCCAAGTCCATGAAGGTGGTGAAGATGTTCAGCGCGCTGCCGGTGGAGAAGAACGATTACTTCGTGAATTACTATCCTCGGCACGTGGAAGTGGGCTGGCTGATGAGACACCTGAGATCCTACGGCCTCTTCCGCGACGAGCATGAGGACTTCAAGGAGGAGATGAAGAGATTGCGCGCCCTCAGAGGAAAAGCACCTCCGCCGAGAGGTGCAGGCAAGAGGGCGAAGAAATAAGGTCCAGGAATTCTTCCTGGACAACCAAGGATGATTTGTTGCATAGCTTTTGTAGGTAATTTAAAGGAAATGTGTAAGAAAATACATGAAAATAAATTCAAGGAAATAACCTGAAAAACCGACCACTTTCTGAGAACAGCGCCTGCGACGACTGGTATCTGAAGTTTTGATTTGAAATACTGGCGAATAGGAAATTTCAACGATTCCCAAGAGTTTTCCTCTTCAAAATTACAATTTTCTGCTTTTATAAAGAATCTATTATCCAGATCTTCTTGCACAACAGCAAAAAAGACTTAGTTTTAGATCACATACTCAGAAAAATGAGATTTCTACGATGTTTTACAGTGAATTTCACAATTATCACAACACCTGAATATCAGAGAAGGTAAATTTGGCACTAAATCTATTCCCGAGCGGGAGAGAAAGTTGACGAAATATCTCAGGAAGTGTTCATAACTGTTGAGCGCCGATTGTAGCCCTTCCGGGATTCAGTAGCTCCCTGAGCTTCGCACTCCTTCTTTACCCTGTCGATAATTTCCGCCACGAGTTGCTCGTCACGTTTTCTCTGTTTTTCCCACGAATTCCGGAAGATGATCTCCTTGACTCCTTCAGGAAATGCCTCCTCCTTGACAGTCACTTGAGCGGGAAGAGCTTCGTGTGCGCTGGAGTGACGACTGGCCAGGTGTCCGAAGTATCCTTTGCGGGATTTGAAGAAGGCGTTGCACTGATCGCACTGGAAGATTGCACTGGGACTTGAGGAAGCGCTGGTGGGATTGTGAATTTTGTACTTGTGGCGGTACCAATGCGTCCTGCTGGACAGAATCTCTCCGCAAATCTTACAGACGACACTTCCGTCTTCCCGGATGAGGTAATCCAGGAGATCCGCCTTCTCTTGAACGCTTTGTTGGGCTTTTTCAGCAATTTCTGGGGCAGATTCTGACTTTGGCTCACTGTCTTTGACTTTGCTCTGCTTTTCTGCGAAGATATTTACTACCAAAGCCGGTGGGCAGGAACTGAAGTCTGAAGGTTTGTCTGCAAAGGCAAGAAAGTGGATGAGTTCGATGAGGTGAAATTGTCAAAATGGGCAGGGCTTTTGAGTGGGCGGAGTCTTTATAACTGGAGATTGGCCTATCAGACAGCGGAGAACTCTAAAAGGGAATCTTCATTAGATATTTCAATGAAAGTCCATGTCCGATCATTTAATATGAAATTTATTACAAAAAACTCATTCATTTTTGTCTCGTCTGCAATTTCTTTCACACCATGTTAAATAACTTCTCAATTGTATTCTTACAAGCATTTTTCCATCTATTTTTATAAGGTTTTTCTTTTCCTCAGTGCGAGTAAAAGAAACGGGTAAATACTTTTTTCCATTTTGGGTTTTTTTTTTTTACTAAATTTTCATGATGAAGTTGGTGAAGAACAAAAGTATAAAACACCTTTTCTATACAAATAGTTTCTCATCTGACTCGGAGGTGTAGATATACAAATATATATAAAGATTCCATTTGCTTTTCTTGTTTTAATAATATTAATTTAAATAAATTGAAATTCACACGCACTCAAAACACACAAAATTGTTTTAATTTTTTGTTCACTTTACAATATTTTTTTTTACCTCTCTCTTTATTATTAATGTGTGCGAAAAATTACAAAGTTATTATAGAATTATTTATGAAAAAAATATTCACTGGATAAGGTCAGTAAATTGGTTTTCCTTTCCGCGAATTTTCCCAAAAAAAATGTGTAAAAACAATTAAGGAGAAAACTAGATGAAAAACGGGTGCGTTTTTCAGAAGTAATGAATCAATTGCCAATTTGTCCCTCTTTGAGGTTCCCTCACACATTTTCTATACAACTAGAATTAATATGTAGGTTATTTAAAAAGAAAAAAAAAAGATTGTATAAAAGTACTTTAACCACCCGTTAATGAAACTTTTACTCTCTCATCCACGCTTCGCTTTCGCACTCAAAAAAAATCATTGCACTGTCCTTAATGTTGAATATAGGCTTGAAAAATCATGAAAAAAAAATTGAAAATCGGTTTTTACAGCACGTGAAATTTCTCTTTTATTAGCCTAACATTCTAATATATACTCACTTCGCGTCATTGAAAATAATTATATAGTAGAAAATAGAAAATAATTAATATTTTTAATATTTCCAAAATAAAAAAAGAAACATTATTACTAGCGTAATATATTGCTTTTAATTTTTCTTCTTTAAATTACTATATTCTGAAGATTTCCCTCTTCATGGTTACTTCCTTCTTCTCCTTCTCCCGTCAATGCTTTCATTTATAAATTAACTTTTAAATATTACATTTTCACATCGGCATTTTACAGCTCCAATGGCACAAATCTTTTAATTTAAAAGATCTGCTCGACGAACCAAAGAAGGTTTTGCTAACTGACCAACTTTTTATGCATGTTTCTAGTTGTGTGTGTGTTTGTAAATTTAAACCATTCACTGAAGTTAATAAACCGCACTCAGAATTAGCAAAGAAATATACAAAAAAAAAAATCTATAATCATGTGAAAAAAAGATAAATATAAGCTATACATTTTATTTGCTAAAAATAGTTCTTTTCTCCTTAAAAGTTATTTGTTATTTGTTGCTTTTTGTTGCCGTTTTTCCTCATTTTCCTATCATTATTATCTTCACACTAAAACTTTTTTCCGTTTTTTGTTATTTTCTGTGCAAATATTTTAGTACATGTCATTGTTTTTTTTGTCTATACATTTTCTTTTAAATTGTATGTACAGAAGAAGATTTCATTAAAATATTATTCAAAAAATAATAATTATCACAAAATTAAATAAAAAAAATCGAAAAACTCTCTCGATTTTCCCTATTGTGAGTTTGCTGAGTTTGAGTGTTAGCAAAGCTTAGCTTTTGATTTTTTATTTAATGGTTTAATTCTCAAAATGTTAATTGTGTGGAGGTTAAGAAGGCAATTTCTCGGGTTTGATTCGTGTTTTTATTCCTTTTTTTTCTTTATTTAGTGATAAACCTTTCCCACTCTATAATAATAAAAAAAAATTTCACAATATATAACGTAAATTGATGATAAATTGTTTTAATTCAAGTTCAATTGGGACTAAGAATTTGTCTTACGTTCAATTCCTCATGTTTTCCTTAACAACCCCATGGCATTTTTCTTCCACTTTCCGCGGTATTTCACTTAGATTTCCCTCGAAATGGTTAATTTATGCTAATTTGTACTCTCTTTCTATGTGATATAGTTTTTCTTCTTTATTACACTTCAGTTTGTTTATGCGTGTTTTTTTTTCTTTCTCTTAAAAGGTCAGTATTTTTTGGAGCAAATTGACTTCTAAAAAGCGATAGACTTCAGTTTTAATTCACTTTTCTTTTTTGTTAAGGTAATTCAAATTTAGAAAATAAAAGATTTTGTGTTCTGGACTTCAGGAGTGAGATAAGAAATTTGATAAGAACAAAAGTCTTCTCTCTCGCGCGAGAGCTGGAAGAGAGATAGTCAGTCAGAATGTTGATCATTTAAGGCACTTTAGCACCACGGTCTCTTCGAAGTCTCCCGTGAACTGTGCTGCTGATGAGGAGAAGGAAGGATGCTGAGAGATTCCTTGTCGTGTCCGGATTGTTTTACATGGAGGTCTTCTGTGGACTGGCTCTCCTCCATTGGAGATAGTAACGTCTTGCGCGTGGATCACAGGAGATCACTGGGTGTTTTCCTCTTGGCAGCAACACAACACTCTCTGTCTTTACTGAGTCGCAGTGTCGATCTTCTCCAGCTTCTGCATGCTGGCGTTCTCCAGGCCGCCGCCCACGAGGAAGTTGAGCGGATAGACGCAGTCCTTGGGCATGTAGCACTCGTGTGTGGTCTTCATGTGGTTCTTCATCTTGTCCGGCCGCGAGAACTCCTTGCCGCACACCGGGCACGGGAAGACCTTGCGCTGCGTGCCCTCGTGGTACAGGAAGGCGTGCCGCTGGAAGCTGTACTTGTTCTTGAACGTCTTCTGGATGTTGTCCTTGGCGCACTCCGTGCACTGGTACACGCCCTCGTTGATGCTGGCGTAGCGAAAGAGGTTCAGTCCGCGCACGCTCATCTCCGTCAGCTGCTCCGCGGGATCGTCCACCGCCGAGTTGGCTTTCCGCCGTATCCGCCGGCGCACGGGCTGCCGCCCCGACGTGGGCGTGCTCGTGGTGGTAGTGGAGGCCGTGGTGGCCGAGGCGACGGAACTGCTGGTGGCGGGGGTTTCGGCGGGCGGCGTCATGGCCAGCGTGGCCGGCGACGAGTGCGACTGCGGCGACGAGGCGCCCTCGAGCGTCAGCGAGTTGTTGTTGAGGCTGTCGTGCTGCAGGTGCAGCGCGTTGGGCAGACTCATGGACGACGTCTGCGTGATGGGATTCACGCGGATCTTGATATTGGGCACTGACTTGGAATCCTTGGGCTCCTGCTTGGGCACAATGTGGCTGCCCGACTCCAGAATCACGTCATCTGCGAGGCGGTCAAACAAAAACAAAAAAAGAACCAAATTAAATAAAAAAAAATACAGAAACTAAGGAAAACCTTAATAAAAACGATAAAAATCAACCAAAGTCGGAACATAAGCTTAGGTAATCGAAAAAATCAGGTTTAAGAAATCAACAGCCCAGCTAGACTAATCGTAGATACCTAGACTTTTGGTATGTTGTGTCAGTAAAGAATTTGAAGGGGCTTTGGAATATTTTATAAAGTAGGGGATGTAAAATATTAGAAAATATCTGGAATTTTAAAAATATCAATTTTAAATTAAAAGCCACAATGAAGTTAATGATTTTGGAAATGGTAAAAAGTAAAGAAATATTCAGAGAAATTGTGGTATCAAATAATAATGACACAAGGATTTCCAGAACGCCTAGATAGAAAAATACAAAGTTAACCTAAAAATCTTTCATATCTTAAACTAAATGAAAGAAAAGAAACGAAAAATCAAAATCAAAGACCGAAACAAGACGACAAAATGGGAATCGAAACGAAAAAATATTGTGGATTAAATTTTGATTACTTTTATTTACTATATTTTGCCAAAAAATATATGTATATAGATGTAAATTATATTTATTGGGTGTGTGTGTCTACTTCACTTTAATAAGAATTACTTCATCTTTTATCTCTCTTTTTTTTAAATTATCTCATCAGTATTGTGTTGTGTAGTGTGTTTTTTTATAAAGAGACATAATAATATAATAGAGAAAAATAAATTACACCTTTACAAAATAAAAACCCATAAATTAAATTAAAAATTAATAACGTATTGGAAGGTTTTCTTTCATCAGCTTCAATATTTTTGCATTCTGTCTTCTATTTATAATTATGTAAAAAAAAATTTCCTCTACGCGCTTCATTGCATATTGGATCGGGGCGTTTTTTCTCATGTTCTTTTGGGATCTACTAATCCTAAAAATATGTATTGTGCAAAAATGTACAAAGAAATATATAATAAAAACAAATAAAACATAATAAATCTTTGAGTGCAGTTTTAGAAATAAAAATTACATAAGATAGAGAAATTTTTTTTTTATCTTTCCAATAAATATTATTTCTTGTTCTTCTGCGTGCGAAGAAGTCGAATCTTATGGATTTGTTAAATGGACAATAGTAAATTGATGAAGAATCTAATTCCGTTAATCCTTCACGCTATTTTATGATTTTACCTCTTCTCTTTATGTTTTATTTTTAATATTAATTGCTACTTTGTATAGTTCTCTCAAATTCTTACCACCTAAATTGCACTATCTATGTAAAGAGGACTAAGAAAAATAAGAATTCCTCAAATAAAACGATAGTTAGGGATTTTTTTTTCAATTGAAAAGTGCATCAACGATCTTTGATTTTTGCTCAATTCGATACAATGTTTTATCTATTTTATTTTTCATAATCACTTCTTTAGTGTTTTTCCTTCAGTGTCCCGTATTAAATTCCAGGTTGATCTTAATAGTTGTTTTTTTTAAAGAGAAAATCATGAAGAAAAAAACTTGTTAGAACCGCTTATCTAATCCTTATTAAAAATATTCAAAAATGTTCACTGCGTGTGATTAATAAGTTCAATTTTGTCGGGAAGAATATTTCAACAAGGCATCTTTTTCAGTCTGTAAATATTTTCTTTAATTGTATACTTTTCTTCTTATTGTCGTCATTTAATAATCAATTTGATATCAAGATATCAAGTCAAGATTGATAAGGCCTCTGAGGAGAGCTCGAATTCTTGGTTTCTTTCCACTCTTTTTTTTCATAATTTCTCCGCATTAATTATGTTAATTATTACAGAAAAAAAGTGCCATACACTCGATTGGATCACAGGATGTCAGTCCCAGATAATATTCAATTATATTTACTGTAATTCCCTAGTTTTTGTTTTCATTTAAAAAACATTTTACAAAGTTTGGCCGAGTAGAATTCAAAAAAGTTGGTGTTGTTGAAAAAAAAAGAGAAATATTAAATGGAACATGGACATATTTGATTAGTTTATAAAGTTTCTTTCTTTAAAAATTATTTAACAAGTTTAAATGGTATTATTTTATCTTGTTTTATTTTTCCTTCACGTCTAGTGTTTAACAAATTGTACTCAATTTCTACAGAATATATTTTTTTTATATTAGTTTTCAATATTTTTTCTCGTTCTTCTTCTTCTTCTAAAATTATGCATCATAAACAATCTCTAAACTCATTTTTCACTATTGTCTTGTCTAAATATTTTGATCCTCATCATTTCAAGTTATAATCCTTTAACTTGTTTGTTTTTGCGATAGTTTACACAATAATTAAATGTTGTTTAATTACACAAATTACTATACCTAGAAAAATACCCTTTTGAAGGAATGATATTTTTTTTATTTTAGCATATAAACCTCTAGATAAACAAACTTCTAAACGTATAGTATCTTGCTTTCTCGTGTCCATCCCAAAATGTGAAAAGCGCTGCCACACTCAACAGCCATATTTCTTAGTTAGATTAAACATCCTCTACTAATAACCAACTTCTCCTAAGGTTATCTCTAGTTCCCCAATTCTCGAAAATCATACATTCTCCTCGTGTTGTCTTAGCAATTGTAATAAGTTCTACTTGTAATTTAAGGTACACAGGTTGATTGATTGTTTCTCTTTCACTCGTGGTCGCGGGGCCGACGGCAGCCTAGGCGCGCTAGGCTACTGGCCCTGGCTCGTGGTCGCCGACACTGCGGCGCCGCCGGCGGTGGCGGAGCTGTTCTCCAGCTTGTGGATGATCTTCACGTGCGCCGTCATGTTGTCCTTCCGCGTGAACTCCTTGAAACAGTACGGACAGGGATACACCTTCACGTTGCGCTTGTGCGACGTGACGTAGTGGCGACAGAAGTTGCTGATGTGCGTGTACACGCGCGAGCACACCTTGCAGCGATACACGTGATCGCCCTCTTTGGTACAGAAATCCCTGACGGAGCCCTCGGAGTCATCGATGATGTACTTCCCGCTGCGATTGCTCGTGATCTGCGGCTCGATCTTGATGGTGGTGCTGGACTGCGGCGACGTGGAGGCGGACGCCGAGGCGCCGCTCGACGTGAACAGATTGGTGGAGAAGATGTCGATGAAGTCATTGTTGTTGAGGTTCCCAAACACATTCGTCACCTGCAGCGTGCTGGCGCCGCCCTGTTGCTCCCCTGAGATGCCGTTCTGCTTCACTTTTGGACGTTTCTGTAGCTTTGGTAGGTTTTTCTGGGGCGCCAGGATGTGATGCTGCAGAATTGGCGTCAACTTTGGCATCTCCAGTTGAACGGTGGTGCTTCTCGTGCCCGACGCCGCGCCCTGCTCGCCGGCGGGCGGCGGCGAGGCCGAGTTGGGGTCGTACTTGAACTCCACGGGCTCATCGTACTCGTCCAGCATCAGTTGGGGCTCCATAAACGTGGCGTCCATTGCACTATCGCCGTCTGATCCGTCATCGGCAAACCGATCACCTGCAAAACGCCCAAAAACACACATTTACTCTGTCTCACAGCCACAAGTATCTCAAGCATTTCATCTCTCCAGTTGATCTTGAAATCCCACCACAATCAAATGACAATGAAAAGTTTGTAGGAAAAGCTATAGGGATTTAAAGCCTTTTTGTTTCCGCATGTCGGTGTATCGAATTCAATCATATCACGTCGGCCAAAAATCCCTAAAGCTCTATTTCCCTATTTCGATTTATCATTTGATCGAGCGAGAAAGTTGTCGCAAACGAAAACAAATTGCAAGAACAAGGGAGAGACAAAGTGAATCCGACTCACCTGCCGACTTGACTGATATTCGATCCGATCACCATTTTTTAAAACATTACTTTTCTGCGTGATCAAATGTCTTTGAAAATACAGACAACTTTAGAGTCTTTTCTTTTTTTCTTTTCTTCTTCATTGAATCTCGTGAAAACCGCGCGAAATCTCAAACACTATGACGCGTTGCTTTACAAATCCCATTAGCTTTTCCGACTTTGTTTTTTTTTTGGTTATCATATTGCATTTCTTTGGAAATATATCTATCTTTTTTTTTCAATGTTACCCTGCGAGAGAGTAATATTATTAGTGATGCAGCAATTGAAGGGAAAAAAGTCCTTCATTCACACCAATCCTCAGTCAATCTCCGTTCAGACACTCACCTGAGGTACTGTTGTCTTGATCCTTTCGCGGACTCGGCTCTTTCGACGTCGACGCGGCGGGATGAGACGCTGACTTGCTCTGTTGCGACTCTGACGTGTCCATTGCTTCCTGCAAGGCAGAGAAGAGAAGGATTAGGATTAGTCGAGAAGATCATTTTGGCCAGCATCTCAGCAGTGAACTTACTTGATTGGAGTCCTGATCAGCGTCATCTCGGTTGGGATTGTCGTCGGATCCTTCATTGCCTGAATTTGAGTACATGTCCGTACCCATCTTCACCTCCAGCAGTTCAGGCGAGCCCTGGATTGAAAATACAGCGTTAGGATCACTCGACCTCGAAAACACACACACACTCTCTGTCAGCGACTTACTTGAATGAGATTATCTCGCGACTCGTAGTCATCATAGTCATTTCCGGCGCCGTTCGAGCTGCCCGACAGCTTTCGAGGCCGCCCTCGTTTCCGCTTGGGCATGGTGAGCGCGCTACCCAGCAGTGGATTGCTCAGGAGCATCCCCTGTTGCTGCTTCCGCTGCGCCAAGTAGGGATGGATTCTGTGCAACTGAGGCGGGGGTGGTGTGTGAGCGGGTCCCATGGGCCTCTCGTCGTTTACCTCCGTGAGACCCTTTATCCGTAAGCTCTCCGCTACCCTGAGGAAGGCCGTGAGGCGCTCCTGGTCAACAGACACCTCTCCCCGGTACATGAAGTCCAGCAGGCTCTTCATGTCGGCGAACGGCACGTCCTTCAGTATAACGATGGGGTGCTTCTCGGGGTGGTTGACGAACAGCGCCTGGAAGTAGGGACTGCACGCCGATAACACCATCTGCGGAGAGGAAGTGGAGAAAAGGGGGCTGTTAAGGGTATGAGCAAATCAATTACTCCTATCAGTGTGTGTCAACAGAGCAAGACAGACCCTGTTTTGTTGGCTGTGCCAGAGCAACAGAGTCGCGATAAGTCCTTTCTCCGATAAACTCCTTATCAAGCGTGGCTGTAAAAACCTCCCCAGAATTACTCATATCGACCGCACACAGAGAACTCTTTTTTCCATGCCCGCAAACTCCCGATAGCAACTCAGGCGACCAATATTGGATGGGAGAGAAAAAAATATTGCTTACCTTGTGAGCTTTGAGGTATTGTCCTTCGACCGCCAACGTGACATCCGTGAACGTTTCAGCGTGTAGCAGTTGATCGAAGACTGATAGTAAATTAGTTTGATGATTGTTCCATCGGAGACAAAATCTTTGGGACGTCATTTTGCTATTTGTGTAACAAATGTATGCCTATTTGTTGTGTAGAGGTGGAAGAAAAATGGGAAGAATGAGACACAAGGCGTTGTTTAACGCCTGCGAGCACTTCCACGCAATTGTCTCTCCTCGTGAGCAAACACTCCTGTTCTCTCTTCGCGTCCAATTTACACCTTCTGCTGGTCACAAATGGAAGAATTTTTGCGAAAAACGCCGTCACAGAGTTGCGAATTGATTGCTTCTCGAAATTACGGTCTGGAAGAGTCTCTCGTCCTCACTGCAAGTGCACAGAAAATACGAAAAATCGAGTTAGAATGGCTGATATTCTTCAGGCATATATCCTGATCGATCCTCTTAGGCGACTGCAGCGCCCTCGATCGAGGAAAAGCAATGGGCGGCATTTATGAACAATAATATGTGTGGAATTCGAGTTGGACTTGATATGTTTTGAATTTACATATTGTGAATTGATTTTTTTACACAAAATATTCTTCGTATTTCTCTTGTGGATTTATTGATTTATCCTTGACGATTGATTCTGTAGAATCCCACTCCACCGCATGTTCCCCTCGTAATCGCCTCCATCTCTCTCTCCACTCTAATGAAGCATTTTTATGGAAGAAAAAAGGCTGTGTGTGGCACACATGTGAGCTAAACGTCTTATTTGATAGTCGTGCAAATTGCGTAATAAGAGATCCAACAGAACACACACACAGCGGCAATCACACTGAATCTACAGGTGTCGCTTTATTGAGGCCTACGCAGTCCGTCTCTGTCTGGCGCACGGCCCAGCACGGCAGGTTGTGTGCGGCTCTCAGGCACGCACGCCGTCTCGCTCGCACTCTTGTCCATTCATGTGACTTTGAGCGCCGAAGAGGCAGCAATAAAAAGAGATGGGCGAAATATGAATGGACACAGTTAGGGAGAAGCGAGCGCGCGGATGGTGCGAAAGAGATGGGCGAAAGGCCAGTTTTTCATAGGTGTGCGCGCGCTGTTAAGCATTTTTTTTTCAAGTCATTTTTCCACTATTTTATATACAACAAGTCAACTTGAAATGTAAGCAAGTTTAAAATATGCAATTTTCTCTCTTGTCCAATTTATATACACAAAAATCGGTGTGCAAAGTGCTGAAATCTTGATGATGATGAAGACAAAAAAAACGCGCTCGCGAGTATATAAAAACACAAATGATTTTCTGGCCATTGTACATAGAATGTGTGTCACGTGTGGATAATTTACAATAAAACATTTTATTTTTAATGCACTTTTTCTGTAGCTGTGTATAATTTGTTGTCGCTTTTGCCTCATCTTCCGCCGGACTGGCGAGATGAGAGCGACAGAATGTGGGTGATGGGTTAAGTAATTACTGCCGAGGGAGTGCCTCTCTCCTACAAATCAGCACAGGCCACGGAAGACAAGGCTATTTATACCGCGCAGATCCTCGTGAATTCCGCAACCTCCAAAAGAATAAAAGAGACATCCCACCCAATTTGCCGAAATTGAATTCAACATTAGGAGTCAATATGAAATTGCGTCACTCGGACGGAGTGGACCAGGCGAGGAAAAACAATTTGAGTGCGCGATGAGTCACGAGTTTTTTTCCAGTGTAGCTTTTTGGTGGGACAACTGAGCATTTTTTTCGTGATCCTGCCGCCATTTTAGCGCGCGCGATCCACGCAATTGTGGATCTTTGTGACTTTTCTCACTCGGCTCTCGCTTGATTGCCGCGCTCGCGCCTACTTCGTGTGGGATTTTTCACCCACAGTCAGCATAGGGTGGAGCGGGGCACTTTGGAGACGGATTAGGGCTCTTCAAATCACATACGCATGCAATCTAATGCATGCATAAAAAACTTTCGAGTGTATTTTGGACATGCGTGATTTTCTTAGATGAATATTTGTTTCGTGCACGAAGGAAACCGAGAAATTGCTGCTTTTTTACACAAAATTGTAGTGTTATTTTGGTTTTTCATGTTACTGTAAATATTTGGACAGCATAAATGACAGCTTTTTAAGTGTTGCAAAACGATTGAAAGTATTTTTTTTCTTTTCAAGTAATAAAGCAGCAAAAACTGTTTTCTTTAGTCTGCTAAAATAAATGCTGAAAACCGGATGTAGCTTTGGCATTAAGATGCACGAACAGCATTGAAAAACATGATCAGTTTTGATGAATCTAAAAGTTTATCAGGATCTATCAAAATAACATCTTTTCTTCAATATATTTCGGAAAGTATTTGTTTTCGTCTAGCTACACTGCGCCCGAAAAACCCCGCTCTCCACTACACTACATGTGTGTGATATACTTAGATCTCGAATGGTGTATCCTCTAGCTTTCATGGTGGGTTTTTCTCACCACTGCCTTTGTCGAAAGGGTGGGGAGAGTAATGATAGGTTGGGAAATGTGGAAATTTTTACCTCCCAGAAGTGACAAGTTAATTGCGGCGACGAGAGATTCAGCGCACTTGTCCGGCACAGGGACTTTCCACAACACGCTGGACTTTTCACTTCCTTGGGCCGCGTTTCGGGTGAGAATTCCTGGCCAGAGCCAGAAGTGCGTCGGAGTTTGGCAGCACGCAGGGGAATTCGTGGGCTATTTCAGGAGGGTAGAGAGCGACACGCGGACGAGAAGAGTGTGCGATCACTCCTCAGAGGATATTAATACTGAGAGAAGAGAGCGCGCTTGGGAGGGATGAAAGTCTCTCCTCAAAATAGATGACGACACTGTATAAAAATTCCGCAGCGCGAGGCAGAATATCCCACCGTCACGCTTATTTACTGATGGGGCGCCCGTGTGTGTGTGCATGGATTGAAATTCCCCATGGAGGCACTCGAAACGGGGCTCGCACGAGCACTGAGGTGTGGCGGGGCGAGGCGGGGAGCGAGAGAGCCCCAACATGGATGCCAAGTCAGCAATCCACTTGTATCCCTTTCGCTCGCACGCCTTCCGCATCGCAACATTTCACTCTGTCGCCCGTATTCAAATAGGATTGGGGTTAAGTCGCTCTCGCGCTCTCTCGCGCTCGCTCTCGCCACTCGGCGAATGTGGGCAGGATACTTTTGGGGCATGCAATTGATACTTTCGACGTGGACTCGGTGATTCTGTGGGGTTTCGCCTGGTTTGCCGTCAAAGCGCGCGATCATTAAATACGATCGTCCGCACGAAGGGAGGCGTACTTTGCGGTACAAGTCACGATTAACACACATCGATGTGGTGGTGGGTAAAATGTGAAATCATCAGCCAATTCTCTCAAGTGTGGCAATCACGAGGCTTTTTCCCGTTCGACATTGTGAAAATACTGTAGAGCCTCTCCTTGCTTCCTAATCAACTCTCACACGAGCAAAGCGATCAATTTGTGAGTTGGGATTTTCGTTTATTTGCCCAATTGTGGCTATTTTTCTGGTTATATTGCTCGCATATGGCCAGGAGAGAGCTTCTATAAGAGCCTGGACGATCATATACGTCCGCCTAGAATGCTTAGATGCCGATTGGAGGACTGAAACCGAACATAACCTGAGCAGGGGTGGCTAATTGCATCTGATACGCGCACTGGCGAGACGTCTTTTCCACGAAGTGGTGTTTTATCTCGATGAGAGTGCGGGAAAGTAAGGAAAAAGCAGCTCGGCTTATCAAATTCCTGTATCACACACATGCACACACACTTTATGGCGTGGCGGGTAGATAATTTTTTCGCCTCGTAATCTCTCTTCCTAACGCGCTGGTGGAGGGGTTACACCAAGGACACCTCCCCTCGCGCCGCTCCCCACTTCGGCCGCATGTGTGTGTGCATGACTTGGGGAAAAAGTGCCAATTCACCACTACTGGTCATCCCGAGTGATGCTCGATTCGCCCTTCGGTGGAGCACACGATCGGCCCACGACGCTCGCACGATTCCTAGAGAGTATGTTTCCAAGTGGGAAGCCTGTGTGAGTATGGCGCAATTACAGAATATCCCACATCGCGCTTTTTGCGCCACGGGCCTGAAAAAAGCACACACAAGCTATGTCCCAAGAGGGAGTAACTGCGGTTCGTGATGTGCGCAGTGAGTTTCCTCCTCACTTTGGAGTCATCGCATTAAATATTTCCACGTTCAATTGCCATTTTCCATCCTCTTTCTCACCACTCCACCTCGCCCCAGTGGCCGCTTTGTTTTTCAAATAGAGGCTGCCTTCACTTCGCCAGCAATGTTAATTGGAGAATTTTTTTTCCATATTCCCCCCTTGGGCGAAGCAAGAACTGGTGGTGAGTGTGTGACCAGAGGCTCCAACTTGTGGAACGCGCGAGTGCGCAAGGCGAAAAGGAGAAATCTGAGCGCGCTTGCGTGTTAGACTTTCATGGGGTGAAAATTGTCCGCCGAGAGTGGACATCTTGCTGTCGGTCAAAGTGTGACCTCAATGGGAAAATGTCTTCAGAGTGCTTTTCCAACCCAGCATGCCAACTTTTCTCGCGCTCTCATGTCAATTGAGTGGGCAAAGAGAAGAAATAATGACGAAATTGCTTATGTTATTGACCCAAATTCCGGCTAAAGTCCTTCTCTAGTGGAGCGCATTTGGCTCCAGGGTGGGGATTACCAGCTCCACAGCCATAGACTTCGGTATCTCCAACACAAGTGGCTTTTTTCACAACTCCTCTTCTCATCGCTGTTTTTCTTTCATTTCTTCGCGCGCCACCTTATAAAACTTACTCCGTTGCGGACATCGAGAGGAGTGTGTGCTGATGAAAAGGAGAGAGAGACAGAAAAAAAAACACGATGCAGACTTTCTAAAAATGCTCAGCCCAATAAAATTGCCTTAATAGTGGTGGAAATCTCCAAAGTTCATTTGAATTCCAATACATGAGCTCTTTTCTCACAAAATCATCCCACACACGTGTGGAGCTCCTCCAAACGCCTCCATCGCTGCTCTCCGAGTAGGGCAGCGTGGGGAATTTGTGGCATAGAACAATTCTGCTGGCAGATCGCGCGGTGTTAGGAGTGGGAAAAGCTTGTGATTCTAACATCGACTCTGAAAGATTCCTGTAAGATGGGGAATTGTGCACACAGCACAATTTGTTGTGGTGGCGAGCGCCCCGTCCTCCCCTAAAGCCTGAAACCGCGACGCAGTGCTCAAATATAGAAAGATCCTAACGTGCCTCACGCCTCTCAGTCGCTCATGAGGATTGCTAAAAATAGCCTTGACTGCGCCATTATTGTAGGGGAGAAGGATATTCACCCCTTTTTTATTCACCACACTTTGCGCGTCGTGCGCGGCTCTTGGCCTGCTTCCCAGGGGCCATCTTGGAAAATGCACATGGGAAAATATTCTGTGCAACTCTCTTGGATATTAGAGAGACGTCTACGCTTCGCCCTTCGGATACAATGAGGAGTGTGAGAGGCATTTTTCCACGCCTCTCCTCAATACCAATGCTCGGATGTTGGGTGTTTGAGGAAAGCTCTCTTTTACAGGCACGATCGTGTCAAGAAGAAATGCTAGTTCACACGGGCTCCACACGAAGACACACTCAATAGTTGGGAAGGAGAAGAAATTGGGGTCGAGGAGTTCAGTGACCGATGCTTCTTACAAACTATTCAACATTGTATCATGGACTCTTTTTTATCGTGTGTGGAGGCTCTTCTTTTTTTTCTCCTCCCATTCTCGTCACTTTTGTCGTGTAGGAGAAAAGTTTGAGAAGATGAACCCTATGACAGGCATTTTGTGGTGTGAGGAAAATCCAGCCCAAAAGTGGCTTTCGTAATGTTTTATCTCACAGCGAGAAGCGTTGACATTGCTTGTGATTTTATTATTTATTTATATAACAACGCGCCATAATATTGGCCATTCGCTGACGGATAATTAATAGGCGGCATACCAATACGCGCAGTAATCAGCTGATCTCAGGTGCTGCTCTTGATATGCACACATGAAGAATTGGAGTGGTTTAGCAAGCTAAACTCTTTGCGCTGACTCGATGCTTTGGATGGCGTGAAGGACTCCAGAAATTCCCGCGAAAGCGTCATGGAATAAATGTTTAGCAGGCAAGTTTTGCCCACAAACACCCTGAATTTCACAATATTCTGGGAAAAACCACTCCACAGTGGCAGGAAATTCGTGATTCAGGGTTTTTATTTGAGCAGCGCGCGAGCGAGCGCGAACGATCGCGCGCTGAGCAAGGGTGGGGCGGTGGGTAGGGCTGCCCAAGGAAATCGCGCGATCACCACAAGCGAGGATGATCGAGCCTGCGCGCGCCCCGAAAAATCCGGAGAAATCACAAGCACTCAAGCGAACGCACAGAAATGTGTCGATGAGGAAAAAGAGGCCTACAAAACGCTCTTTGAGCAGAAAAAAAAGTACTCAAAGTTGGAGCGTGTAAGTGGAGAGGATTTCGCCGTGTGAGTGTATTAGTTTTGGGGGAAGATATAAAAAATTGCCACGTACCGACTTTATATTTTTATGTGACTGGCAGGGCTGGAAAGTCCGAGTTAACCCATTGGCGCACACAAATTTCCTGTTTTGCACACAGCACACAATTTTCCACACGACTTTCCAAAAAGACACTGATGTTTTACAACTTGTACTGCAATTTATTGTCTATGAAATGAAAAAAAAACTGTGTGGTTTATCTTCACAAAAGTTTAAGCAATTAACCACTGTGTGTTTTGAGTTGCGCGCACTTTCAACAGAATCTCCTTGAAATGTTCCCAAGTGATAAAATTTTCCTTGAGAAATCACATTAGAGAAACATTGGAGTTATCCAAATGAGTGGCGATGATGAAAATCCTCGTGAATCATTTTCTCTCGAATTGAGTGCTAACATTTTTTCAGAGTCTGAGGGAGAAGTTTGTCACTGATGATCATCGAGAGATCGCTTTTTGTGCCTTCTCCGCACTGTCAATAAAGTTTAGAGTCATGAAAACACAGATTTAAGAACTGGTGACGTCAGTGTTTAATTTGTTGGGTAAAACACAGATAAAAAAAGTCTCTCTGATTCCACTTTTAAGAAATGCACACTTTTCCGATGGTTCTCTTCACTGGAGCTTTTCAGCACTTTTTTTTTCTCTCCACACTTGTTGAAAAAGTTGCAAACTGTTGCTTCTGGCGAAGCGCAAAAACTCAAAAAGTTGGCGGAAAAGGCAAAAGAAAAATAATAAGAACACTTGCGCCTCCTTCAGGGTCTCCTTGGCAAATCCATGGTAAACTTCTGAGCTTGAGCACTCCTGAATCCGACTGACGTGCGCTCTCCGTACCGCAATGCGCGGCAATTTTCATACAACTAAACTCGGTGTTGAGAAATGCCGAGGAGTTGACTTGGCCCGCCACTGTGTCCGTGCGACTGTTTCGAAATACTTTTTGCCATTGAGGCTGTGTGTAGGTTCTCCTCATTTGTTTTCCCATGGATGTGCCGTCCTTACGCCACCGATCGCTGTGTGCGTGCTGCGGTGGTGGTGGTGAAAAACCCATAGAAAAGTGCTGAGAGAGCAAGAGACCGAAAGCTATCCAACCCATCCGTCCCCCAGCTCCGCATATGTATGCTCGGCGTTTCCCTGTGACTTTTCAGAGGCGAATAGGCAACCCATCATTTGTGGGTTGCTTTGCCCATGTGTGTGGGCACTGTATTTTTTCTCATGCCACGATCGTGGCTCTCGCTCGCTCCCGTGCCGATGCACGGAAAGGCAACACACCCTTGACTCCTCCGTTCTTAACACTAGGCGCGCCGACAGTTAAATTCCAATTTGCTCTCTCGATCGATTTGACATCTGCTCAAATGCTTATCCATTTGCTCTGGTATTATTGGCACAGAGATGATTTTTGCTCTCAACATTCAGAAATCTTGACCGGAAAGTATAGGATGAAAGGATTATTCACGCCCATTTCTATGCTCCGCCCAAGATCACAGTCCCAGAATTCTTTCCTGAAGATTGTGAAAATTCTAGTTTTCAATTTTACTACTTTATTTTCATTGAGAGATGAGGTTTATTGGCTTTCATAACACTAACTTGTGTGCAAGCCACTTTGGGTACTTCTTGCCTCTCTTCTTGGACGCTAAGAAGATCATTCTTTTTGATGTCCTTTGGATACAATCTGATCGCGTGATCATGCATTGCTTGGCACTCTTGCTAGAGCGCCTGTTCGGCGGTAGTGCGAGTGTTATGTTCTCTGTCGCTCGCGGGGCTTTTTAGGTGGCTACGCGAGTGCCTGAAAGAGGAAAATGCCAGATTGCGCGGGGTGGCGAGAGTCCGTGGGTGTTTGTGAGCGATTGCGTGTGTGTTGGGATTCTGTGTGAAAGGCGCAGTTGATGGAACGGGGCATGAAGCAACAGCCTGAAGTGAACGATATTCTCTGTTAACCCTTTTTGGTAGATTGGTTTCACGGGGGGCGCGCGCGGCGGAGGGGGGGCATTCAACAGTTTCAGTGCCACACAGAGTGTGTGGAGGGAAGAAGAGAGGCGATAGAGCACCGAAAGCCCACATAAAGAGAAAATCCAATTTGATGGTGTGGTTTTAAATTCCCCCGTGGCATTGCCTTTCTGTGTATAATGTCCTTAGCTTTCTAGCGCAGCGTCTTGCACTGGGTGTCTTTTTTCCTCTGCGGGTCATCCTAATTGGCGAGTGGACGTGGTGTGGGAAAAGAGAAAATTTCACTGGTAGAAAATGCCAAGCCCAAGTCTCTTCGCAATATGAATTTGATCCGTTCCGTCCCCGATCCATCGTTTTCGTTTCGCGTCCGCGATCCCCCATGCGAGAGGGAGAGCGATCGCGCGAGCGCGAGCGAGACGGCGGATCAACATGGGTGAGACTCGAGTTGGTGGAAATCTATTCTAATCGCGTTTCATACCAACTTGCTTAGCTCAACAACTTGTGTGTGGTTGATTGGCGATCGTGTGTGTGTGTGTGAATGTGCAGAGGAGGAATTGTAAGTGCATGAATTGGTTGCGTGATCAGGGACAATTTCTTCACAGCGATATTTTTTTTTTTCAAACACTCATTTCCATCTCTAGGCCTATCGTCTTCTCGTGCGGACAAAAGGACTTGGCAATTGAACTCGAATGTGGCACAATGTATCTCCTCTCACCCGCTGTAATCTCATTACTGGCGCGGGAGAGCGAGGGGCGGTTTCCGCTGCCGAGGGACGATCGGGGGGCAGACAGAAGCCATATTTATAGTGCTGATCCTTCCTGTTGGCTGCATTTTCTCATTCGAGCCTCTGTTGCGCATTTCGCGAGTTGCCTTTGCCTCTTCGTGCTCGTTTTTCCCTCCTCTCGACCACAAACACCAAGAACACATCGAGAATTCTCGGTGTTGGCAAAAAGGGGTTAAGGCAGGAAAGTCATTTGTTGAATGTTTCATATCTCTTTTTTGCTGCCTTTTTCGTTTTCTCTCGCAAATTCCACACTTGCCCGCGATTCATTCCTCAACAGCACAGGATTATTTTCGCTGTCACTGTCTTTTTTTCCATCACCAACACCGCCAGCGCTGTGCTTTTTAGACCACATCATCGCGGCCCAAGGATTTCTCAATTTCCCATTCCGCTGAAACGCTCAGTCACGATCTCACGACTGACAAAATTAACCCCTTGCCGCTGTCAGCGTGCGATGGGTGCGCCTGGTGATGAGACGCGACTCTAATGAGAGTCTCGTGATATTTTGCGCCACAGAGACCTATTAAGGATCAAAGTCTGCTCTTGATAGCACGGCCGTAAATCACTTCCCGCGCCTCCCCGTTGCGCTATCCTCACAGCACATTCCCCCATCGGGTGTCAACAGTGAGGAGCCGGAATTTATCATGAAATAGGACTACAAGAATGTGCGCTGTGTGTGTATTTGCAAGCGAGTCAAAAAATATTTTTATCGCGGCGGGGTGCTTTGTGGTGGAGCCGTGGGCACTCGAGTGAGTGAGAAAGGATGAGCCGCGGGGCGAGAGCGGCGCGAGCGTTCCACATACGCGAGAGCGCAATAATCAGCCCAAAGAGGCTCAAATGCCCGCCAGAGTGGCTATTTTTGAGACGCCATCGCGCAAGAAAATAGCCCCCACGCACACTCTCGCAGCGCGGCTCCCCGTCCTTTGGCCGCCTCCCCGAGATCGGCGGACACGACGCACGATGGGCCGCTTAGGGGAGACCAAGTCTGCCCGAGCCTGAGGCCATTCAGCGCTTTCAATTGAGCAATTTTGAACGGTTTTCACTCATAATAGCCCTTCATGACCATCATTAGAGTACGGTAGAAACATTGAGAAAATGAAGATAAGTGCCAGTATCTCAAGGGACAATTCCGTAGAATCTGGTGCTGGATGAAATGAGAGTTAGAAATAGATTGCTCACCTAGACTTAGGAGTTCCTGGTCTTCAGTATAGGGCTCCTGAGTCCTGATATTGAAAGATCTCCAGATAAATCGTGCAGAAACACAATTTTCATTTAACCAAGTACGGTTAAAGGAAAACAAACTCGTAAAAATGTAATTTATACTAATAAAATCGATAAAAAGATATTTTTTGTATTTTGCTTGCAGACTCAGAATTGAGATTTGATTGAATTTAAAACCATTGGCTTCTGCGAATGATCAATCCTTCGCCGAATGTGAATTGCGCAGTGGCCAAGAGGCCTCGCTTTCCCCTACGAGTTTCGCGGCGTCGAGGGGCGAGTGCGCGGACGGATTACTAATTTATCGCCAGAAATAATCCTCCCATTTATTCACGCGGATGTGCGTCCAACTGTCCCACACTGGGTGGCTTTGCGTGTGTGTTGGCTCACGAAGGCGCGACTTTTCGGCAGGAAGGAGCGAATCACGAGGCAAATTGGCGAGGGTGACGGTGCGCCTGTTGATGAAAATAAATTCTCTCTCGGCAAAATGGTATCCGGGACGAGGAGCGAGGGCCGCGGATGGCACAATTGTAATTGTTTCCAATTGCTATTCAGTGTGTCCACACTGTGGGCGCCTTTCTGGGACAATCGCGGCTAGAACCCAGCAATCTCTAGGGTGTTGGCGCATAAAATACGATCTGCGCGAAAGGAGTACTGTAGGCAAAAATTATCATAAAACCATAGAGGCGAGAAAGACTCACAATATTAGTTTCTAATCTTCTGGCCTTGAGTGATTTTTCCCATTTGGCGTGTAGGTTTTGTAATCATCTCTGCCTGAGCTCCATGTTTCGATGGAGTCTCGCAAATACCAGTGCACAAGTTGGAGAGCCTCTCTGTGCCATTGAGTTGGCACTACTACGTGAGTAAAATTGATATGCGGAGGAGCGTGTATGTGGCCATTATTCAAATGACAAAACTTGAGAGATTACACAAACACACAGCCCAAAAAGACAGAGCGCCCCCGGGTGGGCTCGAACCACCAACCTTTCGGTTAACAGCCGAACGCGCTAGCCAATTGCGCCACGGAGGCTTCGGGCCCCAAGGGTTCGCCCCAAGGGCGCCCCTTAGTGCGACCCTCACTTTTCACGGATTTCGAGCTGCGGCCTTGCCGCCACTCGCCTGAATTCCACGGAATGTTTTGGCCGATTTTCTCCAGGGGATTTTCCACTTGAGCACCATTCAGTGCAGGCCACAGGACGGGAAAATTACTCTCAGTCCCAAATAAGTCGTAATGACCGTAAGGACAGAGACAATGGGGCGGGAATTCCTGAGCCCAATTATGTTCATTAGGGAAAATATGATGGCGCTGCCTTTCAAATTATCTCCGCACAAAGTGTTAAAATGTGATTCTTCTTGCCTGTTTTATTGTGGATCATTTCTACCTCTGGTAAATATGTGAATTTGGGTGGAAGCAAAAAGCAAGAGAGAGAGAATGAGAGTGCACTGTATAATTTACAATTGTGTTATACATTTAAGAGAGTCAATTAATGATTGTTTACATTTTCCCACAGCTTTTTATGTGTCTGTTTTTCCCTTATGTTGCCGCTGATGATAAGCTCTTCGTGGCACAGAGTTGTCATTTCCATGAGCGCGTGTAAAAGCGAGAGCGGAGTGCGGCCCTGTGGACGGTGTGGTGTTCGTGAGCAGAGGAGGGGTAGTGTAGCTGAAGAGAAGCACAAGCGAAACACGATATGAGCCTCCGTGGCGCAATTGGCTAGCGCGTTCGGCTGTTAACCGAAAGGTTGGTGGTTCGAGCCCACCCGGGGGCGCTCTGTTTTTCCACTTTTTTCGCTGATTTTCCACTTTTTCCCCGCTCAAAGTGAAGCCCTGTGACTCACGGATGGCATTTCCAGTGGCCAGAGTGTCAACCAGAAAGAAAGAAAAAACGCCAAGTCGCCGTGTCGCAGAGGCGCACAAGAGGAGGAGTGGAGTTACGCAACCCGGTTAATTGGCGCAATTATTCATTACATATTAATTGCTTAACAAGAGATCGGGCGCGCGCATGGAGAAAAATGGGAGAAGAGAAACAAGCCCCAAGAGCTCATGATTGACTTGTAATACTTCTCGCAAAAGGCACGATTTTGTTGTGCGTTGTGTTGGTGGTTTACTCCTTTGGCGCGCTGTTGA